AATTAATGTAAGAACTTAAGGACATAGTAAAAGAAGTACTCTATGTATGCAACAATAATACTCGCCTTATCTTTTGTTACATTTTAAGACCAGACATTTTAGTGTTCGACCGCATTTTGCGGTGACCTTATTTTGTTTCTAGGATGTTAAAAGTCAATTTTACTACATATTAGATATTAATTTATTACTATGTGAACATTTAAAACGTGTTTAAGTTTGCGTGAAACGGATTCAAATAATAACTTTAATGCGACATAGTGATGTCATCGCAGCTTACGAGCGCTTATTAGCCACAAATGCTAAGTCGTGAAGTGTTTCACCACTACCTATTTCTAGGGAACTTGGTACGTGATGATACCGAGATGTTGTCATGTTAGAATATTTTAATAAGAGTTTGTAAAGTATAGTAGACGTACATATAAAATACTTTAAAATAGTTGTAGTTGATAAGTTAATTGGTATTATTGGTATTATTTGAATTGTTCTTGAATAATATGAATTTATACTGAGTGTATAAATATTTCAGAGAGGTTAACGGATGCTATATCACGATTATTATTCTTGTTTACCCGATGGAACTACGTTAAGGTTGTCCGGCCAGTGCCTGCGTGTTGCATGACAATATTGTCCCTTGCCTCTCGTGTACATGCCGCCGAATCCTGGCAGCTCTCTGTAATAAATAATAAAAAATAACTCAAGTAATAAGGATGACCTAACTAACGCATCATGCGCTACAGCCTCGTAGTTTTTCTTTATTTTTACGAAGGTCGCTGATGTCATTGATTAAAAATAAAACTAGATATATTTGCAATTAATCTAAAACCGTACAGGACACCAGATCTATTCATTAGAATGTCAAGAACGAATTTTAATGCTATTATCAATTAAAAGTAAAAGTTTGGAATTGAAATATAACTTACTTAATTACTGAGTTGGTTAAGTGTGTGGGAATGCGTATTGTCGATCTTCTTCTATGCCCACACAAAGCTGCGACATTAATTGCTATCGTACTATTCACATAGACGCGAGTTGAAAGCCCGGCGTATCCATTCTCATGGAAACACTCCATACAATTAGACATTTATCGGCTTTGGAATAGTATGCTTGATTGATAATTGCAATATTTCTATGACAATGTAACCTTATCAATGTGTCCAAACGAAGAGGCAATAAAGTAGAAATGTGGTGACATATAAAAGTTATAGTCTTATTGGGTACCTGTGTTAATAAACAGGTTTTCCCGTGTCATAAAAACTGCATAACAAGATTGCAAGTTATAATATAATAAAGGTAATTATTAAGAGTTAATAGTCATGTACATCGCACGATGTAACCATGACAACAAATACTTATTACTTCCGCATGGTAATTAGTGTGAAGAGTCTAGGCTACATATAACATAAATGACAATTGTTTACATGAAACACGTATGATTGTATGCAAGGAAACAGAAAACCCGTATACATTAAATTTAATAGAAAACAAATTCTGTCTCAAAAATGATGCGGGTTTTAAGTGACCTTTATTTTGTGTATAACGTTTTTAGACTTTGAACTTTAATTATTATTCGTCTCTACGACTGTAATGATTTGTTGTTCATTTTAATACATACAGTTTGATAGAATGATGAATATACGTGGATTTGTTCAGGTATTTCTATTTTAGTGCATCCAAATATTGCGCAAGCGCTTACAACAGTTCGAACAGCGGATATAGCACGGGGCCGCTCTCGGAGCCCACACCTCTGTCCAAACAACAGCTTGCATACCACACACGCTAAGTGGTTGAGCAAACGAGACGCAAAAACGAATAATAGACCCATGTTATCAGGTGACAGAGTTACAGAGGTGAAAATGTTTTATATCTATTGTATTATCGGGTTCATCGGCCAAGGACTTTTTATGTCTAGTTGAGATGATTACAACAGTTAACAAATTCTAAGCATAAAAACTTATAAGATAATGATCGTATCATTATTTTTAGATCAATCGAAAATATTATCTCGACGATAAATGTGAGTAATACATCATAAATCTATTTTAATTTATCTGAATGTTTCAAATAAATAATTATGTTTTTTCTTGGGTATTATATTATTTATTTTATAATTGTTCATAAGATTTATTTTTATTTTATAACAACTCATGACACTGGGAAAATATTTGTTGTTGAATATTTTCTCGATTTATAATAATATTAGTAATATTTTTCTTATTACCAGCTACTAATGCCAATATAAAGTCATGTTTTGTGTCATCCGAAGTCTAACAATGATGTCATACTTGGTCGACCTCCGTTTATTGATATTTGATTAGCTATATTTTTTTCCTTTTCTTCGAAGCTTATAGTTTTCGCCTTGATTCTATTGCAAAATTATTCTGATTGCTTTAATCACATCAATATTTAGACATGGTTGTTTCAATACAAATTGTTATGTTTTTACATAGGCCAAATTGATCAAAGTGGGATTATTACTTAATTGTTATTGTTTGGCGGTCTATAACTCAATAATTGTCTGTGATGTCGGGCTAGTTTTAAACTGACAAAAAATGACAATAAATTTTTAACACTAAATAAAATCTTTTGCATGCCAAAAGCAGATAAAACTATTTCTTAATATAGAAAATTTAAAATTGATAGTGAAAAACTCAATCTTACTTTGTAAATAGAAATTTATTAAGAGCCTTTTTTTCTTACTCAAAAAAATATTTACACAATATTTTCTTGTTCATCTTTTTTATAAACGACCTTTTTGAATATTGTAGTGGCGGCCTTTATTAATAATACTATAATAGGTCTGATATACATCTCTAGAACAAAGAACTCCTCGGGCGCACTAATGAAATAAGTACTCGCTCGTTCAGAATTAAACATCAAGAATGTTACTTTATTTTTACACTATGTTGAATCTTAAAGCAGCCCTCGACGTTTTTATCCAAAGGATATAAATATCTCTGGTATTGAAAATATAATAAGTAGTATATGTATACTTTTAAATCATCACAATAATTTATGCTTTACTTATATTTTTATAAGAACATTTGTACTGAGATTCTTATGTGTAATAAAATAATTTATCAGTTCGCTATTTGCCATTACGTAAAATACTTTTATGGATTAAATAAAAATTCTATATTTATTAGGACATAAAGATTAATAAAAATACTTATAAAGCCATAAAAATTCATGCTTTCTTCCGAGAACACAACCAGAAGTCATATGAAGTTACGTTTAAAAAAAAAAATAGTTGCACAAGAAGTGGAGACATCAAACAGAATGCCTAATGTGTTCGATTCTCTCAAACACCCGACGAATAACAAACGAAACCAGTCGATACAGTGACATCATCTTCCTGTGCTGAGGCCGTGTCCTTTGCGTCAGTCTCACTTCTTTACAATCTGAACTATCGATATACAATAACGTTAATATATAGAGAAACTCAGACAAATAAAACTATAAATTATAAATTGAATGTGATTCTTGTTTAATGAATTAGTATAGATAAGTCACAAGGTTATTAACTCGAAAATAACAGTTGTTTCATGCACCTCAGAATCATCAATGATTTTAAACGAACATCTATTCGAATGTATGATGTAGATAAGATAATGATATAAAAAAATATATTGATATGTTACGTTATTTTGCATCTAATTAAATTATTAAGATATTCAGTTCATATAATAACTTGAACATTATTATAATTGCGATGGTGTTGTTAGGTTGTAAAATATTCTCAGACTAATAAAATTTTCTCCTTTTATGATTGATGATTTAAACAGCGAAGGATTATCAGAAATATGTTAACAATAACCTGTTCTAAGTCCTTAATTTATGGCCTCTAAACACCACCATCCAGTTTCGAAGCATATTTCTTAAAGTTTAATCTTTTAATATTATCAGATATTTCGATTGGAGATGTTATAATGTGAAGGTAAAAATAAATGTATATAAAGTCTAAATAATACATTTAGCCGTTTTTTTATTATTATTTTAAAACAAAAATACCGTTGATTAATATTTTAAAATGTACTGTACGAAGACCGTCGATGATTATTATCATTTTTAAATTAGTTTTAATTAACATGTTGGAATGCATATTACGATAACGCTGGGATGTTTTAATTAAAGATATAATTTTACCAAATAAAAGTTAGACTTGAAATACAAAGCCCAGACGTTCTCTTCATTTAATCAATTAATTTCTTAACAGACAACATAAGAAAATTGTTATAAAAACCATAGAATTGAAATGTATGAATGAACTTTTAATAAAATTGTGATAAAATTGTGATTGAACGTATTCATTTGGAAGCTTTTCCTTATAAAACGGGGATCATAAATTGACAGCGAGATAAAAAAATGTGTTAATAAAACAAAAAGCACATTCTGATTTTATAAATTTAGATGTATCTCGGTTTGGTTTAAACCAAATGGAGCAATAAAAATGCTCATTTGTTTGTATTAAAAAAGGTTTATTAAAACGATAAAATATTCAGGTATTAACTTATTATTAAAATTTCTTAGCAATTAAATTGTGTAATTTTAAGAAAATTTATGTATGGATTGGAATTGGAGTAATTAGAATTGAATTTTGAAACAAAAAGAATAACTCAAAGTGTATACGCGAAAAAAGAAAATATTTCCGACTATATTAGTGTTATGAAACTGAAAATTTAAAATATACATTATTTAACTTAAATACCATTCAGTTATTTAAAAATAACCCAATCTTCTTTTTGTAAGCGAATAATAGCAATTCTTTTGCTGTTTTTAGACACGGTACCACAGATATGTGAAAAATTATCTGGTGATTAAATTTATACGAATATAAGTTTATATGTATATATAACTCTGAGATTCTGCTTAAACCGGTCTGTCCGTATTTTATTACGCAATTAGATGTTGTTGCCCTGCAAGACGTTAAAGTATATAACATAACATAACATGTTATTTAAACCATAATTAAATTTCCCAACGAAGTCGTTTATAATGAAGCCTTAGAAAGCTGCAGCCTTCAAAGGAATTTGTAGTTCGACCTCAATGTCCTTGCCAGCTAGTCTTAAGTTGTTGTCCGCTATGCTCCGTAAAGTAACAAGATGGCCGTAAGGTAACATCGGGATGACGAAGGAACGCGAGGGGGGCGAAGGGACAGGTCTGCCTGCACCCGGTCGCATCGCTGCGCCCGGCCCTGAGTCTCTCAGCTCTATTTTTAGCGCTGTGTCACCGTTCGCTTTACGTCCGAATCCTGCTTGAGAACGGATAAACGCATACAAAGTTTTGCTGCTAAAGAAACAAAGCTATATGGAATAATGCAATACATATCCTTTAACTTGAATTGTGGAACTTACATTTCTGGACGCCGAGACCAGCGGCGCCGAGCGATTTCTTTGTTTCAAGTAATTATGCGGCAGACACAAAAAAGCTTAATTTCCATTTCTACTTTGTGCTGAAGTATGTCATGTTTGTGAAACGCAAAAGGTACAAGGATTTATTTATAAATCTTTTATCGTCGAGTAATTCATTCCGCTTTCTCTAGACTTTGTATTATTTTGAGGAAAATTAAATATTGACTCGAATAACTTAAAAAACATTCGAATCACGTTTCTCACTCTAGTTAACCGTAAGTGGTCGTCATGATGTCATTGGCATGCGATAAGTACTGTCCTACAATATGACGTGTGTTACGTAAGTAGCGGTATACCTAAAACATAAGTTGCCTTCAAGACGATACATTAATATGTAATCACAGGAACTGTTAAGTAGTTTTTTACTGTAAAAAAACGGTTTGTAATCATAATCATGAGGTTTTTATTGATGGATTTAAATAACAGTACATATAGTATTAGTCATTTACTTTCAATTACTTGAGATTATCCACTTTCGCCTACACGTATTGGATTTTTCTGCTCATGTCGACAGGTATTGGCAGCGCCGGGAGCCCACGCGGCTGACTGTCGCTATCGTCGAGGACTCTGCCCACATTCGATTACTCAATGGTTCGAAAGTTGTACAACAGATTTTTGCAGTTATAATTGTGAAAGGATAATTAAAATAATACAAAACACGATCTAGAATATTTATTGCATAACACTATCTAGAATAAACTTTGATATCTTTTGAAAATATAATATACAAATCAAAGATGTGCGTTTCAGAATAATTAAATATAATTAGGTCAAATGGAAATATTGCTAGTACAATTGTGATATTTTCTAACTACATCGTACAGTATATTTGTAATTGAAATTAAAATTTTCTCAAAAACCTTGTAAATTTTTGATGATTTGTAGTGGGCGAAAAATTCTCTTAATTAACAAAGTTATATTAAAATACATCTTTGATAGTTAATGGTTATATACTAGTTTCCTATTATGTTCTCCACCAACACAGTCTCTGAATCATTTAACATTCGGTTTTTTAAAGTAAGCGGTGAATAATACTTGTATATTAGGTATAATAATTTATAGGTTGTTTTCTTTAAACAGCTAGTAAAGCAGTTTGACTTGGTTACCTTGATATTATGATTTTTAATTTAAAATGTCACAGATTACATCGTCACACGTATCGTTGACGAGCTGGTCTTGTTGCAACACAGAGAAAGTTACAATTCGTCTGGTGAAATCACCCACACACCCACAGCCAATGTGCCAAATTTGAGAGATATCCTCTTTGCTTATAAGGAAACTTATTTTGTTAAACATTACTTCTAGAAATTATCAACGGTCCAAAAGATCGAATCACGTTTTCTATAAAATAATGGTATAATGGGTTAAAAATAGAGTTTTCTGTGTAAACGAGCAACAATAGGTACGTGTGTGCCTCGGACACAAAAACTGAAACGTGAGTTGATCATTACGGGTTGTCCGTCACGGAAGATTATGAGAGAACAAGTAGTCCTCTTATATCGAAAGGTAATTTACTGATAATGGACAAAAAAACAGTTACAAAAAAAAACACCAAGGAAAATAGATAATATTAGACTTAATCGTTTAATCTTTTGACAATTTGATCATCCTACATCGAAATATGCAAATGAGATTATATATGGCGTTACTGTTTTTTTGGTTAACACGTCACCATATAAATGTATAATTGAGACAGGGATTTATGTATTTTACGGCGTACATTAGTCAATTGTAATGTAAAATTAATTATGTAAATTTAAATCTTTAAAATTATTACTTAAAATTTAATGAGGTAAATAAATATTGAATATGTGTATGTAGAAATATAATAAACATTAGTCAGGTAGGTAAGGAAATAATTAAGAAGTGAGTCATTAAGATTTACTTATATGTTTACCCGTAATGGTGTACAAAAGTAATATTTGTGTTAATTTCTAATAAATAAAATAATATGTACTGAGCTGTGAGCTTACCACAATTTTGCAAAGTATATATACGGAATCTTCGTAGTTTTTCTTCAATAAGCCTCCTCATATTTTATTAACGTAGCTGATTTTGTATGAGAAACGAGAAACGCCTTGTATGTAGTTTGACGATGCAAACTTGTGGTAAGTGTGCTAATGTGTTAAACTCAAATAGTCACTCATTTATTGTGAGGCCCCAAAATAATTTACTTATAACCACTGAGTAGAATACAGATATTCTAATACATTAGAGGTTTCATGCGAGGTGTTTACAATTCGTGAAAAAACCACAGTTCACGAATAACATGATATTCAATAAGCGATTACTGTATTATGTAAAAATTTAAAACAACATTTTAAAGCAATGTTAATTTTTATTATAAATTAGTTGTTTTCAGTTGCTACAAGCACGTATTAGGTTGTTTTGAAAAGAAAAAATACATTTAAATTGTAAACTAGTCATAATTACGATAAGTTACATGCATACAATGATATTTTAAAATGTATACGAGTATGTGTGAATTAAACAACTAACACTATCACAATACTCGAAGGCTTTTCGACTAACGACAAATTCGATGCGTATCCGTGACGTAAGACAAATGCCATATTCCGTTTCAAAGACGTGACCATGATTTATGTTATACCATAGTTACTGTTACGTGAAAACTTATATGTGACTACAACCTTGATGGCAACGTGATTGTGGCGGCATCCGACCGTGACACTGGGCCAGGTTATGTTAATGACGTCTTCATCCGTTCCTACGAGAGCTTCACGTACTTGATATTACATTATTTTGATATTTAATAACATTTGCATAATCATTAAATAAGTTAATTTACGATGTATTTGCATATTGCTTATATATACTGGATAGTATCGAGTAGTCTTTAAATGTTATATTTGTTTTAAACATTTCGCAATCGAGGATAAATCTGTTTATATGATGTTATATATCTAGGTATGTGAGCGGAGTCAGTATGAGAAATGGTGTGTAATGCGTTTAAAATGAGTGCCGTGTCAGTGTTCATATAATATAATTCAGGTATAAGTATGATATTCGCCCTCCAAGTGTTTGTACCGCGACCGTTATCTGGTCACCGCTACACGTCGTGCTCGGGAAATGGCTTCCACGTTCAAACAACGCCGTATTTCTCTAGTTTGTAAATATCAGAACGGTATTATTCTATTGTTTAGAATTTCTTATGGAATCGTTTTAGTTTTTTTGTCATTGTGAGAGATATTTTTATTGTGACTATGTTCATTATTTTGATTAAAGTATTTATGAATAATTTATGTTAATAACTTGTATATAATTAGCACTTTAAAAACGAGTCACTTGGAGCTAGGAGGTATGGTCATTGACAAATATTAAATATAAATATATTATTTTAGTTTTGTTCATTTTATATCCGCTTGATATTTTAATTTTATACGATCATATTATTCTCTTTTTTTAGTTTCATATGGGTCCGTGAATTATAAACTATGTAGGTACCTATATTTAGCAATGTACTTAAATTTTTGTATACCAGTTGTAATGATATTATATTTATATAAAGCTTTAATTTTTTTCTTACCAGTAATTTAAAGATTAACATAATCCCGTTATAATATTTGTAATAAGATAATGATATTGTCACAGTAATAATAAGTCTAATTCACATATTTTGGTAATTTTTCCTCTCTAGAAAAATTATAAAACAACTTTTTCGGTTTACACTTTTTCCTAATATTACTCATATTAATTATAATACACAAAGTAATACAGTAAGTTAATATACATTTTAGATTATCTGAGAACATAATATATGAGAGAAAGCTACATGTTACATACTAAACGAAATTTGAATGGTCAATAGTTCACTCTTTAATGATAGACTCGAAAGTCGAAAGTATGTATAAGTAGTTCATTTAACGATCATATAGGTAACGAGTAAGAAACATCTATGAAAACAAATGCTCGAAAATGTTATTTACTTCAAATACGTCTCCCTATAACTGTATCATGCTCTAAATGTGACTACACATATCAAATCCCTACTAATATTATAAATGCGAAAGTAACTCTGTCTATCTGTCTGTCTGTTACGCTTTCACACCTAAACCACTAAACTGATTTTAATGAAATTTGGTACAGAGATAGAGTTGACCTTGACAAAGAACATAGGACATCCCAGACTTTTGAAAGGTTCTCATGGAAACGCGATATAACCGAAATCCAAGCGGGCGAAGCTGTCGGCGGAAAGCTAGTCTCCTATAAGGAATATATCGAACTTATAAACTTCAATCAAAAGTTATATCTCTACTCAAAAGCCATGTTTATCTAAGCAAGTCTTACATTATAATATAAATTTGTTATAACCATTTTGTTTGCATGCGAAAGTAATTTTAAAACAGGATTATTTAGATCGTTAAACGATGGTTAATGGTGACCGTGGACCGGTTGTTCAGGACGTTCCACGTCTTCATCTGCACTTGATAGATAATATGTTATACCGTTGGTTTTATAAACATTATTATATATAAAGTAATACTTCTTCTTCTTAGTGTTAATCCCGTGTTGTGACGGAGTCCGCTTTCGTTCATATTATATGAAGTAATTAGATCTTTTTATGTGAAAGGTAGCAAACGAACAGACGGTCTACTTGATGGGCAGTGATCATCGCTTATGCAAAACCGCAACAGATATTTTAAAGAAGCGTTGCCAACTTTAGTTTTTGAGGAAAAGGAAAGGGTGGGAATAAGGAGATGATAGGAAAGGTTGGGTACATTGAAAGGGCAACCGCCTCACTCACTCATCGGACGAAACGCAGCCATTAAAGGCTACTTCACGCCGATCTTCTATTAGAGGGTGGTACTTCCCCGGTCGAGTCAGCCCATGTTTGAGCTGTAGTTATTTGACCACAGCTATGCTCTACCTATACTTCAAGTGAATCATGATTCATTCACGTCTCGTCTTAGTACCGAAAAATAGTAGTTTCAATTAACTATACTAATATTATAAAGCTGAAGAGTTTGTTTGTTTGATTGTTTGAAAGCGTATATTATATATGAATTTTTAATTTGATATCCGACTATAATCTCGGTGTATCAATGTTGTGGTTGTGATATTTCTATCAATTTCGGGTGTCATATATTCTTATTACATAAATAGATTTAATTACAGTTATGATAACTTTATTATTGAATGTTAAATCGAATGTTCGCAGGTTTATTTTATTCATAAATCTTGATATATACATATTCTTATAAATGTAGATTTATTAATAAAAATCTTCAAAGTGGTTTAGTTTGGTAAAGCTATTTAGCTGGTATGACATAACTTAACTTATGTGAAATCTTATGTATTACCATTAATTGCTTTAGATTGTATTGAGAAATATTCTTTAACGTTGATACAATATTTATTAGTCTATGGGTTATGTTTATATTTCAAGAATAGATTTTGTTAGTGTAAATAGCAAAGCATTTCGGATATTATGGTAAATAGGTAGTATTTGTAAGCTTTGAAAAATGATCATATTTCTAATACCTAATTATGTTTAAAAAGTTTTATGTATTATTATACATATATTTTAAGATATTTTAAGATTGGAATGACTTAAGTATTAGGAATAAGAATTAAGAATTCTTTATTGACTTAATTTATTTTTGCATTGAACTATAGGAATATAATAAAATAGTTTAAAAAGCCTTTAAATAAAAAAGTTTTTGAATGAAATGAAATATTATTTACTGTAAAAAGAAAACATTAGTAAAGTACTGATCAATTTTTCATACATAAATGTAAATCATTAGAACTTGTTCGTCAGAGGATACGTGTAGTGAAGGAAAATATAGACTTAGTCACTGCAAAAAACTTGTTAAATATATTTACATGTCTGTTACTTAGAATATAATAATGTGTGTTTTTTATTAATTTTACCGAGCTCTATTTGTCGAGATGACGCGCGCGTTGAACTCTTAAATATGGGACAAGGAAAAGGTGTTGAAATCCTAACTCCATATAATGTTGCATAACAAAAAATATTATTTAGTTTAACTTAATATAATAAAACAAAGATACTTTGTTATAAAAATATTTTATTTTTTATAGAATTTTCCAATCAATTTATTGTCTAGAGTTAATGGATATTTGATTTCAATTAAATTATTTTTTAATTAAGAATAATAATCGATAATTTTAATAGTATTTAAATTGTTTAATCTATGATTAAATTAACAAGCATACGTCTTAAATAATCAATTAGTGGAGCAATTATTATTAAACCTTTGTTTTGTTTATTTTTCTTTCATATCAATAATATATATATATTGCAAGTAATAAAATAACTTTCTCACAAATTTCATAAAGTTTTATTTATTACTTACAAATTATTTAATATGGAAATAAATAAATAATGCTATTACAATCAAAGTGAATACAGTTTGTACGGTGGAATTGTGCTGTCATTGCTGTATATGACTTTCAATGGACCTCTGGAACTGGTAATTGGTTAAAAAAGACCAGCTCTTATTGAGTCTCACATCACCGCGGATAAGGCAGCCGCTAATAGCCACACAGAAGCTGACCGGTTATACCTTTATTTTCCTTTATGTAATTGAGGATGAATATTATTTTATTACTTTGAATTTTGTTATGTGACTATGTTCATTTTTAGATTTTTGTTGTTATATATTTATACAGGACTCTTTTAAGCGGGAATACTTTAAGTATGAATATGAAAGCATCCAGATAGAAATAAAGGTAGGTATCGATGTTTTAAAACAAATTTAAAGGTATCAGCACAGTCAGCCGGTTTATCTCCTTTGCAGTTTTATTATCTGGTGTAGCAAAAGCTCAGCCAGTGGAGGTCCAGTAAGCCAGGGCGAGTGCGGGGCAGGCACCGCGGCGTGGGGGGAGGGGCCCGAGGGGGCGGAGAGCGCGCGCGCAGCAACCTGACGCCGAGCGATCAGTCTCACTTCGACCACCATCACGGTCGTGTGTGATCCGACGCGTTGCGACATCGTTACGTTCTCGTGTGTTGTCCGCTCCATCTGTGCTATCTGTGGAGTGCTGTAGGTGCAGTGCTGTGACAGTGTGTTTTTGGTAATACTGAATAGTGTATCGCTACAAAATACCACTGTCGGCGGTGTGCGGCTCTTTACTCGGAGTTGCCTAACGGCTGTTCGCCTAGCGAGGGAAGGCGGATTGCTTGCACCGGGAGGAATGAGCCCCGTACATTACTGCTCCCACACTCACCGATGATCTCAAGGTTGGCATCTCGCACACTCGCCGACCACGGACGGCGGACCACGTCCTTACTCATGTCGCAACTGTGCGATATCTCGCATTCTCCTCTACTCTCTATTCTAGACTGTTACAATAACATTCGTTCCGAACTTCCACTTGGAACATTCACTTCATAAATATTAACCGCGCCTCTCTACTAACATATTTAACGCTTAGCCAAATTTGTATTCTTATAAGAATATTTGTATTCAAAATGTGTTGTTTCATGTATGAAGTACCGGTTTAATTTTTAACATTATAATGCAAAATTGCTCTGGCAAAACGAAATAATAACAACAAATCTAGTTCATATGTAAATGCAATACTAAATTAATATTATTTGCTTTGATCACTTCAAAATAAGTATAATTTTGATATGGAAATAGTAGCTCTACTGAGCGTCTAAAACCTTTTACCATTGCTCAATAATTACAGATCGAGAGTTATGGGAGTAAAAGCATTTTAAACGTAATGATTGAATGGTATTACAAAACATAACTTCACTAGATGGCGCTCGAGGTCCATTTATATAAGCTGGACCGGCCCTCGCCATATAAAACAAGCTGATTTCCTTAGCGTTATCCGGGGACATATATTTGTGATATAATTGTTTTTAAATATGAAGGTCTTATGAAACATATATTCTTTTATTATACTTTAAACTCAGTTCAATTTTATTCGACATAAAAATTTACAACAGCTTTAATTATTATCTGAAACGAGTTATATATTTCACATCATCGCTTATTTATGACATGGCAACCATGTTTACTACTGTTAACGATATTGTTTAATAATAAGTTCATATAAATATTAAATACACTTAGATTTATATCATGTTTTATACACATTTCACAATTAGGTATATGTCATATGAATAAGTAGTCAAAATAGCTTAAAAAAGTCAGTTTAACTAATTATATTACCGGTATTTGAAATAAAATAAAATAAAGGCGCCTTTAAATTTAAGCTAAAAAAGAGTTTATAGTTTAATATAACAAATCTTGAAAACTTATATATAGAATTTAAAGACGTTACCTACAACGTCCAAATAAATATTAAAAAAATAGCGTTTGTATGAGAGAAAGTAATAATTTCACGCTCAATAAGTAATCGATGAAAACTATTTTTTAAGCACTATATTTATGTACCATTTTTTCCTACATCAATCTTACAAAAATTGTATGTCTTATAAAAATACATATTTACATTGCATAAAGGACGTAAATAATAAATATACTAACTAATACAATTATTATAATGCAAACAACAAAAAGGTGCTCTAAAAAAAGGTTGCTTGCTATTTGACCATTCTGTTTTTGTACAAATTTTTAGGTTTTTTTAATAAAAGCGATTGATATTACCATATATTAAATGGTAATGAAATATTAAAAAAACTATTCAAATTATAATTTTGTTTGTAGTCTGTCACTACACTGAAAAAGTATAAAATTAATAGTTTTCGGATTATACTGCGTGTATTTTATTATTGTAAAAACTACATACTCCTGACTTTTCGGTTACTTTTCAACAACCGTCATCACGGGCACATGAGGTGTGATATATTTTTATAGGTTATCAAAGCGTAATATATGTAGTTTAAAAGTTTGAATTGTATTTGTATAAAAAAAGCATAAAAATCATATATAAAAACAATAAATTCAGTATTTTTTGGGTTAAGTGCACACTAATGAAGATTTCTTGTGAACTATGTATATAAAAAGATTAAAATATAATTATGTATGTATATCTAATTTTTTTGACCGTTAAATCAGCACTCAAATTAATTCATAAGAGGAAAATATGTTTATTACTGAGTATGTAATAAATTTTTGCTTATATTATCAAGTACTGACGTATTTTTAAAAATACCTATATCTTATATTGAACTACGATTCCTGAACTGCCTCTATATTAGAACGAGAAAAAAAAACAGCCTTGACCCGTTCCATCCGTTCAACGCGAACAAATAATGGTTTTAATTGAACCTCATAAAAGAAAATGTGTGTGAAATTATTAATAGAATAAAAAAATATTAATTGTCTATAGAACATTTCACGGACTATAGTCTATAGTGAGTGGATTTTGAATGGAAAGCGTGTTTGCCTTCGATTTATGAATCATATTGGCGGTTGACGTCACGCCGCAAATTCTTCAACAATGTATTTTTTATAAAGCATTTAGCCAATAAAAACTATTGAAATCATAATTAATTTAAAAAATATGCACAGCGGATATGAATATCTACCTTATGTCATATAATTAAAATTTATTATACCAACATTGATAATAACCATGAGAAAACAATTTTTGAATTTAACTACTTAAGACCGTCATAAATTTGCAATTACATTGACTGCAACATCTTGGTATAAATTAAAAGTAAATAAAAAACTTCACCTATACCCCTTGTATACTTGACCCCTAACAACTACAGTGGATTTTCACTGCTTATTAAAATGTAGGCAATTATAGTATTAATAGATATTACGTTTGATTAAAATCAGGTAAATACTTCAAAGCTTTAGCTAGGTTAGGCTCTAACTTAAATATAGGTATTTATGTAAAAGAAAATAGTCGTAAATTCATTATGTTATGAATCATGATGTATTTTGATTGTCGCATATGTAAGAAATTTTAATCATGAATTAAACAAGAAAATGATTGAATCATAGCCCTCCAAATACAAGTAAATGTTTGTGAGAGTATTTATTGAATTGAGGTCTAGATGCAGTGTCTTCGCTGAAGCGTGTCGCCGATAAACTAATGCTTGGCTCCAAGGCCTCTTTGTTACATTCTATTCCCACAAACGAGTTAATTGTAATCAACTACAGATCAGAGGTTTTCTTTAGTATTTCGTCACATCCCTATTCTTAAGTTGTTGAGACAATGCGTCTATATCGTATTTGATGTAATGTGCACAGTTTTTTTTAATAATTTAAGAGCTCATTCTGCTCTGCGTCTCAGGTAAAAAAAGTCGGGTATCACTACACTATCGGTGATCATGGCAGGTTGTATTAAGGCACAGGTGACGTTTTACCATAGAATGAGAACACCTGTTGTGTCTGTGGGCACTCAAGCGACGAACGTGCCCGTTATGTCATTCCATTCCAATGTACTATTAGTTTGTCCCATACTCTCACGCATATGTCATCAATCTCCTATGTCTGTGGGAAATTTTACACAGATATACTTATTAAGGAATCGCTGTTTATGGTGTCTTAGAGTCACTACATATAATGTTGCATTTTTTAATAAAATTACAAATGCTTGACAATGTTTGTCTTCTACATCTTTCATTTTTCCTTTACAATAATAATTAAGTCATATGCATTCGTGGGAAGTTTCATACGCATTTCTTTGTTCTGATATGAATATGTCTGTTGTAAACTAATAAGAGCCGAAACTATCCCACGGGCTTTTTCTGTGTAGTAGCTGTCTGTATGTTCATAAGGATAGAACATATATAAGCTCTTTAATAATTCAAATCACAATCATACCGTGATGTCGCCGTCCGTCGTCACCGGAACACATGAGCGAGTCTTTCTCTTTTATTTGATGTTATCGTCCAAACACGCACGATGTTCCGCCAAACGTCAAAGTTTTCCGTCTATTGACAATTGGCATTGTTGTTTTTGGAACCAATAATAATACATCTTGATAAGACGTAGGTACATCATTTTTGCGCTGCAATAGTTATTTATCTTTTCAATAATCAATACCAAGGTTTATTTAAGACTATATAAATAGATCCATTGTCAAAAAAACGTTCAGATGTTAATTGGTGAATAGTTTTATTGAAACGATATTATATAAAGCTTTTAATTTTAGTGGATTTTTGAAAATAAAAGTTTTTGTGACATTTCAAATAAATATTTTAATGCCAACATAACCGTTGAACATAGACAGAACCCGAATAATAATTTAATTTTATTAAAAAAAGTCACTTCATAATTCTTACTGCTACTTGTTTATTGACTACATCAATTAAATTAAACCAAATTGTCTTTAAATTTAAAAACTATTAAGGCTACATAAATTTCTAATTCCAAAATAGACGTTCGGTGATTGCAATAGACATTGCAAGTACTGATTTAACTATAGTATTTCCGCTATAGTTTTAATACGGTTGTAAAGTCCCGCTATTGTTACTACGAGTACCGTTTGTAATATGCGATCACAATTGGAAGTAATCAATTTTATTATTACTCATGGTGCTATCTTTTAAACTTGTCTCTGACAAACAATAAACAAACGACAGTTGGCTTCTAACAGATAAAACCTACGAAAATAAATATCTTCACATGTTTCTTATGAAAATTAAATAGAAATTAAATGACGTTTAGATACGTTCAAAAAAATAATTACTTTTATTCAGAAATTCCGATGAACTAAGTACAGAGCTTGCCGCGAAATATTTAGTTTCTGAGTCAGAATAAGTAATCTTCTCGAGTGTAGTTGTAAAGAAGAAAAAATAATTTCCCATCAAATTAAAGTAAACAATTATTCGGTTATTTACAATTTGAGTGACTTCTTTTCTTTAATGAATGTACGGTTTGTCCCACACAATTGGCAATGTGGAATTATTTCTCAAGAGAGAAACTGACATGCAGGCTTTGTTTGTAGCCTACTTTCCGTACAAACGGCGTGCCAGCGAACTAAACGATACGTGAAAGTGAATGGCGCAAGTTCATACGGACGGTCCTCTCTTTACGGCTCATTTGATCCGTACACGCAAACCCGAACTTTTATTGGGATTGTTTATGATGTAACAATTTAATTTACTCAATAAACGACCGACAATAGTACAACAGTTGCACAGGTGTGAATATATAAACCAATTTTACTTGAGTGAGGTTTTTATCAATAATTAAACTGGTTGTTATAAATTTAACAATAGTGTGTCAGGTGTCTGTATTATTGTTTTATAGTAGTCTATAAATATTTGATATATTCAGTTATTATTTTTAAATTTATTGTATTTATAATTATAATTTCTTACTACATGAAGTCGAAGTGAAAGTTTTTTTGACTGCGTGTCTGTGTAATACCGGTGAGTAAAAACTACGGTTACACTTTATTAAGATTTATGTTATTAATATAAAGTTTTTTAATATTCAGGCATTACTTGTGAATTCTGAACCACGTTATAGCTATTAAATAAATATAAGAGTTAAATCAGTATAAAAAATATTTTGTAAGGTAAAAGTTATCAGTTGTTTTCGTAACAATAGAATTGTGTTTATCAAAGCTTCTGAAGATGTCAAGGTTGACGTCTGGAGACAATTTAAATATGGATGTTTCTTGTCATGTGACTTGACCTTAGTTTTGCGTAATTCTCGATACTTGTGCACAATGTTTGTGGCATCAATTGACGAAACCTTGGGAAAAATCTTTGAATGCCAATAATAACATTAAAATATTATGGATTATTAACTTGCTATTAATAATACTAATTGTTCCTGGTTGTATATTTTGAAGAATATTGTAGTGTATCACCTCTTTATTAATTTAGTTACTGGCCGGTAAGCCAGTGAGATTCTTAAGAATAATATGTCAAAATTATAGCATTAATAAAATAATGGAGATATAGACAACAATGTATTTAATTTCTTTATATGTATATTTAATAAATATAATTCAAAAATACTTTAAAAAGGCAAATATTATTGAGAGTGGCTATTGGATCCGAAAAAGGATGTACCTGTGTACAGATGTTAATAAATAAGAATAAAGAATATGTACATTAACTCAAGTGTTTATTTTAATGACAGAGATTTTTCTATCAGCGGCATTCCTTGACATACACTTTTTATTTTGTTATGCTTTCATTTGTATTTTTCAAACCAAATCGCATCTGCTTTGTACGAAAACAAATACTTACTTTGTCCTTAAGCATGTGAAGAGTTACCTATGAAATAAAATAATGTACTATTGTTGATGATAAATAGCGGAAACGTTGGCAAGACCGCAATGTAATAAATTGTTTAATTTAAATGTTTGCTTCCGAAAATTTTAGACACCATTACTGTTTTATTGTTTTATATTTTTTATGTATTAGGAGATCACCCATCAATGAATTCGTTATAAATTACCTAATATGTATAATCTAGATATAAATTGTGACCAATTCTCAATACGCTGTTACCTGACCTCGAGCAATAGCCTTCGCCTTTGTAGCTTACTTAAAATAACGGCTTGTATGAAAGACATTCACTGTAATCAACTACGTTTATTATGAATTAAATGGTTATATTTAAGAACAAGTTTCTTTGACTAATTCTATTCAAAATAAACAGTGCGTTATCACAACAAATTATTTCCTATTTTATTTCATATCTAACTTTGTACATATTCGTATTTATATAGGATTTCCTTCTCTTATTTACATTATGGCTTATTAACTTGTTTGACATCCAAATTTAAATACTAACAGATAAATAAAACTACTTTTTCATTCCTCATACTTCGAAAGTAGTGTTGTTTTGATCTGATTATAGGGTGGAAAAACTCATACAAATTACTTTACACCCAAGGGCCGGAATAAATTTCAAAAACACAACTACATTATAATATGTTAAAAATTAAAAATTATATGTTAAAAATAAAAATAATGCTGAGGCCATGCGAGTTTCTAAACAGCCAGTGTGAACTTAGTAAATATTGTATCTATTCTCTTTGGCGCGAACTTCTTTGGCAGAATGAGCCCCAACAAATACGCGGTGAATTCCATATTCAAAATTTCAAAGTAAAGTCAACATAAATTAGCGGGATACTAATCTGTTAATGTATCTGTGACGGAATTGAAAAAATTAAGTAACTAATAATCTTTTATTTTCCTCGTTTATTCGAAATGAAAATTAGAGTGTTTACCTCGTGTAAAAGAATCAATTCCAACTCGGACCATAGTCGTCTTCGCTGCGCTCGGGCGTCTAACTACTTGGTGACCAATGTTCTATTTTCAAATATTACAGATATGTCCTTAATATATCATTCAGTTCTAAACGTTATGTTTTATTTATTGTATTTTACGTAAATCTAGTTAGCTAAAATTCATTTTTATATAGTAAAGTAACGAGGTGTTTTGTTTCTTTCAGAGAAAATGTATATAGAAACCCTACCACTCGTAGTTTGGACGCTCTTAGTAACAACGACAAATGTAAGTATATGTTCAATAAGTATAGCATATTTACGATTAATTGTTGTTCCTATAGTGTGATTCCTTTATCATACCTAGCTTATAATGTTTTAAATTCCTCCGATCTCTTTTATCTATCCGCATTGTTCATTGAGGGACCATTAACCTTTGTCATTGAATGGATCAACTCTAGCGTAAAATATTTACTCATCAATGAGTTATACAAATATCAATATATATTATTTTTGAGGGTAACTCTTTAAATGTCTGTGTTTGTCAATATACATTTTAATTACAGGTAGCAACGCAAAGCCAATATGGAATAGGCTTAGGAATAAAACGAGAAGTATTTTTCTTAAATTTAGAAGACGGATACTTCGGCTGCCAAGTTAACGAATCGACACAAATATTACAGTTATACGAATTATCAAAATTATGTGACGGTGTGCCCGATTGTTATAAAGCATCCGACGAACTTAGGACAGAACTGAAATGCACAGGTAGGCTCGCTTGAAAGGGAAGACGGAGTAAGTTATAGCTGAATTTGTTTTATATGTTTTAATATTCCTGTTTATTTTAAGATGACTGTACCAAAGATGACGGAGCGCGTTGTGAAAATGGCGCTTGTCTAAACGGTGTGTGTTACTGTAATGATGGTTTCGGAGGATGTAATTGCCAAGAGGAAGGTAAGAAACTAAATGTTACTTTACAATAGATTAAGTTATTGTTTAGGAATTTCTTAATTGTTTTTACTCTTTTTTTAGACGTCAATGAATGTAAAGACCGGCCTTGTGACGTCTTTGCCCATTGCACAAACACCGTAGGAAGCTTTCAATGTTCATGTTTTCCGGGTTATGTTGGCGACGGTTTCACATGCAAAGGTAAAATATTATAATATGTAGGCTTCGTTATGTTATTACTTTGACAATGACAATTGGACTCAACAATTTTATTCAGAAAAAATTTGAGTCTCAACTCAAATTTTTACTAGTATTTCCCACATGCGTCATTCCCCAATATAGGAGCGTAATCAAAAAATATATCAATAAAGTGTCTTCTTAAACCTATAAAAAATTTATTGGGGATACTAAAAAGATAAGATATTAACAATCATTTTTGTATATTTTATGTACTTATATAAGATTGTTTTTTTCAGATGTAAATGAGTGTGAAGATCCAGCAATATCAGCGAGATGTGTTAAAAACGCGGAATGCTGTAATTTACCAGCTCATTTCATTTGCAAGTGCAACCGTGGCTTTGAAGGAGACGGAGAAGAGGAATGTCGAGGTTTGTATTACTTGTTAGAATAGGATATTTTCGTTAGATACATAGTAGCCTACTTTAAGTTCAAACTTTAACACATATAATTTATATTTTAGATATCGATGAATGCAAACGTCCTGGTGCTTGTGGTGTAAACGCAATTTGTCAAAACTATCCAGGGAACTACACCTGTGCATGCAAAGCTGGGTATACAGGAAATCCCTTTGACGGAGTAAGTAGTTAAATTATGGTGTTTTGAAGTCAGACCGTTGTTGGCATATTATGGAATATCTCCAAGCGGTGTTGGCAGAAGTTCATTTGTGTTAATATTAAAAAAAAAAACGTTTAAAATTTATTATTTTTACTTCTTAAGTGCGTTGACGTGGACGAGTGCAGTCTTGACAAAGCGTGCGGCAAGGGTGCTGAGTGTCGTAATCTGGAGGGTGGCTATGAGTGCAGTTGTCCACATGGCCTAGAGGGTGATCCACGCGTTGACTGTCTCGATAACAACTTATGCAGAAGCGACTCATGCGGGCGCGATGCACTCTGCGAAAATCTCCCTGGTGCCCATCGCTGCGTTTGTCCCCCAGGTTATGAAGGCAATCCTGACGTCCAGTGTATTGGTAAGATAAAATTTGCATTATTGATTGGTGTGTTATGAACACTTATGGTACTAACGCTTCTGTATATTCTTTAATCTTTGGCTTCATGAGTCGAGTATTGCCGCAGAGGAGTTGCGGTAACCTCACGCTTTACTAATCTAATCAATCATAACATTAATATTTACTAAAAATATGAGTTGCTACATTTCAGCTAAGACCAAGTACTTTCTTGTACTTTCTTAAATGACTTTGGAGTGTCGATGAATATTATTGGATCTAAAAGAGACCGCTTGTCATGTATTTCATTCTTGTATTGGAACTTCCGATTCTCTAGCTCTAAACGTCTATCACCGTATTTCCGTGTACCTGCTTCTTCTTCTTCAATAAAAGTTTGGAGTATCTGCGTGGTATGTTTTATGATTTTCACAGAGGGTATTCATAATAAATTTGTAAGTTATTTTTACACCAGACGTGGATGAGTGTAAGAGTGGCAAGTCTGTCTGCGGCGCCAATGCAAAGTGCACAAATACCGTTGGCAGCTTTGTATGCACATGTGGGCCTGAGTATACGGGCGACCCTAACTCACCTGAGGGATGTCATGACATTAATGAATGTGAAATCTTGGAGCATCCTTGTGGTCTAAGAGCCTTATGTGAAAACACTGACCCCGGATACAATTGTGTGTGTCCACAAGGATATGCAGCTAAGCCAGACCCACAAATTGCTTGTGAACAGGTATAATATATATAATTCATTAAGTTCCACGTCTTGTAGAACTTTAAAATTAACCGGTTCTTAAATTTTCAGGTTGATGTAAAAACATTATGCAAGTCTAATTTCGATTGTACTAACAACGCTGAATGTAAAGAACACCAATGCTACTGTAAAGTTGGTTTTGAAGCTAAAGGTTCCTATTGCGTTGACATTGATGAGTGTCAAAATAAAACAGTATGTGGAAATAACGCAGTATGTTTAAACTCACAAGGAAGTTATAAGTGTGAATGCGGCGTCGGATATATTGGATCTCCACCCAATATAATTTGTAGAGCACCTTGTGATGATGTTCAATGTGGCGAACATTCGTACTGCAAGCCAGATGGATCAAATACTTATTGCGTTTGCGAAGACGGTTGGACATTTGATCCAAGGGACATATCCGCAGGCTGTGTTGACATTAATGAGTGCGATTTGTCAATGGGAATTACTGGACGTTGTGGTCAAAACGCACACTGCTCTAATACTTTAGGAAGTTTTAGTTGTAGTTGTCCAGAAGGTTACACTGGGGATGCTTATATTGAATGTTCCGATTTGAATGAATGCTTAAATGAAAATTCGTGTGGTACAGGAGCAAATTGTATTAATATTGAAGGATCCTTTATTTGCGAATGTCCCGAAGGAACTATACCAGATCCTGAACCCAACATCAGATGTTCGGAAATTCTTCTATGTAAAATGGACAAAGATTGTCCCGGAAATGCCATATGCGATTCAAATAAGAAGTGTGTCTGTCCGGAACCTAATATTGGCAACGAGTGCCGTCGTAAGTTGAAAATAATTATATATCTTTGTTGTATGACCAAATCTTTTAAGTTTATTTCGTTCTAATATAATATTTTTTTTATAGATCCATGCGAGTCTTTACAATGTGGAAGCAATTCAGAATGTCTTCTGACTGATCAAACTGCTCAGTGTACATGCCGCAGTGGATTTACCGGTAATCCATTATCGGTCATTGGATGTCAAGATATTAACGAGTGTACTTTTAATTCATGTTCAACTGGTGCTGTATGTAAGAACTTGCCTGGTAGTTTTCAATGTGAATGCCCAGGCAACTTTAGTGGCGATCCTTATATAAATGGATGTGTTATCAGTAAAACACCTAGTGGTTGCAGTAATATTAATCCATGTCCGCTCGGTGAGCAGTGTGTACTACACGAGGGAGAGAATGTTTGTATATGTTCACAAGGTTTTTCTCGAAATGAGGAAACTGGCCAATGTGAAGATATAAATGAATGTATACTAAATGGACGGACTCCATGCGGATTAAATGCATTATGTAAAAACTTACCTGGAAGCTATGAATGTAAATGTCCACCAGAATATAGTGGTAATCCATACAAACTATGTGAAATATGTGATGACATTAATTGCCAGTGTTTACCACCATACAAAGTTGTAGACGGCACTTGTGTCTTATCCGGCTGTTCAAATGGCAAAAAATGTGGTCCAGGAGCAGAATGTATTATAATTTCTGATGGAGTTAGCTACTGCGCATGTCCTGCTGGATACTCCCAAAGCCCAGACGGCGCTTGTGAAGATATCAATGAGTGCAATTTTGACCATCCGGTTTGTGGCTTTGGAGCTGAGTGTGTGAATACAATTGGATCTTTTAGCTGCAAGTGTCCTCCGGGATATGGTAAAGATGATGTGTCAGGTCATTGCAGCTTGAACCAAAAGAAGTGTATAAGCGATTCAGACTGCTTCCCTAATGAAAAGTGTGTGCAACCAGGAAATTGTGTATGTCCACCCCCATTTTATTTAGACGTAACCGATGGGCAGAAATGTAAGAGTCCGTGCGAACGATTTGTTTGTGGAATAAATGCTAAATGCACACCAAGTGATCCTCCCAAATGTATGTGCATGCCTGGTTTTGAGGGAGATCCATATACTGGTTGTACTAATAGAAATGAGTGTCACAGTGCACCGTGCGCTTATGGTGCTATATGTCATGATGAAAGAGGTGGATATAAGTGTACGTGTCCACAAAATATGATAGGAGATCCATACAAAGGGGGATGTAAGTTCATTATTAGCAGATTTAATTACAATTATTTAATAATTTAACTCTCTCTTAAAAATATGTTGTTTACAGGTACAACAGAAGCTGGCTCGCTACCTAGACAATTATGTAGTAAAAGTAACCAATGTCCCAATAACCTCGCTTGTTTGAATCGTACTTGTTTATCACCTTGTACAACTGTTGCTTGTGGACCCAACGCTTTCTGTGAAGTCGACAATCATGCTGCTTGGTGTCGCTGTAATCCAGGTTATACCAAACCAGAAGGAGGAAAATGTATTTCCGGTAAGTAAGATATCTACTTATTTATTAAATATTGTTTTATTCTTATTAAATTTATGAAGCATAATTTATTAGCATTTAATCAGTATTACAAATTACAAATCACGAATATGATTGAATAGGTTATAAACTAAGACGGTGATAATTATTAAAAGTTTAATTCGTTATATTAGCATATTTTTCAATTATGAGAAATCTTTTTCTTCATGTAATTCCGTCGTATAAAAGCTGTATTAAATATCTATGAATTTTAGGTTGTGATAATTACGCTTGTGCTTCGGGCGCGCAATGTATAATATCAAAAAGTGGGCCGACTTGTGTTTGCCCAGAAGGTTTGGTTGGAAATCCATTTCCCGGGGGAGTCTGTAAGACAGACACTTGTGGACCAGGTTTATCTTGTGATGAGCCCTTAACTTGCGTATCAGGACGATGTCGGCAACGATGTGAGAATGTTGTTTGTGGAGTGGGCGCCTCCTGTGATGAAGAGAGTGGTCGCTGTGTTTGCAATACATTCTTTGTTGGAAATCCTGATCTTCTTTGCATGCCTCGTAAGTGTTGTATTTCTGTGAACATATTTTCTTATTGAAATTATTATATTAATTTGATTATTTATTTCAGCTGTTATACCTCCAAATTGTGAGCCGGGTTGTGGGCAGAATGCGCATTGCATGTATGGACAAATAAACACTTGTAAATGTGACAAAGGTTACACGGGAAATCCCTATTTACGGTGTGCAACTCGAAAACAAATAACTTGTGCTACTACTAAATGCGGTACAAATGCAATTTGCCAGCAAACAAGATCGCATGTTGAATGCTTGTGTCCCCCTGGATATATAGGAAATCCGAACTTGCAATGTATAGATATTGATGAATGTGGTTCAAGACCATGCGGTGAAAATGCTATTTGTATTAACACCCCAGGAAGCTACAGTTGTGTATGCAGAAGCAAATATGTTGGTAATCCATATGAATTGTGTACGCAAATAACTCTATCCAAATGTGTAGATGGCAGTGGTTGTGCATGTTCGAGCAATGTCACATGCCCTGATGGATATGTTTGTGAAGCATCTAAATGTGTAGACAAATGTCGATCAATGACATGTGGCCCGAAGTCAATCTGTGAAGGAGGTAAATGTATGTGTTTACCTGACTACATAGGTAATCCCAACGACCTAATGCAAGGTTGCACCTTTAACAAAAAGTGCGTTATAGATGGAGACTGTCAAGATTCAGAAATATGTTTCCAAATTGGTAAAAGTATCCGAAAATGTGTAGACGCTTGTAGTAAAATACAATGTGGACCTAATTCTTTATGCTTAACCACTAACCACCAAGCACATTGTATTTGTGTAGAGGGTTACGTAGGCAAACCAAGTGATATTAAAACCGGATGTCATTTGCAACAAAAGGAACCCAATGAAGTAGAATGCAATGTAAACAGTGATTGTGCACCACCACAGATTTGCGATACAGTAGATGGTACGACAAAAAGATGTTTAGATTTATGTTCAACTGTTGCTTGTAGTGCCAATGAAATATGCAACGTTATTGATGACACTGCACGCTGTGAGTGTAAAGAAGGTTTTATTTGGAATCCTGTTAGTTCAAATTGTGAACAACCAACAACACCAAACTGTGGTAAAGATGACGACTGTGAAGATAATAGGTCATGTCAACGAGATGTTTTAGGCGTAAAAAAATGTATTGATAACTGCCTGTTATTTACCTGTCCACAAAACTCAAAGTGTATATCTAAAAATCATAAGAGTCAATGTGAATGTTTATCAGGATTTGTAGGTAATCCAAATGATCGCGACGGTTGTCTACCTATAAATAAAAACGAATGTACACAAGATGTTGAATGTAAAGAAGATGAAATCTGCAAAAATATTGGTAACATATATAAGTGCATACCCGCCTGTCAGGATGTCCACTGTGGACCAAACGCTGTATGTATTACAAATAATCATGACGCCAAATGTCAATGCCCATCAGGTCCTTACACGGGTAATCCCGACGATCTAGATAAAGGATGTCAATCAGTACCCTGCATTTATAATATCGACTGCCTCTCCCACGAGCTTTGCAATCGGATGACCCACAAATGCATTAATGTGTGTGATGAAAATAGTTGCGGTGAAAATTCAGTATGCATAGCAGATGAACATAAGTTTGAATGCCAATGCTTAAGTGGTTATATACCAGACCCTATACCGGAAATAGCTTGTAAGAAGCTAGATTTATGTAATCCAAATCCTTGTCATCCTACTGCTTTATGTGAACCTTTCCAATTAACTTACAACTGCAAATGTCCTACTGGATATATTGGAGATCCTTTAAAAGAAGGTTGTAGGAAGCAAGGCGAGTGTCCAAACGGTGATACTGATTGCTTAGCCGACTCTGCTTGTATTAATGGCCAGTGTGTAAACCCATGCGAAGGCGCCTGTGGTCTCAATTCTATATGTAAAGTTGTTGATAGAAAAGCAGTGTGCTCATGTCCACAGGGCTATGAAAATGCTCAGAATGATAAATACTGTAAGAAAAAAGTTGTATCATGCATAAACAATTATGACTGTAATGGGGATGTTTGCCACAACGGCCAGTGTTTCACCCCTTGTAAAAATATAAGTCATTGTGACCCTGGTGAGGTATGTATAAAAAATCACTGCATGAATCAATGCACGAACCATGCGGAATGTAGTCTTGGACAAGCATGTGTAGAAGGCAAATGCTTAATAGGCTGTAGAGTAAACGATGATTGTCCTAATGAAGAATCTTGTACGAATAATAAATGTGTGAACCCTTGCCAGGCCAGTAAAGTGTGTGGCCCTAACGCAATATGTTCACGAATAAATCACAGTACAATGTGCCATTGTCCTGTAGGATTTGAAGGCTCTCCAACACCACAACAAGGGTGTGTTCGTAAACCAGCACCCTGTGTTAAAACCTCGCAATGTCCTCCAGATCATATGTGCATTGGATTTTTCTGCCAAGTACCCTGTCTAAAACATTCAGATTGTGCCATGGGTGAAATGTGTTATGATAATAAATGCCATAAAATTTGTCATACCAGTAATAATTGCTTACACGGTGAACACTGTAGCGCAGGAGTATGTATTTCTGGTTGTAAAATTAACTCGGACTGCCTCAATAATCAACTTTGCATATCTAGTGAATGTAAATGTGAAGAGGGTTTTGAATTGATCAACGGCGAATGTAATAACGTAAATGAATGCCTAAATAATCCTTGTCACCCATCTGCTCAGTGTATAGATTTAATAGGAACATATAAATGTGTTTGTCCAACTGAAGCTATTGGGGACCCCCACACTACAGGATGTTTATTGCCGAATCAATGTAGGCAAAGTAATCAGTGCGAAGATTCTTTAGCATGTGTTAGAGGAAAATGTTCAAATCCTTGTCAGAACAATGTGTGTGGTTTAAATGCAGTTTGTACTGTTAACAAACACAGAATGGCATGTACCTGTGAAAGCGGACATTTGGGAAATCCGTTTGACAAGAAAATTGGATGCGTTAAAGTTGAATGTGTTGTTGATTCTGACTGCTCTGATAATAAATTCTGTAGTCCAAAGACAAATAAATGTTCTGGTAAGTAATATATGTAAATGGGATAAATAAGATTTTCATAACTGGTAGAAAGTAAAAAAAGAAAACAATAAAAGTTCGATTATCCGAAAAAGATAGCTTAATTTTAATTATAAGTATAATTGACTAAAATAATAATGTTTTTTCAGATAAATGTGAAAATGGAATATGCGAAGGCGGAAATTGTAAAATTATAAATCATAAAGCCGTTTGTATGTGTTCGCCTGGATTTGAATTAATTAAAAGCACTTGCCAAGACATAGACGAGTGTTTGCAGAACCCATGTCCTTCTAATGCTGTTTGTGAAAATAACGGAGGTTCGTTCACGTGTAATTGTGTTAATGGAACTGTATTTGAAACGGAAACTGGAAGTTGTAAAAGTCCAGGACAGTGTGTAACTGATGGTGACTGTCCAGAAGAAACAAAATGTAATGATAATTATTGTATTAATCCCTGCGATTATATTAAATGTGGTAAGGGTGCTAAATGTACGGTGACAAAACACGAGCCTATTTGTCAATGCGAGCCAGACAGCGAAGGCGATGCTTATACAAGCTGTACCAAATTGCAATGTACTAAAGACTCAGATTGTCCGGACAAAGAAGCATGTAGCAATAACAAATGCATAAACTCTTGTAGTTTGCCACGGGCTTGTGGAAAAAATGCTAACTGTATATCAAGAAGTCATATTGGACAATGTTCTTGTGACCCAGGTTTCACAGGTGATCCTGTGCTTGGTTGTGCGCCTATACAGTTTTGTCAATTTGATAACAAAAGATGTCCCGGAGGCACAAAATGTGTCGACAACGTATGCCTAGGTAAGGGAATAACAATTTTAAACAAAAGTATAATTTCCTATTTACATTATAAATTGAAAAATTAATTAATGTTTAAAATTATTTCAGGATTATGCACATCCTCACGAGATTGTTTTGATCAGCAACTTTGTATAGACGGCACGTGTCGACAAACGTGTTATAAAAATGATACGTGTCCATTATCATTTTATTGTGATAAAAACAAAATGTGTACCAAAAGCATTAAATGTATTAATGACGAAGATTGTGAAACTGATGAAATATGCTCTGAAACTAAAAATGGCATCTCTGAATGTACTAAGTCGTGTCATAATCAGCCATGCGGGAGGAATGCATTTTGCGTTGGTTCAGCTCACAAACCGATATGCTCATGTAAAGAAGGATTTTTCGGCGACCCGTTGAAAGGATGTGATAAAAAAGAATGTGATGAAGATACAGATTGTTCAGAAGATAAGACGTGTCATAACAATATGTGTAAAATTGCGTGTCTTTATAAGAATGAATGTGGAGATAATACTATTTGTTCTTCGGAAAATCATAAACACGTTTGCTATTGTCAGCCCGGTTATACTGGAAATCCAATATCGGGATGCGTTGAAATTAATTGGTGTGAAGTAAAACCTTGTGCCATAGGTGCCGAATGTGTCAGTACAAAAAATGAAGCAAAATGCACGTGCCCAAGCGGTACTGTTGGAAACCCTTATAATGAGGGATGTCATATCTCTCCTGAATGCCGATTCAACAGAGACTGTCCAAGCGAAGCACGTTGTACTATTATTGACGGTGTGAGAAAATGCACAGGTAAAAAAATTATATTATTGATTAAAGCTTCAAAATGTATAAGCTTAAATAAGCTTAAATTAAAATAAAATATTGAAACAATAGTTAATTATGATATTTTTTATAGATGCTTGTGAGAATGTAAAATGTGGACAAAATGCTGATTGTGTAGCCACAAGACACTCTGGGCAATGTAAATGTAAGATTGGATACGAAGGAAATGCGGCTAATGGAAAAGGATGTCATCTTCGTGAAGTACCTTGTAAAAGTAATAAGGAATGTTCCGATGGTCAATATTGCCGCAAAAGTATTTGCCAAGGTGCTCATTTAATAAGTTCACGCCTAATAACAGCGTGACTCGTAATGTTTCTGTATTATAAAGTATTGAAACAACTCCATTAACTGTATGTTTTAGGATTATGTGCAATTGATGAAGAATGCGATTCAAATGAAAAATGCTTCAATGGGCAGTGCGTTTATCCATGTGAACTAGATAAGACATGTGGGTTAAATGCAGTATGTCATACAGAAAACCACGTTGTGCAATGCAGTTGCCCCTTCGGTTTTACTGGGAACCAAGATGTAGAATGTGTCAGAAGTGAGTGAAAATGTTATTTATTTTACTTATTTATTTAATTACAAAAAGAAACCATGTAATATGGTTTTACATTTAAAGGTGTTAACATAAACTCATTCAAGTTTTTCCGAACACCAGTGTCGTCAATTTTACATTTTACACTTATATAACTAATGCATAACACTATGAACTACATAATAATTTTAGTGAAACACGATATTACATTTTTTGTTTTTTATAGTGCCGAGATTATGTGGAGGTGCTGGAGAATGTGAAGATGGCTTTGTCTGTAAAGAATCAACCTGCTTGCCACGATGTAATAAAGAAGAGGAATGTGCTTTGAATGAACGATGTTCAGAAGGAACTTGTTTACGTAAGTCTAAACTGAATTTTATAATGGGACAGTACTTACCTTTTTATTGAAATATGTAATACTATTTTAAATGAAACTAATGTTTTTCGTATTAGCCCGTGATCACGGTTGCTACAGAGTGACCGAATTGTCGGAAGTATGTAGGTTTTAAAAGTAAAAAAACGCACATTAATCCGAAAAATATTAGTTTTATTTAAATGAATACTCGCGATAGTCATAGATCTCATTATGTAACACCATTTCTCAATAAATGTTTATTTTCAGTAACGTGTCGTTTAGATAACGACTGTTTTTTGGGACACATTTGTTTATCCAATAGTTGTCGATATGGATGCAGACACGATGACGATTGTAGGGAAGATGAGATTTGTAGAAACAATTATTGCAAAAACCCCTGTGCCAGTGATGTAAGTCCTTGTGGTCCGAACGCAGTTTGTTCCGTTGTGAATAGAAAAGCTACATGTTCATGTTTAGATGGGTTAATAGCAAATCCTACACCCAATATTGGTTGCGTGAGAACTCCGGCTTTGTCTTGTCGAGTACAAGCTGACTGCGCCACAGGCTGGAGATGTGAAGAAAATCGTTGTCGACCGAGTTGTAATTCAGAGAGTTTTGAATGCTTAGAAGGCGAACGATGCAATGCAGGTGTATGTCGTTATGCTTGCACTTCGGACGAAAATTGCTCTGACGATGAAGTCTGTGACGGTCGCTTTTGTGTTACGGGCTGTAGATCAGATTCTGACTGCCTAAGTAACTTTGCTTGTCTGTCCGGGCAATGCACAGACCCATGTAATAAACCAGGAACTTGTGGAGCAAACGCACTTTGTACAGTTGTAGAACATCGTCCAATATGTACTTGTCCACAAAATTTAATTGGGGATCCAAAATATGTTTGTAAGAGAATAGCAACTAACTGTGAAAATGATAGTAACTGTCCTGATGGATTTAGTTGTTATGGTGACACCTGCTATCCATCTTGTCGAGGGTAAATATTTTATTACTTTAAGATTGACTTATGAGATAATAATTCATTTTATTTTTTAATCCATATGAGACTATAGGTATCAGATTTGTAAAAGGTTTAAATTGTTTTCTTTTTCAGAGATGTCGTTTGTTTGTCTAATGAAAAATGTATAAGAGGAATATGCAGGCTTGTTTGTAATAATGACGAGGCTTGCAGTGAAGGACAAATTTGCGAAAATAGGATTTGTAGGCAAGGATGTCGAGATGACAATGCTTGCCAGAGTAATGAGGCTTGTATAAAAGGAAAATGTAAAGGTGAGACAACTTGACCTTACTCAAATTGTTAGAGAAAAAAATCATTTATATTATTTGCTTAAATTAGATTTTTAACATGCTTCATTGAATACATGTTTTTACTTAATTCAATTAGATATTATATATGAGAATATATTTCAGATCCCTGCAGTGACAATGCAGTTTGTGGAATATGTGCCGATTGCAATGTCTTGAACCATCGAATTCAATGTAGTTGTTCTAGTAATTACACCGGTAATCCTCTTGTAGAGTGTAAGAAGAAACCTTTACGATGTGATGGTTTTTGCCCCTGTGACGAAAGCGGCTATTGTATCAATCTGTGTGAAAATAGTTCAAATTGCTCATGTGGTGAAAAATGCGTTAACGGAGGTTGTAGATCTTTATGTTCCCAGAAAACAAGATGTCCCGAGAGACATGTATGTTCACAGGGGGCTTGTGTACCCGGATGTAACTATAATAATGATTGTGGCGAAGATATGGTTTGCTCTGCAAAGCAATGTGTGACAGTTTGTCGAGATAATTCTTGTGGAAAAAATGCGTTGTGCTTAGCAAACAAGCACCGTGCTTTTTGTAGTTGCCCCAGCGGTTACTCTGGTGACCCAGAAAAGGAATGTAAAGCTTATGAATGTATTAAAAATGAAGATTGTGGTTTAGACGAAGAGTGTACGTCTGCCAAGACATGCAGAAATGTGTGTCTCAATGCTTGTGGTGCTAATGCGATTTGCCGCTCAATTAATCGAACCCCACAATGTTCCTGTCCACCAACGTATCTGGGTAATCCAAAAGTTGAGTGTTCAAAACCAGCGTCAGGCAGTTGCTTAAAGAACCCATGTGGTATCAACGCACGATGTCGAGATTTGGAGGATGGCAGTTATGAGTGCACATGTCCACCAGGATGTGTCGGAATTCCACAAAGGCAATGTTTCTGTGGAACTATGGCCCCTTGTGCGTTTAAAGCTTGCGGTGTCAATGCACAGTGTCGTATAGGACAAAGAGGAGAAGCACTATGTTATTGTCCTCGTAACTATCCAAATGGTGATCCCAATATAGAATGTAAGTTTAATATTTAGTAATCAAAATTGTATGTTATTTATAAATATTAATATATAACTCTTGGTAATGTTAAACATTTAGATTTGATTGAAAATAAAGCGATAATTCACTACAAAGTTCAATTTAATGTTTTTCAGGTGCCCAGGAACGAAGTGTTGTAGATTGTAGAACTACAGGTTGTGGTATTAATGGAGAGTGTTTAAGAGAAGGTGCCGAATTTGTTTGTCGTTGTATACCTGGTACAGAGGGACAAGCTGATATCGAGTGTCATACCAGTGAGTAAATTAATTATTCATTATTCCTATGTACAATTTTGACATTTTGACACTTGTACAAATGCACGTTAATCGACGGGTGTATAAAAATGTATTTTTTTTAATTTTCTTTTAAAATAAACTATATTTTTTTATTTTACTTAGAAGATTCTGACATAAATATTTACTGTAAATATTTAATTCTAAATAGTTAATTTTTTCAAATATTTCTTAATAAAATATTGAGATTTAGATAATTACATTTCAAAATCTTGTACAAATATGTATTCTATAATTTAAAAATTTATAGCGTAACTACATATGTGTACAAAATATTCACATTTTAATTGAAATTAGTGGAAGCATTCTCACCGTTTGTGCTTGAATACAGTCAATTCGGCTTCATGTACATATTGCTTGTATTATAATATAACGTTTTATACTTCTGATCATAAACTCTCAATTTCAAAAAGCATGCACTGTCTCGTGAGAAAGTTTCCTCTTCATGGCTGAAGGTACAGCTCTTTCGACTATGCTTCCTTCTTTCACATCTTCCTAGGTATCGAATGTACGAGTGACAAAGATTGTTCAGTAGACAAAGCTTGTTTAAGCTTACGTTGTGTGGACCCCTGCACAATTCGAGGCGCGTGCGGCGAAGATGCCCTGTGTGTTTCAGTAATGCACCGAGCTCAGTGCTCTTGCCCACAATGCTATATTGGCCAACCTCGACTGGCCTGTCGCTTGGACTCAACATGCAAACCTACAGCAGACGCTAACGTTACCTTTACTTGTTCTGAAACAAAAGAATGTCCATCTAAATTAGCTTGTGACTTAACGACAAACCAATGTAGAAATCCATGTTTAAATTATCAAAACTGTCGAAGAAATCAAAAATGTGAAGTACGAAATCATAGGCCTGTTTGTGTTTGTCGTAATGGGTTCGCTCTTAATGACAAGGGGGAATTGACATGCGCTCCAGAATATGCTGAATGCACGAGAGATGAACAATGCCCTTCCAATGCAGCTTGTCGTGATACGAAATGTGTGAATCCTTGTCTAGCAACCAAACAACCTATTTGTCCCAAAGGAAAACAGTGTGATGTAGTAGAACACAAAGCTGTTTGTATTTGTGTTGAAGATTGTAATCCGACAGCTTCTATATGTTTGAGAGATAACGGATGTCCCCAAAATCTGGCGTGCATTAATTATCAATGCAAAGATCCGTGCAAAGAAGCTTGTGGTGATGGCCCTTGTTCTGTTGAAGATCATCACCCAGTATGCAAGTTTTGTCCAAGTGGCTTTACTCATGATGAAAAACATGGATGTATTAAAGGTAATTCTGCGTATTCAGAACCTCAAATATTACAATACTATTAGTTATTATATTAAAGCATCTCGTTAATTGTTTTTCTTCATATTCCAGGAAAACTTGATAGTATACTTTATGACTCATCCAATTCTATTTCTATATTTCTTTTTTCTAGCATGATTACTTTTTTTCAACAGTAGAACTACTTCTAGACAAGGTAGATTCGCATGTTATTTCTTATCTGTGTACATACTAGCTTAAATTATATGAAGCAATTATTTTATGAAAAATAATCTTCACTTAAACATTTTGGTGGTGGCAGCGCTTTGGTGACTTTAACGCTTTTGTCGCTTAAACATAACAAAAACAATGCAAAAAACTGACACGAGACAGAGTTTGCAAAGTTATGATTCATGCCTGTATTCTGGTTACTTTTGTCCACACTATTTACAAACAGTTTATATTATATATGTTGGCCATTTCTCATATGATATGTAATTAAATCAGGTGTAGTTATATATCTATGTAAGAAAGCAGTTCTAAGCTATAAGTAGACACTATCTTTCTGTCCTTTTATGTAAATTAAAAAAAAAATGTAAAAAATATTTATCTAAGTTACGTTTTTTAATTATATCATCATAATTTTGTTATACTGATAGTCACAAAATGCTATGATAAACAATGTAGTAAATAGCACTTGGTGACATTATTGGATGTCACAGCATTGTCATGCGGCGTTCACGAAGAGTGCGCGGCGTCGCTAGCATGCGTGAATGGGCGCTGCGTCGATCCATGCTCTGGCGGAGGACCTTGCGCCCCTGGCCATCATTGCTCAGTTCTTGACCACCAACCCGTCTGCTCCAAGGGTATAACAAAACTTTAATTAGCTGTAAAAATATATAGCCCATAAAGCACTAATTATAAGTTTTATTATATTTAACTTCTTTTTAGTTTGTCAATGTCAGACAACTGCTGACTGCGCCCGATATCCTAACACCAATTGCGACGGCTGCGTTTGCGTACACGGTGAGAATAGTATATTATAAAATTAAAATGTTGTAATAATTAATTATTATAGTTAAAAAGCTTGTTGTTTTGCCATAATAATAAATCAGGCTTTACACAATTTTTAAACTCTCAGATTGAAAAATAATTTATCACACAACATGATGTATACTATATAATGCATACTATGTAATTTCTGAACAAATAAAATTAGCTGTCGTCTCTTAGATACTCGATTTTATTTTTTTTATTTTAACATTTAAGTTATATTATTCTATGTGTATATAGTAATTGACAAATATGTATAGAATGACTAAAAAGTCATATTTAGATTTTAACAGCCTTTGGTTTATTCATCAAAAAGACAACATAAGTCATTATTATGAAATCTTTGAATTATATTTAGTGATGTTCCTAAATGCATAGAAATAATAAGAAAAAAATATAACTTCACTGAAGACTGTAATCTGTAATGGTAAAAATATTTACATTTTTTTTAAAGAATTGTTTTTTTTTACAGGAGATAAACCTTCTACTAATTGTGCACATTGCCGACCCGGAGTATCCTGTGATCCATTTACAGGAGCATGTCTGGAAAGTAAGTATTAATATGATGTTCAATAATATTTGTATAACCTATAGCTATTTAGTTATGCTGTGATTAATATTTAACATTTAATACAGGTTCATTTTAGTTTATCTTACTTGCACATTTCTTTTAAATGTGTTCCAACAGACTACTACTTTAAGACTAGCTAGTCTGTGTCTGTATTTTTATGTTAATAGCAAAAATAACTCCAAATGAACTGGTTGTTGCTATGAACAGTGTACCATTTTGTCCGATAAAACGCCACGAAGTACTGGTTATGTTCATTCGGCAGACCCGAACAAACAATTTGTTGCCTATTTTACATACTTTCAGAGTAGATTTAGACTTACTACGTCTTTGACATCATCTGTTGTAGAAGCACGTTATTACTTCAAAATTATCTCTCAAGAAAAAAATATTTTTGTGTAATTCTTTCATAAAAATGTTAATATAGTGTTGTCTCTCAATGGGTTATAGGTACTGGTTTCTGAGCTTCATTCTTAATATTTTTTCATTTCTTCATTTTCTTCTATTTTTTAGTTTTTCTGTCTGTATAAGCTTATATATGTAAGGTTACAAGTTTAAAAAAAGAAAAATGAAGCTTATTATTTATTTTTTCTGTTACATCAATCTAAATAAGTTATGGAATTAGTGCAAAAATTAACGAGATATTCCTCTCCTATTAACAGATGAACGTCCTATAAATATTCCACTAACCGAAAGTACGACAGAATTTACTGATAAAACTGAAAATAACGACATGACACTTTCAACGACTTTTACTTTTACACTGCCATCTTATGATATTACCAGTGTCGAAAATAATATTTTGACAATAACTTCATCTGATACTTTAGTAAATAATCTTAGTACATCATTCGATAATATAGATGATACCACTGAACATGAAAATATTAACGTAAACGATTTCAACCCAGCAACCACTGAAATTTCTGATTCTGAAAAGGTTATTGGTATACATACAGAAGCAACTGATATTCCTTTCTATAGTGTTAATGAAACAGAAATATTATCAGATTACGATGAACAGATACAAAGTAGTAGCACTATACATGCAGAGAGCACTATCAAACCACAGTATAAAAAAAATGATCCACTGGGATCTAATAAAAATACAAAAACTCCAGAGAATCAGAGAAATTTGCACAAGAACTATACAAATGACCCAAATAATTTGCAAACCGTGTCAGTAAAAACTACACCCCCAATAGAAAAAATTCTAACAGAAACAACTACAACTGTTATTTTAGCTAGTCGGGAAGAGGAGAAAAGTTCAACAGATAAAATTCAGTCCCCAACAACCTTATTTATTGATCATACAGATTCGTCTACTTTTACTGAAAGAGATGATATAACAACAGTAGAAAGTGCTGCTAGCGAAACTGGGAAAGACTCACAAAATACCCTCAATCCTACTGAAAAGGATAATGCTATTACTTTTTCTCGGGACTTGGTTTCTGAAGTCAACACAGAAAATCCTTTATATGAATCTGAAGGAAGATCTGACTATTTGTCAACAACAAATATTACTACAGAGATCTATTTAGAAACTACAGAACCACCTATTACTAATAATGTTGATGGTACAACTTCCTATAGTGACATAAATGGTTTTACATTGATGGATTCAATGAGAACTACAAAGTCATCTGAAAAAACTACAAAAACTACTCAACATTCTGAAATTTATGATACAACAAAAACAGAACTTTCTGAAAATAGTAGTAAGGATTTGATCAATCCAAAAATAGATTTAGAAGGAACAACTATTGATTATATTAGTACTATAAATTCTTATAATTTAATCACAAAAAATATTGTAACGTCCGAGTCAACCATAGATGTTCAAAAAGATTATAACATGACCCATGTTTCAAGAAATATGAATTCTAATACGACAAGCTTAAAAAGTTCAAATAAAGTAAATATAAAGAATAATAAAACTTCCTTAAATACCAATCCACCCCTCGACACCCACATAACTAACAATTCAGAAGAAAGGTATACTGCTATAACTACACCTTCTGATATTAGATATTTAAACAACGCGCAAGAGTTTCCGAAGGAATATGTTACTGAAAAAAGTGTATTCTCTACACCTTCTTCTACTAATACAGATAAAGAGTATACTACAACTGCACCCCAATCTGATTATACTGCCTCTGATTCCGAAGAAGTTTACCACAATACTAATCACGATTCTAAGTTGACTGAAGAAGTAAACACACAGAGCAATGACTACAGTCCTACTGAATCACTAAAACACTATTTAGGTTTTGAAACTAACAAAACGGAGAAAGCCCCTGATTTTACATCTTCCAACATAGATAAAGATATGTCAACTACTGAATTTCCAGATTTTGATAATAAGGAGACTGACAGTGACTTAATATTAATTAATAATAATAATATGACGGATAAAACAACTACAATGCAGGCAACTGAGCCAAATGGAAAAATTGATACGGATATAAATCTTCAAATAACAGAAATAAATTCCGATTTTACCACTTCTACAGAGGCGTCTTCACAACAATATCTTAGTACTAATGAATTAATTGATATTCAATATTCTACAAATATCGAGAAGAGTGACACAACCACCCACAAAAGTGACGATAATTTAGAAGTTACAAAATACCTCATACAAGTCGACAGAAAGATAACAACTGATGCAAGTATTATTTCATCTATGACATCCAACGATATATTTGAAACAAGCACTGATAATATGAATGAAACGACAATTAAAAATTTCCCTATGAATGAAAGTATAAATAATGAACAAATAACAACAGAAAGTTACGATAGTTCTAAAACATCTGATAAACATGAGGGTTCTAATATATTTAATACTAAGATAACCCCACTAACTACCACACCAGAAATAAAACCTCTACTGCAAGACAATATCAATAAAACACCTTTTGATATACAATCTTCTACAATTAATGAAAAAATTGTAACCAGTACACAAAATATTGACGATGCTATAAGTTCTATAGATAAACTTATAACAACATCAACTTCAATTGATAAAATAATATCGGACGAAACGACTTCAAAATCTACTACATTTTTCGATAGTTATGAAACAAGTTCTTACCCAACAGAAAAACAAACAACCACAGTTATTGAATCTCAAATGCAATATTTAACGAAAATAGTTAACAAGGCAACCACCAATATTATGAATTTAGAGCCATCTACATCCGTTAATAACTTTGATACGAATACATTAAAAATAGATATTCAAGCTTCTACAACATCTGTGCCAAAAGTACTAGGACAGGGCACAGAAAACATAAACGATAAAGAATTTATAGACAAAATTGTAAGTGATAATCCCAATAATGAAAACGACTTTCGAGAAACGCCATTTGAAATAGCCACTAGTAAAATATCTACCAACACTTTAGATAATACTTTTGAGAAAAAACCTCACACTGTTGAAGAAAACTTGACCACACCCATCGAAATGAGTACAGAAATCTATGTAGCGACAGAAAATAGTGATCTAACTAAACCTAATATAAAATTCCCAACCTCTAACAAAAATTACAATCCACATGAAGATAAGATAACAAATCAAGAAATACCTATAACAACCCAAATACCACATAAAATATTGACTGAAACATCAAAAACCTTTTTACCTCAGGAAAAAAATACTGAAACGACTGACTCCCAATTTATTACTACCAATAAGCTAGATATGATTACAAATGAATTTGAGGACAGCACCAATACATATACATTCATGGCTGAAACCTCAACAGGCGACGATACTACTTTAACTACCGATACAAATCCTTTACACGAGTCTAGAACAAATAGTATACTTGAGATAAATGATAACAATGTCTTAAATTCGGTTCATACTAAATCACCAATCAAACATACTAATATGGAATATGAAAACGACTTAACCACCTCAGATTTTAAATCTTCTACGTCTGGGGATTTATTTGATATGAATACATACGATATAGAAAAACTTACTTCCGAAACTACAACTGATTCTAAATCTGAAATAATGTATCATTCATCACAAAATTATGATAACACTGTTAAAAATGTTGAATCTACAACATTAAGTAATCGTTTTCATACAGATTCTCTTAGCACAGAACGTGACCTTATTACTACTAAAAGTACATTAACATTTTTGACGCAAAAAGGTGACAATTATTTATCTAATCATGAAAATCCATCTACAACTGTTGAAAGTAATGAGGTTGAGACAAGCACTGATAATATTGAATCAAGTGTTAGTGCAAGTACAATTACAATCAAACAACCAGATTTTCAACATAAAACCGACGGAATAGTTACAAACTCTTACTTTTCTATAGAAGAAAATACTTCAAATACAAAAGTAATTACTGATGGTGCTAATACACGTTTTACAACTTTAAATAATCAATTTATTACAAATATGTTAAATACAGAAAAATATTTAGATTCAACTAAACCAACAACAGTATTGTCCCACGAAAAAGATATTGAATTATCAAATGACACGTTAACTTATACAAGTAGCACTGAAATGGAAACGAACGAACATGGTGACATTACATCGGTATCCAATACTACACCAAAATATCTTCAGGAAAATTATAGCACATTAACAATTCTTGATACTGCAACACCATTCGATACAACTAATGATATATTTGAAACAAATGCGTATTCTGTAAATAAACAATCAACTGACACTAAAATAATTGATGAAAGGACTGAAAGTTATAATGCAATAACTTCTAATGCTATCGATCTAAGTTCAACAACAATAGGAGAAAATTTAGAAACCAATGTGGAAAGCCTTAACACCACAAATTGGTTTTATTCACAAACAAAGACCACTCAGCCGGATTTCGACCTCAATGCACCACAATCAACAATGGTTAGCAATAAAAATGGAACGACTGCACCCACAACTAAAGATTACGTTAATTTAACAACATTAAATAAAAATGTTTTAATGAATAATATGAGCACGACTAAAAATCCAGAACTTTCTATCCCTATAACTACATCTAATGACGAAGCTAAGTATTTAACCTCGGAAACTTCCGAACCCATTACCAGTAGTCCGAATGATATTATATTGGTAACTTTAGACAATAATTATCAGTCTAATATTTATACTACTGACGAAAATGATTTAACCAATGAAATAACTACAAAACGGTATAATATTGAAGATGTTGTCAGCACAACAAAATTTTACGGTGAAAGTAAGTCAGTAAACGAAAATATCAAAATTACAACACAATCTGATGCATCTGTACCTACTTTTAGTACGATGATCGAAGACTCAATTAGCTCTTCGACATCGGCTGCCGAAGTAACGTATTCCACCTCAAAAAGTAACAGTCAAATCAAACCTAATATATACTACAATTCGGATAAATTAAATACAGAAAAGAACAATGATGCAACTACAACACAAATTTCTACTTTGGAAAACAATATAGTATATACAAATAATCCTTATTTAAGAGAGGAAACGCAAACAATTTATTTGAATGACAACAATGATATGGAAAATAGAGTTACGATGATGCCAGAAAATATTAAATCAACAACGCAATCTGATGACAGCAACTTAACAACCCCAAACATAAACAAGAAAGTTGTTACAGGAGATACTGAATTATCATTTAAACAAAACGCAACCAATTCTGAATCCGTTTCTATAACAGAGCAAACTCAAAATAGCCAAACAATTCAATTTGAAACAGTTAAAACAACTGATTTACCAACTTCTACATTCGTTATGGATGAGTATGAATCTAATACCAACACCGTTTTCCCTCATAACGAGAAACACAATTTTACAAACATTCCCTATCAAACAAGTACTTCTTTAGATAATTTATCCTCTAGAAGAAAAGACGTAGATATTTCTGCTTGGACTGATTCAACTCCCTACTTCGACTTGACTTCAACAGACACGACAACATATAATACAGACATTCTTACTAAAACACATTGTAACTTTAACGAACACTGTCCACTGAACAAAACCTGTCTTAACGGAGAGTGCCAGGACCCATGCGAAGTGCAAAATCCATGTACAAAGAACGCTTCCTGTATAATTATCAACCGTGACGCGGTTTGCGTATGCTTAGATGCCGCTGACGAAAATTGTAAAAAAGGTAATATTATAACATGTACTATAAAATCATTTTTTTATATAATTTATTCTGTAACAGATTTTAATAATTATAAAATACGTTGAAGGGAAAATGTATTTTTGTATTTTAAGGCTGTTTTATCGGACAAAATGTACTGTTTCATGTATTAAAATAAGCTCCTATTTGTACATATTCGGTTACTAATTATAAATAATAAATTAAAACTTCACTGTAACATACTAATTCCTAATATAAATAGAATCACCTGGAACACCAAAGGCACCAGAACCCTGTCATTCTGATCGGGATTGTATAGACACCGAAGCCTGTTTTATGGGAATGTGTCAGAACCCTTGTGAATTCGACAATGTGTGTGGCATTGCAGCCAATTGTCATCCGGTCAAACAAAGACCAATGTGTTCATGTCCAGCTGGATACGTCGGGGACCCAGCAATTAAATGTGCACCTCAGCAGTGTAAGCTTAACTTATTAACAATAACAGTTTAATATTTTATCATCTAAACTATACAATTATTAATTAAATATAAGTCTTACCTTAACGGCTTTAAAAATATTATTTGTAAAAATATGGAAGTATGTTTTTTGTATAATGACATAAAAAAAGTAAAATAGACCTCAAATTATAAACTTAAATTTAAATGATCTAGGACTGCATGTTTCAAATTTTATACAATAATATATTGGTTAAAGCTTATAAAAGTATAAATATTTCCGAATTGTGTAATATTTTTGTCTTTGTCGAGGAATATTTTGGGTAGTATTGGGTTTATTCTTCAATAATATTAAAACACTTGCACAAGATTGCACATATATATATGCAAATTTCACCTTTATCCAGCTGGTTGTACTCGCAATGAAGATTGTCAATTGACTGAAGCTTGTATAAATAATGCATGTCAACATCCGTGTGCAATACACAACCCATGTGCACAAAACGCCGTTTGTATAAACACGAATCACGGGTCGGATTGCAGTTGTGCCGAAGGATATCAAGGAAACGGATATGTAGGCTGCGTGCCAGGTAAGTGTATTGCATATTTAATAGTACATTTTTTTGCTTTTACTTCTTCATCTTAAATAATTCTATTGTAGTAAGCGACTCCCGTTCCGTATGTCAGTACAATGAAGACTGCCCTCCAGAACTCTTATGCGACAGATTGAACAGAATTTGTATTAATCCTTGTTCTATAAATAAATGTGGAGATAATGCAGAATGCTTTCCATCAAATCATGGAATACAATGCCAGTGCTTCGCCGGTTATACTGGAAATGCGTTCTTAGAATGTTACCAAGGTACATGTTTTGTTTAACGCAGTTATATTAATATTAATAATATTCACAACAGTCTATAGTACCATATCATTCTCTATTTCTAGTTCAAGGGTGCCGCTCAGATAACGAATGTCATAACTCTGAAGCTTGTATTAATGGAAAATGTGAATCACCTTGCAAATGTGGCATTAACGCCGTATGCGATGTTATAAATCACGAGGCTTCATGTAAATGTTTATCAGGTTACAATGGTAATCCTTTAACAAGTTGTGAACCCCCTTCAAACCCATGCATACCAAACCCGTGTGGCCAGAATGCTCTATGTGAAATTGATAATAACAACCCTATTTGCTTCTGTCCAAAGGGGTTAACTGGCAATCCATTCAAAATTTGCAGTAAGTATAAATCCCGGTCAGATTAAACTATTTGAATAATTTATGTAACAAACATTTAGTGGACAATAAATTTTATGTGGTCATACACTAGACATATAAACCTCCCTTTAATAAAAACTATGACTAAAACACGAAAACTAAATTTAATATAATATTAACTCACATCAGAACAAAATGCATTTAAAGATCTTTTCTTCAAGTATGTAGTATATTAATATTTTTTTTCTTTATATTTTTAGTTCCTGAAGGCAACGAATGCAGTCCAAATCCTTGTGGACCTTTTACCGGATGTCGAATTATTAATAATAAACCTGCTTGTTTCTGTTTACCTAATTATGAAGGAAATCCCCCACAGCAGCCTTGCAAACTACCTAATAATCCATGTCAACCATCTCCTTGTGGACCCAACACACAATGTACAATATTATCCAATGGCTTCGCAAAATGTACTTGTTTACAAGGATTTGTTGAAAGTCCAAATACAGTACGTGGTTGCGTGGAAGTGCGTAATCCATGTGAACCTAACCCATGTGGTATAGGAGCTCGATGTGATCCTAATAGAACGCCGTCTTGTTATTGTCCAGAAAACATGAAAGGTAATCCTTTCAGATTATGCGAACATCACACATATTTACCTCCGCCTGTGTTATGTCAACCAGGTAACTGTGGGGAAAATGCAGACTGTTATGTGAGTAGCAACAGAGAAATGTGTTTCTGTAGAGTTGGTTTTGGGGGTGATCCTTACGTTGGATGTCAACCCCAGCGAAGTCCATGTGAACCAAGCCCATGCGGTCCACAGGCAGTGTGCCAGATAAATTACGATCGTCAAGCTTTATGCACTTGTCAAGAGGGCAGTACCGGTGATCCTTATAGCCTTGAGGGATGTCATTCCAGAGAATGTGAAATAGATGATGAATGCCCTGTAGACAAAGCTTGCATTGGGTACATTTGTCGCAACCCTTGTCCTGGTGTTTGTGGATTAAATGCGAAATGTCATGTTGAAGCACATCATCCTGTTTGTGTTTGTGAAGATGGATTTATAGGGAATCCTTTACTTTGTTGTTTACCACCAGAAGAGCTAAAGAGCAATAGACCATGTAATAAGGTACAATGTGGTGTAAACGCAATTTGTCAAGATGTTGGCGAACAGGCCATCTGCACTTGTCCTCCTGATTTTAATGGAGATCCTACAATCGAATGTAAACCAGAATGTCTCATGAACTCTGAATGTGCACCAAATGAGGCTTGCATTAATCGAAAATGTGCAGATCCTTGTCTACAAAATAACGTGTGCGGAATAAATGCTGTTTGTTTATGTTCGGATCATACAGTATCTTGTATATGCCCCGATGGTTACATGGGTGACCCTCAAATTCAATGTATTTACAGACGTAAGTATTAAAAATTGTATGTTAACTAACTTTTGAAAGACTGAAAGTATCACTTTAAAATTTAAAATATTTTCAGCTATAATTATCGACTCGGACAATTCGACTCTACAACCATGCGCACCAAGCCCTTGTGATCCAAATTCACAATGTGAAGCTTATGGAAACAGTTTTGCTATTTGTAATATTTGTAGTGCTCCCAATGCAATCAATAACCCCGCATGTCGACCTGAATGTGTTTTAAATTCAGACTGTTCTTTTGACAAATTCTGCTTGAAAAATAAATGCGTTGATCCTTGTTCTGGATCTTGTGGATTAAATACAGATTGTTTCGTCTATCATCACGACCCAATTTGTCAATGCAAAAATGGTTTCGAAGGCAATCCTTATGAACAATGCAAACTTGCTGTGCAACGTAAGTTATTATATATATAATTTTAAATATTTGCAAACGTGATAAATATATAGCATTTTAATTTTATTTTTGCTTTCAGCAATACCTTCAGAGACCTGTGACAACATTAAATGTGGTTCTAATGCAGTGTGTCGAGAATCAAACAATGTTTTTACTTGTCAATGTGCACCTGGTTTTTCTGGAAATCCCTATTTATCGTGTAAACCAGAATGTGTATTAAACAGTGACTGTGCCTCTAAACTAGCCTGCATAAATAACAAATGCGAAAATCCTTGCAAGGACGTTTGTGGCTTAGGTGCATTATGTGATACGATAAACCACCATGCTGTGTGTTACTGTCCTCCTGGTCAAACAGGCGATCCGTATATAAGATGTCAAAATAATCCTCAAAATCCACCTACATTATCTTTATGCGATCCATCTCCTTGTGGACCATTTAGTCGTTGCCTCTTGTCAGCATCGGGACAAGCCTTATGCTCTTGTTTACCAGGTTTTAAAGGTGTTCCTCCAATGTGTCAACCAAAATGTGTCAGTAACGCAGACTGTCCCCAAAGTGAAACATGTGTCAATCAAATATGTGTAAATCCTTGTCTTGGCAGTTGTGGGGTCGGTGCCAACTGCATCGTCGTTAATCACAACCCCATCTGCAGTTGTAAATCAGGAGAAACTGGAGATCCCTTCGTAGTATGTACAGCTTTTGTGGATCATCCCCTGGATGAAAACAATCCTTGTATCCCGTCACCCTGTGGACCAAATTCGGTGTGTGAAATTAAATCTAATCATCCGGTCTGTTCATGTCAACCGAATTATTCCGGCTCACCGCCTTATTGTAGACCAGAGTGCATTATAAGTCAAGAGTGTCCATCAAATAAAGCTTGTATTAATGATAAATGTTTGGACCCATGCATAGGCGCTTGTGGAAATAATGCCATTTGTAATGTTGTAAACCATACACCCCTGTGTAGTTGTGAAGAGGGATACAAAGGTGATGCATTTATAGGATGTATGGCAATACCCAAAAACGAATCTATAAATGTATGCAACCCATCCCCTTGTGGAGAAAACACCATTTGCACAGTGATCAACAATGCTGCACGATGTTCCTGTATTCCTCCAAACATAGGAAATCCTTATGCCGGAGGTTGTAGGCCTGAGTGTGTAGTAAATTCAGACTGTCCAAATCACTTATCTTGTTTATCTAACCATTGCCGAGATCCGTGCAAAGATCTATGTGGTGTTAACGCTGAATGCGTTGTCACAAACCATGTTCCTGTTTGTAAGTGCTTCAGTGGATATGAAGGCGATCCTTTCTCATCTTGCCGACTCAAACAAACTCCTCGTAAGTTAATATTTTAAAATAACTTCATGAATAAGGGTTTTTTAGGTAACCTTCTTGTGTATGAGTATTTAATATTTATATTTAAGAAAGAGTGCCAGATCGATAACAATTTAATTTACTTCATATTTTCTTAGTTATGATTTTGTTTCATTCATTTTTTTTATTCCAGCATCACGCAACGATCCTTGTGATCCATCGCCTTGTGGCCCTAATAGCAATTGTCACGTTGTAAGCGATCGCGCTACCTGTTCTTGTCGAGAAGGTTACCGGGGTGCTCCACCAGCTTGTCGCCCGGAATGCTCGGTTAATTCTGATTGTTCACCGAATAAAGCCTGCATCAATCAGAAATGTAAAGACCCGTGCACCCATAGCTGCGGTCTGGATGCCCTCTGCCATGTAGTTGGTCATAATCCCATTTGCGTTTGCCCAGACAATTATCCTGAAGGAGATCCTTTTATAAGATGCTACAAAAAAAGTAAGATTTTAAATTTTAAATAAAAAGTTTTTAACTTGTGTTTTAATAAAAAATAATATGTCTCAATTCTTGCGATACATGTTACACTTCAAGACAGCTTAAAAGCCAATGATAAAGATATTTTCAAACGGGTTGATACACGAGGGTGTAAGAAAACATAATACAAAAAGGCATAAATTTATTCTGATGGATAACATAAGAATAGTAGATAAATATTTACACATCATATTGTAGACTTAATCTTATTCTTCGTTAATAGTAATGAAAAATAGTGAAAGCTTTACACAGCTTATAATTTGTAATGAATTTTACTTTTAATTGCGATATATTTATTATAACATATTTTCAATTTCTACAGGTATTACACTGCCAGCGCCCAATCCCTGCTTGCCTTCTCCTTGCGGGCCTCATTCAACTTGTAAGAACGAAGTTGGACGAGCTGTATGCGCGTGCGAGCCGGGCACTTTAGGTGCTCCACCAACCTGTCGCCCACAGTGCCTAATAAATCAGGATTGTCCTCTAGCTCTAGCCTGCTTAAGCGGAACTTGTGTAAATCCTTGCGTTGGATCTTGTGGCTTTAATGCTCGATGTGTTGTTCAAAATCATCAACCTATTTGTTCTTGTGACGAGGGCTACACTGGCGATCCATTTTCGGGCTGCAATCCACATGAAAGTAAGTAATTCAAACATTTTTCTCCTTGCATGGTAGTTTTCTTCCCTGCATGTTATTTTATCAAAATGTATGTATATTATATGTGCAAATCTTTCAGTTTCTAGAGATGATTCCCAAAGACCTTGCAATCCATCTCCTTGCGGACCTAATGCCGTCTGTAAGGACAGAAACGGTTTTATTTCTTGTGCTTGTATAAAAAATTTCCATGGAGATCCTTATCAAGGATGTAGACCAGAGTGTGTTATGAATACAGATTGTTCTAGGGATAAAACCTGTTTCAATAACAAATGTATAGATCCATGTATGGGTACTTGCGGAATAAATACAGAGTGTAGAGTTACGAATCATGCACCGTCATGTTTTTGCTTACAAGGATATACTGGAAACCCACTTCATGCATGTTCACCTATAATAAGTAAGCCTTCTTTTCCTCTATTTATTTCTTTATTTCATTCTTTATTTTATTCTGTGTTCAATCTATAACTTCTCTTACTATACAGCTTCTTCGGAACCAATCGACCCCTGCCACCCTTCACCATGTGGCCCTTACAGTAAATGTCGTACGTTTAATAATCACGCGGTCTGTACCTGCCTCGATATATGTGTCGGTTCTCCGCCAAATTGTCGACCTGAGTGTATTGTTAGCACTGACTGCCGATCTAACAAAGCATGCATAAACAATAAGTGTCAGGACCCTTGTCCTGGTACATGCGGAATTAACGCCCAATGCCAGGTTATAAATCACAACCCTATTTGCAGTTGTTCTAGTGATTATACAGGAGACCCTTTTGTTAGGTGTATTTTGGAAGACAGTAAGTTAATTATTTATATTTCAAGGTATATATTTTTTTCGTTAATTTATTTAACTTTGTTGTTTATAAATATTTACAGTGCCAACCCCAATAAATAATTGTTTACCCAACCCTTGCGGACCTCATTCACAGTGCAATGATAAAAATGGAGTGCCAGTTTGTTCTTGTCTTAATAATTATGTTGGCCGCCCTCCCAACTGTAGACCGGAATGTAGTATGAACTTTGAATGTCCAGGAAATTTGGCTTGTATTGCTGAAAAATGTATGGACCCATGTCCGGGTTCCTGCGGTTTTCATACGTTATGTACCGTAGTAAAACATATTCCAATATGTACTTGTGAGAGTGGATACACTGGCGATCCTTTCTCAGGGTGTTCATTGATTCTTAGTAAGTGTTTTTATTACATTAATAGTGTTATCATAAAAATGACATGAACTTGAGTAAATATTATGCTTTTTAAAAACACATCAAGTGCTTAAGTTTAAAAATCATGCACCAAGTGCATGAGTAACGCCACTCGTTCTCTACTTTTTACAAAAACAAACCTTTTATGTAAGAGTTTACAGATTATTATTAATGCTTGATATTATTCTGAGAATTGTAATTTTTCCCTCCTATCTAAATGTCATTCAGTTGTGATATCTAAAAAAATTAACTTCAATAGGATTATATGTCGTTAAAGTAAACGAAACGGGCTGACAACTATTAAGTTTTAATCTATAATTTGCAGACATTGAGCCACAAGTAGAAAATCCGTGCTCTCGGTCGCCTTGTGGGATAAACGCGATATGCAAAGAAAGACATGGTATTGGTTCATGTTCATGTCTCCCAGACTATTATGGCGATCCAAATATCGAATGTAGGCCAGAATGTGTGCTTAATTCAGATTGTCCTAAAGAAAAAGCTTGTGTAAACAATAAGTGTAAAGATCCATGTCCCGGAGTCTGTGGCATGAACGCTGAATGTCGCGTGCATAATCATGCCCCATCTTGTGCTTGCGCACCAGAATACGAGGGAAATCCATTTACCGCTTGCCACAAAAGTAAGATTTTATAATGTTCGAAGAATATAATATCAATTGTAGTAAAAACAAAATCTTTTAAGCATGTTCAGCATAATGAACTTCATTTTTTTTCCCTTCAGGTGTAGTTGAAACTAAAACAGATCCATGTTTACCCTCACCTTGTGGACCCTATAGCCTTTGTCGCTCTAGTAATGGTCATGCTATTTGTTCATGCCAAGAAAATTATTTTGGCTCACCTCCCAATTGCCGTCCTGAGTGTATGGTCAGCAGCGATTGTATGCCAAGTATGGCTTGCATTAATTCTAAATGTGTAGATCCATGCATTGGTGTCTGTGGCAATAAAGCTCAATGCACTGTTGTAAACCATAATGCCTTATGTAGCTGTCCTACAAATTATGTTGGTGATCCATTTGTTAATTGCGTTTATAATAAAAGTAAGTCTGTTTGACCCTACTTTAAACTTTTTAAGGAGAATAAATTATTCTGAATGTAATTTACAATTTTAGAACCAGAAACGAGGCCATCAGTTAACACATGTATACCAAATCCTTGTGGACCTAATTCACAATGCCGCATTGTAGGCGAGACTCCAGCTTGTTCATGCAAAGCTGGTTATATTGGTCGTGCACCAAATTGTCGACCAGAATGTATTTACGATGAAGATTGTTCCAGTAACTTGGCTTGTATTCGAGAAAAGTGTATGAGCCCTTGTGATGGCTCCTGTGGCTCAAATGCTAATTGTGTAGTAATTTCGCACAAAGCAGTTTGTCACTGTCGTGAAAGTTATACTGGGGATCCGTTTAGCGGTTGCTATTTTATTGGTTCGTATTTATATGATAAAATTTAATACTAACGTTGATTGATTTGAATCGGTAAAAATCATTATTTGTCATTTGCACAGTGACTGTACCGAGTGAAGAAGAAATAAATCCATGCACATTATCGCCTTGTGGTCCTAATGCGAAATGCACAGAAAGAAATAATGCTGGAGCTTGTACTTGCTTACCAGGATATTTTGGCGATCCATATCTAGGCTGCCGCCCTGAATGCGTAACGAATAATGATTGTGATATAAATAAATCTTGTTCAAATAACAAATGTGTTGATCCTTGCCAAGGAGCATGTGGAATTAATTCATTATGCAGTGTGTCACATCATACTCCAATTTGTCACTGCATTGAAGGATATGAAGGAAATCCTATGGTTTCTTGTCATCCTCAAAGAAAACGTTAGTGTTGTAATAACATTTTTTATTTTAAAAAGCATAACAAACTTGTAATAAGAACATTTTTCAATTTTAGCCATACAACATGATATTAATCCGTGTGTACCATCACCATGTGGACCTTTTAGCCAATGTAAAGAAGTAGAAGGACATGGAGTATGCTCTTGCGAGGAGGGATATGTTGGTAGTCCACCAACATGTAGGCCAGAATGTATTATAAGTTCGGATTGTCCCCAACATGAAGCTTGTATAAAACAAAAATGCAAAAATCCATGTCCCGGTACATGTGGTCTCAACGCACGTTGCCAAGTTATAAACCATAATCCAATATGTACCTGCAAAGCAGGCTTTACTGGTGATCCATTCGTTGCGTGCCAATTAGAACAAAGTAAGATTTTTTGTGCGGGAATAAAATTCACAATAAATAAATAAAAATAAAAAAAAAACTTAACAAATTTTATATTTATTAAAAAATAGTTACCCTAAAGCTTTAAACAATACCAACTTTGCTTTAAACTACTCTTATATTATATTATACTACTATATTTCTTTCAGTGATTTCTTTATTTCTTTATTTCTATATCTGTACCTTTTTATTCTTATTATGTTCATACTTTCTTTCTTAGAATCTATCTTTACTGGACCTAAAGGGAACCCATGCATACCTTCACCATGTGGTCCACATTCTCAGTGTAAAGTAGTTGGAGAAGCGCCTGCATGTTCATGCTTGCCAAATTATATCGGTATCGCTCCTAATTGTCGACCCGAATGTTCTATCAATGCGGAATGTCCGGGTAATCTTGCATGTCAGCATGAAAAATGTGTAGACCCTTGCCCAGGCTCTTGTGGTTTTAACGCCGAGTGTTCTGTGGCACATCATGTAGCGTTGTGCAACTGTTTACCAGGTTATACTGGTGATCCGTTTAGTGGATGTTCGTTTATTGAGTGTAAGTTATTAAGAACACATAGTTCTGACCCAACTATGAGACTATTAAATACTAATTTCTTTTGTAAAACAGACGTTTCAGAACCACCGCCGAACCCATGTCACCCTTCACCATGTGGAGCAAACGCACAGTGTAAAGAACGTAATGGAGTGGGTTCCTGTTCCTGCTTACCAGAATATTTCGGAGATCCATATACTGGTTGTCGTCCTGAATGTGTATCAAATTCAGATTGCGACCGCAATAAGGCATGTTCAAACAACAGATGTAAGGACCCCTGTCCAGGAGCCTGTGGAATAAATGCAGAGTGTCGGACTGTTAATCACTCCCCAACATGTACTTGTCTTTCTGAATATACTGGAAATCCACTTATAAAATGTGAACTAGAAAGTAAGTATCAATATTACATCAAGCGATATTTTGTAAACGAAGTCCATTTTTTAATTGAATTTATTCAGTTTATGGGATTTACATATTTTATTTATCAAGATTCTTCAAATGTTAAAAGATTATGTATTTCGGTGAAGATTAAGATTTTCTGAACAATTAATAGTAGAATTGATTTACAATTAATAGTAGAAATAGTGTCTTATATAGAAAATACTTATTTTGATATATGACCGTGTCATATTTAGGTACATATGTATAACGGTGTTACGTGTCATATATTTTTCGCTTCCCAAAGGATACTCGTACCTACATATATACTCGAAGCTATATCATTTAAAAAAGTATATTTCACTCCTTTTAGATTTATTCGTCATTACATTGCATAAATAACTTCCAGTTTATAGTGAATATCATGCCTAATAGATATTGATTTGTGTTGTAGACAATTTAACTGTTTTTTTTTAATTGTAAAAACAAATACTTTTCTATTGCTAGCTATTCAACCAGGAAAAGATGTCCAACTAGACCCTTGTCAACCGTCTCCATGCGGCCCGAACAGTTTATGCCGAGCAGTTAATGGTCACAGTGTCTGTACGTGTCAAGTTGGATATATAGGAACGCCACCAACGTGTAAACCAGAGTGCATTGTTAGTTCTGAATGCGCGCAAGATAAAGCTTGTGTTAATAAAAAATGCGTTGATCCGTGTCCAAACACCTGTGGCCTTAATGCTAGATGTCAAGTAGTGACTCACAATCCCATTTGTAGCTGTACATCTGGTTTTACGGGTGATCCTTTCACAAAATGTATTCCTGAAGAGAGTAAGTAAAATATATATTTTTTTAATTATAGCTCTTCGGCAAAACTAATTCATATATTAAAATTTTTATAACAATCTTTGTACATAGCGGTTTATGGCGAATTTAATTGCATTTTTTTCTAATTTACAGGAACTGCACCAGCTAATCCATGTGTCCCGTCTCCTTGTGGGCCAAATTCAGAATGTCGTGTGATTGGAGATCAAGCTGCGTGCTCTTGCTTACCAAACTATATTGGTAGAGTACCTAATTGCAGACCTGAGTGCACTCTTGATGCAGAATGTCCGAGTAATACTGCTTGCATCAATGAACGCTGCAAAAATCCATGCCTAGGAGCATGCGGATTAAATGCAATTTGTTTAACAGTCAATCATAAGCCAATGTGTACGTGTCAACAAGGTTTTACTGGAGACGCTTCTAAGAGCTGCACTCAAATTTTGATATCCTGTAAGTTTTATATCATATGCTAACTTGATATTATTTACAAATTATAGCTGCTTCAATATCCTTTTCCATTACAGCAACTGAAATGACTCCAACGTCGAGTCCATGTACTCCATCACCATGTGGCCCGAATGCTGAATGCAGGGAATACAATGGCGCAGGAGCTTGTTTCTGCTCCGAAGGCTACGAAGGTGATCCATACAATAATCAAGGTTGCCGAAGGGAATGTGAAAATAATGATGACTGTGCATATAACTTGGCTTGCACGCGATTTAAATGTATCGACCCTTGTCCTAAAACATGTGGACAATTAGCTCAATGCGTAGTAGAAAAACATGTTCCTGTTTGTTCATGTCCTATTGGATATACAGGGGATCCGTTTTTCCAGTGCAGAGAAATACTTTTAGAACGTAAGTATGAATTGTACATAGTATAAGATATTTGATATGGATTTAAAAATACAATAATTTAAATTTAAATTGCAGCTATTCCAGTAGGAAATCCGTGCGAACCTACTCCTTGTGGACCTAATAGTCAATGTAGACAAGTTAACATGCAGGCAGTTTGTTCATGTCTTCCAAACTACGTAGGATCTCCGCCATCTTGTAGACCTGAATGCATTGTTAATAGTGAATGTGATACCTCTAAAGCATGTATTAATCAAAAATGCGATGATCCTTGTCCAAACACTTGCGGCCTGAGAGCTCATTGTCTAGTAAAGAGTCATAATCCAATATGTACCTGTCCAATTGGAATGACAGGAGATCCCTTTACACAATGTTATAGTAAGTAATAAATTATAAAAAGTTGTAAAAAGCATCACTTTTTTACACAATAAAGTAATTTAAATAACAAATACAATAAAAAACAATAGGCATATGACAATATATTATTTGTTTACATTTTACAGCAATTCCACCAACTACTGAGCGCCCACCTTCTTGTAGTCCATCGCCCTGTGGACCACATTCTCGTTGCCAACTATTAGCAAGTGGACCAGCATGTTCATGTTTACCCGGTTATATTGGTTCTCCACCAAGCTGCCGTCCTGAATGTACTATTAATTCTGAATGTCCAGCCTCACTTGCTTGTGTCCGACAAAAGTGTGAAGATCCCTGTCCTGGTTCATGCGGCATTGAGGCTAATTGCCACGTATTGAATCATGTTGCCGTTTGTGTCTGCAATGAAGGTTTTACTGGAGATCCTTTCTTAAGATGTTTACCAAGCAGTGAAGGTAATTGAAATTTCAAAGATCGTTAATGGAAATGGTAGTGATAATTATTAATTGTTAATTTAAATTTATTTATTTCTTGTAGCGCCTACCACACCAACTCCAACAGACCCTTGTACACCGTCTCCATGTGGACCAAATGCTCAATGTAATAATGGCTTTTGTACTTGTTTACCTGACTACAGAGGTAATCCTTACGAATCCTGTAGACCTGAATGTACTGGAAGTCAGGAATGTCCCAGAGATAAAGCTTGTTTTAGAAACAAATGTCAAGATCCCTGTCCAGGTGTATGTGGCCAAAACGCGAAGTGTGATGTCATAAACCATATACCTAGTTGTTCATGTATATCAGATTATACTGGTAATCCATTTACACATTGCCAACCAATAGAAAAGGTTGCAACGCCTTTAGAACCTTGCCACCCATCACCTTGTGGACCAAATAGTATTTGTAAAACAGTCGACAACGCTGCTGTTTGTGCGTGTCTTGAGGGCTTTCAAGGTGCTCCCCCGGCTTGTAGACCAGAATGTATCGTTAGTTCGGAATGTCCTTCCACAAAAGCTTGTGTAAATCGTAAATGTATCAACCCTTGTATAAACTCCTGTGGCATATCAGCTCGATGTGAAGTCATAAATCATAGCCCAATCTGTAGTTGTAGTCCACTTCAGACAGGAGATCCTTTTAAGAGCTGTCACGATGTTGTGTCTCGAGTACCAGAATCTACGGATGCTTGTAATCCTTCCCCTTGCGGCCCAAACGCACAGTGTATGGAAAGAAATGGAAAAGCTAATTGTAGATGTGAAGAAGACTATGTTGGTCAACCACCAAACTGTAGACCAGAATGCGTCATAAACCCAGATTGCCCATCTAACCAAGCTTGTGTTAGAAATAAATGTATAGATCCTTGTCCAGGATCTTGTGGTATTAATGCTGACTGTATCATTGTTAGTCATACAGTATCCTGTATTTGCAAAGAAAAATATACTGGAAATCCATTCGTACAATGTATTTTACTAGAAGGTACAATCATAACACACAATTTTTATGTGATATATTAATTTTTTTTTATATGCAAACACAAAATTTAATCGAGTTTATTTTACAGAGAATGTTATGAAACCTTGTGATCCATCACCGTGTGGAGCTAATGCAGTTTGCACTCAAAGAGATGGCGCTGGTGCTTGCTCATGTTTAGAGGGATATCAAGGAAATCCTTATGAAAGCTGCCGTCCTGAATGTGTTCTAAGTTCCGATTGTTCAGCCGATAAAGCTTGTATAAGAAATAAATGTGCAGATCCTTGTCCAGGAATTTGTGGAACTTTTGCCGAATGTACAGTTGTAAACCATGTCCCAACATGTGCTTGTGTCAAAGGCTATTCAGGAAATCCATTTGTGCAATGTACTAAAAATGAACCAGTCCAAAACATCAGACCATGCCAACCATCCCCTTGCGGACCCAATAGTATATGCAGAGAAAATGGCGAACTAGCATCTTGTGAATGTCTTCCAGATTATAGAGGGGCCCCACCTGATTGTCGCCCTGAATGTACTGTTAGTAGTGAATGTCCATCTGATCGCGCTTGCCATAAATTAAAATGTGCTGATCCTTGCAGAGGCACTTGTGGCTTAGGAGCTCACTGTCAAGTTATAAATCATAGTCCATTGTGTAGTTGTCCGGCTGGTACAACTGGAGATCCATTTAGTTCCTGTCGAGAAATACAATTTTCAGTTATAGAAAAACCATTAGAACCATGTCAACCAAACCCCTGTGGACCGTACGGTGAATGTCGAGCTGTCAATGGCAATCCATCTTGTAGCTGTATCACGGGTTACGTGGGTGCTCCGCCGAACTGTAGACCAGAATGTCTTGTGAATACAGATTGTCCGTCGCAACAAGCATGTATAGCAGAAAAATGTCGAAATCCTTGTGAAGGGTCCTGTGGTTTTAAAGCAGAGTGCAGAGTTCAAAACCATATTCCTATATGTAGCTGCCCTACAAGCTTTTCTGGAGACCCATTCATACAGTGCACAAAAGTAATAGGTAAACAAATTAGGCCATAATAAGCCAAAGTGTTCCATTTAGCAAGTAAAAAAGTTTTGAGTGTTTTATAGCAATACTGTTTTTTTCAGAAACACCAAAGGTTGAATCTGATCCATGCAACCCATCACCGTGTGGTAGTAACGCTCTATGTGATGGAGGATCTTGTTCATGTGCGCCCGGGTACTTTGGCGATCCTTACACAGGCTGTCGATTAGAATGTACTACAAACGGAGAATGTGCACCTACTCGTGCTTGTCAAGGCGGAAAGTGTGTTGACCCATGCCCTGGAGCCTGTGGTACAGGAGCAGTATGCTCTGTTAATAATCATGTACCATCGTGCACTTGTCCTCCTCATACTTCAGGAGATCCATTCGCATTTTGTTCAGAAATAATTAGACAAGGTAAATAACAAGCATAAAATTTTATTTATTTATTTATTTATCTATCTATCTATTTATTTATTTATTTTTATTTATTTATTTTTATTTATTTATTTATTTATTCATTCATTCATTTATTTATTTATTTATTTGGTAATACATAAATTACATTAATATTTAATATATATAAAATTAGACGAAATTCAGTATCTTATATTCTTATAAATCTACACTCTTTTTAACCTTCCGCAAACGCAATGGTAAAAATATATTTTACTTACAAAAATATGTTTTACGTAAACAAAACTATTTTGAAAAGAATAAATCAACAAGTATTTTATTATGTTTAGTGCAACGATTTATAAATTTGTATTCAGAGCAATAAACAATTCTGTTAAGTATTACAATCGATTGTTAAGGTTAATTTTCCTCATTGCTATATATAACAGTCGCGCTCTTTCCGAGCTGTATTAAAATCAATTAATGACACAGTTATAAGATTTACATATATTTGAATCATCATCATCATCAGCCAAAAGACGTCCACTGCAGGACATAGGCCTCCCCTAAGGATATATATTATTATAAGGATATATATATATATATATTTGATTGCCGTTATATATTTTCCAGAACCTGTATCACCATGTAGTCCCTCACCGTGTGGTCCTCATAGCGAGTGTGCTGTGAGCTCCAATGGTGCAGCGGCTTGTTCCTGTCGTTCAGGACACATTGGATCTCCTCCGTCATGTCGACCTGAATGTCTTGTAAGCTCCGAGTGTAAACTACAACTCGCATGTATCGATAGAAAATGCCGAGATCCGTGTGAAGGCGCGTGCGGTCGTGGAGCTCGATGCCAAGTTATAGCCCATTCTCCTATTTGCACTTGTAATGACGATTTTACTGGAGATCCATTCACTTATTGCTATCCAGCTCCGGGTAACTATAAATGTTTAAATAAATACGCAGTAGCCATCACATATTAAGCAAATAAAATAATAAAATAATATATTATTTTTTTTAGTTCAAGCAGATGTTGTGGTAGATCCTTGTCAACCATCTCCGTGTGGACCTAATTCAATTTGTGTAAAAACTGGAGATACACCAGCTTGTTCATGTCAACCCGGTTTCATTGGAGCTCCACCAAATTGCCGACCTGAATGTACGATCAGTGCGGAGTGCCCGGCAACGCTTGCTTGTATATCTCAAACCTGTAAGAACCCTTGCAATCAAGCTTGTGGACCAGGAGCAATATGTTCAGTTATTGACCACCGAGCTACATGTGCATGTGAGCCTGGCATGGAGGGTGATCCCTTCCAAGGTTGTTCACGATCAAAAGGTAAGATCACAAATATGTATAAACCGTTTACTTAGAAGTTCATTAGTAAATTACATAGGAAAGTAAAAACAATATGAATAAATTTAAATGTAAAGTCTATTGAAGGTAATAAATGCGGTCATTTTATAATTTATATTAACAAAAAATCTTATAGCAAAGAGAGTTACAATGCCAATAACCATCAGCTTGGTAAAGCGTGGTAAATCATGCTTTAAAATGTGTGCTTAAAATTTAATATAAACGATCACGCCAAAAGGTTGACTAATTATAGTTGGCACTTCATTGATACTTTAACTTAAAAGCTCTTCGGTGACCATGCCCACCGTTTTGTTTGTAGGCTGAAGTATCAAAGTTGTGTTAATTATTGCGCTTAAAATAAAACATGAATTTTAAAATTTCGGAAGGTAGTAAAAGGTTAGTGAAGGATATTCAAGAATTTTACAATTATTTCGAATCTTGAAAGCTTTCGAAGGGAAGTAACATTTTTTAATAACTTGTTGAATAAAATAATGCCTTGCTTAATTATTGGAACGCGCGGAGATAACATAGCACTTACAGTAAGCTTAGACCGTTTCCTGAGACGGCCGCTTTTGGAAGAGCGTTTAGATAAAACGCCATCATCGGAAGTCGCTAAATGTCACCCTGGGCCCAGAATGCTTCGACTAATGCTTCAGAAAAAGAAGGTGCTTCCACGTTAAGGGATAATACTAGGTAAGTGAGTTTACTCAATGATAATAAAATTTCAGCTCCCCCAAAACCTGAATACCTTAATCCATGTGAACCATCACCTTGCGGTGTTAATGCGGAATGTAATGTACAAGGAAACGCTGGATCATGTACTTGCCTACCTGACTATTTTGGTGATCCATATCAAGGCTGTAGACCGGAATGTGTAGTCGATGCTGATTGTCCATTAACTTTAGCTTGTAATAGAAATAAATGTACCGATCCTTGTCCTGGAATATGTGGGCAAAATGCTGTATGTTACGTTGCAAATCATAAACCATCTTGTACATGCGAGACGGGCTACACGGGAAATCCACTTTCCATGTGTTCTAAAATTCGTAAGTGATCAAGGTAAATTTTTTATATAAGCTCCAAACATGTTATAAATTAAAATGATAAATTATTTTCAGGTAACGATTTAGTTTCATCACCAAATGTCTGTAATCCATCACCGTGTGGAGCCAATGCGATTTGTAAAGAAATTAACAGTCAACCTGTTTGTTCTTGTTTAACTAACTACATTGGCACTCCACCGAACTGTAAACCGGAATGTGTTGTTAATTCCGAATGTAAACCAACAAAAGCCTGTGTTAACAACAGATGTATTAATCCTTGTCCCAAACCTTGTGGCAAAGATGCTGAATGTAAAGTTATAAACCACAGCCCTGTTTGTTCTTGCCGCCAGGGCTATTCAGGAAATCCTTTCACAATGTGTACCCAAATATTACGTAAGATTAAACTTTTCAATTTACAAACATAAATATCAGTAAAGATAAAATTATATATGTTTGATCTATTAATATTTTCGCTCATATTACAGATACCACGTCAACTTCAATAACACCGTCAAACCCATGTGTTCCTTCACCCTGTGGCCTTTATGCTGAATGCCGCATAAAAGATGGTTTGGCATCGTGTTCTTGTCTTCCTTCATATACAGGATCACCTCCATTTTGCAAATCTGAGTGTACTATCCATTCCGACTGCCCTAGTAACCAGGCATGTATAGCGGAAAAGTGTAGGAATCCTTGTGATGGTGCATGTGGAGTGTATGCAAACTGTTTTGTACACAACCATGTACCGGTTTGTTTGTGTGCGGAGGATTTCACTGGTGATCCATTTAGAGAATGTAGACCAAAACCTCTACAAGGTAATTTTTTATTAATCAGCTTCTATTATGAGATTTTAAACGATATAAAATAAAAGTAAATATTACAGTGTTTAAAAATGAGACATATTTTCCAGACACAACAACCATTCCTTCGATCTCGGATCCTTGTCAAAAAAATCAATGTGGACCAAACACTAAGTGTGACAATGGAGTTTGTTCTTGTTTATTGGGTTATCATGGGGATCCATACCTGGGCTGTCGACCAGAATGTATATATAGCACAGACTGTCCCCAAAACAAAGGATGTCGACTCAACAAGTGTGTAGATCCTTGTGAAAATACTTGTGGTATAAATGCTCAATGCAATGTCATCAACCATATTCCTATGTGCACCTGTCCAGAAGGAATGAGTGGCAGTGCCTTTATTGAATGTCGACCGGTTGCAGGTATAAGATTTTCCTATAAATATGTTTACGTGCATATATGCATATACTAATTTATATGAAACTAAATGTAGTATTTTGATATTTTGGCATATATCACAAAATAATACATAATTTATTTGTAGTATTGAACATAAATCCATGCAATCCATCACCCTGTGGGCCAAACAGTCAATGTCAACATTCTAACGGGCAAGCGGTCTGTTCTTGTCTGCCGGGCTATCGTAGTAGTCCTCCGACCTGCAGACCTGAATGTGTAATAAGCTCTGAATGCCCATTAAACGAAGCATGTCAAAATGAAAAATGCGTTAATCCTTGTGTTGGAGCTTGTGGAGTTGCTGCTTTGTGTGAAGTTATAAATCATAATCCAATCTGCACATGTCCACCAAAATTTACGGGTGACCCATTTATAAGGTGTTATATAAGAGGTAAATTTTGCTATAATGACAAATATATTTTGTTGATAAAACGTTTTAATGTAGCAGAAAGTAATGCGTCATATATTTTTTCAGTCGAACCACAAATTCAAAGTGACCCATGTGAACCTTCTCCGTGTGGGCCTCATTCTACCTGCAGAATAAGTGGAGAGAGTCCAGTATGTGCTTGTTTAATTGGCTATAAAGGAACTCCTCCTAATTGTAGACCAGAATGTGTTAGCAACAACGAATGTGATTATAATTTAGCCTGCGTTGATAATAAATGTAGTGATCCGTGTAGAGGTACTTGTGGTATCAATGCTGAGTGTAGAGTAGTTAATCATTCACCAATGTGCATATGTGAGATGGGATTCATTGGAGATGCTTATTCACAATGTAATCCTGTTATAGTACAAAACGAAATTTTAAGACCATGTGAGCCGAGCCCCTGTGGTTCTAATGCTGTTTGTAGAGAACAAGGAGGGGTAGGGGCCTGTCAATGTTTAAGTGGATACTTTGGCAATCCATATGAAGGCTGTCGGCCGGAATGTTTGGTTAATACTGACTGTCCATTAAATAAGGCTTGTTCACAAATGAAGTGCATAGATCCTTGTCCAGGTACATGTGGGGTTAATGCACTTTGTCAAACTAATAACCATTTGCCAAATTGTATATGTCAAGCTGGTTATACTGGAAATCCCTTCAGTCATTGTAGGATATTACAAGAACGTAAGTATACATGTTTCTCAGTAATATTTATGTGAATTATTATTATTATTATCGAAACATAATATTTGATATTTGTAGCTGAAGCAGTCAAGGAAGAAAATCCTTGTAATCCATCTCCTTGTGGTGCAAATAGTCAATGCAAAGAAATAAATAAACAAGCAGTTTGTTCCTGTTTACCTAATTTTAATGGCTACCCACCAAATTGCCGCCCCGAATGTATTGTAAGTTCGGAATGCCCTCCGAACTTAGCGTGCTCTAACCAAAAGTGCACAGATCCTTGTTTGGGCACGTGTGGAGAAAATGCAAATTGTAATGTAATTAATCATAGCCCAATTTGTGCTTGTAAAACTGGATTGACAGGAAATCCGTTCACTCGGTGTTTCCCCATTAAAGGTATTTATTGCAACTTCTTAAAGTCCAAACCTAATTAATAAAATAAATAAATTAATAATGTAATATTTCGTATTCAGTTTCAGAAACTTACGACATTGCTCAATCTCGTGATCCTTGTTTATCTTCCCCTTGCGGACTTTATGCAGAATGTCGTGAGGTAAAAGGTTCGGTTTCATGCACATGTCAAGATGGTTTTATTGGTAGTCCACCTAATTGCCGACCAGAATGTACAATAAACTCAGAATGTCCGAGTGACAAGGCATGCATTAATGAAAAATGTCGAGATCCTTGTATTGGCGCCTGTGGGCTTAACGCAAAATGCAGTGTATTTAATCACATCGCCGAATGTAGTTGTCTCGATCAGTACAAAGGAGACCCATTTACAAGATGTGAATTCATTGTTTTTGAAGAAGGTATTTCTTTTATTATATATAGCAGATCATAACATCGGAATCTATGTATATTATAATACTATGTTTGTTTTTAGATGTAACGCAGTTGGACCCTTGTAATCCGTCCCCATGTGGTTCTAATGCAGAATGTCATAATGGCGAATGTACGTGTTTACCTGAATACTCAGGTGATCCCTATTTCGGTTGCCGACCAGAATGCCTCGTGAACAGTGACTGTCCAATGAATAAAGCGTGCATCAAAAGTAAATGTGTCGACCCATGTGTTAATACCTGCGGAATACAAGCAAACTGTAATGTTTACAACCACATACCAATGTGCACTTGCATACCAGGTTATTCTGGAAACGCTTTCATTGAATGTAGGAAGATAATAGTCACAGAAGAACTTAGACCATGCATTCCTTCTCCTTGTGGTCCAAATAGTCAGTGTAGAGAAATTAACGGTCAAGCTGTGTGCACTTGTTTAGCCGGTTACCACGGAGCTCCACCTACTTGCAGGCCCGAATGTGTAACTAGTTCCGAGTGTGCACTTAATAAAGCTTGTTCAGGACAGAGATGTATAGATCCATGTAGTGGCAATTGCGGAATCGGTGCCATTTGTGAAGTAGTACACCACAACCCTATTTGCTCTTGTCCCACTGATACAACTGGAGATCCATTCACTAGATGTATACAAAAAGGTAACAAATATTATTCCTTATTCTAAATTATAAATAAGTTTTACATTTATTACAACATATTCTACAGTTTTTTTATTAAAAATTGTGAATTAGAACTGATTATGATTTTAAGTTTTCTAGCAATTTTTTTCATAATAAACTTATCTTCTTTTGTGTAGATATGGTAATTCAGTTTATTTTATATATTCTCAATAACATGATTCCAGATGTAACAGAAGAAATTCGAGTAAACCCCTGTGAACCGTCACCCTGTGGACCATATTCTATTTGCAAAGAAATCGGAGGATTCCCATCATGTGCTTGCCTTGATCAGTTTATAGGAGCACCACCAAATTGTCGACCTGAGTGTATCGCAAATAGTGAATGTCCCAATGAATTAGCCTGTATCAACCAAAAGTGCAAAGATCCTTGCCTCGGTTCTTGTGGTACTGCAGCAGAATGTCGAGTGATAAGTCATTCCCCTCAGTGTTATTGTTTACCTGGCTACAGTGGTGATGCTTTCATTGAATGTCGGGTTATTGACGTGCCACTGAACCCATGTTCTCCATCGCCGTGCGGTTCTAATGCTATATGCAAACAATTGAAAGGGGCTGGTTCATGTGTATGCTTACCAGAATATGAAGGAAATCCTTATGAGGGTTGTCGCCCTGAATGTGTTGTCAATTCAGACTGTCCGTCAAACTTAGCTTGCATGCAAAATAAATGTAGAAATCCATGTGGGAACATTTGCGGCCTTAATGCTCTTTGTAACGTCATCAATCATATCCCTAAATGCGAATGTGCACCAGGAACTACAGGTAGTCCACACCAAGAATGTCGTGATATTTTAAAAGGTATTTATAATTTTTTTAAGTGCTCATCGTTCTTAAAATGAATTAAACCCCTGAAAAAAATATAACTAATAAGTTTTTTTTTTCATAGATATACCCGTAAAAAACAAAACTCCGTGTTTACCATCGCCATGCGGGCCATATAGTATATGTAAAGCAGTAAACGAACAATCAGTGTGTACCTGTCAACCAGAGTATAAAGGTTCTCCACCTAATTGCAAACCGGAGTGCCTCATCAGTGCTGAATGCAGTCAACAGGAAGCTTGCATAAATCAAAAATGTAAAAATGCTTGCGAAGGTGTATGTGGAGTTAACACGGAATGTAAAGTAATAAATCATAGCCCAATTTGTACCTGTAGTCCTCAACACACGGGAGATCCGTTTACTAGGTGTTATAGAGGTAAAATATATAAATTATTTTGTAAATATTTTTAGTACATTACTCAGACCTCATATGTATTCAAATTTTTTATAGAACCTGAAATGCTGCCGGTTTCAAGAAATCCCTGTCTACCGTCTCCTTGCGGTCCATTTTCGTTTTGTATGGATTTCAATGGGCTTCCGTCTTGTTCTTGTTTACAAAAATACATCGGTACGCCGCCGAATTGCCGACCGGAATGTACCATAAATTCAGACTGTTCCAGCGATAAAGCTTGTATTAATGAGAGGTGTATCGATCCATGCCCAGGCTCATGTGGTATAAACGCTGAGTGTAGGGTACAAAGCCATGTTTCTATATGTACTTGTAACAATGGTTACACTGGAGATCCATTCGTAGAATGTTCACTAAAAAAACAGAATGGTAAGTTGAAACCAAATATATTAAAAAAATTACGACCATTCAAAAATTATGTTATAAGTAATCAAATTTTTCTTTGTTTCATTATAACAGAACCTATTGAAGTAAATCCTTGTAATCCATCGCCTTGCGGATCAAATGCAGTCTGTAACGATGGAATTTGCTCTTGTTTACCTGAATATAATGGTGACCCATACTTTGCCTGTCGTCCAGAATGCACAATCAGTTCAGAATGTCCATTACATTTGGCTTGTGTTAGACAACGTTGTGTAAATCCTTGTAACAATACTTGTGGCGTGAATGCCGTCTGTGAGGTTGTCAAGCATATGGCTATATGTACATGTCCACCCAAAACCACAGGCAATGCATTTGTTAGGTGCAGTCCCATCAAAGGTATGCTAGCATGTAAAGTTATTTTATTATATTTTTTAAATAAATAATAATCCTTATTTTGGTATTTACAGAAACTATTGTTCAAAACCCCTGTCAGCCAAGCCCTTGCGGACCTTTCAGCCAGTGCAGGGAATATAACAATCAGCCAGTATGTTCATGCATGCCCGAATACCTCGGCACACCTCCAGCCTGTCATCCGGAATGTGTTATGAGTTCTGACTGTCCGTTAAATAAAGCATGTAGTAATCAGAAATGCATTAATCCATGTGAAGGTGCTTGTGGATTTGCAGCTCTTTGTCAAGTCATAAATCATAACCCTATATGCACATGCCCATCTAAAATGACGGGAGATCCTTTTACGAGATGTATAATAATACGTGAGTGTTTTAAGTATAATTAATTTTGTAATGATTATAACTGTAGTAAATTTAATTATATGTTTACTTGTATAATTTATCGTACTATAGAAGATTAATTTTTTTTAAAGAATGTTATTTTTAAATGTGAACAATAAGTTTATCTTTAAAATAACAGCATATTTTCATGAATTAATACTGATATATGTTTTTTTTTCATTGCAATAGCACTCGCTGAGCCTGTAGTAAGTGGAAACCCATGTCAACCATCACCGTGTGGACCAAATTCAATATGTCAACCAAACCAATCGGAAACCCCAACTTGCCAATGTTTGCCAGATTATATTGGTTCACCGCCTAATTGTCGACCAGAATGTATATCTAACTCTGAATGTGAATTACATCTGGCTTGTATTAACAAAAAATGCAAGGATCCCTGTTTACAAGCCTGTGGAATAAATGCAAAGTGTCAAGTTGTAAGTCACACCGCAGCCTGTGTGTGTCCTGAGGGTTATAGTGGCGACGCCGCGGTTCAATGTACTCTTAATGCTCTGCTTCCAAGTAGTCCTCTTTCGCCTTGTACTCCGTCACCCTGTGGGACGAATGCTGAATGTCGGGAAAAATCAGGAGCTGGTGCATGCTTCTGCATTAATGGGTACTTCGGTAATCCATACCAAAACTGTCACCCAGAATGTGTAGTGAACACAGATTGTCCTAGTAACAAAGCTTGTACACGTAATAAATGTATCGATCCTTGTCCAGGTACATGTGCATTGAATGCAGAATGTCAAGTAGTAAATCATTCACCATTATGTACTTGTCGACCATCGTACACAGGTGATCCTTTCCGACAGTGTGTTTTAAGAAGTAAGTTAATCTTTTATATAAGGTAAATACATATAAGATAAGATTTTTAAATTTAATTATAATACAAAATTATGATTATTTTAGTAAACGATGACCTGCCTACCAATCCTTGTCAACCCTCGCCATGTGGACCAAACAGTCAATGCCGAATTTCAAACGGTGTAAGTGTATGCTCATGCTTGCCTGAATACCATGGATCGCCTCCAAACTGCAGACCTGAATGTGTAGTAAGCTCCGAGTGTTCATCAGAAAACACTTGTGTCAATCAGAAATGTATTTCTCCTTGCCCTGGACCCTGTGGTAAAAACACAGATTGTAGAGTGATTAACCATAGTCCTATATGTACTTGCAAAGATAAATATACTGGGGATCCTTTTTCAAGTTGTTATAAAATTATAGGTATGTAACTTTTAACAACAAAAAATCATTTTTATTTACTAATAAGCATATACTCATATTTTTACTTTTCTTTAAATAGCTCCTGATCGAGTCTTGACTACAATAGATCCATGTGTACCGTCACCATGTGGAGCAAACTCACAGTGTCAGAACCGTAATGGCCTTCCATCCTGTTCCTGTCAGCCAAATTATTTTGGTAGTCCACCTAACTGCCGACCAGAATGTGTTGTAAATGAGGATTGCGCAAGTGATTTGGCCTGCATTGGTCTTAAGTGCAGTGACCCTTGTTCCGGATCATGTGGTCTCAATGCTAACTGTCATGTTATGAATCATATTGCAGTTTGTACCTGTAATGAGGGTTACACTGGAAATGCATTCACACAATGTAATCCGGTACCTATAAAAGGTATAAAATTTTCTAATCAATAAATTAAATATTAAATTAGTTAAACAATAATAAATACATATTTGGTTATTTTAGTTGAACCTGACATCTGTAAATGCGGTGCAAATGCTGAATGCGACGGAGAAAAGTGCAAGTGTCTTCCAGAATTTCACGGTGACCCGTATGATAGCTGTCGACCTGAATGCGTTCTGAATTCTGACTGCGATAGAAATTTAGCCTGTATTAATAACAAATGTGTGAATCCCTGTTCAGGAATTTGTGCAGCGACTGCTTTATGTAATGTTGTTAATCATATACCAATGTGCAGCTGTCCTGAACGTACAACTGGGAATGCTTTCTTAGAGTGTCGACCAGTATTACCTACAGGTATGTTATGTTATATATGTACTAGAAAATCAAAAAATATTTTTTACTTTGCAGATTATGTTTAACAGTTGCTAAAATTATACACATGTTTCAGAATCAGTCAACGTTAATCCATGTAACCCATCTCCTTGTGGTCCGAACAGTCAGTGTAGACAAGTAAATGGTCAAGCAGCTTGTTCTTGCGCTCCAAATACTATTGGTACCCCACCAGCTTGTCGTCCTGAATGCACAATTAGTGCCGAATGTCGACTAGATCAAGCGTGTAGTAATCAACGTTGTATCAATCCATGTGCCGCTTCATGCGGCATAAACGCTGAATGTAAAGTAGTAAACCATAATCCCGTCTGTTCTTGTCCTTCGTCTTTCACCGGAGATCCGTTTACACGTTGCTTTAAACAAGGTATTAATTTCATAAATCTTTGAAATCAAAATTACCTTGCCATATTTTTATTTAACTAAAATTTTTATATGAATTACAGCTGAAAAGTTACCAGAACGAATTGATCTATGCACACCTTCACCATGTGGTCCAAATTCGTTATGCCAGGAAATAAACGAAGTCCCATCATGCACTTGTTTAGATGGTTATCATGGTCAACCTCCATATTGTAAACCGGAATGCACAAGTAATGAAGAATGTTTACCAAGCTTAGCCTGTATACATATGAAATGTAAAAATCCATGTGAAAACATATGTGGTTCGAATGCTGAATGCAAAGTAGTCAGTCATTCGCCAATATGTTTGTGTGCTTTTGGGTACACAGGTGATCCATTTTTTGGTTGTACCAAAGAGATTTTAAATGCTGAAATAGAAGTAACCCCTTGTTCACCATCTCCTTGTGGGTCGAATGCAATATGCAAAGAAAAACAAAATGCTGGCTCATGTAGTTGCATTGAAGGTTATCTAGGAAATCCTTATGAAGGATGTCGACCTGAGTGCGTTGTCAATACTGATTGTCCCTCAAATAAAGCTTGTGTTAGTAACAAATGTAAAGATCCTTGTCCGGGTAGTTGTGGCGCAAATGCTTTGTGCCAAATAGTAAATCACTTACCCTTATGTACCTGTTTAAGTGGTTACACTGGGGATCCATTTAAATATTGCGTCTATCAAGGTTTGTTACTTCTGTTATTTTTATTTTTGGTTTGTAATAATCCAAAACTAATAAAGTATAAATTTTAGAGTCACGTCCTACAAAAATTCCTGTGGATGTGTGTTATCCATCACCTTGTGGACCTAACAGCCAATGTAAAGAGAGCAATGGTCAAGCAATCTGTTCGTGCCTAGCTGGATATGATGGAGTACCGCCAAATTGTCGACCTGAATGTGTCGTAAGTTCAGAATGTGTTCCAGAAAAAGCGTGCATTAATAACAAATGTGTTAATCCATGCCCTAAACCATGCGGAGTTAATACACATTGCCAAGTCATCAACCATAGTCCAATATGTTCCTGTAGGGGTTCCTTCACAGGAGATCCATTCACCTTGTGCACGCCAATAAAGCGTAAGTATTTTTTTCTGTCCATAAAAACATTAACGTTCATTATAAAATAATATTTATATTAAATGTAATTTCAGATGAAGAAGTTGTTTACGACAAAAATGTATGTTTACCGTCACCGTGTGGTCCAAATGCTGAATGTCGTCAAATTGGAAATTCCCCGTCATGTTCTTGCCTTCCAAACTTTATCGGTAGCCCACCGAACTGTCGACCTGAATGTAGCATCCACGCTGATTGCTCCACAAACCAAGCCTGTATTAATTCAAAATGCCAAGATCCTTGTCCAGGATCGTGCGGTACATCAGCTTTATGTGAAGTACACAACCACATTCCCATATGCACGTGTATCGAAGGATACGTTGGAGACCCATTTACGAGTTGTAAACCTCAACCATTGCAAGGTAATATAATGAGTTATATTTATAATTTTATATAAGTCACTATGATCATGCTATTGAAAAACAAATTTATTTTTTAGTGGAACCCGTCGTTATAGATTCATGCACAAATGTAAGATGTGGATCGAACGCAGAATGCAATGATGGACAATGTCAGTGTATACCGGAATATCACGGTGATCCATATTTTAATTGTCGCCCAGAATGTGTCTTTAGCTCGGATTGCGATGTCACTAAAGCTTGTGTTCAACAAAAATGCATCGACCCTTGCATAGGAACGTGTGGAATTAATGCAATATGCCAAGTAATAAATCATATTCCTATGTGTTCATGCAGCAATGGATTTTCTGGAAATGCATTTGTTGTTTGCAATCCAGTAAAAGGTAAATATATAATTTATTTAGATAAAACTTAAGATTAAATTTGTGTTTTCTTAAGAAAATTTAATATGTTCAGCGTGTTCTAAAAACTGTGTCAACCCTTGAAGGCATGTATACATATAAGTACATATAAGCTTATTATTAAAAATAGTATAACTTAAAAAATATCAAGCAGAGGTCAATTACAGTGCATAGGCTAAATAAATTTTAAATCGATATTATTTGAAAAAATGTTTCAAACATCTGACCCATACAAGGTTAAGGAACCGTATAGTCGCGAGGACGCATGCGCGGCCATTCACCGCAGGCGCCGGTCCGCTGGCGTTATTATTACTATTTTGTTAGTTTTTCGAATAGAGATTTGCAAGTTTAAAAATTAGGTATATCGATAAATATTCTATCGATATTTTCAATATTGCTATAAATAGTTATGCTTTTCATATTAAAATTGCTTTTATTAATAATTAATATTATTAATCAATATTATAATTTGGAACTTCTTCAGATAAATTAACAATGTTGTATTATTAGGATAAATCGTTAATCTATTTCTGTTAAAAATGGTGTTTTACAATCAAAATTAATATTAATATTTGATATATCAAAATAAGTATCGAAATAATATGAATATTAAATATTTATTTATTGTTATGATTTTTTAAATATCGATATTTTCAATAATGTGAAAGTAACTTCGAGTTCGTCACTAGTAGCGCAGCAGGTGTGATGACGCCATTGAGTGTCATCGTGTTATACCAGGGCTTACAAACATTTTGTTACTCTACATATAATAATCATTTAATATTTAATTTTATTATTTTTATTGAAGAGTTTGTAAATTTAAGTTGTTTGTGTTCCATTTTCGATACTGATAACGCAGTTAAGGGGGTTGACACAATTTTTCATACACACTGTATACAGGGTGACTGGTGAATTACTATCGATACTTGAGGACGTGATATTTGACGATCATATATGACAAAATAAAAATTAATATAACATAAATATTAATAAACCTCTAAGTAAAGTTAGCCAAAAGTTATGTAATTAATTACGCATCGTGTGAATACCCTACAGATTAGGTATACACACACACTCACACATACGAGGGCGGCGGCGTAGTGTTGTATCAGCACGCCGCCGCACGCGTCCACACGTGGAACACTTGGAACGTGTCCACGCTTTATTTATTTATACGGAAATTTGGTCAAAAATTAAGTACCTATTTTTTTTACATAATTCGAATGAGAATCATGTACCGAGTATTCTCCTAAAATGTTGATAGTAATTCACCAGTCACCCTGTATATATTATGTATATACACACAGTATGAATTAAATTGGGAACTTTTAATGAGTAAATATTTCTTTCAGTTTCCGTCTCTGAACATCCCTGCACTACTACAATTTGTGGACCGAACAGTCAATGTCGCGAAGTAAACAATCAAGCTGTTTGTTCTTGTTTACCCAATTACTTAGGTGTACCGCCCGCTTGTAGGCCAGAATGTGTAGTAGATGCTGAATGTCTTCAAAATCAAGCATGTATTAATCAGAAATGTGTAAATCCTTGCATTGGATCTTGTGGACTAAGAGCTAAATGCGAAGTAATAAACCATAACCCAATATGCGCCTGTCCAAGTGGATTTTCTGGTGATCCATTTGTTGCATGTTCTATCATTTCAAGTAAGTATTCATCTATTGACCCTTACAAATTGGAAAAGAAACAAAAAAAATTACATTATTTTTTTATACATTTTAGATATTCGAGTTCCTTTGGTAAACCCTTGTCTACCTTCTCCATGCGGTCCAAATTCGATCTGTGAAGAAATACAAGGACAGCCATCTTGTCGCTGTATGCCAGAATTTAAAGGTCAACCACCATTCTGTAAACCTGAATGCGTAAGCAATAGCGAGTGTTCATCACACTTGGCATGTGTCAATCAAAAATGTAAAGATCCCTGCATTAATGCATGTGGTATAAATGCTGAATGTAGAGTAGTGAGTCATTCTGCAATGTGTGTGTGTCCTCAAGGGTACGAAGGTGACCCATTTTCGCAATGTTCTATAAGAACAGCTATAGAAATATTAACACCATGTTCGCCATCTCCCTGTGGAACTAATGCGATTTGCGAAGAACGTAACCATGTCGGATCTTGTAAATGTAACGAAGGTTACTTTGGCAATCCTTACGAAAGTTGCAGACCTGAGTGTGTATCTGACTCTGATTGCCCAGGAAATAGGGCTTGTATTAATATGAAATGTCAAGATCCTTGTCCGGGAACCTGTGGCTTGAATGCCGAATGTACTACTATTAATCATAAGCCAACATGTGTATGCATATCGGGTTATACTGGCGATGCTTTCCGGAAATGTTCTGTTGTACCACGTAAGTTTAATAAGTTTAATGTTTGATAGGCCTTTATTTTCAACATTGACAGTAATATTTTATATATAATATATATAATAAAACCTTAACGAGCTACATTGTTTCAGTAAAAGATGACACACCTGTGAACCTATGCTATCCTTCTCCGTGTGGTCCGAATAGCCAATGTAAAATAATAAATGAGAAAGCGATCTGTAGCTGCCTGCCTAATTACATTGGTCTACCACCGTCATGTAAACCCGAGTGTAGTCTCAGTTCAGACTGCAGTTCAGATAAAGCTTGTATCAATCAAAAATGTTCGAACCCATGTCCCGGTCCTTGTGGACACCTAGCAGATTGTCGCGTGATCCACCATAATCCCATTTGTAGTTGTTTACCAGGATTGACGGGAGACCCCTTCACACGATGCTATACTAGACCAGGTAAGATGCATGTATGAAAAATATAGTATATAGTACTAATTCGGTAACTATGTATAAAATTTTATAATATACATTTTATAATAGATATACATATATGTATTAAATCAAATTTTTACTTATCCTCAAATATTAAATATGTATTTTATATCCTTTTTTATTGTTATTTTTCTATGGCTATTGTTCTGCCTAAAAAAGCCAGTTTATCATATTATGTCTTTAAAAGTTATTTTTAATTAATAACCTTTCAAAATAGATACCTTATAAAAAAGTTCTTTAAATTAATATGTAGTACGATGGTGATTTAAATGACCAATCTATAAGAGGTCAAACAAAAGACATATCATTTGAAAACATATTATTAGCAAAGGAAGCTATAATAAGTATTTACAAAGACGTGTTGATTTTAATTTTTTAATATTTATACATAACATATTTTTTGCAGTTGTTCATGCTCAAATAGATGAAATAAAGGATCCGTGTGTACCGAGTCCTTGTGGCTTAAATTCTCAGTGTCGTAATATAGACGGACAAGCCGCTTGCTCCTGCTCAGCTGGTTACCTCGGTAGCCCTCCTAATTGTAGACCAGAATGTACAACCAATCAAGACTGTATCGGATCTCTATCCTGTATTAATGAAAAGTGCATCGATCCTTGTCTAGGATCGTGTGGGAGGAATGCAAGGTGTTTTGTCATAAAACATGTAGCCATTTGCACCTGCCTTGAAGGTTACACTGGAGATCCTTTTACAAAATGCGACATAAAACCAATAAATGGTAAAAAACTTAAAATTGTTGCTATATTTTATACATATCACATTTTCTTTAGTTAGTTGCAAAATTTGTCAAGTTTTCTAATTAATAAAAAAAAACTACTTTTACAGATAATGTTATCGATAGTTGCAATCCTTCACCATGTGGTTCCAATACGGAGTGCCAAAACGGAGAATGCCACTGTTTACCAGAATATCATGGCGATCCTTATGTTGGCTGTAGACCAGAGTGTGTAATAAGTTCCGATTGTCCCAGGAATCAAATCTGTACTGCTAAAAAGTGTATAAACCCTTGCCCAGATATGTGTGGAAAGAATGCAATATGTGAGGTTTTCAATCACGTTCCGATGTGCAGTTGTCCAGCTGGATACACTGGCAATTCATTTATTTCATGCCAACTTTTCCAAGGTACAAACTTTTATACAAAAACGTTTGTGATGACTATCTTAACTAATAATTAAAGTTGATCTTATTTTATATTGTAGTCATGGTGCCTGCTAATCCGTGCAACCCCAGTCCATGCGGTCCCAATAGCCAGTGTCGAATAACAAATAATATAGCAGTTTGTTCCTGTATTCCTGGTTATGAAGGAAATCCACCAACATGTCGACGAGAATGCACAACTAGTTCAGAGTGTCCTCTGAATAAAGCTTGTAATAACTATAAGTGCATCGATCCATGCAAAGGAGCTTGTGGATTAAACGCCTTATGTGAGATAGTCAACCATAATCCCATTTGCTCATGTCCATCGGAATATACAGGCGATCCATTTAGTCGATGCACTGAAAGACGTAAGCATATTATTTAAAGTAATTATATGTCTGATATCAACTTAACTTTGGTTTTAATATTTTGTTTCTGTTTTCAGTCCAAGAAACGCTGCCACAGCTAAATCCATGCATCCCATCTCCTTGTGGACCTAACTCAATATGTCAACCTCTATCAGATACACCATCTTGTTCTTGCATGCCAGAATTTAAAGGAACTCCGCCAAATTGCCGCCCTGAATGCACCAGTAACAGTGAATGTTCAAACCATTTGGCCTGTATTAATAATAAATGTAGTGACCCATGTTTAGGCGCATGCGGCTCACTTGCTGAATGTCGTGTAGTAAGCCATACACCAAACTGTATGTGCCCACAGGGATACACAGGAGATCCATTTTTATCGTGCTTGATACTAAACACAGTAGTAACAGAAAAGCCAACACCCTGTACGCCATCACCGTGTGGGTTTAATGCAGTCTGCCAAGAACGCAACAACGTCGGTTCTTGTACCTGCTTTGCGGGCTATTTTGGCAATCCCTATGAGGGATGTCGACCAGAATGTACCGTTAACACAGATTGTCCCTCAGACAAAGTTTGCCAGCAAAATAAGTGTCAGGATCCTTGCCCAGGAACGTGTGGTGTAAATGCAATTTGTCAATCAGTTAATCATGCTCCCTTATGTACTTGTCTTCCTGGTTATACCGGAGATCCATTTAAAAACTGCATTTTTAAACAAGGTACATTTATAAACAATTACTTAAACGTTTTTATATTCATGAAGTTTAATTTCATAAAACAATAATTGACTTTCTAATTTATAATATTTTTTTCTAGATATAGAAAAACCGACTGATCCTTGCAAACCTTCGCCTTGTGGACCGAATAGTGTCTGTAAAATATTAAATGAACAAGCTGTATGTAGTTGTATGCCAGAATATCACGGTACTCCACCAAACTGCCGACCGGAGTGCATTATAAGTTCTGAATGTGCCAATAATAGGGCTTGTATCAAACAAAAATGTATGGATCCATGTTTAGGACAATGTGGAATAAACTCAAAATGCTTAGTTATTAATCATAGCCCTATCTGCACCTGTATGGAACATTTTACTGGCGATCCCTTCAGCCGCTGTTTCGCTATGGTTCAGCATCTTCCAGAAAAGCAATATAATCCTTGCTTGCCGTCACCATGCGGACCGTTTAGTGAATGCAGGGAAAATGATGGTGTACCTTCTTGCACCTGTCTTTCAAATTATATGGGGGCTCCTCCAAATTGTCGACCCGAGTGTGTTATTAACGCTGACTGTAAAAGTGATTTGGCTTGTATAAATCAGAAATGTATAGATCCGTGTCCAGGTTCCTGTGGCATTAATGCACAGTGCGTAGTAAAAACTCATACGCCTATTTGTACCTGTTACGATAATTATGTAGGGGATGCTTTCATCGAGTGTAAATTACAAGGTAGTTTTATCTGTTTATTGCAGTATTGACGTTTGATTTGATTCAGATTATGTAAACGTTAATTTTAACGTATTTCTTATAGAAATCACCAGCGATACCTCGGATCCATGTGTGCCATCGCCTTGTGGTGCCAACGCTAAGTGTGATGACGGTGTATGCTCCTGTCTACCTGAATATTTCGGGGATCCTTACTTTGAATGCCGTCCTGAATGCACTCTTAGTTCTGATTGTCCACTAAATAAGGCTTGTTATAGAAACAAATGCGTTAATCCATGTAACGCAAATGTCTGTGCAAGCAATGCATTATGTGAAGTTATTAATCATGTGCCAATGTGCAGATGCCCAGAAGAAATGACTGGAAATGCTTTTGTATCATGTTCCAGACAAGAAGGTACCTTTTTTAAAATTTATTTTTGTCTTTGTTATGTTATAAGTTATTATTTCACTAAAGAAATGTTACTGACATTTTTTACTAATTACATTATAACTGTGTGTTTTTTTGTAAAATATTGGATATATAATGTCAATTCTTACCATGATCTAACTTTTAATTTTTAGTTGAAACACCTCAAGCCTGTCACCCGAGTCCATGCGGACCTAATAGTCAGTGTCGTAATGTGAACGGCCAGGCAATTTGTTCATGTTTAGTGGGCTATATTGGTACTCCACCTTCGTGCAGACCGGAGTGCATTGTAAGCTCAGATTGTTCTCCCGAGGAAGCTTGTTCAAACCGAAAATGTATACGGCCTTGTCAAGGAGCATGTGGAATTAATTCTAAATGTCAGGTCATAAATCATAATCCTATCTGTTCATGTCCACCCTCTTTTACTGGAAATCCATTCATTAGATGTATATTACAAGAAATTGAACAAGAACCAATTGATGTCTGTAATCCATCACCATGTGGACCGAATTCAATTTGCAAGGAAATGTTAAATTCACCCATATGTTCGTGTCAACCTGGATATTTTGGTGCTCCGCCATATTGTAAACCCGAGTGTATAAGTAATTCAGAATGTCCAACTCATCGTGCATGTATTAACGAAAAATGTGTTGATCCTTGTGAAACTGTCTGTGGCTCAAATACACAGTGCCATGTGATAAGTCATTCTCCCTCATGTTCATGCCTTCAGGATTACACAGGTAATCCCTTCATTGAATGCCACAAAATTGAAAAAGTTATAGAGATCTTGTCACCCTGCCAACCGTCTCCTTGCGGGGCTAATGCTGTATGTAAAGAGTACAATGGTGCTGGCTCATGCACATGTCTCACTGATTTTTACGGTAACCCATATGAAGGATGCAGACCAGAGTGTTTAATAAATTCTGACTGCCTGTCTAGTCAAGCATGTTTGCAAAGTAAATGTCAAAATCCGTGTCCGGGTGCTTGTGCTTCAAATGCTGTATGCCAAGTAATAAATCATGCCCCATCCTGTTCATGTCCTGAAGGTTATTCTGGAGATCCATTTAAATACTGTACGCCTACCCGTAAGTAAAATTTAATTTGATTCACTGTTAAATAAATAATATTTTCTTACATGACTATTAAACTTTATGAATATTATATTTTAGAGACACTAGAAATACCTGTTGACGTGTGCCAACCGTCACCATGTGGGCCGAACAGTCGTTGTCAGGAGGTTAATAAACAGGCAGTTTGTTCTTGTATGCCAAATTATATTGGTTCACCACCAGGTTGTCGCCCTGAGTGTGTTGTCAGTTCTAATTGTCCCTCGAATAAGGCATGTGCCAATGAAAAGTGTATTGATCCATGCATTAGTGCATGCGGAAGTAACGCTGATTGCAGAGTTATAAATCATAACCCGATATGTAACTGTAAAAACTTCTATACTGGTGATCCTTTTACTAGATGTATTCCCCTAAAGCGTAAGTAATTTTTAAATTGGCATTCAAGACAAAAACATTCTTTAAATAATTGTCATTTAAACTTTTACTTAAGACATTGTTTATGAATTAGAAATAATATTTTTTCAGCACCCGTTGCTAACGCCGTTTTGGAACCATATAAAAACCCTTGTGTTCCCTCACCGTGTGGACCAAATTCTGTATGCCAAGAAACAAATAACATACCTGCTTGTACTTGTATGGACGGTATGTTAGGCAGCCCACCAAATTGCAAACCGGAATGTATCGTCAACTCCGAATGTGCTCTTTCACAAGCCTGTATACATCAAAAATGTCAAGATCCTTGCGCTGGTTCATGTGGTATTGGAGCTTTGTGTTCCGTTGCGCGACATGTACCTATCTGCACATGCCCTGATGGATTTACAGGAGATGCCTTTACTGCGTGCACACCGAAACCAAAACCAGGTGAATACTGATTAACTATTTTATGATAATAAGAAATAATAAATACTTAACATACCGGAATCAACTTTTTAAATGTTAAAATTATTTTTTAGATTTTGATATAATAGATAAATGTAATCCATCGCCTTGTGGCACAAATGCCGTTTGCAATGATGGCGTTTGTACCTGCATTAAAGAACATCAAGGCGATCCTTATATCGGATGTAGACCGGAATGTGTACTCAGTGCTGACTGTGCAAAAGACAAAGCATGTATTAGAAATAAATGTATTGATCCTTGTCCTGGAGCATGTTCTTCTACAGCTGTTTGTGAAGTAATAAATCACATTCCTATGTGTACATGTCCACAAGGAATGAGTGGAAATGCCTTCTATGCATGTGAACCCATTAGAGGTACGTACAAAACCATTTTGTCTCACTTGTATTTATGTATTTATTTTTTTTTTGTATATTAAAGAATTTCAAGTATAAAAATAATTTAAATATGTTTTTAGTGAGATAAATAAATGAAATTTAATATTTTTAGGTCCTCTTATAAGCAACCCTTGTATTCCATCGCCATGCGGACAAAATAGTCAGTGCAGGGAAGTTAATGGTCAAGCTGTATGCACATGTATTCCTGGTTTTATTGGTAGTCCACCACTTTGCAGGCCAGAATGTTTAGTCAGTTCAGACTGTTCTTTAAACAAAGCTTGTAGTAATCAAAAATGTATCGACCCCTGCAAAGGTTCATGCGGGGTGGAAGCCAAATGTGTTGTTGTTAAACATAATCCAATATGCACTTGTCCCCCCAGTTATACAGGAGACCCATTCATTCGATGCATTCCATCTGGTAAGTAATTGAATAAAGTAAATATTTTTTATACTGTATACATATTATATTCGTATCTATAACCTCTCCTCTCATTGCAGCACCCATGGCTACAGTCGTATCTCCTTGTTCTCCGTCACCCTGCGGTGCTAACGCTATTTGTCACGAAACAGATGAATCGCCATCATGTGCTTGTATACAAGGTTATATTGGATCACCGCCATACTGTAGACCCGAATGCAGCAGTAATAGCGAATGCTCCACTCATCTCGCATGTATTAATCAAAAATGCAAAGGTCCGTGCATTGACGTGTGTGCTCCAAATGCAAATTGTAAAGTAGTAAGCCATTCACCCATGTGTTTCTGTGATGACGGGTATGAGGGAGATCCATTCACAAGTTGTCAACCTATATTATTAAACGCTCCTGAAATTGTTTCACCTTGTGACCCTTCACCGTGTGGTATCAACGCGATCTGCAAGGAACATAACTCCGCAGGTTCTTGTATTTGTCTTGAAAATTATATAGGAAACCCATATGAAGGATGTCGACCCGAGTGCACAATAAACACAGATTGTTCACCAAACAAGAGCTGCATAAGAAACAAATGTGTAGATCCTTGTCCTGGAACTTGTGGTTTAAGGGCAACCTGCATCACTATTCAACATTTACCCGTCTGCACGTGTTCTTCTGGATACACTGGTGATCCTTATCGAAGATGCGATTTTATAAAAGGTACCAAATAAAATTTATGTATGAAAAATTTTTAAAATTACATTGAACTAAATGTCTCATATGTTTATATATTTTAGAAACGACTCCAGAAGTTTCGACTCCCTGTGTGCCAAATCCATGTGGACCAAATAGCATTTGCAAAGCATCTAATGGTCAAAGTGTATGTTCTTGCATGCCTGGCTACATTGGCTCGCCACCTGGTTGTCGACCAGAATGTACAGTTAGTGTGAATGTCCACCAACAACCGCATGCATTAATATGAAATGTGTCAACCCTTGCCCAAACCATTGCGGTACTGATACTGAATGCAGAGTTGTAGCTCACAGTCCAATTTGTACGTGTAAAAATGGTTATACAGGAGATCCATTCACCCGATGTTACAAACAACGTATGTTTCAATAAATCATAGCCATGTTTTTTTTATATCAGCTCAATTATTATATTATTTTTATTTATTTCAGCACCACTTGCTATAACTCAAGAAATTCGTCAAAATCCCTGCGTTCCCAGTCCTTGTGGTTCTAATGCCATTTGCAGGGATATCAATGGTTCACCGTCATGTTCTTGCATGTTAAACTTCCAAGGATATCCACCAAATTGTAGACCAGAATGTGCTATAAATCAAGATTGTCCATCAAACATGGCGTGTATTAATATGAAATGTCGGGATCCATGTCCTGGAAGCTGCGGACAGAATGCTGAGTGTACAGTTTTTAATCATTTGCCTGCTTGTACATGTGCCAATGGTTATAGCGGCGATCCGTTTACTCACTGTAATATAATCGCCTTAAAAGGTATTTATATAAATAATTTTAATATTTTAGGTATTTATTTAAAATAATAATGTAGATTACTGATATTAAATTTAGCAGCATCCTCATTTTCAAAATCCCGGTCACTGTTTTCTTAAGTATGCATAATAATTTTAAATGTGTTTGGAATACTTTGAGAACAGTGTTTACTGTTAGGTATATTTGATTATATTTAATAAAAATATATTAGGTTCTTATAAATCATTAAAGACATAACCTTTATATACTTATATTTCGTTTCAGATGAGACTCCTAACGATCCCTGCCACCCTTCGCCATGTGGCTTTAATGCCGAATGTATAAATGGAATATGTTCTTGCATAAATGATTATCATGGAGATCCTTATCAAGGTTGTAAACCCGAATGTACAACAAACATGGAATGTTCATCTAATGAAGTATGCTCCAGGAATAAGTGTATCAATCCCTGTCCTGCAATATGTGCTGTAACAGCCGAATGTAATGTTTACAATCACATACCCATATGCACATGCCCGCAAGGTATGAGCGGAAATGCTTTCAAAGAATGCTATCATCTTGAGAGTAAGTATTTTTCTTTTAAGTAGTAAGTTTTATCAAAAAAAAATCTATATATCACAATAAAACGACAATAATACTTTTTTCAGTTATTAACGAGGAACCATGTAATCCAAGTCCATGCGGCCCTAACAGTCAATGCCGAAATGTAAATAATCAAGCTGTCTGCACATGTTTACCTTCCTTTATTGGTAGTCCTCCGTCTTGTCGACCCGAATGTACTATAAGTGCTGAATGTCCATCAGATGAAACATGTAATAATCAAAAATGCATAAATCCGTGCAAAGGCAGTTGCGGCTATAAAGCGAGATGTGAAGTAGTAAATCATAATCCAATATGCTCATGTCCTCCGCAACACACAGGAGACCCATTTACAATATGCAACCCAATCGGTTAGCTAATATTTTGGACATTTTTTATCATACATCATTTATTCAGTTCATGTAAACATAGTCCTTAATCATTTACTTTTATTATAGTTTCTACACCACCATCAATAGACCCTTGTAGTCCATCACCGTGCGGGCCTTTTTCAATTTGTAAAGTCATCGGGGAGTCGCCATCTTGTTCGTGTCAGACAGATTACACTGGATCACCACCCAACTGCCACCCCGAGTGCATAAGCAACTCCGAATGTTCAAGCAACCAAGCGTGTGTGAATCAAAAATGTAAAGATCCATGTCCTGGCAGCTGCGGATATAATGCCGACTGTAGAGTTATTAGTCATGCGCTGATTTGCTCTTGTCCGTATAGATATACCGGAGATCCACTTGTTTCTTGTAATCCCATAAAAGGTAACTTTCATTTTAAACATTTATTGTTAAACAATAATTAAATAAAAGTTAGATAAAACCTCGCAATATTTGTCTTGTTCACAGAAACTGTTATCGCATATGATTCACCCTGTGAGACTTCTCCGTGTGGATTAAATGCAAGGTGTAGAGAAAGTAACGGCGTGGGATCCTGTCAATGCTTGGAGAACTACGTCGGTGATCCTTATGAAGGATGTCGACCGGAATGTGTTATAAACACAGATTGCAATCCTACTCAAGCGTGTATTCAAAATAGATGTAAAGATCCATGTTTAGGCATATGTGCACCAAATGCTATCTGTCAAGTAGTTAATCATTTACCGTCGTGTCATTGCCCTCCCACTCTTACAGGAGATGCTTATTCTATTTGTGTAGACAAAGTTGAAGGTAAAGATTCTAAACACTTCTATTAATATGAAATAATTATTATATGTTTTAATATAATTTCGTTTTTTTTTTTCAGATGACAAAAAAATTACTCCATGCATTCCTTCACCTTGCGGGCCCAATAGTCAGTGCCGCGAGGTAAATTCTCAGGCTGTTTGCAGTTGTATGGAAACATATGTCGGTACTCCGCCTAATTGTCGCCCAGAATGCATGATTAATAGTGAATGTGCTTCTGACAAGGCGTGCATTAATCGAAAATGTGTAAACCCATGTGCTGGACAGTGTGGTAAAAATGCTAATTGCAGAGTAATAGCACATAGCCCTATGTGTTCATGCCAAGAATTATATACCGGAGATCCATTTTCTTACTGTATGCCTCGTAAGTATATATACATTTTATAAATATACTAGAAGACCCGGCAAACCTCGTATCGCCCCATAATCAAGAAATATCTGTTACGTTTTTTTAATAAATACATTTAGGTTATACTTAGCCTCAGAAACATGGTGGTTATGCTATTAACAAATAGTCGCTCATATATGACGTTTATATTTTTAACATAGCGCCATCTATTGAATACTTAACTCAGTGAACAGTCAATTATAATAATGACAAATAATTTTCTTCAATAGACAAATAATTTGCAATAAAATAATATTGTGACTATAACACACACACACGGAATGCAAATGAAATTTAAGATTGGTTTAATAGTTTAGGAGTCCATCGCGGACATACACGTGACACAAAATTTTTATATATATAAAGATAAATATTAAGGAAACTTTTACAATTTCTGATTAATATAATAATAATTTATTTTTTTACAGAACCCATCTCCATTGCATCACAAATTGTAAATCCTTGCTTACCTTCACCGTGTGGATCAAATGCTATATGTGATGAGAACAATGGCCTGCCACGATGTAGCTGTAAACCCAACTACATAGGTACACCACCATTATGCCGACCAGAATGCACGATCAACTCAGACTGTAACTCGGTTCAAGCTTGTATCAACAACCGCTGTACTGATCCTTGTCCGGGGGCTTGTGGAAACAATGCACAGTGTATCGTCAATAATCATTTACCTATCTGCTCCTGCTTACCAAGTTATACTGGAGATCCATTTACTAATTGTGATGTTATTGTAAACGGTAAGTTCGGAATATTCGTACACCTTTGTTTTGTCACGTTTCGTATAGCTAAAATTAATTTATTTTCTTTATATGAAATATTTCAGATGAACAGATTAATCCCTGCTCGCCATCGCCTTGCGGTGCTAATGCTATTTGTAATGAAGGAATCTGTTCTTGTTTAGAAGGTTATTTCGGAGATCCTTACTTTAATTGTAAGCCCGAATGTGTATTGAATTCTGACTGTGTACGAAGCAAAGCTTGCATACGTAACAAATGCATAGATCCTTGTGTGGGGACATGCGGAAACGAAGCTACTTGTGAAGTAATAAATCATATACCAATTTGTTCATGTCCCGTAGGAACTACTGGAGATCCTTTCAACTTTTGTACAAGAGTTATAGGTATGCTTTCTATTATTTAATAATTATTACTTTAGAGACATTTTTTTTTTAATTGTCTATACCGATAGTATTATTACATACCATTTTTGATAGCTTGTAATTTATATATTTTTTGTTTCAGAACCAATTTCCACCAATTTATGCGAACCCAACTCATGTGGGCCTTATAGTAAATGTAAAGAAATAAATGGTCATGCCGTTTGTGTTTGTATTCAGGGCTTCCTTGGCAGCCCACCAAACTGTCGACCAGAATGTACTATTAGTTCCGACTGTTCTTTAGAAAAAGCCTGTTCTAATCAAAAATGTATAGATCCTTGTCCCGGAGCATGTGGAAGAAATACTCAATGTATTGTTGTGAATCACAATCCAATATGCACCTGTTTGGCTGGATTTAGTGGAGATCCTTTTTCAGTATGTCAAATAATTCGTAAGTATCCCTTTATTTTTAAATATAAATTGTCAAAAATATAAATGATGATAATTTATCAAATATTTTTATTTTCAGCACCTACAGTACCTGTTAAAATCAATCCATGCCTACCATCTCCATGTGGACCAAATTCTCAATGCTCTGAGAGAGATGAAACTCCACATTGTACTTGTTTACCAGACTATATAGGTGTGCCACCAAAATGTCGTCCGGAATGTACCAGTAACACGGATTGTAACATACGTATGGCGTGTATAAATAAAAAATGTCGGGACCCGTGTGTTGGATCGTGTGGAGTTAACGCAGAGTGTAAAGTTGTGAGCCACACTCCTATTTGTACTTGTCAAAGCGGTTACAGCGGAGATCCCTTCCACTACTGCCATGAATTGATAATTGCAACTCCACAAGAGAGGCCTACTCCTTGTGTCCCATCTCCTTGTGGAGCAAACGCTGTATGTAGAGATCAAAATGGCATTGGATCTTGCACCTGTCTTTCTGAGCACTTTGGTGACCCGTACGTCGCCTGCAAGCCCGAATGTTTACTTAATTCGGATTGTCCATCAAATAAAGCATGTCACAATAAAAAATGTCATGACCCTTGTCCTGGTACTTGTGGTATAAATGCTCAGTGCAATGTTATAAATCATATTCCAAGTTGCAGTTGTCCTGAACAATATTACGGAGATCCATACAAAATATGTACATTTAGATTACAAGGTGAGAAAAAACATTAATAGTAATTTTTTTAATGACGTGAAATAAGTTTGGAAGTTTTCTGTGTTTATTATTATTTTGTCAATAATTTTGATTCCTTTTTAACATGCATGTTATTAATTCTTTGCAGAAAATAAGGTTGATGCTTGTGATCCTTCTCCATGTGGACCAAACTCACAATGTAAAACGATGAACGAGATTGCTGTGTGCACTTGTTTAGTTGGCTATCAAGGATCACCACCAGATTGCCGACCAGAATGTATAACAACTTCGGAATGTGCTCTAGACAAAATATGCGAAAACAATAAGTGTATATCACCATGTCCCAGAGGTTGTGGTAGTAACACAAATTGTCGAGTGATTAATCACAATCCTATATGCGTATGCAAAGAAGGATATACTGGGGATCCTCTCTCGACTTGTTATACTATAATACAAAGAGAGCCAGCGATACTTGAAAATCCCAACCCATGCATTCCATCTCCGTGTGGCTTAAACGCAGAATGCAGAAATGTAGGTGGAATACCATCATGCTCGTGTTTATCAACATTCATTGGAAGCCCACCAAACTGTAAACCTGAATGTATAACGAACTCAGACTGCAGCAACGATAAAGCTTGTATTACTATGAAATGTTTGGATCCTTGCTTGGGTTCATGTGGACAACATGCCCTTTGTACTGTCATAAAGCATGTGCCTGTATGCTCCTGTTCTAATGGTTATGAAGGAGATCCATTTACTATGTGCACCGCCAAGAAAGAAGGTTGGAGCTTTGTTATTTACTATTTATATGATTTTATCATACATGTGTACGTCTATTCCTTAACAAAGTCAAATTTTATGTGATATGAAATTTAAGTGTTATATTATATATTTTTTTATTTTTATTACATATTATCAATATTATTCTCTTAATTTACAGAAGTAATTAATGATATCAACCCATGCAATCCATCACCTTGTGGGCCTAACGCAATATGTCATAATGGCGAATGCACCTGTTTACCGGAGTATCACGGGGATCCATATTTCGAATGTCGACCTGAGTGTGTCCTAAATAGTGATTGCCCTGTTAATAAAGCCTGCCTACATAATAAATGTATTGATCCATGTGTCGATATGTGTGGTATTAATGCTGAATGCAATGTCTACAATCATATAGCAGTATGTAGTTGTCCAGATGGAATGGTTGGAGATGCCTTTGCTGAATGCCAAACTGTTAAAAGTAAGTTTAAAGTAATAAAATGAAATTACTTTGAAGATTAATTTTATATATGAAGATGACAAAAATAAAGTTTTCAAATAAAACGTATGATTCTATATTCTGTACAGCTCCAACGACCGCGGCATGTGTTCCATCTCCATGTGGACCTAACAGTATATGCAGAGAGGCCAACGGCCAAGCTGCGTGTACTTGTATACAAGGCTTTGTCGGAAATCCCCCAAGCTGTCGTCCAGAGTGTATTCGAAGCACAGATTGTCCAGCATCACTAGCATGTATTAATAAAAAATGTCAAGACCCTTGTCCGGGCTCATGCGCATCAAATGCTATATGTAATGTAATAAAACATAATCCGGTATGTTCCTGTCCTCCAAGATATACGGGATCTCCTTTCACACATTGTTATGGTAAGTAAAATTACTACAATTTGCTCGGTTAAACTAAGCAAAATAAGCTTCAAATTGAAAGTTGTAAATCCTTATAATAATTTAACGTGTCTTTATTGCAGTTCAACAAATACAAGAAAGTCCCAGCAATCCGTGTGACCCATCTCCATGTGGCCCAAATAGTTTATGTAAAGTATTGGGCCCAGAATCTTATATTTGTTCCTGTCAGCCAACTTTTGAAGGAAATCCACCAAATTGTAAAAGAGAATGTTCAGCAAACGAAGATTGTGCCACAGACAAATCCTGTATAAATTATAAATGTAAAGATCCTTGTCCAGGATCTTGCGGAATCAACACAATATGTACAGTTCATCTTCATACAGCAATGTGCTCTTGTCAAAACGGTTTCTTTGGAGATCCATTCCTGTTCTGTTATGAAAAACCTGAGATCATTAAACCAAAAGATCCTTGCAATCCTACGCCTTGTGGGCCGAACGCACGTTGCTCAGTCTCAGACAGAGATATCGCAGTATGTAGTTGCGAGTCTGGTTACTTTGGTAATCCATACGAAACATGTAGACCAGAATGTACAATGAATTCTGAATGTCCCTTCAATAAGGCCTGTTTAAGAAATAAATGTGTTGATCCATGTCCAGGAGTATGTGGTACTACTGCAATTTGCAATGTAATAAATCATTTACCGATTTGTACATGTGCCTCAGGATATACAGGAAATCCGTACGCATATTGTCATATAGTACTTGAAAAATTTGGTACGTTATAATTATGTTTTTTTCATAGTAATTTTGAATATTTTACAATTATTTTAATATTGTTCAAGATCTCACCTTTATAATTGTTACAGAAAACATTTCTCGAGATCCCTGTATTCCAAATCCGTGTGGTAGCAATAGTGTTTGCAAAAATAACGGAGAGGTTGTTTCTTGTTCTTGTATGTCTGATTATATTGGAACCCCACCAAATTGCCGACCCGAATGCACAGTTAACTCAGAATGTGAAGCTTCTAAGAGTTGTATTAATTATAAATGTGCTGATCCATGTTTTGGTGTTTGTGGTCAAAATTCTATATGTAAAGTAATTAATCATGCACCAGTTTGTTCTTGCGGCCAGGGCTATACTGGAGATCCATTTACCAAATGCATAGAAATACAAAGTAAGTACAAATAAAAACATAATGTTAAAAGTTTATAATTTTAAAGGTATTTATTTTGTACTGCATGAAAATTAAACAACTACATTTTTTATAGAACTACCTCCGGCCGAAGTTAATCCATGCAATCCATCACCGTGTGGACCTAATGCACTTTGTCAAACTATAAATACAGTGCCAATGTGCACATGTATAGAAAACTTTATTGGTTTTCCGCCAAATTGTCGTCCAGAATGTATCGTGAACTCGGATTGTCCTTTCGACAAATCGTGCATTAACCAAAAATGTAAAGATCCTTGCATCGGTTCATGTGGATTAAACACAATATGTCAAGTTTATCAACATTCTGCTATATGTAGTTGTGTTGAAGGATATACCGGAAATCCATTTGAAAGTTGTCACTTTACTGAAATAATCGGTAAGTTTAGATTTTTTTTATCTAATCTGTTCAAAGGTCTCAATTTATACCAAATTATGAATGAAGATCCTAAAATGTACTTTACTCAAAAATATTTTGTTTATTTCAGAACATTCCCCAATTATTTATGACAAATGCAATCCCAGCCCTTGTGGAGCTAACACTGAATGTAGGGATGGAATATGTTCTTGCAAACCAAATTACTTCGGAAACCCTTATATGAGCTGTCGACCTGAATGCTCTCATAGCTCTGAGTGCGCATTTAATCTCACATGCATAAACAACAAATGTTCTGATCCATGCGTCAATCTTTGTGGTCAGAATGCTGTATGCGAAGTATACAATCATGTACCAATGTGCAGTTGTCCCAGAAATATGGTGGGAAATGCTTTCTTTTCATGTACTCTCTTAACAGGTAAAATGTCTACAAGTGATTTTTTTTAGTTCCTTTTTTTACTTTATTACCTATATATAATATTAATTACCTTACAGTAGTTAAAGAAGAAGATAAAAATGTGTGCGAACCATCTCCATGCGGTCCCAACAGCGTATGTCACACAAACCAAAATCAAGCTGTATGCTCATGCCTGTCAGGCTATAAAGGAGTACCACCATATTGCAGACCCGAATGTTTAGTAGATTCGGACTGCACGAGCCTTATGGCATGCTCCAATCAGAAATGTATTGATCCATGTCGAGGATCTTGCGGCATTAATGCCGAGTGCAGAGTTCACAATCACAAACCCTTATGTTATTGTGGCACAGGACTAACAGGAGATCCATTTACACAGTGTTATCAAAGTAAGTTCGAACTTATAAAAAGCATGCATGCATTTATTTTTTATTTTTTTATTTTATTTACGGTTCACAAAACAGATTACAACTAAGTATACAATTAATTGGCAGGTAAACATTATAATTATAAATAAGCTGAGTTATAACCCAAACTATGTGAACCCAGATTATAAACTAAATATCTCACTTTAAAAAAAAAATACATCAGCACTTAAAATACGTATAGATATAAGAAAATACACTTACAATAAAAAGAAAGAATTTTACACGGAAAAATATGAACAGGTTACAGCAATAAAAATATAATGAAAATAAAATGAAATTATATGCCGGTGAAGTGACGAACTAAATCATTAATAAGAAAATAGATTCAATCACTATTATTGGCTGTTACCTGAAATAATTGTTTTTTAAATAGATTTAGGTTATTGTTGAAAATGTCAATACTATCAACCGCGTCGTTTTCAAGAAAAATCTTATTATATTCGCGACACATACGTCCGATAGGATAATGATATGATATATTATTATTGTAAACATCCAGGGTAAATATTCTAGGGTGTCGGAATTTAAAGTTAATGTTTATATTGATGGAACCTAAACTAAAACCTAACCTATTTATATACAATGCATTATAAGTACTTTGATTTATGTAAAATTTTCTAATACAATACATATTTGTAGATTCAATACCAATAAAGAAAACGCCATGTGACCCCTCACCATGCGGACCAAACTCTATTTGTAAAGAAGTAGGTGAAACACCTTCTTGTGAATGTATGAATGATTTCATGGGGAGACCTCCATATTGTCGTCCAGAGTGTGTCACCAACAGCGAATGTGATTTAGACAAATCCTGCATTAACCGTAAATGTATAAACCCGTGTATTGGAGCTTGCGGAAGTAATACAAATTGTCGAGTGATCAGCCACTCACCAATGTGTTCCTGTCAACCTGGATATGAAGGAGATGCATTTGACCAGTGTCATCCTAAGAAAGGTACAGGATATTTTTATTCAAAATTAAAAAAAATAATAATAATAATTGTATATAATATATAATTGTATATAATAAATTATATATATATTTTTAGTGGAAATACTCAAGCCAATTGCCCAAATAAAACCATGTTCACCGAATCCTTGTGGACCAAATGCTATATGCCAAGAAAGAAACCAAGTGGCTAGCTGCATATGTATTAATGGTTTCCTAGGAAATCCATACGAAGGATGCAGACCAGAATGTGTTTTACATTCCGATTGCCCCCAAAATTTGGCATGCATAAGTAACAAATGTCAAGACCCTTGTTCAGGATACTGTGGCTCTAATTCTTACTGTCAGACTGTAAACCATATGCCAAAATGTAATTGCTTTAATGGCTATGCAGGAGATCCATACGATAATTGCATACTTAAAGAAGGTAAATTATTTATTATAATAGTTGAAACGTGTAATGAACTTTTTATAGAATTAGAATTTAAATTTATTGTTTATTTCAGAAATCTCAGGAAAAAATCCCTGCATTCCAACCCCTTGTGGACCAAACAGCGAGTGCAAAATTGTAAACGATCAGGCATTATGTACTTGCCTCCCTGAAAATAAAGGCAGCCCACCAAATTGTCGTCCTATATGTTTATCTAGCTCAGAGTGTCCTCTCAATGAAGCCTGCATAAAACAAAAGTGTGTTAATCCTTGTATTGAAATATGTGGAAGTAATGCCCAATGTCGGGTTCACCGCCATAGTCCTATTTGCACTTGTCTTCCCGGTTTCGAGGGTGATCCGTTTATAATGTGCACTGAACAAAAACAGTTAGCACCAGTTACAAATCCCTGTGAGCCAAATCCATGTGGACCATTTTCAGTATGTAAAAACGTGGGAGAATCAGCAACGTGTAGCTGTAAATTAGGTTATGTCGGTGTACCCCCGCTTTGTTCCCCTGAGTGTATAATTAACGAAGATTGCCCCAAAGACAAAACTTGTAGTAAAGAAAAGTGTGTGAATCCTTGTATCGGATCTTGTGGTTTTAATGCTAATTGTCGTGCCACTAATCATCTGGCAATTTGCACCTGTTTGGTAGGCTACCAAGGTGACCCGTTTGTCGGTTGCTATGAAGTTCAAAAAGGTAAGATAAATATTTTTGACAATTTAAGTTTGTAATCACATTTGTTCGAAACATTAATTATTTATTTTTATTTTTAGATACGTCAATTACGGCGCCAAAAGATCTTTGCTCTCCATCTCCCTGTGGCATAAATGCATTATGTAATAATGGAAGCTGTTCTTGCATACCCGAATATCACGGAAATCCTTACTTTGAATGTCGACCAGAATGTACAACAGACAATGAATGTCGTAAAGACCAAGCTTGTATTAATTTGAAATGTATTGACCCTTGCAAAAATGCATGTGGTCTAAATGCCGTATGCAATGTTTATAATCACTTAGCCATATGTGAATGTCCAGCGCCACTTCACGGTGATGCATTTATTGGTTGTCGTCTTGCAACAGGTAATAATATAATAATGAGTAAGAGTATTATAAGGTTTTGTTCAGCGATAAATTAAATAAATAATTTTTACATAAACAAAATATAGGTAATGATCTAATTTTTAATACATATAATGATCCACCTGTAACCAAATTTTTATATATAGAGATTTTAATAATTTTTACCAATAAGTTAATAGGTTTTTAATATAATGTAATAAATGATTTATAAACTTCCTAATATTTGCATGCTGTATCTGCCTTAAAAGATAATGCATTTAGAATTAAGCTACACTGTATTTCTTTTTACCTAATATTGTATTAATGTAATGTAATTATCACTGGTGGATATTTAAAAAAAAGACGTACTTTATACAGTGAAGAACTGAGACGTACAATATATGTAAATAGCACAGGGGAATGATTAAATATATACATATAAATAAAAATATAAATAGCTTATATTTAGGATACTATTAAAATAAATTATGAACATTGTTATAAAACACAAATTTAGTTAGCTTGTTTAGAAACAAAACACTTCTTTAACGTTGATCATTTTCTATTTTTTAGAACCTTCCAAAATAGATCCATGTTCACCAAACCCATGTGGACCAAATAGTGTTTGCAAAGCATCAGGTACAGTAGCACACTGCTCATGCCGGTCCGCGATGTTTGAGGAACCTCCAAGTTGTCGACCAGAGTGTCGCTCTCATTCAGATTGTTCACCAAGCTTGGCTTGCCGCAATAATAAATGTCGAGATCCTTGCCCCGGATCCTGTGGAGACAATGCCATTTGTTTAACCAAAATGCATTCTCCAATTTGTAGCTGCCCTGCTGGGTTCACTGGGGACCCTCTTACTCGGTGTTTGCTAGGTACATTAAAATTATTAAAATTATTTTTAAATAAAATTTAAGTGAAATATCCCCTTCATTATTTATTTATTTTCGTTATAATATTTTTTGTGCAGTTGCAGGAATTGATGCCGAAATGAAAACACCGTGCTCTGATTGTGGACCAAATTCAGTTTGCATTAATGGTGTATGCCAGTGTCAAAGAAGTTTTGTAGGATCCCCTCCATTCTGTCATCTTGAGTGTTTAACATCTAGCGACTGCGAATGGAGCAAAATGTGTATAAACCGACACTGCGTGGATGCGTGTTCAGAAACATGTGGAGAATCTGCTCTCTGCAACACTGTTGGCCACGAACCACAGTGTACTTGTCCTCCCAACACCACCGGAAACCCTTATATCCAATGTCGACCCATCGGAACGATTCGTAAGATAGATTGACCTAGATTACCATTTAGCTATAAGCTATCGCTATGATTTTTGACTGATAGGCTTTAAATACGTATTAGGGAATGAGGTGACGACAAACTTATGATTTCCCTTTTAAGGCTTAGGCATGGGTCTTATTTGTGAAACTTAGTGAGTCGTTCATCTCTCGTTAACACAACATAATAAATAAAATATAAAGTGACGACGCTTTTTATACTTGCTATTCCCATACAAAACCATTGCGATAATTTTATTTACTTTACAATTCTCATTTTACAGAAAAGCTACCAAATGACCCATGTTCTCCAACACCATGTGGTCCTGGCGCGTTATGTCACAGCCGAGGTTCTGTAGCTGTTTGTGAATGTGAAGTTGGTCTCCGAGGTGATCCTTACAGCGGCTGTCGACCAGAGTGCATCGCAGACTCGGATTGTGCGCCAAACCGTGCATGTATTCGTTCCCATTGCCGTGATCCTTGCCAAGGAACTTGTGGTATTGGTGCAGAATGTGAAACTGTTAATCACATTCCACTATGTTCATGTCCCAAAGGAACAAGAGGAAACGCTTTTGAAAAGTGTGAATTCATTACAACCGGTAAGTTCTATGAAACCTTTTTCTCCATATAATTTGTTTAAAACTCTAAAAATAAACCTATATTGTTATTTTTCATAAGATTTTTAATTTAATAACAACCATTGTTATGTTTCTAAAACGCAATTCATTGTTTTAGCACCACCATGTACACCATCTCCTTGTGGTCCTGGTGCACTATGCTCCGTCGCGGGTGATAGAGCCGTGTGTTCATGTCCAAGTGGCACCAGTGGGGACGCTTCCTCATCAGGGTGTCGTCCAGAATGTGTCGTTAGTTCTGAGTGTCCACGAAGCCGAGCCTGCATACGTAATAAGTGTATTGATCCCTGCGTCGGTGCCTGTGGAAATGGCGCAGTATGTCGAGTGTTTGACCATGCACCTATATGCTCCTGCCCGCCCTCGACCTCTGGGGACCCATTCTTAAATTGTAGAAAAAAAGGTTACACATTTTACCCTACTTACGTAACTTTCACGCTGTGACTTTGTCAATAATAAAAGTAATATTACTTTTCATTCTCAGATATACCAACGACGAGTCCTACTGTTTACGATCCATGTGATCCCAACCCCTGTGGACCTCATGGAACCTGTCATGATGGTTCCTGCAAATATCCTGAATGTATTACAAATGATGATTGCCCCGGCGACAGATCTTGTCTGAATAGAAAGTGTTCTGATCCTTGTATCAATGCGTGTGGTATCAACGCTATATGTACAGGAGTAAGACATTCTGCAGTGTGTTCATGTCCCTTAGGATATACCGGATATCCATTTGTTCACTGTGAGCAAATTACATCAATTGCAACAAGGCCTCCTACTCCTGAATGTGTTCGTGATGATGATTGCGCGGATAGTTCAGCCTGTGTAGAAAATAAATGTACACTAGCCTGTGGACCCCTAGCTTGTGGTTTGAATGCTCGATGTGTGGCCAAACAACATAGAGCTAGATGTGCATGTCTACCGGGCTATGAAGGAGACGCACATATTGGATGCTACTCGGGTATGTAAACTTATAAAATTTTATGATAAATAAAAATGTCACAATAAACAAAGAAGTGTGTTATTTATTGCAATTATGTTTTCAGTTCAATGTCACAGCAACAACGATTGTCCAGATGATGAGAGCTGTGAAGGCAACTCCTGTATAAAAGTATGCTCACGTATACGATGCGGTGTTGAAGCACATTGTTACGCTCGTGGTCATGTAGCTTCTTGTGAATGTGACTCGGGAACACGTGGCGATCCATGGACAATTTGTCACAAAGAAGAATGTCAAAACGATGAAGATTGTCCACTGTCTTTAGCGTGTAGAGGCAAAACATGCCAGGATCCATGTCCAGGAGCGTGCGCTTCTCATGCGCTATGTAGTGTCATACGCCATATACCTACTTGCGAATGTCCACGAGGTACACAAGGAAATCCTCGAATCGATTGCAAACTAGGTAAACTCGTATTAATTACCGTTGCTTTCAATTATTTGCTAATTATATGAGGATGATAATGTATTTGTATATTTTTTATGGACAGTTAAAGACCAGAATGAATGTGAAAGTGATGCTGAATGTGGCCCCGGACTTGCCTGTCTTCAAGGAATCTGTAAAAACCCATGTGACAAAACTTCCTGTGGAGTTGGTGCAATTTGTAGAGTTGCAAATACGTTACCGTTCCGCACCCTCGTATGTGAATGCCCACGGCCTTTAATCGGCGATGCTTCCGTACTCTGTCAGCCTAGTAAGATCTCCATATATATTATTAAAACTTCTCTGAATTTTTGGTTTTAATATGTGTAATTTACTATTAGAACAATACAGGATTAACAACACATAAACATATTATTGTACATTATATTTTATTTTTAGACGTCTAGATACACAAATTTCACTGTATTTTTTCTTAAATATCAATGCAGTTTATGAATATAACTTGAGATGTAATAACTATTATCTTAAAATATTCTCTGATAATATCGCATTTTTACAGACTATTTACATCACAAATAGCAACAGCGACGAAGTCAAGAAGTTCTAGCAAATATAACACATATTTTATACATTAAACATTACATACATTTAAACGTTTAGTTTTTTAAATGTACCGATTAAAACATCTGTACATAAATAATATGCAATGTATTTACAAAAAATGTAATATCACAAATGTACATATTAATATATTGTATATAAAATATTATTCTACCTGTAAATTCCGTATGGGTGCTGGTTCATTACTATGAAAGTCAGCTTTTTCTTGAGGTTTAATTTTGTCACAAATACTATAGTAAAGTTTTTTTCCCAGAAGGCCAATGTAGTGCAGACACTGAATGCGGTGACGAGGAAAGATGTGTAGCAGGCGTATGCCGTAATGTGTGTACACCAGATACTTGTGGAGCAGGCGCTGAGTGCCGTGTCAGCGGTCGACAAGCGTCCTGCGTATGCGTGCCACCACTTCAAGGAGATCCTAATGTTGCTTGTACACCAAGTAAATAAATTGTTCACTTTCCTTCAATCATTTTGATAGAAATTATAATCTAACCGATAGCGATTTTTAAGATATGCTTACAAATATTTTAGTTGTGGATAAATTTTAAAAATCTTAACCGTAAATAATACACTTTTAGTTTAAATGATATCACAATAGATATGATAATTGTACTCCTGTAAATAGGAACATCGGGAGAGATCTGTTTATCTGACGCCAGCTGTGGAGCCGCAGAGGCATGTATGCAGCAGCGCTGTGTACCTGCTTGTGCAGGTGCCTGCGGATCCGGAGCACTGTGTGAAGCCATCAACCATCGCGCCTTCTGCCGCTGTCCACCTTCTACGGCTGGTGACCCAGCGATAGCATGCTACACACGTAAGCCTTTAATGAAAAATATATTGCATGAGTATTATTTACATGGAAGACATAACTCAAATAATCATATCTTTTACAGCGGAATGTAGTTCGGATGAAAACTGTCCCTTCGATAAGGCTTGCCGAAATGGATACTGTCGGGACGCGTGCTCTTATAACGGTCCCTGTGGACGAGATGCCATCTGTGAAGTAGTCGCTCATGTGGCCTCATGCCGCTGTCCACCTGGCACGCAGGGTGACCCTCGTCGCGCGTGCGTCTCTGCAGTTTGTCAATATAACGATGATTGCAATGATAACCAAATATGTGACCGTCTTAACCGTGTCTGTCAACCGGCCTGTTCCGATGCAAGCTGTGCACCTGGAGCTACTTGTACTGCTAAACTTCACCAACCAATATGCACCTGTCCACCAGGGTACAGTGGAGATCCTTATTCACGTGGTTGCTCGACCGTACAATTCACAGACGAATGCGTTAATGATTCCGACTGTCCTCGACCACTTGGCTGCGTGAACGCAAAATGTGTAGACCTATGTCAGTTTAATCCTTGTGATACAGGCCTTATTTGTAAGACAGTAGATATATTACCACTACGCGCAGTCGCTTGTGTTTGTCCAGAAGAAGGTCGCATTGCCCCTGATAAAGGTTGTCGACCTCCTCCCGAAGCAGAATGCTCTGCTGATATAGACTGTTCTAGTATTGAAACTTGCCGCAGAGGAAAATGTATAGAAGCCTGCAAAGCTGCGCCATGTGGCCACAACGCTCTGTGCGAAGCTGTTGATCATGTATCTCGATGTACTTGTCCACCGGGATATCTTGGAAATCCAAGAATTGAGTGCAATACAGGTAAAAAATTTGTGATATATAACACACCAAGTAAATCATGAATGTTTTCGTTACACTAAACTTTTTCAAATTTATGTTTGTAGAAGCGAGACAACCATCTATTTTCGAATGTTACAAAGATGACGAATGTGGACCAGAACAGGCTTGCTATAAGCGCGCTTGTATAAACCCATGCTTAAATTCTTGTGGTCCGGGTGCATTGTGCCGAGTTATTAATCACAAACATCAATGTTCTTGTCCAAATGGTTACACAGGGGATGCAAATGTAAAATGTACACCTCGTAAGTTATATTCTTTATTCAAATGGAATACTTTATTTAATAACATATACATTTTTCATAAAAATAACATAACTTTGCAGCGACAGAAGATAAATCTGTATTACCAGTTGGTTGCAAATCAAATTCCGACTGCCCACTAACGCAGGCGTGTATAAATGGTGCGTGCGCTAATCCTTGCGTCTGTGGATCTAACGCTGAGTGTACAGTAGTGAGACACCATCCTGTTTGTTACTGTCAACGTGACCACTCAGGAAATCCTTATGAAGGATGTACTAAAGGTAATGATCGATTTTTAATGACAACGTGAAATAATTTATTGGAAATTTGCTTAACGTGTGCTCTTAAACTGTAAATATAAAATATGTTAAATATTGCTTAAACACATATAAGATTTTTGTTTTTTATTTTCGATTCAATAATTAAAGGATATGTTCTTACAGCGATATATAATTAAATATATAATATGATTTTTTTAAATGTTTAAATTCTTTAAATTGATAAAAAATATATATTTTGCAGTTGAATGTGCATCTGACTCCGAATGTCGTGATAGCGATATGTGCTTCAACGGGGCCTGTGTCAGTCCTTGTATAGTAGAAGCTCCATGTGCAATAAGCGCGGAGTGTTATGGAGAAAATCATCGATCTCAATGTCGCTGTCCCGTTGGAACGATTGGTAACCCTTACAACAAATGCCAAGCTCCTGACTGTGAATTTAATTCAGATTGCAATGACGACAGTGTGTGCCTCAAAGGAATTTGCCAACATGCTTGTTCTGCAGACGGTCACAACCCGTGTGCTAACAATGCTAATTGTTTCGCCAGAAATCATGTTGCAGCGTGTAAATGTCCATCTGCTCTCCCTAATGGTGACCCGTTATCATTCTGTGAAAAGACCGTAGTCCTTGGTGAACCAGAATGTCGATATGACAGCGACTGTCCGAGTGGTCAAGCTTGCCTGAGAGATGAATGTCGAGATGCTTGTAAAGAACTCAACCCATGTGCTAGTGGTGCTCGTTGCACAGTTTCTGATAGCGTTCCCTTCCGAACACTGATTTGTCGATGCCCAGAAGGCTATATACCGGACGAAAAAGGCTCGTGTAAACCAGCGACATTACCACCTTCAAGTTGCTCTTCAGACAATGATTGCGCAGATCAGGACTCTTGTATTAACAGAAAATGTAGAAATCCATGCAATTGTGGTGAAAATGCAGAATGTTTTACTAGTAATCATAGACCTGTTTGTTCTTGCCGAGATGGTTTTGACGGCAATCCATATCAACAATGTCGCATAGTTGGGTGCCGTTCGAATTCAGAATGTGAATCTCATCAAGCGTGTATTAACGGCAACTGTGTGAGTCCGTGTCTGTTAAATAGTACATGTGGACCAAACGCAGAATGTTTTGTTGAAAGATCTCGACCACTATGCCGTTGTCGTTCTGGATTTGAAGGCGACGCCTACTCTGGCTGCAATGTTATTGAATGTAGATCAAATGGCGATTGCCCTGAAGATAAACAATGTAGGGCTCATAAATGCATAAACCCCTGCTTATCTGGAAACCCTTGCGGAAGTAATGCCGAATGCTTGGTTCGTAATTATATTGCCATATGTAAATGTAAGCAGGGATACTCTGGTAGTCCATATATTCAATGCAGACCACAGTTCACTGCAGACTGCTACGTGGACGCTGATTGTCCAACTAAATTAGCTTGTTTATCAGGTAAATGTGTTAATCCCTGTACAGAACTCCGGCCATGTAAAAATCCTGCACAGTGTGAAGTATCAAATACGCTACCAGTTCGAACAATGATTTGTTCTTGTCCACCTGGATATATAAGTAGCGGAGGAGGCGTATGCCGACCCGCTTTGCCAATAGAAGAGGTAGCCTGTGAAATTGATACCGATTGTTCGACAAATCATGCTTGTATATCATCAGTTTGCAGAAACCCATGTGATTGTGGTCCTAATACCGATTGTTTAATAAAAGATCACAAGCCGGTCTGCGCCTGCAGACCAGGTTTTATGGGTGATCCCCACACTGGCTGCTATAATATCTTGTGCCAGTCCGATGACCAATGCGCCAATGATGAAACTTGTGTCAACGGTAGATGCGTACCAGCTTGCTCACTTGAAGTAGATATGTGTGGTAAGTCTGCGGAATGTTACGGAATTGATCACCGAGCATCGTGCCGTTGCCTAATTGGGACAATCGGTAACCCAACTGTAGCATGTACACCCATCGGATGTCGCTCCAACTCAGACTGTCCGGATGATAAATCTTGTATCAACTTAAAATGTGTTCAACCTTGTAATATTACAAATTGTAACAAACCAGCGGAATGTCGAGTGCATCTCCATGAAGCTTATTGTGTTTGTCCTCCTGGGTTCGAAAGTACCGTAGATGGCTGTAACAAGACCGAGTCGATCTGTAGAAGTGACTTTGATTGTCCGCCAGCTATAGCTTGTTTGAATAAGAAATGTGTCAATCCCTGCTTGGAAGGAAATCCCTGTGGAAGCAACGCAGATTGTAACGTTTTAGACACTTTACCAGTAAAAACAGTGACATGTGAATGTAAACCTGGTTACAGAGGAAATGCGCTTGTAAACTGTACACCATACAGACGTAAGTTTTTACATATAAATAATTTTAAATTAAAAGATTGAATGAAATAATAATAAACTTTGATATTTTAGCGCCTACCTTAGCGTGTGAAGATGGCGAAGGAGTAAATGAATTCGGTGAGTGCGTACCGTGCGAAGCGAGTGACGGTCGTGTAGTAGATGCTCGTGGAAGATGTGTATGTGATGCAGAACGAGGATTCATAGCCCGGGGGGAGAAATGCGAGCCCGCTGGCTGCCGAGCGGACGATCAATGTGATGACACCTCGCGATGCATTAATGGCAAATGTATACCTGCATGTGAGGCTGAACCTTGCGGCTTACACGCGACCTGCGAAGCCACAGGACACCGCTCACGATGCACATGTATCACTGGTTATGTTGGAAATCCAAGAGTTCATTGTAATCAATCCAACATCAATTACCGTACTGACTTCCCACTACCAGATATGCAGGTTTGTATTTATATTATTAATTTTGATAGTTTACATTATTACAAATAAAAAGAACAAATATAATTAATAACATAACATTTGTCCAGGTTCATTGTCTAGCAAATGGTGTAAGCGTAAGTTTGAAAATCAAGGATTTCAACGGAGTCCTATATGTTAAAGGATATAGTAAAGACGAAAGATGTCGCCTGGTTGTACACATACTAGTGAAAATCAAGAAAGACCAGTCGATTTCACCGTGTATTTCGGTGATTGTGGATTAGTTCATGTCAACGTAAGTTTATATTACAATAATTTAATTACTAGCCTGCTGGTGAATTTGGTAATAGTATTCATGGCGTGGCGTAATGATATTTGCCAGAAAGCTATTTTTACCAACATTATTATATAAAAACGGAAAATATCATATATATAAATTTTTACAGGGTCTTGCAAGCTTCGTGCTAGTTATGCAGAAACATCCCAAACTCGTCACATCAAACGCTAAAGCTTTCCATATAAAATGTATCTACCAAACCGGTGAACAAAATGTGACACTTGCCTTCAATGTGTCTATGTTAACAACAGCCGGTACTATAGCTAACACCGGCCCGCCGCCAACCTGTTCGATGAGAATCGTTTCGAGAACCGGCGATGAAGTGAGCTCAGCTGAAATTGGAGAGAACTTAGTGCTTCAAGTTGATGTTCAACCTTCGAGTAAGTTTGGAATATTAAAGAAAGAAATTATTCCTTATTTTGGCCTGTGTATGAATAATCAAACAATGATTATGTGCAATTTCAGGTATCTATGGTGGTTTTGCCCGTAGCTGTATAGCAAAAACTAGCGAAGTTGCGACGAACATAGAAAACGAGTACACCGTAACAGACGAGGACGGATGCGCGACAGACGCGGCGATATTTGGAGAATGGGAGCGAAGCGAAGATGGTAGTGCATTACGTGCTGCCTTCAACGCCTTCAAGTTCCCCAGCAGCGACAATATTCGATTCCAATGTAATATACGAGTATGTTTTGGAAAATGTCAACCGGTATGTATTGTTACTATCTAAATATAGAATGTGTATTAATTATTGGTTATAATAAAAACATGTATATCATCAACAGGTTAATTGTCGCGGTTCTGACGCTTTCGGCAAGCGACGAAAGCGAGAAGCGATCGATGGAGATAGCCCCTTGGCGGGTCAACTTCGAGAGGAGGTGACTGTCGAATCGAACCAGATTCTGACACTCGAAAGACGCGATCCATCGAGGGCAGCTCGACAACGAGATGGTTCAGGAGACGCGAATACAACAGGTGGCGCCGGTGACGTGTGTGTGTCAGCGGCGGGGCTGGCCGTGGCGCTCGCACTGACGGCTCTCTTGGCGCTCGTAGCGGTGGCGGCGGCTGTCGCGTGCTGGTTGGTGGCGTGGCGCCGCGCGCGCCCCCTGCCGGCCCCGCTGCCCCACCCGCCCGACTTCCCCAACCCCTTGTTCCAGCGTTAGTCGCGGCCCCAGCTAGTCGTTCGCTCCGCTCCTCCGCCGGCGCCAGCGGTGTCGGTCTTCTTTCTCTCGGTATTTAGTTCCGCCGCCGGAGGACCGGGCGAGGACACCCCAAGCGCCGTCCCTCGCGTGCGCTTGTGGCGTCCCGTTTAGAATATATACTACATGATATTAGTTGTCATAATGTACTTAGAATCGTCGCCTCCTCTCAACTATGTGATAAATAATAAATATTCGAAATCAGCTTAATGTTGTGTAAAATAATCAATGACGTAGTTTGTAAGCATTTATTAATAAAAACAATAATAATAATAAAGATGTTTGTTTTATTTTGTGTTTAAATATTTAACTATAAACGAAAGTAAGTAAGCAAAACCAAAGTTATAAAAAGAGAGAAATATTAAAGTTATTACTTACTAACTATACACAAATAAAATACATATGATAAATGTAAGTAGGTGGTCCTCTATATCTCAGTATCAATACGACTGATCAGTGATCATTTAAAAGCTAGTTAGTAATTTAGAAAGTTAATAAAGAAAATCTAAAACTGTAACGTTACTATGTTTAACAATGACTCAACTCCAAATCGGACTTATTCGTCATTTATTATTGTTATAAAAAAATATTGAGCGGGCAGTCTTTCCAACCACGACCCATAAAAGGATAAGATTGAAATAAAACTCATCAAAAAACTTATTTTATTTTTAGTTACTTAAAAAAGTTTTTAGTAATTTTAGCTGCTCTTCTGTCACGAATTGATATCTTATACTCAATATCGTTTTTCATAATTATTATAAATCTTTAAGCCTAATTCTCTAGTCTTACCGGGACTCTTTTGCTATTTAATTAATTATATTTTTGTTTATGGAGGAAGTCACAATAAAATAAACTTTGTAATAATGAAATACAAAAAAAAAATTCGAACAAAGCCCTTCAGTCTTAACGACTCTGTTAGGCTTCATGAACCAGGCCAGCCTCAGCAAAGAGCCTTTCGATGTAAAGGCGCAACTGACAGGTGCTGAAAGAAAATTCTAACAAACTTTAACAACTGCGTGTTCTGATTTCCACTATAAAATAACTGATCACCAAATGTGTAAGTCGTCATGGCGATTGATGTAAGATGTTTTTAAGAAAAAGTCAATCTCTTTAAGAATATTCTCGAAAGGGCCCAATATTCTGCGAAACCACTAACTATTTGATCTCTAGTATGGACCTATATATTATATGTAAAAGATGAATCATAACTAATCCACTATCTTATGATAATGTACCGTCATGGATCTTTCATTTAAATTGAACTACATAATAGACTTTTTAAAAATGTGCAATAATTTATGATTAAACAAACAGTCATAAATATTCTATAACGGTATTGCATAAACAAAATTTAGAATAATGATATGGATAACATTAAATTCAATGGAAACATCGATTCATCCGTCTCCTTCAGACATTTCAGTTTCACCTTTAGATAAGGAGAGATTTAGGAATGATATCATACAAAGAATCGTTATTTCGCAACATCCAACTAAAAATGAAGTTTCATATGTTACTCACATAAGCTCAGGTTTGTTAAGTTTGCCTTCGTTTAAAATTTAATCTAAGGTAACCAATGTGGCTGTTAAAAATATTATAAATACAATGAAAGACAACACATAAGTTAGTAATGTTTATATGCGGTGATTGATACAAAAAAAAACATGCACTTTTCTATTAGGTATAAATGCTATATTAATTTTAAAGTACTTAATCCACAATTGATCACATTTTGTATTATAAATTAAGTTGAATTAAACAGCTTAGTTATTTCTTGGAATGGAATAGCAATAAAGTTTAAATTAAATTTATACTATTGCCTACTTTTATATTTGGTAACAAACCAAAAATTTGTAATACATCAAATCTTGAAGTACGAAAAATCAATAAAACCGTAAGTCGACAGTATATTAGAGTCGACAATATTACTGAAATACTACAAATTAAAAAAAATGCTAGACAATAGAAACGACACACTTTGATTCATAACAATATAAATATTTTAATAATAATATAAATATAATATATTTTGTTCTCATAATTTGTGAAATACATAAAACATATATTCATAATTAGGACAGTGCAGATGCCTCTAAAAATGATGAAAAGTGAAAATAAATTATAGTAGAATGAAACCCATTAGAAAAGGAGGGGAATATTATAAAATTTAAAAGAAAAATAATTTACGGGCGATCTGAGGTCGGGAAAGGTATGGGGATGGGTATTTAAGGGTAAAAAATGGGTTTTTCTCGATTTCCGGCAAAACTAAAAGTCCTACGGAAAAATGTTATATGGCAAAGTTGTAGGTGATAAAAAGATCTAAAACTTTTATATTAACATTTTTTTCACATAACCTGAAAATGTATGTGATAAATTCGAAAAACCAAGTTTTTGGTTTTTTATTTTTATTTCTTACAAAAAACAACTTTTTGTCACAAAATTTGATGAAAACATTCCTTTTGATGTTACAAATTCGCTGTAATTTATTTGATTAGAAATATTTATTTTTTCAGCTTATTTATAAAAATAAAAAACCGAAAACTTGGATTTTCGAATTTATCACATAAATTTTCAGGTTATGTGAAAAAAATGTTAGTACAAAAGTTTTAGATCTTTTTATTACCTACAACTTTGCCATATAACATTTTTCCGTAGGACTTCTAGTTTTGCCGGAAATCGAGAAAACCCATTTTTTACCCTTAAATACCCATCCCCATACCCTTCCCGACCTCAGATCGCCCGTTAATTATTTTTCCTTTAAATTTTATAATATTCCCCTCTTTTTCTAATGAGTTTCATTCTAGTATAATTTAATTATGTTTTAAAAGCTATCGGTACTGGTCTAAATGTCTTTCCGAAATTTAGGATTATACAATAATAGGTAGTCTATATCTTAAATAGGAATCTGAAAGAAAAACCACACAATAATAATGTACCTAATGTCAGAAAATATTGGGATTTGGGAATTTAAATGAAAAAGTACTCGCTAAGGAATTATATCTCATTATATTAATAACCGTTTATATCGGTTAACTTCAACGTTGTCCTTATTAACAAATTACAAACATTAAAGTAATACATTCAAATTTTAACAAAACGCCTTATAATAATAATTGTATTTCTTTATATAAGACCATTCTATGTTAGAACATTGAAAAAAACTGTTCACATTTAACAGAAAATTATTATATAATCAATATTTAGACAGTAATTGATTAAAATTCTGTTATATTATCCTAAATATTTCATTAAACTTACTAATATAAAATTATTAATTGTAAATAATAATTGAGAATATTAGATATGCGCTACTACAGTCATTAGTTGAGGTTGAAATGCTGTTTTGCACATTTAATTAATAGAGGTAATTTAAATCCATTTTTGAATTATAATATGTTCCTTTTAAGTGAGAATTGCTTTTTATTAAAAGTAATTACCAACCAACTAGTAACAGGTGCCACTTAGAGATAGAAAGACCAAATAGAAACAAATAAAGAAATCTTACTGTATCTCAATATAAAGTAGGGAATCCATAACTTTTCCATTGTATAAATAAACTTAACCATATTGTTATCAGCTTCGTTAACTGCCCCTTACATCGTCAGCATCGGTATGCTGCTGTTACATATTTTGTTACCGAATAGCATATTTTGCATTGAAGCCCTACTTTCGGCGGCAAGCCTTTACAACTTAATCTTACCTTTCTAACCTTTTTTTACTTCTCTTAATATCTCTTATACTTCGTTCAACATATGTAGAGAGTGACTTTAGTAAATAATATTTTTGACAAAAACAATATTCATATTTAAACATTTCCTTCTCTTTAAAAAACTTATTTCTCTTTGGTAACAAAATATACCTGGAACAAGTTTTAATCCGAACCAAAAATCGCAGATAAAAAACTTATACTAAGGTTTTAATTCATGTCATAGGCTAAACATTTGTGAAATTGGTCAACCTTAACGTTTATTTGACGCGAAAAGAATAATTGTCAACATGTTATAAACAGGAGAAGAGATATTTATTAGCAACAGATACATAATTTCTATTTCAAAAACTAACAATGTAAACCTAAAAGTTTAAAATATTATGAAAATAAGTTTTTACTTACTCTCGATTTATAAAGTTCAATGCGTGAGTTTTAACGTAAACACATGAACGTATGAATCCGAATCTATTCATATTACATAATATGAAACAAAACAATGTTTTAAATAATACATACAATTCTCGTGAGTTTCCTAGTTTTATTAATTTATTTAAAAAAAATACTACACTATAATAACGTACAGATGGAACCAAAGTAGTATAACAATGATACGGCAGAATATAATCATACTTGTATAATATCATAATGTTAAATTTAAATCATATCTACGTCAAATCACGCCACACCTTATAGTTATGCTCATGTCGAGGTTGATAAATAATAATTTTACACGCAAAATTCACCTAATTTGAGTCGTATATCTAATTTTTTGTATATTATGTTTGCTTATTACGGTTTAAATTGAGTGTATATGAAAAAAATAAACAGAACATTAAATTCTGCTTTTATTTTGATTACGTTTGTGATTACCTGTGCATATATATATGATTGAATACATCCTAATCACAATCAGTCGCAAGCGCAGCTCTACCTATCACGGTCACCTCTGCGCATGCGCGGCCTCCTATATCCCCCCCCTCACCTCCCCTTCCTGTACACTCCCCACTCTGCACTAGCAGAATCACACTTTACTGTTTACCAATTGCCGCGATTGACGAGTTAGTCGGTCGGCCTGTTTAGCCGACCTCGCGCGCTTTATCTGGTGATTTACTCACTAGTTGCGCGTTGCTAGCGGCAAACGCGACTCCAATCACTAAGTTATGACCCTGTGACGCAATATCATGAGTAAAGCCGACAACTCGGCGAAAGCCACCTCGCCAAGCGTGGCAATACACGTGGATGGCTATGAAGAACAGGATCAGGAACGTTTAAAATTGCTAGACCCAAACTCGTCAACGCCGATCGTTACGCCCTCTGGACAAATTCGCAAAGTCAAGAGCTTCACAGACACACACAGAATTCGAGATGTGAATGCCGCGTCTGGTGCAGCTTCAGCGAGAAGCCTGCGCCCGTATGATCAGGTTGCTACTTATAACCCCGAAGGTTCAGACAGTGGCACTAACCACTATGCTCCATCCGTTCGTTCCCTTGCCTCCATTGGTATGGGCTGTACTGATGGTCGAAAAATGGTTATTAGACGAGTTCCTACGTCGCCCACGGAACTGTTTCATCTAGTTCGCCCTCCTACGTGAGTATTTTACGGATGTAACATCCTCTGTAAGACAAAATTATTCAATTGTTATGGCTGACCGGCGATACAAGTTTAGGTACTCTTTTGAATAACTTATCTTACGTTGTTAATACATTATCAATAATAAATATACATATGTCCTTTCCCTAATTATTGCTAATTAAATTGGGATTTATTTTATTACAAAAACAATATGAGGCTAAAATATTTATAAGTATTTACTTTCAACATACTTCTGGTTGTTGCATCGTTAAACACCGTTATAAATTCCGTAATCGAAAAACCCGGTTAAAATTAAGATTTTTTGGTAATACAAAAGCACATAGAATGCACCTACAACGATTAAGATTCCTACTGCTATCAGTTATGACTCCTATTTCGCCTATGAATATATATACTATAATTATCTACTTACTATTACTTAGCACTTGTTTACAAGTAATCTTATACGATAATATATTATTTTATATATAAATTAATTTTTCTCGCTTCTTCATGCAGTCTTTTATAATATGTTCATATGAAATAAAATGTTTATAAATTAATATTTATTTTGGCCTATAAATTGCATTTCTAGTTATATTAGGTGTCGTGCCTTCATAGAAATTTGTTCAATAGTTTTTATGTAAAATAATAACAAATAACTAAACATGGACCCACACACGTTGTTATATAAAATAGTTAAATTATTGAAATATTTTTTTTAAATAATATATTTTCTTAAAAATAAAACAAACAAGTTGGCGTGTAATTCATTTCCATAAAACCAAAGACGTCGTTTAAAAATGTTAACGTGTCTTAGTTAAAGTACAAATATATATTTATATATATCTTTATTCGAAAATAAAAATACCTTAAATCTTTTGAATAAGATTATATTTCTATGTCACTTCTTATGGTGAAACCCAAAACATAATCAAACATTACAAATATGTATAAAACAAAGAGCTCATGGTGTTTTTCACCCACAACAATCCTTAATCATAGAAAACAAATTCATTAAACAAACATTATAGAAAATAATGGTATTAACTTTTATAATTGTTACCATTGAACCGATACTAACATTCACTAAAATTTAATAAATAAATTATTACTGATAAAGTTTTGATAACTCGTTAATAAAAAGATAAGTAAAGTGTGTCTCTCAAATAAACGGTTGCTTCTAATTATTAACTTTATTAATAATACTATTATAGTATTTTTGTTGTATATTGGGGTCTCAAATGTTTATTATGAAATTTAAGGCGACTTGACCTTCAAACTTGGCACTGATAAGGCTGCACTGTTATCTGTTACCGCCTATCTCGTACTAAACTTGGATACGATTGATCGTGAGCTCTCTTATCATTCTTTTTCGTGATAATGACTTTAAAATTCGTTTACACATTTAGAAGTTGTCATCTAAGGATTAAATACAACATGTTACATGTCTCATATTTTTTATTAGGTTTACTCTGTGAAAAAGTCTAACAAAGTCATTTGTCTGATAGACAAAAATATAACATTATGCCAGTACCAAAATATTTTTTATATATGTCAAAAATTATTTAAATAAAAGTTTATTTCCGAAAAATACTAGTCGTATGTTGTATATTTTTTTACATTTTACCTGACATCGTTTCGATTACGTTACTGCAACTATGATCACGGGCACACAACGACAGACATTTTCATCTCAAAGTTTTGTATAGTGATTACGTTTCGATTGAAATTTCGGGTAAAATATATATATATAAAATAATAAATACATATAGTATATAATATAGAGGTCTGAAAGTCATTGTTTTATATAATGTGTACACGCGAAAGTCTTAAATATCATTAACTCGCCACATGATTTATCAATCTTTTTAAAATTAAATCATTTACGATGATGAAATATAATATTGAAACCATAAAACATCTCAAAATTACAAAAGGGCTTTTGAAAAAACATGATAAGTTTAATTGTATATTATTAATTTTAATTTAATTATTGTTAATGACAAATTTAAATAAGATATTATTTTTAATTTTCAAAAGATCATTTAATCATTTAAAAAAATGTTCTTACTTATATTTATTACTATCATAATCGTATATTAAAAACAATCACCCTTGTCTCAATTGAAAATGATAAGTCATATGCAGTAGGTAATTGTGACAACCTAAGTCCTACCATCTGATAATGTATTTTATGATGGTGTCAAATGCAGACAAATACAAATCCAACAGCATATTACTGTAATCCTGATAAAACGCAACTGAATATAAAAAAGCCTTTAAAGATACACCGCCTTTAAGTCTTGGAAATATTTATTCCAAATTGTGACAAAATTTAAAGTTAAAACGTACGTATTTTGTACAACCTGATAAAATAACAGAATTATTTGCATTTCATTAATAATATAATTAAAAAAGTATTGCTTTAAAATAGAATATACCTAATAAATACTTTCACGGAAACAACTATATTAAAAAAATCTATAAAAGAAACCAATAAGTAGGTACGTTAAATATAACAATTAAGTATACTTTATTAAATCACTTAAAATGAATGTTTAATAAGGGAACTGCATTTAATAATAATGTCATTCAGATTTAGTAAATAGTTATAACGTCAAAATATTTTTTTTCTTTCATATATACATTTATTTAAAAATATAGTTGTATTCAAATTTTATTATAAAATACAATATATTATAAAGTGAAGAGATGATTAATATTGTTAATAAATTATTAAGAGAATACATACATTCATCATCAGCCTATTTGTGCCCACTGCTGAGCCTCTTCTTGTATGGAGACGGTTAGAGAATTAATCACCACACTTGCTCAAGATGGACTGGTGATTCCGAAATCGTAATTTGAAATTATAAATTCAGGTTCCCTTACGATGTTTTACTCCACTGCCTGTTAGTGGTGTCTAAATGAGAAGAAAAGTTAATAAGAAAATATTTAAAAATAATTTATTGAATAATACCTATGAAAATTACGAAGTATTTTATGAAACATTTCTTTTTTAAAGACAGAATATAGGTAGTTTGCCATTTAACGTTTTAAAAATGTTTTATGAATGAAAACTAATACATACTCATTAACATTAAGTAACATTAAAAAAAAATAGTGAACAGTATTAATAATACCTATAATGACATATCATTTACATGATGTTATGTAAAAACCCCAAATAGTCTAAATTGGGTCCTTACTTTTTTCTTTCAATATGTTTTTTTTTAATAAAATATATACGTATTAAATGTAAAATACTAATTTTTAATACAAATGTTTCAAACAATCATATAGAATTTGATAAATTCTAAACAGTTTTGTTTGTATCCTAATCAATGTTTCTTATTTTCATACTTTAATCCAAAAATTACATTCTTTTTGAACCGATTTAAAAAGTTCTTCAATTGGCGAACATCTATTCGTTTGGTACGATAATGATGAGGGTCCGTATACGGAACGTAAGAGAAAAACAAATATTAATATTAATTTTACTTAAACAAGTCATAAGTAATTTAATTTTATATTAAAATATTTGAAAACCTATTTTTACAGAACACATTATGCTTTACGTATTGAAATACTTTCATTTATTACATTTTGCATTTTTATTATATAGTAGAGACACAATGCTGTTACATTTTGTGGTTAAATAATTTCATTTTAAACTATTTATCTCACATCTGTTAAAAATTTTACGTTCTAAAATGACATATGGCTAAAGTAAAGAATAAAATGTTATATCAGTTTAGATTAAAATTAAACTAAAACGAGGAAATAAAGTTAGCTACTAGACAGTGAAGGAAAACACTTAAACAAATTATTATATTAAAAATGCGTGATTGACATAAAAAAATCCGTTAGTAGTTTTCTAACTTGCTGCCAAACATTTTTTAGTTATACGCTGTTATATCAACAATATCTTGGTATAGCACAAATTATTTGCGTAATTTAATTTTTGCTGTTCTGAACTGAAAAACAAGAATAATAAAAAACTTTCGAGTTTGTAATTGAATTAAATTACAGTAAAAACTACTAATGCTTAAAAGTTCAGTTATATGTATGTGCATATGCAGAATTCATAATTTGTTTGCCTAAAACTTTAAATTAAAATCTTTACGTCATGAAAATTTACAACAATTGCACAGGATTACTGTTAAATGTAAAAAATGAAGTACGGATTATGTAGCTTATCATATTAATAAGATCTTTAAATTAAAATTTTATCTAAGATTTTCGTCAGAGCAATAAGCCGACGTAGTTAGATCAAATCCTTTGAGCTCTGCGACCTCACTTTAATCGCTTTAGGACATCCATCTTTAAACCAAACACCTTAAACGTTTATCAATGGAGAGTAAACAGACGTAAAATGGAATTTTGATGGATCTAGGTGTAGCTGAATGTATAGACGATGTTACGTCAGTTGTATGTAACAATAAAATAACTTTTATTTCAAAATAAAAGCAACGAATCTGTAATTTCTTATAAAACAACTTAAAATTAAACGATTTTATAATAGCTTTTGTCGTAAATTTAAAAATATTAATAGATTTTTCCACAATGTTTTCAATATATTTTTCATCGTTGCTATGAAACAAGATTAATTAAATATTAAAAATAGGCTTTAAAAGGTCTTTGTATGATAGCAAATTTATTTATTCTCATTGTGAGAGAAGAAGAGTAAACAGAGACGTATATTTTTATACCTCAGATTAAAATTTCATATTTGGCAAGCTAATTTCATTTAATTCATTTTCAAATATTTAAACAACCTCAAAATGACGTAAACAACGTCTATGCAATAATAATAATATTCATTATTTTTAAGGTATTTTTCATTTAAATTCATTATGTTATTATTTATAATGTTTGGGAGTATTTTCACAACACAATCAGATTAAATTCACAATAAAATATTTTCGATTTACACTTAATTAACTTCCTGTTTAAAAAAAGGATAACTAAGCAACAACTACGACTTTGACCATCTGTAACATTTTTGTTAGTTTCTTGATTTTTTAAGACGACTTGTTATAACAAATCTTTTTAATTTTAAATCAGACAGAATACATATTTCGGAAGCCATTGGCCTTTTTTACATCGAGGACTGTACTATTTCTGTCTTTTCACATTCATATAATATTTGGCAGACCACCAGATGAAGATACGGCGTCACAAGAAAGTAATTGCGGGGAAGAGGAAGAAGACGCTGACACTGTACACTTAAAACCTAGAAGACCATTTTGGGCAAACAAAATACAATTTGTGCTAGCCTGCGTTGGATACTCGGTTGGTCTGGGAAATGTTTGGCGTTTTCCATATCTGTGCTACAAAAGCGGAGGAGGTAATAAACATTCTTTGTGTTTATTAAATTTACATTTGATTTGAAATCTTCTTGTCAATACAGCGCTTATCTATATGAATATTTCAAATACATAATGATAAACAAACATTAGCTTATCATATTAAAGAAGATACAGACGTTATTTCCAGGCGATATCAATTTACTGTCAGAAAAAAAATAATCACAAAAGTAATTAATTATAAGTCATCATTGACTGATGTCACCACTTTTTTGTATAGAGAATTTTACCCATGTGTCATTTACAATATGTCACACCCTAATGAAGGATAACGTGAATTAGTTTAATAGATATTCGATATATTTGCTGTTCAAAAACATAATCTACTGTTATTTTATAAGAATCTTAGCATCTTTCATTTAGTAATCAGCTACAGCATTTAATAAATGTATGTTTTAGCCAGAACAATATTAAAAATCACTTTCTATATTTCATCGACTCTAAATATACTTTTGCTTCACTTATGATTCTTATGACATGCAAAATCATTTCTCTTTAACGTTTTCTTACTTTCCTTATAAATATGGAACTAGTGCAAGTTACAATTGTTTTTAAAAGAGATCACAGGTTCCAGTCAAGGGTTTAATTAACAAATTAATTATTCTTACAAAAACCCCCAATGAAAAAGGAGGTTCTAAGATTTAGACATAAATGTTACAAAAAAAAGTAATATTTTTGTTAAACTCTCAGTATAAAACAATATTTGGGGTCAATAATAATGAAACATAATACGTAAAAGGCAACTTGATAAAAATCAAGATAACAGACAAAATACGAGTATCAGTCACCGTTATAGTTTTAGTTCACTAATTAAAGATACAAATTTGATACGTCTGTGCGTAAGAACACGTTTCCTACAATAACCTGGACCCGTCGTGTCAAAATGAATATCGAAATCTAAGTTCTGGTCTACCGCTTGGTATAGTGTTAAAATCAAACATCTAAAAGTCAACGCCGTAAACGTGTTCAATGTAGTTTTAAGCAAAGGCAATTAGGAAAATTAAACATTTCGCACAAATTAAAGAAAAATTGCCATTTGTAACAAGTTACCCACTTTGATAATTTTTATTATGTATATAGAAATACGTGAACTGAATTTTCTAAACCCCATTGTTAAGAAAATGCGTGAACAAATTAACGTGCAATTTAAAAAAGACGAATTTCATATGAAGAATGAATGTATAATGCAATTATGTTTATATAAATAACATAAGAAATTTATAAAATTCGATAAAAAATGTACGTTTCATACAGTTCTATGATTTTGACAAACATACGTAATACAATATGTAACCGCATATTCTCATAAACTGAAAATCTTTTCAAATGTTGAAATTAAAAATAATGTATCAAGTATTATGGATCAAATATCCATCATTTGGCGATATATATAAAAATGTTATGTCCCAGACAATTTTCCCAAGTTCTGCTTAAAAAATATGTTACCTAGACATATTTATACAATTGACAAACCCAACACACCCACATTAACACATTTAATTTAATAAACGCCCATTTTTTTCCATAAACGTGACAATATTTCGTGGTTGACCCTTATTTGTTTTGGATATTTTTATATATACAAATATTGGTTTAGGTACATGTACTAGCAGAAGGAGCTAAGTGTTAACTAAATTATTCTATTTATATGAATAACAGATCGTGATTTACGTAGCATTGGCACCACACCTCCAGGGATAAATAACTTGGTATTTACTTTCAGTGACATTTCAATTAATACCTTATAGAAAGAAAAAAACCCATAGACGGAAGATGTCATATTTTAAAAACAAACTGATTATTTTCCTGATAATGTTTTAAACTCAATAAAGATTTTTCGATCTTTTTAATATATTTAATTCAACATAATATGCAATTCGTCCTATGCTTGTTGTGACCAAAACACTTGTTAGTCGTGCAGAGTAAATTACAGTTGATGATTTCTGCAAATTGATACGTCACGGAATACACGTCCTCTTGAGATATCATATGATATATCGATGTGATATGTCCATATGTCATTATGCACATATAATGATACATACATTTGTTCCCGAATGTCCATTGATAACGTGTTTGATATTAACCAATAACCATGTTAACATAACTACAAAAAGGTAACAATATTCTAAAAATTAACCTAACACATTAATAAAATAAACTTCATAATTTTTTTTACTTACTTATTAAAACTATTGATTATAATAATAACAAATAGTATAAAATAACAAAGAAATACTATAATCCACTACATACTGTATAAATATTATACTAACGTTATTAAAATAATCTATTATTGTGATGAAAATTATGAATACAAATGCATATAAATACTATTAATAAACAGTCTTATCATTAAAGGGTGTCGTGTTATAACGTTCTATTTCTTAGTTTAATATTCTTAAATATAATTTATAATTACAGATAAAGGCGATTTCTATCTTTAGATACTATTCAAATAATAATATTTGTTATAGAAAATCTTTATCAATAATATTATAAGATCTTACTAGTCTTTCGACTCAAAATTATTTAGCTTTTGATTTTACAATAAAGTACATAATTATTTGAAACAAAATGAAAGAACCATCGTTTACGTTACAAGATTTTCATAATAATATGTTCCAAGGTTTAGTCGGTGATTTTTTTTTTCAAAAACATATCCGCAACATTCAAAGAAAACTCCTTCATGAGTATTCACATACCTAATGAAAGATTATTATCTCCTTCATTGGTGCACAATAGTACGATAGGCTCCCAACTATAATTATTGAACAGATCAAAACCTTCGTCACCTCAGCGTAACTAGTAGCAAATAGTCTTATATGTACCTCACTACCTCAGTGTTAAGTTATATGTGAAGTAGTTATTGTAAGTCCAGTGGGCATGACCTTTGTTACTTTAACCATTTATTATACTCGTCACAAACTAAATGTATAGAAATTTTTGTGCAAGTCACGTTTATAAATTTCTGTGCAAGTTTGTTAATATGAATGCAGTACGAACCATTTAAAATAATTAAATATTAATTTTTCTAACCCAAAGGTTGTCTGGAGAAATTGCTGTAACACTATAAAACCACTTCTTATGGACCATTCCTAAATGCATTAGTAAAGTTTTATTATATGTATGACGACATAAATAAAAGATAATTCAGAAAATAGGAAAGTTAAGTTCATAATAATAATTACTATTCATAGCAGTTCGTGATTTGTTCAATCTGATACCAATTTTAAATATTAATAATATTTCGATAGGAATAATTTTGTATCTACTTATACCGAAGTCTGATCAATAAATAATTTTTATAAGTCTTCAATTATATTAAATAATAAAATACTAGAGATACGCCTTATCAAAAAGACAAAAAACCACGCTGACGGAAAGTGGGTTGGTCGACAAAAGTCAGTGGAAGCAATAAAACTTGACGATTTTTTTATTAGAATCACGAAAATGTTGATAATGTAATTATTAATTATATATTGCAAGTTAATAAAAAAAATATTCTTATTGTAATGACTTCCCACTGCAGTGATTGATGAGAGATTAGAAGTTGTAATAAATTTGTACGTTGATAAAAAAAAATACCCGAAACACAATAGAATCGGTCGAAAACGGCAATGTTTACTTCTCTATATTTAGTATGACAAGATTTTTTCCATTTATAATCAATCTTTACAAACTTTTTTATCTCGTCTGCACATGATCACGGTTGCTAGAGTGTAGAGTGTGAAGTAATCGAAACAACGAGTAAACTCTAATCTAATACTGTAAATCGTGTATTAGAGGTTTCCGAAACCCATAATTGGCTCCGAAAATCTTGTTTATTTTAAAATCTTGTACCTGTACAGAATTTCATCTTAACATCATCAATTTGTTGGTTTTGGGATAATAGCAATTATTGAACCAAAATCCGTGTTTTATATGCAACTAAGTAGGTGGTAGACCAGAACATTGAGACAAAAAGCTTGTACAATTGTATTGCAAACCATTTGTTACAAAAAGAATTTTTCTCCCTTTTCGATAGTTTTATTTAATTGAACATTTACAAAGGAATTGTTTTGTTCTTATATTTTTTCTTTTTATTTTGCTCAAAATTTGAAATCATTGTTAAGTAATATAAAATAAAATTTTATAAGACATTGTTATTATTTATTTACTTCGTACAGGTCAGTTTATTTATTATAAAACTGTCACTTTTATGTTTTTATAACATTGATAACAAATTGTTGGGTTTTGAAAGCATGTCGAGGGAGCGGCCTCTAAATTGCCGTTTGAGTTGAGTTAATTATAATCTTCCTAGGTCAATTTATTGATCTCAAGGACTTTAACAACTAGCTTGGACTTTAAGACTTTATCTACAAATTTGAAGATAATCGTAGTTCTTATTACGTACACACTTAAATTATCTAAGCGGCGTTTTTAAATTGAATAATACATTTGTAATATCACTAAGTATTATTGTTTTGTTTTTGGACTTATTTAACAAAAGTTATTTCTTTCAGGGGCATTTCTGATTCCTTACTTTATAATACTCCTAATATGCGGTGTGCCGATGTTATTCATGGAACTAGCTGTAGGCCAATACACAGCTCATGGTCCTATCGGAGCGCTTTCACAAATATGTCCTCTATTTAAAGGTAAACATTATTTAAACACTAACTCTGGTCATCTCCTAAATAGAATAAAAATGAAATATTAAAAGGTTTATTATTTTCGTTTATCCGTTCAAAAGTTATTGATTCTATTGAGCACATGGTTATATATTAAACTTTTATTAAAGGTGCTGGTTTAGCAAGCGTGGTGATCTCCTTCCTTATGTCCACGTACTATGCAGTGATTATTGCTTGGGCGATATATTACTTTTTTACATCATTTAAATCTGAAGTTCCATGGGCAAGTTGTTCTAACAGATGGAATACTGCACAATGCTGGGTCCCTAATCACAACATAACCAAACCTAATGGCTCTCAAACGCCCACCGAACAATTTTTTGAGTAAGTATTTAAATTTCTATTTCATTTTGGGTCATTTTGTGTATGTTAATAGCTTTAGGTATATCAAAACTTTACGTTCATGTTCTGTAAATTGATGCAAGATTTTAAACCTTAACATATCATTTTTTTATGTATTTTCAGGAGAAAGGTCTTGAGCATGAGTGATGGTATAGAGTTTCCTGGGGGCATGCGGTGGGAGTTGGCGGCTTGTTTAATTTGTGCTTGGGTTTTAGTTTACTTTGCACTTTGGAAAAGTATAAAATCCTCAGCAAAAGTTCGATATATCACCACGACTTTACCATTTCTACTTATCATTGTATTTCTTGGACGATCTTTAACACTCGATGGTGCTGATAAAGGCTTAAGGTTCTTCTTTAAACCGGACTGGGAACTATTAAAACAATCACGACCATGGGTTAATGCCGCCTCTCAAATCTTCAATTCGATAGGAATTGCATTTGGTTCGATGATAATGTTTGCTTCATATAATCGATTTGACAATAACTTCTTACACGATACTTTGGCTGTATCTTTAGTTAATGCAGTAACTAGTCTAATTGTTGGGATTTTTACATTTGCTACAATCGGAAACATTGCTTTTGAGCAAAACACATCGGTGAAAGTGGTCATCGCTGATAGTAAGTAAATCGATAAAATAAAATAGTTAAAAATAGGCCTACTTATTAACTTAAAACTAATGTCTTTAAACAATATTTACAGGTCCTGGTCTACTGTTTGTAGTTTATCCACAAGCTATAGCTAAAATGCCAGCATCACAACTTTGGGCAGTATTATTTTTCTTCATGTTCCTCTGCCTCGGTTTAAACAGTCAGGTAATGTTTACATTATAATAAAATATTATACTTCTACAAACATTGAATGCCTCACGACCTTGGTAGTTATATAACTTTATGTACGTTGCAGTTCGCTATAGTTGAAGTTGTGGTGACTTCTATTCAAGATGGATTTCCTGACATGATACGGAAACGACTAGTGTATCATGAACTGCTAGTTCTTTGCGTTTGTGCTGTTTCCTTAGTGTTTGGATTGCCACATATTATACATAGTGGCATTTACCTATTCCAACTTATGGATTACTATGCAGCTTCACTGAGTATAACGTATTTAGCTTTCTTTGAAGTTGTGGGCATAGCCTGGTTCTATGGAGTGGATCGTCTGTCTCAAAACATTAAACAGATGACAGGTAAAAAAAAATTCTAGACTACATTATAATAATATCTGTAACTATCGCAAACCTATTGTTTAATTCATGAGCATAAAAACAAAAGATTACATACGATGATAATTTTGCGCATTGTACCTTATTTCCGCTCTGTACAAAACAATATTGTAGCAATTTAAACTACTCATCAAAATATAATACTTTTTCAGGTCAGGTTCCATCGCTGTACTTCAGATTTTGCTGGTTAATAGCTGCGCCAGCGCTATTGCTAGCGCTTTGGGTAGCTAGTCTCGTTGACTACACACCGCCGAGCTACCGTCAATATCAGTATCCAGCTTGGGCACAAGTAATGGGCTGGACTATCGCCTCACTTTCTTTATTATGCATTCCAGTCTACGCAGTAGTCGTCATTGTCAGGTCTCCTGGCAGTTCTCTTAGAGAGGTGAGTAATTCTTGCATCATTCTTAATTTAAATAAACTTTACATGTACATATATTTACAACATTACTTAGTAATTTTGTATTCCTGATAAGTATTGCTACTGATATGATTAAAGTAATCGTGTATAATGAGAATAAATTCGTCATATTGATCATTTGAAACTATAAATAACTGTAGATCTAATGAATATTGTTTTATTTCAGAAACTGCGGAATTCAATTCGTCCGACGTCCTTGTGCGACTGTGGGGTTGCAGGTTGTGATATATGTTGCTCGGACTCTGAACCACCCGAAGACAAAATAACCATGAACTAGTCCTCAATTTTTGTTTTAGCTTTATACAATAATTTTGTCTCTTGTACCTATTATTCGAGTGTCTATCTACTTAGTTATCAAGAACAAACAGTACCAAAAATGATAAAATATGACTTCCATCTTAAGAATTATCAAGAAATTAATGTTTACGCATGTGCCGTGCCCGACCTCAAACTACTTAAATGTAGGTGTATATTATAATAGTGACACAGTTTCTAACACTCAACATCAAGAAGTGTATAGGTACTTCAGTTGACTACAAACAGATCTGTTGATTAAATGAGATAAATGAGTGGCTAGTGGCTAAATTCAATATAAAATACTTTATTAGATAATAAATTGTATTTATTAGTTTGTTTTGTTCTTTATGATAAAAATATATATATATTAATTGAAATGAATAAATTAATTATAGAGCTCCAAGAGAATTATCTATTTTATAAGTTCATTTACTTGAAAACATTCCATTGTTTTTATAAATTTATTCTCATATTTTAATCAATGATTTGAAATGGTTATAGTTATGCTGTGATTAAAACATTCCAAAAGAAACTATGAAAATTAACATTAGTGAATAGATTTAAGATTTAAGAATAAATTTTTAATTATATAAAAAAACAATACTAGAGCAACGGAGAGAATACTCTCTTACACAATACATAACATTTTAGTCAGACAATAAGTACTACTACCATTAAAGTACAAAATAAAGTCAAATAAGTCATTAAATCAGTATGTAATTAACTTATGTCTTTTTGAATATGTACAGAGGACCTTTTAGATAAATAAATAAATATACATGAAATCAGTATTTTTTATTTACATTTTTTTTTTCGCTCTAATATTTGCATCAAATTTTTCTCTTCTTAGGACTAGTGTGTCGATTTGTTTCTATTTCACCATCACTACTGCTGGCATCCTCTTCAATTAAGTCATCTAAAACATTGTTTATAATTTTAAAAAAAGTGATATGCAAATTATTGAATTTTAAAGAGTTTCCCACATAAAGAAAATTGAGACTCAAAAATAAGAGCCTAGTAAAAGTGACAAGAGACATTCATTATTTTAAATACATACTTATATTAATTGTTAATCGATAAAAAGGTATTTTAATACAAAAATGTCAGAAATTTCTTATTTAGATTCAAGTAAGTATGAACAATCTCAATGAGAATAATTCGCCAAAAAAGCTAATTGACATTTTAATTAAAAAACTAATCAGAAAGTTTATTTAAACCTGTTTAATAGTTTATATAAATTATGCTACTATGATAATTATAGAAATATCCTTCAATCATTTCTATATATATATGATAATAATAGTTGTTAAGAACAAATACTTTACTTCAACAATTCTTATTCAGATTTTATCTCACATTGTATTGAAATTATGTTAAATGTCTACATAAAATTATAAAATGGTTGTTGATTGTAGTCCAAATAATCTTTTGTATGTTTTTTAATAGATCTAGATCCCTATTTCAAGTTTCAAGTTGATTTATAATGTTATAAAATTTCAGTAAAAAGTTAGCTTTTTCTTATATTTATGTAATATACTTTTATTTGATGACCAACTAACCGATTAGTTGAATCATTTCATTCATTAACACGAAACTTTTACAGAAAAAAATATGAACTTTTTTAATCAACTACATTTCCTCAATATCAAAAACATGAATAGGAAAAATAATTAAAATTTTTGAGATATTTTAGATACCTATATGGCCATCATCCTCAATTATATTTGTAAACTTCTCATTAACCAAGTTTCTAAATTCCTCCAATGATTTTATTAAGTTCTGTGAATCTGTAATAGTTTCTCTTTGAATTGTACCAATTATTTTATCGTTCTCGTATATAACCAATTTTAGTTCTGCCATAATTTCTTTCTCTTTTGTTATCTGCAATGTAAAATACTTCAAGGATTACCTCGTAACAATAAATCTACAATTGTATTATAATTTGAATATCAGTACCTACTTTCTACAGATTTTTAATTCTCTTCACTCTTAAAATTCTTCAAAGTTCAAAACAAACATGATCGCATAATTCATTGACTTTGAATGTCAAAACTCAAAAACAAATCAGAGTTGGGTGAACTTTTTTTTTTTTTTGCTTTGAATGCCAGAACATTGCTTTCTTAATTTTTTCTCGAATTGGGTTCCAAAAGTAAACGGTTCTTCCGGTATTGACATTGAAACATTCTTATAAAACATTAAAAACAAGCAAAACTATATATTGTACATCATCATCACCTATAATAATTGTTAAAATTTTAATAAATTATATTTTCAATTACATAAAAAAAAAACTAAAAATTTATAAAAAAAAAAAAAAACTATATCCATATAGTGAAATCATTTTTGTAATACCTAACCATATGCACTCTATTCATATTTTTTAATCTTAAGACTAGAAAAAAAAAAATTCACACTTAATTAAATATAATTAAAGGATTTTAACTATTATGATTACAGTATTTTTCACACCGTTCAACTGTTGCTCAATCTGTAATTGCCTTAGTGGTATACGTCTATATACATATAAATAATATACATATCTAAAGGTCGTATTTAACATTCCTAATTCCTATAGGATATCAGATGATTTTGACATTTAGTCTATGTTTTGACCGTTTTGACATCTTATAGTTTTACCTACCTATTAGATTTTTAATAGTTTTATTTATAATTATCTTAATGAAGCTCGATAAATAATAATTTTCGCTATGTAGCATTTCTCTTAGAGAATATGCGGGTATTTGGTAAATTCGGACCCTTAGTTGGAGCTATCGATGCGGGAATATCAAACGTTAAATTTCTGGTAAATATTGTTGTTAAAGATTTTTTAAATTAAATCTGCTATTTAATAGTCAAAGTACTTTTAGGTCTTTGCAGCAAACACTTCAGAAGTCCTTACATACCATCAAGTATCCTTAAAACGTTTTAGTCCCCAAGAAGGATGGGTCGAACAAGACGCCTTAGAAATACTTTGTGCCGTTCTAGAATGTATCGAAGTAAGTAATTTTTCTAACATTATTCTCATAAAGGTTGCCCATATTGTATATCAATTAATAATAAAACATTTTGATTTCTTGGTAGGTCACAGTAGACAATTTGAAAAAACTTGACATAAATCCTGAAGATGTAGTGGGTGTTGGAATTACGAACCAAAGAGAAACGACAATAATCTGGAATTCAACTACAGGAGAACCCCTTTACAGTGCCATAAGTATATATTGTTTTACTTAATATTTAATTACAATTACATATCAATTAATTACCAATTAGATTTAATGCTTATTTTCAATGTTTCAGTATGGTTAGATGTAAGAACCTCTCAAATTGTGGATAACCTCATAAAATCCAAAGCACCACACACTATTAATGCTGTTGTACAGACAAGTGGGTTGCCTTTGTCTACTTATTTCTCATCAGTGAAATTAAAGTGGCTTTTAAACAATGTTGGTAGTGTGAAACAAGCTGTTAACAATGGGGAATGCATGGCAGGCACTGTAGACTCCTGGTTGATATGGGTAATATTTCTTAAATAAAACAAAAAAATACTTTACCTGTATTAAAAGGATTAGTTGTTTTTTTATTAAGATGGTTATATATTTTTTTTTACATTTTGTAGAACTTAACTGGTGGTAGTAGAGGTGGGGTCCATGCCACAGATGTAACAAATGCCTCTCGCACTCAATTAATGTCTTTAACTACTTTACAATGGGACAGGGGACTTCTACGCTTCTTTGATGTACCAATTCAAATATTACCAAAGATTAAAAGCTGTTCTGAAATATATGGATATATATCAACAGGATCATTACTTGGGACACCAATTGCTGGGGTAATGGAAGACTCTTATCTTTTAGTTTATCTATTTTATATTCACTTTTGCTTTTGCTATTTATACTAGATTTAAATCCATAAGGATTACAGAATAGATAACTACTATATAATAATATTAATATAATATACTTTAATTATATAAATTTCTATTTACAGTGTCTTGGTGATCAACAAGCTGCATTGATTGGACAAAATTGTCTGAACTTTGGACAAGTTAAATGTTCATATGGAACTGGCTGTTTTCTTTTATATAACACTGGTAATTTTTGTTGTCAAAGTAATTAATGATAATTTATACAAATAAGTATTTTTATTGGTAATACTTTTTAAGTAATGGACAGCATCTTCAAATCATTTACATTATTTTATACTATATTATGTTTTCCAACTTCTGACTATGCCTTATCAATATTCCAGGGGAGTCAATAGTACATTCTGAAAATGGTCTTCTTACAACAGTGGCTTACAAGCTTGGGCCTAACGCTCCTACAATTTATGCTTTAGAAGGCTCAGTTGCAGTAGCAGGTAAAGTTTTAGTTCAATAAATATAAACATTATATATATATAGAATATTAAATAAAATTTATGATAGCTAATTGCTGAGGAAACATTAATGCCGTTAAAATATATATTTTTTTCAGAATAAAAAGTTACTTAAAGCAATAACTTTTACTTGAAATTTAAAACTGAAGAATACTTTTCAATATTTTACAAAAACTCTTTCCAAGACGATTTACAGCTTCTATCAGTTTTATCGTTGTTGCTATGGAATAGAAAATAATCAAGTAATAATAAGACAAATATCTCTATCTAGGCGACACATTACAGTGGCTGCAAGACGGCTTGGGCATATTGAAGAATGTGTCCGAAGCGGAATTACATGTATCACAAGTGAGTGATAACGAAGAAGGAAGTGTTTGTTTCGTACCTGCATTTAATGGACTATATTCTCCATATTGGAGAAAAGATGCCAGAGGGTAATGAATAATATATAACTATTACTATATTAAGTAATGCAGTTAACCCAATATATGCTGTAATCAACATAAATGTAATAACAAAAATACAATTATTCTTTTTTTAAAATTATGAACCCAAAAGTTGGGCAAAAAAAAATATATATTATTTTAGTATAATCTGCGGCTTAAGTAGTAGCACACGTCCCGCGCATTTGACTCGTGGTGCTCTAGAAGGAGTTGTACAACAGGCGCGTGCTGTGGTTACCGCTTGTAACATGCCGGTAACACATCTGCTAGCTGACGGGACGGCCGCTCAGAATGATACGCTTATGCAGATGCAGGCTGACGTCGTAGGAGTACCAGTGGTTAGAGATCGTCACAATTTTAAATTACTGATATTTTTAAGTAATATTTTAAAGCCAAGAAGACGTTATAATTGATTTCATAACTTTCAATATTTATACTTCAAGTTTTAATGACCGTATACCCATAACTGTTTCCAAGCTCCCTTGCAACATGCCTATAATAACATGCCCCTCTTATTATTTATTGTATCAGCACGCCGCCGCACGCGTCCACACTTGAACACTTGGAACGTGTCAACACTTTATTTATTTATACGGAAATTTTGTCAAAAATTAAGTGCCTATTTTTTTTACATAATTCGAATGAGAATCATGTACCGAGTATTCTCCTTAAATATTGATAGTAATTCACCAGTCACCCTGTATTGTAAAATTTCAAATAATTATAAGTTCATGTTAATAGTTCGAAAATTAAAATGAAACAAGGGTTTTTGCAATTATAAAAAATATATATACTGATTCCTGTTTTTATTTTTTTTTAAGATCAGACCGTTGATGACTGAGAGCACAGCCTTGGGTGCCGCCATAGTTGCAGGGCGAGCGTTAGGCGTGTGGCCTGCTACTACACCTAGTCCTCCCGTTGATACTTTTTTGCCATCAACTTCTTGTGAAGGTATTTAATAAATGTAACCTAATTATTATACGAACGCCATAATGTTATTACTGAAAAATAAGCATTTAGGTTGTTCCTTAAAACGAGCAGTTTTTCTGCCAGTAAGAATCTTTTCTATAAGAGTTTAATGTTTTAAATTTATGTCCATTTATATAATTAAACTATTACAGAACGAGAAATTCGCCGAGTTCGTTTCGAAGCGGCTTTGGAACGATGTCTTGGGTGGGCTTCTGATGATAATAATACGGAAATTAATCAAGATGCTGGTAGGATCATTTGAAATAATAATTATTTCAAGCTTAAGTGTAAATAAGTGACCAAGATTCATAGTAGATATATCAAACAGTTTTAATTAATGCTTTTAGAGTACAAATCACACATTATAATAAGATATACAATCATATTTGTTACAGATGAAGTTGATTACACTACAGCCGTGTTACCTTCTGGTTTGTTCTTCCTAGGAACTGCACTTCTAGTAATAATAGCTGATAAATTGAAAATTATGTAGATGTAGAATAATAATCAGTCAAAACAGTAGTTACTAGTAGTGAAATACCTCCAGTGTTAGTCTGCTTAAATACAGTATTAATATATTGTTTAATTAATTGTAACAATCATGAAATAAATAAATAAAATTATATGTTATACACATTGAACTTTCTTTGATATATATCGCACCTATTATGCAATAACGTCACTTGTGCAATTTATTCCAAAACTTAACTAATTATACTATTAAATACTCCAATCCATCTCTTCACTTGATGCGTTATTGTCATTTGTGTAATACGCAAACTGTCCACGTGAGAGAATTAGCGTCGTTACGTTTTTGCGTGTATGTGGACGGCACTGGGGAAAACAACGCTTTATTGTTCAGTTGCGCGGCCCCCCGCACGAGTTGTTGTCTTCTGGAGCGACAACGTTACTAAGGTAATTGTGACAATTATTTTTTATGTTTTGGGAGCAACAACTTCACTTGTGTAGTGAAGTAATGACATTGTTTCCCCAATTTTTTATTTTGTGGTGTAAAGAGGGTCAATAATTTATTTTCTTATTATATTTTTATATTGACCATCTTATTTATTATCATAATTTTTTATTTTCTTTTTTTTTTTCAGAATGAACCAACACAGCAAACACCTAGAGCTACTGGCACTTTCCGCTCGCAACAAAAACTCGATTAAAGTTCAAAATTTAACCAACTCTACAAAGTTTACCATATTCAGAAACAGAAAATGCATTGTCTCTTTAAGAGTTGAGTCGTATGGAGAAAATAATACTCTTTGAAGTGGTGACCCTCGACAGAACAAGAAGAAACCTCTGAAAAAAAGAAATCCGGACGAATCCCTGCCCGAAAAACGAAAAATATTCAAATATGGAAACCCAGCCACCTCAAGCTGTCGCCAGCTCTCAAGCCGCCGCGGAAGTATCCAGTATAGCGCTGTCAATGCGCATACCTCCCTTCTGGCGTGAAAACCCACGGCTGTGGTATCATAGTTTTGAAGCAGCCACTGACGAGCTCAAGAAAAGCTCCGCTCAAATAACGCAGATGGTTCTCGTACAACTGGAGAAGCCCGATATTGAACAAATATCCGATATTTTATTCAACGTGCCGAAGGAACAGCAGTACCAAGCCATCAAAGAGCGACTTATCTCAGTCTACGAGGAGTCCGACAGCCGTCAGTTTCAAAAGTTTTTATCCGAAATGGAGCTCGTAGATCAAAAACCGACTCAGTTACTCCGACGCATGAGAAATCTAGCCAGAGATAAGATCTCAGACTCAACGCTTCGAATGATGTGGACGAAGTTATTACCCGCTCACGTTCGCTCCGTACTCGCTGTAAGCAAACAATTCAGCTTTCAGACTACACTCGAAGAGCTAGCTATGCTCGCCGACAAGATGATTGAACAAACCCAGGAGGTGGCATCCGCATCATTAAAATCAACCAACCCATGCTGACACCCAATTCCTTATTAATGAAATAAGGGAGCTATCACTTGAAGTATTAGAATTAAAAGCAGGACCGTCGCACAATAACTTTAAACATCGGAGAGAGAAAGTTTACTTGTTAAATGAGACTAAAGAAATCCGCGTCTGTAAAACTTTTCTAATTAATACTTTGGGTATCACACAACGGACTATACGCACTGGTATCGACGGCAAAGCTTAGAATGATGGTTTCATTCCACCTGATCAGCGAGGAAAACACGGAAAACAATATATGTACCTTGAGACCTGAAGTTATACAAGCAGTAAAGGATCATATCAATCAATTCCAAGGATTGAGAGTCACTACCTCAGGGCTATTACTAGCAGATAATTTATTGACGGGGGTTTGACAGTGGCCGAATTACATCCACATTCTGTCCCACTACTTCTGGACCAGCGACTGTATCGTTGTCTCAAATTGATATACCATCAACATCTAAGGATCTGCCAAGTATTCAAAATTTCATTCAGATGCCTCAGAAGGTAGCTGTTGTCAAAACATGACAAGGAATGAATAAACAGCATGCAACGATTTTAACATCCACACCGATCAAAGACGCCCTTAAAAGAAAATAAAAGGAAAGCCAAAACCCTTTACCCTGACGAAATGAACTAAAGATTTCTTCGAAAACCCTTTAACCCTAACGAAATGAACTATAAACGATTTCTTCGATTTGCAAAAGCACTATAAGAGACACAAAAATATGGGGCGCAAAAATGTCACCCAAATGATCGTGTTATTAAGGCAATCGGTGACGAAATCAAAAGCTCACAAAATTTAGCAAAAAATTAAAAAAAATTACCATTACATAAAAGCCCCATACAAAACGGATAATTGGTAGGAATGCAAAAGCTATTCTTTAACGCCAAAAAATTTCTTTACGATTAAAATTTAGAGGCAATCCAATAGGTGTTTAACGCACTAAACGAAATGGTACATTGAAACTAAGCCGCCTTTGCTTACAACAAAACCGCCCAATTTCAGAACGTAAAAAAGCGTGATTATTTTGCAATTAAATGTTAGTAACACGTCTCTACTGCTCGCTTCGTTCTTCGTAATTAATAATGTCAACTAAAAAAATTGAGAAACGCGTTTCTACACGAAAAAAATCTGTGTTACCGCTTAAAGTGAAAATAGAAATGCTTGATCGTTTACGCCTTGGAGAGTCATTTGCATCCATATCATGCTCATTCAATGTCAACGAATCAACTGTACGATCAATAAAAAAATCCGAAGATAAAATAAGATCATCTGTAGCTTCAACTTCACTGTCGGCGAAAATTGTTCGTGATCCAGCAATAGAAAAAATGGAAGTGGCGTTGTCATTATGGATAGAAGACCGCAACCAAAAAAGGGTTCCCCTGAGTGGTCCATTGATCCGGGAGAAGGCAAAGCGTCTTTACGCTCATTTTAAAGAACCTGATGGTAGTTGTAGTGGTGAATGTACAGATAGAGGATTTCAGGCATCGGAAGGTTGGTTCAATAAATTTAAACTAAGACAATCATTGCATAACATTAAAATTGTAGGAGAAGCTGCATCAGCAGATACTGCTGCAGCAGAACGGTATCCAGAAGACTTTGCAAACCTAGTAGCTGATGGAGGATACCAACCTGAGCAAGTATTTAATGCAGACGAAACTGCACTGTTTTGGAAGAGAATGCCGAACAAAACATTCATTTCTAAAAGCGAAAAGTCTGCTCCTGGATTTAAGGCAGCAAAGGATAGAGTTACACTGCTGCTATGTTCTAATGCATCTGGAGATTGTGTCATTAAGCCACTGATGCTTTACAGATCGCTAAATCCACGTGCTTTAAAAAATCAAAACAAGGACAACCTGCCAGTGTTTTGGCGTGCTAATAAGAAAGCATGGGTAACAAGCGCTGTATTTTGTGACCGGTTTCGGAATTGTTTTGTTAAGGAAGTTGAAATTTACTTGAAAAAAAAGAATTTAGACTTTAAGGCACTTCTAGTTTTGGACAATGCACCAGGTCATCCTCGCGAACTTGTAGCTATGCATCCAAATATAAAAGTGACATTTTTACCTCCAAACACGACGGCTTTGCTTCAACCTATGGACCAAGGAATAATCCAGGCCTTTAAGCTCTATTACATTAGACGAACCTTCAAAATCGTATTGGATAATATGGAGTGTGATCCTGATATGAATGTTATGGAATGCTGGAAGAAATTTGACATAGCAAAATGCGTCGTAAACATAAAAGAATCATTGGAAGAACTGAAACCACTCACATTGAAGTCATGCTGGAAAAAACTATGGCCTGCTCTGATTGCGGAAAATGACGAAGAATCCGTGCAAGTTCAAACTTTGACTGCAAACATAGCCGAAATTGCAAATGGAATAGGACGAGATGGGTTCGAACAGATAGAATCAAGTGACATTCAGGAATTGCTTGAATCGCAAGATGAAGTCAAATGACTGAAACCGACTTGGAGGAAATGTTAAATTCACAGCCCATTGAAGAAGAGGCTTCCACTAGCACTGAAAATGTGACATTTACTCTGAAAAATCTTAGTGAAGGTTTAAGAATGAGCTTTGCGATTTCTTTGTGAACATTGATCCATCTATGGAACGAAGTCTTAATTTTAAGAGGCAAATTGCTAATGCGACTGCTGAGTATCAGTCTGAATTGTCGGAGCTATTAAAAACTGCCAAGCAAGAGAAAATAACAAAATTCTTCAAACCATTGCCTAAGCCTGAGGATAATGATTAATCAAAATGTTCAATAACATCAATAAAATTGATTTTCTTATATATTTGTGTTTTTTATTTTGGCACCTAGGAACGTATCCCATATAAATTACCATTCTGTATTCACGGTTTCTGTATTCGCGGCATATTTATGGAACATATACCCCGCGAATAAAGAGATTCTACTGTATTGGAAGCTTATCTTGTGCCAAGATACTATGAAATATGTATGCCAAGATACTATGAAATATGAGTATGTTTTTATAATGATTTAATTTAATTTTTGTATTTTACCCTAAGGGTTGAAAAGCCTGTGAATCTAAGTTATTAAATAGTTATTTTTTTGTAGGTCTAGGATAAGTGAAGTAATTGGTATGTGATACCTACTATTGATTCATTAATTAATAAGATTTGAATTAGGGTACAATGACTGTGATTCATAGATTAATTGATAGTTAAGTTCTATCATCTATGGGTAATTGCAATTTGCAATTAAGGTGATGTTGAACGATTCTTCAAGTTTAGGCAGTAAGAGGATAATCTGCCATTAAAAAGTCTGATTAGTATAAAAGTTACTACTTAGAATTCAGAAATTTTGTTTCTTTTTTTTGCTATCTAAATAAATAATTTTAAAAATTCATTCTGACGTGTTTTATTTGCTTTGTCATAATTGATCCATAATTTATTTTCTAGGCCCATAACGTCACTTCTGCGAGGGTTGTAGGTTTTAAACGTTTATAATTTATATCTTCCTAATAGTAAACAGTGAAATGTTGATTTTATGTTAAAGTAGGGTTTTATAGATAACTTATTTTTTTTAGGTTACTATACAAATTGATAGGATGTTCAACTTTCAAACGCTTCTCCTGAAAAAATACGTTAGATACATAAGTGACGTTATAGCATCGTAGGTGCGATATATTGACACCAAATTATACTAAGCAATAGTGTAAAATGCAAAATGTTTATGTATACATAAGTAAAATTTAAGAGATAATGAGGTTCTATCCTTTTATGACAGCAATAGGTCGTAATTTGACAGTCTTTTTGCTGATTCCGGCAGCATGACAGGTATCTACTACATCAGTCACATTCTTATACGATTCTGGCGCCTCCTCCATAACAAGCTTTGGAGATGCAACTCTTATAGATATTCCTAAACTCTCTAGCTTTTCTAAAACTTCCTTATAATCTATATTCCGCCGAGATTTGGCTCGAGACAATGCTCGTCCCTGAAAATAGTGAAATAATATTTTATCTTCAAAAACAACAACTAATATTCTCACAAATATTATGACTAATTATGAAACCATTTGGTCTACAAATCTACTGTGAGGGACTAATTAAAAGAATATAATACAAATTTATTTAAATAATATATGGTACATCGCCTTTATACTTACTGCTCCATGACAAGTGGATCCAAAAGTTTCTGTCATACCCTGTAGGGTGCCAGTGAGGACATAGCTGCAGGTACCCATAGATCCTCCGATCAAGACAGGCTGGCCGGTCAACTGGTAGTCTACAGGTATTAATGGATGATGTGGAGGGAAGGCTCTGGTGGAACCCTATGAAAATAAAAATATAATATTTGGAATTGTATATTTACAATAAAAAAAAAACTATTTAATAAATAAGTGTCAGTAGTGTAAGTAAGTTATCTCACCTTTCTATGCACAAGAAGAGTTTTTATTTTCCCATCAACAATATGCTCCTCCATCTTAGCTATATTATGAGACACATCATAAATTACATGCATGTCTAAATCATCAGGAGACATTTTGAATTGTTTTGCAAATGCCTGTCTGGTTAAGAATGTCATTGAACTTCTGTTAACCCAAGCAAAATTGGCAGCAGCTGCCATTGCTTTTAAGTAGTCCTGTCCTTCAACTGAGTTTATCCTAGCACAGGCTAACTGTCTGTCATTCACTTCTATTTGATCTCTTTTCATGGCTTTCTCCATCTGTACTAAGGCATCAGTAGCTACTTGATGTCCAAAGCCTCTACTGCCTGAATGGATCATAACACAAACTTGACCAATCCTTTCTAACCCCATCTTCCCAGCACCAAATTTATCATAAATTTCATCAACTACTTGGATTTCTGCATAGTGATTTCCAGCACCTAAAGTTCCCAGCTGTGGCAGACCTCTCTTTTTTGCTCTAAGGCTTACTTTAGATGGATCTGCATTTAGCATTCTTCCATACTCTTCACAATGTTCTTTGTCTTCTGCCCAAACATATCCCTCTCTTAATGACCAATCCATTCCCATTTCTAAGGCCTCTTCCATATCCCTTGCATTCATTGGTATTATTCCTTTAGAGCCCACTCCTACAGGTATGTGATCAAATAAACTCTGTGCCAATTGTTCCTAAGAAATAATTAATAGTTGAAACATATTGTTTAAAAATCTAAGAACAGATTATAAACATTCTGGTTAGTTCTATTATCCTATACATACCTTTATGGGTTGAACATCCTTCTCATGTAGATTAGTTCTTAAAAGTCTAACACCACAGTTTATGTCAAAGCCCACTCCACCAGGAGACACAATAGACTTTGGATTAGACATGTCAAATGCTGCCATGTTACCTAAAAAAAATTGAAAAATTATCTCCTTTTTGAGTTTTACAGCATACTTAAAAAAACATAAAATACTACTGATTGATTACTTTAGCTTTAGCAATAGGCCTTATTACCTAAAATCTTACTTAAGAAAAAAAACACATTATTTTAAAGACATCTTGATGATTTGAAGACATCTTGATTTTCTATTCCCAAAAATGTAATTACATTATTTGTTTAATGGTGCTTCAGTGTAATGTTAATAATTATTGTTTTAATTCTATTTTCTTATTTGTTTTTCAATTACATCCAGTACTTATCAATTTCTAAAAGGATTATGAAATACCTAAGTAATTATGTAAATACAGTAGGACCTCGATTATCCGGACTAATTGTTGTCGGTAGGCATCCGGATAATTGAAAGTCCGGATAATCCAATATATGAAGAAAAACGGGCTTTTTGCATATGTACATATGTAGTCTGTCCCATACATATGTAATGTTAGGTGTTTATTTAAAACAACAAATACATATAGATACACATAGAGCGAAAATCAACGTTTATTAAGAAATTGTACATAATGTACGTATAAGTGTTATAATCGGCGTGACGTTATGCAAGTTCTGACATGTTAATCTATACATATAATAAAATTGTAGAAAAGTGCTGTATGTACATTGAAAATAAAAATAAAAAAAATAGCAGGGGTTGTTGTTATGTCTATGTCGAACCCAAAAATGTTTTCACGAATATATCGTGGTATGCTTCAGTTATACTTTAGTGTTTGTTTCATGTCAATCGGTTCATAAATAAAAAAGTTATGTCAAATTAAAGAATCACGTCGAACACTATTCTATGCTTATACATACATAACTAAATGAACTACCCAAAATGACTGTGATTATGATCCAAAATAAAAATAAGTATATATTTAAAAAAAAGGCTGCTCATAGTCACTATTCCACGCGAACGAAGTCGCGGGCACAGCTAGTGTTAGAATAAACTCGTCGCGATTGGTAGTCCGGATAATCGCGAATTCGGATAACCGAGGTCCGGATAATCGGGGTCCTACTGTATATTCAAACATTAAAAAAAATTGCATACCAATAGCAAATCCGTAACCAGAGTGAATGTCGGGAAGACCAACAGATCGACCAACGATCCCTGGAAGAGCTGCCACATTTGCAATTTGTTTTACACCAGGAAGAAATCCACCCGTCATACCCGGCCGGCAGGAGTTTTTCAATTCCTCCAACATCAGTCTTTCAAGTGTATTATTAACATAAAACACACCTTCAACATTCATATTAGGTTGGAAACCTTTCTTAATCTTCCAACAGTGTGGATTCACCTTCTCTAAGTATTTTAACTCCTCGTTGTACTGCCGCACGACCATATTTCGTTTTTTTTTAAAATATCTTCTTTAATGCCTAACCTGTCCAACTATACTGTCAATTATTGTTGTATATAGAATTAACAATTCTTACCGCTAAGAAAAAAACTTATTGTATATTTAAAGCTGAATACTAGAATTATTACAAATTATTATGAAAGCGACTTGACAAGCATGTTGAAAAAACTTAAATGTCATAATAACTGCTTCGTTGACTCTTTATAATTGACACTCTTCACAGCTAAGAATTAGAGATAAAAAATTTAAAATTAGAAATACTGGTGTTAATATTGCAATATGTTTAAAATTTAAATATTTTACAAAGAAAAAAATCATTTGTTTATCTAAGAGATGTATCTTTACATTTTTTTTTTGTAGTTATAAATGTCTGTATATAGAAGTATTATCTGTGAATAGGTTTCATAATCGTTCTTGTCTAAAATTTGGAAAAACTCGGAATATAGTACCTGCTTAAACTTCTGTTTGTCTAATAATTCTTCATATTAGGTTAGAAATCGTGTTTTGAATAATATTCCGTAGTACAATGGCTGCGTTGATAAAACTTCGTCACATGCCAATTATTCAAAAGTCGGTTTGGAATCATCTGACAAAAAACAGTCGCTGTATATCTACTTCTAAAAAAAATAGTGATAGCGCAACAACAGAATGTAAAACTGAAGACAAAAATTGGGTTAGTTATGGTTTCGACTACGATAGTAAGGAAGAGGATACTAATGCCCACCACTCAGCATTCTTCTTCTCAGTTTCGCTTTGTCTAGTCTTTGGAGGATTTTGTTGGGCATATGCCCCAGACGTCCATATGAGAGACTGGGCGCAAAGAGAAGCTTATATAGAATTGCATCGTAGAGAGAAAGCTGGCCTGCCACCTATTGATCCCAACTATGTCAATCCTAAAACAGTGAAACTACCATCTGAAGATGAGCTGTGTGATGTTGAAATTATTATCTAATTATATAGTTTGTATAGAAAGTGATAAAATGTAGTATCAGTGAATTAGTAAATCAAGTAATTTACCTCCTTATTTATTTATCTCCCTGTACTATATATATAATATCTGTGAATTACAATAAATTACACACTATTACTACTAGAGAATTGTTTCTATATTGTTGATATTGTTTAAATAAATAAAATGATCTTAAAAGATTAATTGTTCTAATTTTTTTTAAAGGTTCTTGGTTTGCGCTAGTTTTAATATTAATTTTATAAAATTTGCTGAACAAATAAAACAAGTAATATAAGTTTCTATTTATTTTGCGACAACATTAACAATTCTCTTGTCACTCAAAAATGCATAGGCACTATCTTCAGTAGTTGCAACTAAAGAATTGATACATGTTCCAAGATTTATTTCCCCATCGGATTCAATTTATCTTGGTCTATTTTCCACCTGCGTATACAGCCATCCCATCCTCCTGTCCATACAATCTTTGCCAACAACCGCCAAACTTGTTAATATCATGTCACTGACCTGAGTGAATAATTAAAATCATTTTAATTCAGTTTTTACTTAAAATGTATAGGAACGGCAGAAGTAACAACAAGTAAAAAGTTTTAGAAAAGTAATTTGTTAAAGATATATATTCAAATTTACTTTGGCTTTCTGAAATTGATACCAACAACTAGTAAGTTAGTTTAGAAATTCTGTCCAGTTACCTTGACCTCATGTAGTTTGTTAAACTTTTTCTCCAAAGATAGTTCATGGAGTTGAATGTTATTACCACCTCGTCCTGTCACTACCAGTTTTGATTCACTTATCCTTAAGGGAGCACGTCCCTCCATAACATGTTGGGTGACAAACCGATCTTTTGATACATCTGAATAAAAATAAAAAAAATGATTAAAATTCTTATACAGAGTACAACTGGAATATGTATTTTACTATTGTAAAAGTTTATGTACCAGGTTTAATTTCAGTAACCGTCACATAGAGATCACGAGCCGTAAACATAAAAGGTGGACTTATTTGTAGATCTTTCACTTCCTCCAGAACATTATACTTAGCTTTTAAAGTTGTGTCCTCAAAAACATATACCTGTAACAAAAATTGAAATAGCAATATATAACTAACTATGTAGTATTTAAGAACAAAATTCTTAAATTACTTATTGGCTACTAAGGATTTTCGCACTAGAAAGATTTTTTCATAGTTATTTTTAATATTCTTTTACTAGTTTTCCATCATACTTTTAAAATATTTGAGAGACTGTTATGGAAAAAATGAAATTGATATTATTACCTACTTTATTTATATTCTTTAAGTTAGATAAATTAAAAAGTTAAGATTTTTAAACTTACATTCCCTAATTCATCGCCAGCGTATAAAAATTTACCAAATACACACAAAGATCCTATATCACCGTCAGGAGGAGGCAATTCCGTAATTTTTTCACCAGCTGATGTCCATACCCTTACTCCGCCGTCGTTGGAAGCTGAATAAACTTTGCCTTCACTAGATGCTAATGCAAATAACTGAACTCCGTGAGCCATCCATGAAGCACTGGGCGTCAGATGTTCATCATAGGTCTAAATTAATTAAATAAAACGTTAAAAAAATGGAAATTAGAGTTTATTATGTTACATGATAATTAAATATGCTAGTTCCAGTCTGCGGGATTTACCTAAACCAAAAATATTGCGTATAATGAAATAAAAAAATTATTCAAAAAACTTACATGAATAAAACCGTTATCAGTACCAACAATTAATTTGTCACTCCATGTGGCTAAACAAGGTTCCGAGTCGATTTTCCTTTCTGTTTTAACTAGAAGAGTCATTTCTAATTAAAAAATAAGTAAAATAATAAAAAAATATTAAGAAAGTAATGACAAAACTGTTATTGAGATTTGAAACTGTCTGATGCAAGACGTCCTTTCGATGGGACTAAAATAGATGGAAGATCTAACTTTAGATTTGTTACTATTTGTACACATACATATTTGTGTATCTCTTCTAGATCTTAATGGAAATTCGCTTCTAGAAAATACTATGGCAACTAGTATTTAGGTATAAAAAAGAGACTGCAAAAGATTCTTTTCTATAATACAGTAAAATAATAATTTCCCTCTGGACTTTATATAAAAATCGGTTATTAGATACTTAATTAAAATAATTCAGGTTTATTTTTTCTTTATAAATATGTACGTAATGAAACTTTATCAATTTAAATCTGCGTTTGCCTCAACCATATACCTACAATTAATGAAAACTATACGAGAATAGGCTATCTGGTGCGGAAACAGTCGAAATAGCGTTGCCATACACTACGTGAAAGTGAAAATGCTGAATTACTTCGACATAATAGCACCGTGAGACACTTCTCATTAACTCCATATTGAAGTACGACGGTGGTCGACTTGCGTAATAACGGAAACTAAAAACAATTCCGACACTTTTTGTTCTAGCTTATCGCCGTTTTGAATAGAATGAAAACAGAAATACCCATCTTTAGAAACTGCAATGTAAAACTAGTAGTACTCAGATTATATATTTTACAAACCAACTAAAATGTAGGCAACTAATTACTTGACAGTTTCACAAAAATTAACATTTTAAAAAATTTTAAGATTTTTGCACGTTGCCTTCATATAATAATAATAGGATCTCTATGATTAAAAGAACAATTTTGTTTTGGCAAGACATCTATAGTAGGTACTTAAGTACTGGTCCTATAAACATAACATATCTACATCTTCAAAGTTAATATTACCAAATACTTACTTATCATATTAATTTCATTTCAAATACTTATCATAGTAATTTATTTTGTAAAAATGTTATTACAAAAAAAAAAAAAATTAAATTTTAAACATTTCAAGAAAAAAATATTGAATTAAATATGTAAGTATGTTGATAATATTTCAAATTTTATACATACTTCTCGTCGACTTTTATAATTATTATGAATATAACTATATAGCTATTATATGTATAACAGTAAAAATAAATTACTCAACAAATATCCTAGCTACTTGACAGGTTTTCATTTTTAGCGCTTAACTAACAAACCCCTTCTGTAAATTTATTAACACTTAACGTAATACTTACCTACCGACTGAAAATTATGATTGCATAAAAGAACCCAGGTGACCTCAAGCTTGTTTATGTTATTTACTTAAATAATACCATGAAGATTACGCATGTGCTCATTTGTAACCCAGGATTGTAAACGTTCTTACGGCAATCAGCTATTATTGATTATCATCTCAGAAAAAAAACAATGCATATTTTTTAAAACATTTAATAATACGTACAAAGTATAAAATAATATTTACAAGCACACATCAATTTGATGCAAGACAAAAAGATGCAGTATAGTTCAAGTTGGCAAATCTAACCTTGCGTCCGTCACAATTCAATCCCAAAATATATTTTGACAATTTTAATTTATACTAACAAGAACATATCGGCTATTGCATTTGTTGCTATACTACACCAATTAAAGTATTAAGGTATTTGGTAAATTATTTTGTAGTAATTGTGCCACGCGGGATCAATAAAATTAATAAATCGTTTAAGGGGCGCCGTATTCGGATGACGGTTCAGATGCTGGTGGACCGTATGAAGGTGCTGGTGGTGAAGCATCAGGGTATCCTTCTTGTTTCTAAAAAAATAATAAAATATCTTTAATTTTGTGTACATCCTAATTTTGATCATAACATGTTTAATTACACTATCAATCGAAACGAAATATGTAAAAGTATAATATATAAAAAAGAATTACTATAATAAATATATATTATAGAATTATGTGTTTTACAAGCATTGTGATTAATTCGACGATATTAACTTTCTACACCAATTTTTTATAACGATTTTTTTTAATACATAGTTACGCAATCACATATTACTGTTAGTTTCTACTCCGAAGTTTCTAATCATCCCGCAATTAAAACGCTATTTGACAGATAAACCATCACGCCAAAGTTGAATTGAACGGTGTTACAAGAATTACAATATTCTAATTTAGTTGCCCTTGGATCAGAAATATGTGAGTTACGGCGGGGTTAAAAAATATGAAAATTTTCCCTATATGACTAAAAGAGAAAATATGTCTGTTTCAAAATACTGTTGCCCGTTTAAAACTTTGCGAGGTCTAATGGAAATAAAGAATCATTAGGGACGAAAGACAAAATAAAAAATTGAAAAAAAAATAAAAATTTGAATGTAAGCATGGATGTCAAATCATACAGTTGGGAAAGCGTGATACAGATGTTGATTTTTGATAAAGTGGATAATTTAGATGTCTATATTGCATGAATCTTATAATTACAATTAAGTAATTTAGTGTAATTAATCTTATTTCGTAGAAAACAAGTTCATATAATTGTTTATTGTACCTATAATTGTCACTAAAAAAGGAAGAAGAAAAGTGATGTAACTGGAAAATTGCTATTTTAAAACTGTATATACGTATCGAAAATCGTATTTGTTCAATTACGTACTAAAAATATAACGTACGGACACAAGCACTTTTGTATCTTTCTAATTGAACTATTATTTATATCTAAAATCGGTGTATGTAACTTATATTAAACAATAAATAGAATAGCTAAAATATTATCAAATTAAATAATATTGTATTCTACCTGTGTCTTGTATCTGATGAAGTAGACCTCCGGTTTGGATGGTTGAGTGGGTGCTGGAGTAGGAATGACAATGTCAGGTTGTTCTTCTGGTTTCTTAACCAGCACGTATACGAGGGTCTTTTCCTCGTTCTGGGGTTGCACCGGGATGACTGGCGCAGTTGGTGCCGGGGGTGCTGGTGCCTTGATGAACACTATCTTATAATGCTTCTGCGGTGGTGGCACGTATATTTGTTTCGGTGGCTTTGGGTGTTCGTTGTCAGGGGGAGGTACGTGCACGTACACATGCTTGTGAACAATCGGCTGCTGAGGTGGCCCATACTGAGGGGCCGGGACTCCGTAGGAAGTTGAAGGTGGCCCGTACGATGACGGTGGTTCCGGCCGTGCAAGCACGCAGGCCGTCACCGCAGCGAAAATTAATGACCTCAATACCTGTGTACAAAATGTTTATTACATAAACACATTCCTCTTACTATTCTATTTTAAGCAATAGAGGTCATTAAAATTAGGCAATATGTAACATCACTATTATAATCAATTTCAATAACACTTATTTTATTTTCAAGATTTAATGTCGCCACTGGGTCAACAAGTTTAAGAGGCTATGGCACTACCCGGTACCTACCATCTTGTCACACATCCTGTCACAGAGTCTGAGAAGGTGTAATGTGCAGATACCTGATGCACCACCGCTTATATGAGATGTATGTTCCATGTCCGGGGAGGGGGCACTTTCGATGGTTCTCATAGTTTACGCAATGCGATGGGGTCCGCATCGCCTTACAGCCGACATAGTGGCGACTTCGCACGTTTAAATTAATAGAAGATAATCAAATATAATTAATTATTTTGTTTAGAAAAAAATCCATATAAATTTTAGCATTGCTAAACTTATATCATTCATCTCATATTACACTATTGACATGAAATAGGACTTAAATAAAAGCTGATAAAACTACAATGCACGTTATATATTTTAAAACAAAAAAATAGGTTTTTTTTTGTTCTTAAAACACTCGTACATCAAATATCTCATTATACTTAGGTCAATATTTATCAGTTGAGTATGAAATAAAAAGAAAACATTAGCGATTTAAAAAAAATAAGTGAATGTACGCAAAGTTCATATGTTAAAGATGGTAGAGGTTAAGAGGCGTATAAAAGCAAAAGTTTGCAAAATTTTACCTTAAGCATTCTTGGATTTCATATAATAAGTAGTAATACTTGGTACTTACAGGTTTAATCCATAAATATTCAGGATCCAGTTTTTAAATACTATTTTAAATAATATATTTTTTATAACATAGATTTTTATTATTCTATTATGAAATCAAATATTATTTATTAAAGTTACGATATATTTGGTGATACTTGACTTACCATCCATTAAGTAATAAGTACGTACCTATTTACATCAGTAGGTATATTAATGTCAAAATACTGATGGAGTTTTTTATATAGATATTTATTTCTAAGCAATTTCCCGTTTTTTAGTTTACGGGGATTCTGATTCATTTTTTATAGTGTCTAATTTATATGCACCGATAGTTATTCTGCAATAAATACTGATTTACTAATTGCTTTAAACTTGATTTATTTCGTTTAATTTGCTAACGAAAATACTGCCATACAAAAAATTTAAATAATTATTTTGACATGACACTCCTTAACTTATCTTTACTTATACCTTTTAAGAACATATATTACTTTTATTTTCTGATTTATTATGTTTACAGAAAACTTTGATGAATTTATGAAAATTTTAAAATATATATGTCTTCAAGTCATACCTTCCATTAAAAACAGTTCCTACCATACTAGACTTACCATACTTCTAATAGAAATGTTTTTATTATATACTAGCTTTCCGCCCGCAGCTTCGCCGCGTGGAGTTCGGTTATATCGCGTTTCCAAGAGAACCTTTCAAAAGTCTGGGATAAAAACTATCCTATGTTCTTTCTCAAGGTCAACTCTATACCGAACATTAAAATTTCAGTGGTTTAGGCGTGAAAGCGTAGCAGACAGACAGACAGACAGACAGACAGACAGACAGAGTTACTTTCGCATTTATAATATTAGTAGGGATAAACATTTATTTACTAAACTGTTTCTAATCAGAGGCTAACATGCATTCAGCGATAGCCTTATGCGGTTGTAGTCTTGATTGATTCCACGGTTCAACATCGACCAATCGCTTGAAATGCAATTTAAAATCTTTTTAAACAACCTAATGCAACGATTATTAGCCCAGTGATTACCGAGAGCATCGGTATGTGAGTATTAAAAGAAGGCGAGATAAAAACTTTAAAGAAGTATTATCGAACGAAAGTAATAGTTTTTATAGCATTGGATAAAAAAGTCGTGCATGGTGAGTATGGACGTAACTCGTGAACTGTTAAATTTAGTTCTGATAAGCGGTTGGTAATTAAATGTATAATTGAAAGTTATTATACAATTTTTATTTATACATGTTGTGAATTTTACTGTTTTTTAATCAACCAGAAAGATTCAAAACAAAAGTTATCGATGTTTACAAAAGCGTCCGTTGAATAATTATAACAATAATATTCTATAAGTTGACGATGTAGGTAGCGTGTATTTTTTTTTATGTCACTGTGAGTTAAGGTTTTGAAGTTAAAACTAATATAACTGTAAAGAAAAAGAACAAAACATAATAGGTCGATCGTGTGAGTCAAACCGTAGTTTGTTAACTAGTCTGTATTGTTAGAGACTTAATTACCATTGATTGGTGTGTCACAGCATCTCAGAGTGGAGTCGGGAATCAATCACAATCAAACATCCTCTGTTACACTGAGGACATGTAAACATCGGAAGTAAGCGATTTAAGATCTTGCTTTTCATTGCAAAGTGCATAATGGATTATCTTTCGAAATTCAGGTTTTTCAGTATTTCCAAGGTTAGTACCTAAATTTATTCGTTTTGTTAAGGTAAACATTATATATTTTTATTTAAACACATCTCACATACATTTTCCATAGTTAAATTAAGATATTTTTATTGTAAATTACATTTAATATAAAACATCGTTTGCTTTTTAAGTTTCGCTATGGGACTGAAAAACATCAAACTTATTTATTTATAGTTCCGGCTGAATAGAAAAGATCTTAAAAATGCAGTGTTATCCTTTTTTATATTCCTCATATCGGACAAAATATCAGACACATAATATGGAACAAATTTGTCCAAAGATAATAATAATTTTATATACCTATTAACTAATTGTTTTTTACAATATATGGTTTTTAAAAATGTTGAAAGGTTTTAGAGAACTCCTAGATAAAATTTTAAATTTAAAAGGCCTTTAATTAACAAGTTAGGTCAAGAAAGTTTGTTAAAATATCAATTATTAAGTACTTTAGAAAATCCATACCAGATAGCCATTAAGCAAACCATCATAATTACGAATTCTTTCGACGGCGTTTTATTGCACTAAAAATAAAAGATTTCTCAATCACTTTGTTAATTTTGTGATAAAATTTAAAATCAGTTTATGATAGAAACACAAAAAACACATAAGGTGATGATAACTTACCTACTGTTTTTTGTTGCTCTTGTGTACCTGTGTCATCGATAACTACCGAGTTCAGATTGCAATGCAATTAAACGTAACCTATTAAATTTTCGTAAAATTGCTTAAGATATTGACATACGACAATGCTGATTCAATGTAAAAATACCTAGTTCATAATTCAAAGTTATAGAAACTCGTGTTTACGTAATATTAATGTATTAATGTAAGGGGAACAATATTATAAGTAGAATACTTCAGGAAACCTATTTATTTTGCTATTGAGTAATAACCAAACAAGTATATTTTAATACTATATTATAAAGTACTAACAGTCATACATTGTTTTAACTATAAATATATATCAGTATTAAATTGTATTTGTTAAAAATCTAGGTGTGCAATGTTTACATATCTGAAGTTATAATTGAACGCTTCGACTTTGAATCATTTTGCAACTTATCAAGGTTTTGATAAAGACTTTTAAAACACGGAGTTTTAATTTTTTCGTTATAAATAATTGGATACATGTGATTGGATATATGTATATCGATTTTAAGTGCTTATTTTTTAAATACCTAAACATAATTCACGTGTTTTAAAAAAATATTATTATCAGTCCTTCTCAAGATAATTAGTAATGCAAATTATTTTTATTGGTAATTTTAAACGTCATTGTATTGTCGTTTTCAAGATAACTATTCTTGTATTCTCAAAAGATGTTACAGCAAAATTTTCAAGGTTGACACAAAAAAAAAGTTTCATTAATTTGATACAATGACCTGGCACTTTTTCTAAAGGCCAAATACTTAAATTCATTCATATGCAACTTTAAAAATATATGTGAAATACTTTCTTTTATTTTAGACTTCTATTAATTATATGTATATTAAGTATATAGGTATTTTCTCCGCCTAAAATTTGTTACTCTCAGTAAAAATATATTTTTCTATATTTAATAAACACACGCTAGATTTAGTTTTATGTACAAAAATTAATTACTGCATGTTTGTTCCATCTGTGATTGCTTTGAGAAGAGGTTTTGAAATAAAAATTAAGCCTCTTAAAAAAAAAGTCAAGATTGAGAAATACATTTCAGTCATTTTAAACGTATTTTCTAAAATGTACGTATGACTTACAGTTACAAATATAATTAATGGTTTTGGATTTTATATATATTATAATTATAACGTCATAAATTTGTTTGTTGTATCTTTTTACATAGTTAGAATATCATAGCCCTTAATTTGTGACTCATATTGAAATTTAAAACAACGGTTATTCTTAATTGTCTGGAATGTAATAGTACATATTCTCCCATGGCTAGTTCCACGCACTTTAAGGGGAATCATGAGATGGCTCGTACCGGAATTAACCGCCTTAAGGAAGTTGCAACGAGAATGGAACCGGTTTTTTCCGACTTAATCGTTTGTTATCACCGTGTCTGAAACAACAAGCAAACGCAATGATGAATAACTAAAGGGCGGTCTTTGTGTTTCATATACTTAGAATTTTTAAAACCTTCACGCTTTAAACAATTTATCAAAGCACTAAGTTATTCATATTAATTTAATATTTAACATTCAAATCGAATCAGAAATATTTTCTCTTAATATTATTGCCGTAAATGTAATAAAACTGATTTCGTTATACCTAAACTTCGTTCAATATCTTTCCACTTTTTCCAATATTAATGTAAAAAAACTTGTAATTATTTTTAACGTTTCATAGTTAAAGCAATAAAAACGGAATCCTTGTAAGATCATGTTGTTGTCCGTTGGTTTAGCTGTTGAGAATTTAAAGATGCATACCTAAATAATTAAAGGTACTTTGTTAATATTGTATTCTACATACATATTAATCTTCCATAAGACCTAAAACAAGATTTTCTGTTGAGTTAAAGTCTTGACATTTTACCGAATAATTAATCATTAAAAGATTTGATACCTATATCTAAAAAAATATGTTTTGTTTTGGAATTACGAACTCAATTACGTACAGTTAATAAACTAACCACGATTAATGTGGATGTAGGAGAGCAATAGTTTATTAAAGGAAAGATTGTTAGTAGATACTAATATTTAATATTTACATTTAAGTGATCACTTTGTTTTTAAATTTCATCTTATCATTCACCCTCATTTTGATCGTGGGTTAACTGTTTAATTAATAGATAAAAATGTTTTAACAAGTTAAATGCCAGCTGTTCCTCTAATGGTTTTATTTATCCGTCGTAATTGAGAAGAGGCTAGTGCGTTCTGATAATTATTTCATAGTAATTAATGAAAAAGACTAATTTGTCAATTATTTAATTAAGACTTGAATTCTACCTTTTTTTCAGGTTGTATTTTTTTATACAATTATATCCACATCTTTTACAAACGCAACGGCCAAGTTACTTGTTTTAAACACAAGTCAAACCGACAACTTCGAACAGATACAAAATGCTACAAATATCGAACTATTTCATTGGGAAGACTACACTGTTCTCGCTGCTATGCTCATCATATCTTGTGGTATTGGGGTATTTTACGGATATTTCGGAGAAAAACAAATGACAGGCGATGACTTTCTTCTTGGTGGGTCATCTATGGGAACGTTTCCGATGGCACTTAGTTTAGCGGCGAGGTTAGTATCGTCATTGCAAAAATATGCAAATAATACATATATATGCTACAACGCTAAATGAATATAAAATCATAAATATAATTTAAATAAACAATAGCAGTAGATTAGCATAGAAAGTTACATAAGCATATAGATATTTTCTCTTTGTGTTTAATTTTCACAGTGTTTAAATGTAACGTGCTACGTGTTAATACTGTTATATAAAAATATTTAGTTCTTTCAATATATTTTTTTGTATGAATAATTTCAGCATGCCTTTTATTGCAGCTTTATTACAGCCATTGAGTTGTTAGGAAATCCGGCGGAGATGTTTATAGCCGGTGGTCAATTTTGGATGATTTGTATAGCTTTTGTCCTTACTGTACCAGTGGCAAGTCAATTATATTTACCAGTGTTTATGAGGCTTCGACTGACATCATGTTACGAATATTTGGTAAGGACAGGTGATCTTTAAAATAATACTTAATTATGTACATAGATATAGCAGTAAGAAGATTATATAAAACAACATGTAAAATTATTTCAGGAGGTACGATTTTGCAAGTCAATGCGTGTGTATGCAAGCGTTCTATACATGTTGCAAATGATATTGTACACTGCAGTTGCAGTGTATGCGCCAGCCCTAGCACTTTCAGACGGTAACTAAAACAAAAGTTTTGTCAGTCTTCTACAAATACCATTAACTTTCATAACATTTATATTATCGAATGGCTATAACGATTGAAACTTTTTAGAGATTACGTAAATTATTATGGATTTAAATGTTTAGAATCTAATCACTATAGAAAGTATAACCTCTAAGTTATCGCAATAAAAACAAAACAACGTGTAGATACGTATTTTAAAGACATTTCTCTATGTATTAGTTTTGTTGGGGTGTTCGAAATATTCTTATATTTTTTTGGTTCATATTCATAATTTTACATTTTCTAAAAAGTAATATTTTTTAAACATGTTTAAAATGTTCACTATAAACGATCACAAATTTTCCGCCGACAATCCGTGCAACGAAATATTTGTAAAATATTTTAGTTTTTTTCTTTTAATAAGAGATCTGAAATTTACGTCAAATAATTCCAGCTTCTAATAAAAGACATGGAAATTGTAATTTCCAAGTCAAATTTAGCTTGACTTCAAACACAAAAAGATTGATTGTATTTTAATACAGCCTATATTACAATGCAAGTATTGAAACAGAATAATTTCAACAAACAGTTACATAAAATTCTGTTCAAGGTGTTGTTTATATGAACAACATTTATAAGAACATCTACGACGAAACAAATAAAAATTTATGTATGATGTAACGATAATAGTGTATCACGTAATTAGCGAATAAGCGATGCAATTATATTAAAATAGGCAAGTATTTTAAGATCAAAATTATGTAAGCCGTTTCAACAAAAATAATTTCGTACACACGTAACATTTGACACACTTCGTAAATCCTAGTAGAATAATCACTGATAATTGCTAAATATTTCGTTACGATTAATCCAAAAATTGACTAAGAGGTCAATAGATTATTTATTTCTATTAAGTTAATTTACAGACTGATTGAAAGCATTTTGTAATGCCTAATACTTACGTACTTTTTAAAATTTTATCACGATTAAACTTCTACGCAATATCTGTCGAAAAACAAACCTTAAATAAATTCTAATCACGATGAGTGCCACACGTAGGGTAATATCGCATTACCCAATAATCCTTACCGAACAGTCAAGGTCGTAGATTAAAAAATAAAAATATAAAACAATTCGAAATATCATTTACCACTCGCAACTTATTTCTATTCAAAGACCAATAATGTTAATGATGACGATCATTCTTTTCATGTAATGCATATTTTTTTATAAATCACCGATTTAAAAACCTATTTTTAATCGGCTCAAATTTTTATACACGAGGCACATTCGACAAAAAGAAAGTTTCTTTATGCGTTAGGGCTATAAAGTGTCATCAAAGCTATTATTGCAACAAGGGATAACAAAAGCGCCATAAAATTAATTCACGATTCACATTGTCATTTGTAAGTTTAAAATTTCGTAACAGCTCGTCACAAACGACGTCTTTTTATGACTATTTAATTTTAATATCATAATAATTATTTTCTGTTTATTATCATAGTATATATTTATGTTTTGCCATAATAATATACAGGAGTGTTAATTTAAACTTTATGTGGTTGAAGTAACAATTATTCTCCATTTAAGCATTTAACGAGCTGATAATTACTACCGGTTTAAAGTTATTGTCAATAAAATAAATAACAAACTATATTAATATATCTATAGAAATCTATTAATAATATTATTCATAACGGATATTTTTTCGAAACCTCATCGATATAGAGCATACAAATTTTATGAACCTTGCATAATCTTATTATAATTCCGAAGACCCATTGTTCCATAAGTGGTGAGTGTTTTATGGCTTATTATGTCACAACCAAATAATGATCCTATCAAATTATTTCTTTGGCTTGCATTAGATGCCGTTGCATTATTAAAATGTATAGGTATTGCTCCGCAATCTATTCTTACGTAGGTACCTTCACCTCTATGAAATTGCGAGATTCAACCGTAAACTTTATATTATAACATTAACAAATACAATTTTCTCTAATGCAAAAGTAGTCTTATTTTTAATTTGATAATAATTTCATTTTCAGTGACAGGACTAAATACATATTTAGCGGTGTCTGTGGTATACATAGTATGTATATTCTACGCTTCCCAGGTGAGCTAACTACACATAGTAACAATAAATGACACACTATCACATTTAATTAAGCATTGTTTTCACATTAAATTTGGACATTTCAGGGCGGTATGAAAGCTGTTATAATGACTGATACATTTCAATCAGCCGTACTGATCGGATCATTAGCTGCCATACTAGCTCTCGGTTCGGCACAAACCGGTGGCTTCGATTATATTTGGGACTACGCACAACACACCGACAGATTGCACTTTTTTGAGTAATGCCTTATATTATTAAAATTTCAAATTTCAAACTCATACAGAGTCATACATAATACATTATCAACGTACATATTATATTTTTAATTAAATCTAAGAGCAGTGTTATAATATTTGACCGCATTTTTTTATCTTGTCACGATCTATTCAGAGCATAATACCTACATATGATCACGAGGTAACCATCTTAAAAGCAAAAATGCATACCTCACCGTTACACCACTAACGTTATTGGGCAATGTGAGAGGAAAGATCTTCCGTGATGGACGGTTTGCCCTATCACCTCAACGAACGCTGTAATAATAATGTCCCAGAATACGAAGCAAGCTAGTAAATTTACCCGATAGTAAATGATAGCGAAATTCACACGCTGTTTCGTATTAATGCATAGAAATAATCCTATACACATGTTGAAGTTTTCCGCAGTGAGAATCATCGTAATATTGTAAATGTATTATTGTTTCCATTGTATATACAATAGCTAGTTTACTCTTTTAGCATGAATCCCGACCCTACAGTACGGCACTCCTTTTGGTCGGTGGTTGTGGGTGGTACCATGTACTGGGTCAGCATGTTCTGCGCTAACCAAGCGTCGGTGCAGAAATACTTATCAGTGGAGCGCATATCTCAGGCTCGAGTCGCGTTATGGGTATCAGCTATTGGCCTAGTATCGGTGTACTCTGTTAACTTCGCTACCGGAGCCCTTCTTGCAGCGCACTACGCGGGATGCGATCCCATTGAAGTAAGTTATTTAATGTAATATTTGTACGAAAAACTTTAAAACCTAAAATAAAAAATAACTCTTTATAATTACCACAGTCTGGACAAATAAATGCTTCTGACCGACTTCTGCCTCTATATGTCGTAAAACAGCTGGGTGTGTATCGCGGCGTTCCAGGATTCTTTGTGGCGGGCATTTTTGCAGCAAGTCTTGGGTAAATTGTTTGTCTTAATTTTGTTTCCCACTAATTATCACTCTAAATGTAATCACTACTAACAATATTATCTCCACGGACTAATATTGTCGAATCCGTTACGTACGATATCCCGTAAAGAACTGAATTAGAGTCACACTCACCAACTCTATTCCAGAAATGTCCAGCTCACATACCGGTTAATTTCAGTAATACTTAAATGTGTATGAACCTAAAGATGCCATTTGCAATTTCCAATTGTTAATTGATGTTTGCTTGTACAGTTAGATGCTTAGATATAATTCTTATACTAACAACGTCGCTACAAAACTTATTTAATATCAAATCATTTACAGAACAGTAGCATCAGCACTAAATTCCTTGGCAGCTATTGCATGTCAAGACTTGGCGTCTGGTTTATTTGGTATCACTTTGCCAGAGAATAAGGGCGCGGCTGTAAGTAATATAATTTCTCTAGAAAAAAAAGATTCATAAAACTATCCATTATGATGTAAACATCCCATACGAATAAATTAATTCACAACAAAGGCAATTAATTTATAAGCCAAGAATTATATATTTTACATGTACTTCACAATTTCATTATAAATTTGGGAATAATAATTTGTGCTGACTAGGTAAGCGTTTGTAGTTTCTATGAAACCACTTATTTATAATTATTATTCAACAAGAAATAGATATATGCAAACCAATCCATCTTATTTTTTACTGTCCAACATTTTGCTTTTTTCTGTACAAAATATTTTGTAGGAAAGTAGAGTTAATATTTTTGAAATGAAAATCACAATACACAAATAGTTTTATTTATGGGTATTTTTTTTTTTGGATATCTTAAATTACATAAGTAATATTTATTCGTTATACTTAATATACCTAATCAAAAACTATTGTTAGACGATCTACATGTGTCATGTGTTTGAGTTTTTATAAAACACAATCTAATATTGAACATTTTTCAAAAGATAATATTATATAAAAATAACTGAAATGTTTATTCTTATCCCTTCTTTAAGATTGCAAGATGGGTGTGCCTGGGATGTGGTGCATTGTCTTTCGCGCTTGTGTTCGTGGTGGAGAGGTTGGGCCCTGTACTTCAGTTGGCCCTCTCATTTAATGGAATGACGGGAGGTGTCACCTTAGGACTCTTCAGCCTCGGAATGTTGTTCCCATGGGCAAACGCCAAGGTTCGGTTAAATAATATTTTAGATTATTTGGTCAATTTCAATAGTCCTTCTAAGGAGCAATGACAATTTCTCTGTACCGTAATCATAATTTATAAATCGATTATTATTAAAAATGTTTTCAGGGAGCGGTTGCGGGCGGTGTTTGCGGATTGCTGCTGGTGGTAGCGGCGGGTGGTGGTGCTCAGTACGCCGCAGTGCCATTACCAAGGCTACCTGCCTCTACTGACACCTGCCCCACCACCTTAAATATGACATCTAATTATGACCCTACGTAAGAAGTTCATTTTTTTTTTTTATAAAACATTTAAATAATTATTAGACTGTATAAAAATTTCTAATGTTATTATATAACCAAAAATTTTATCATTTTTTATGTATGGACGGAAAATAATTTAAAACCTACGCATAATTAACTACACCTTACGGAGCTTAAAAAACACAATTTAGAGTTAGGTTATTATATTTCAGAGAAAATCATGACAGGGCAGTATTTTGGTTATTCAAAGTGTCATATCTCTGGTATTCTGGACTGGGTTGTGTTGGCACTCTGATAATTGGATTAACGGTTTCCTTGATCACTGGTATGACTGACCCCGCTGATGTTCCCATTGACCTCATATCGCCTCCGGTTGTCAGCTTCCTAAACTCATTGCCGAATAAAGTTAAGGTAAATTAGAAACAATATCCCTTGTTTAATGTTTAAAAACTTTATTTGTCTTATTCAATTTATATTACATACAGTTTTATTAGACTGTCATTGCATAAAAAGTGCGTAGACTACATGCATTATAATTAAAATATTAAATAAAATAGAAAGCGTTGCGTGTTCCGACTCGTCTCGGTTCGGAGCGTCGTAGAAGTTCGAGCGTCCGACCACCGAGTCTGTCCGACGACAAGGACACGAGACGTCGCCGACGGTTGTCCGAGTTGGCGGGCGGCGTGTTCTACAGCGATGCACCCACACTCACTCGCGGCCACGACAACCTCGCGCTCGGCCTTGACTCAGAAAAACCGCCACCTCAGGAACCCAAGCGAACGAGTTTCAAATTCGACGCACCCTTAAATCCTAATTCCCCACAAACATCGTCATGCTGATTTATACATCATTAATTATCTGTGTACTAAATTATTTTCCTCTATCGACATGCTGATTTTTAATCTGTATCAGTATTTAACATTGAACAAAACATATATATTTTAACATTACCTGGAACTATGAAGCGAATTGCAAAATCGACAATAATGAATTTCAATTGTTTTTATGGTTAGAAATACATATTTCTTAGCAATTCTCTACACTTAGTTAGGTACCATAATTTCTTTATCAGTTGTATAAATATTTAAAAATAAATATTAATCCTATTTTACATTTCATAGTGTTAGTTCAATTCATATTAACAATAGCTGTAGTTTTAAAAATATTTTGAAGTTAACTTTATTGAAGAATTTTATTGTCACCAAAGTTATAGAAATGTAACAAGAAAATGTGAATATTAATGCAAAACAACAATTGCCCAAGGATATTGCCTTTTTGTAAATAGGATATAACTAATTTAGGTAATGAAATAATTTATTTCAATATATTTATACATTATAATAATTATTATATGTATTCCAGGGTCTAAGGACTAAACTGTAAACACATTTGATTGTATAATATTCTTAAGGTCAAAGAAAATAAATAAAAGATATAAAAAAACTTTAATTGTATACATATATTTTAATGCCAAATTATACATCAACTTTTAAACGGCAGATAATTCATAGGATTAAATTATTGTTATACCTATAAATTCTATTCGATTTTGGACGTACATTAAAGAAAAATATTATTCACATTTAAATAGTAAATGCCATATATTCAGTTATACATGAATGTAATAGACAAGAACAAAGAAATTATATTTATACAGAAATATAACATGGATAAACGAAATAAAATATATTGGCAACTAAATTATAATCTGTGCTAAATGTCAATTTTTGAACCTAAATACTATAAAATATTTACGATAACAAATCCTGCTGGTGTTGGACCTGCTGTTGGTGTATTTCTTGCATCGTCGATACTGGTAAAGTAGCGCTAACTGTTATCGATGGCATCCCTGGGAGAGAAACTGGTGTCACTACGGGCAGTCCGCCTAAAGACGGCGCCTGAATTGGTGTAAAACTACTCATATCAAAAGTTGGAACTAAATTTGGAGCCTGTTGCATTGTTTGAACCGGAACGGTTGCCTGAGGCTGAGAGTAATTCTGCATTATGGGTATATATGGCTGCGGTTGGTTCATTGGGATGCCGGGCAGATTAGGAAGTGGAGCCGGTGGTTGCATATTGGACACCGAAGGAATGCTACCTAAATTAGTTAATGTTGTTTCAGCCAAATCTGAAAATGAGACAAAATGTTTTATGACTCTCTTGTTAAATCTAAATAACATTCAATAATTTCTGCAATGTTGCAGAACATACCACCTAATACCAATTCAAAATTTTAAAATGCATTAACTTATATTGCTTTTTTTTTAAAGTTCCTAAATATTCAAAGGGACTTTAGTTAATGAAGATAATATTCATTTTATATTTCTTAACTTTCTAACAATACTACCTTTCTCAAAATAACACTAAATTTTTTGTAACAATTGATTTATTTTAAAAGAGACTTTACTTACATTGTACTTCAAAATATAACTTTTTCTTTAATATTAAACTTTTTTTCACTGTGAAAAACTAAAACCCATTATAACGTCAAACTAATACACTTAAATAGAAAAAAGTTCAAATACTTGTGTGACCATTCATAGCCAATAAATGTTATTAGCTACTCACTGCTGGAATAGGCCGCCATATTGGAGACCATTGACTGGGGTTGTGACATAGGTGGTTGGCTTTCTTGTGGCATGGCAGTTGCTTCTATGGTTTTTGGGGCATTACTGACAGGGAGTCCTGGGTTATATCCTCCAGGATTTACCATCGGTACACCTGACAAGAACTGTGGCTGTGATACTTGAGACTGATCAACAAGTGGTGCCGTTTCATCATTGACACTTAAGCTTTGTACCCCCGACACCATAGCTTGCTGCATATTTTGTTCCGACACCTGTAATTTATTACAAATCTATTTATGTTTTAAATAATTTAAGCATTTTATATGATTTTAATTTATATTATTTTGAGTAATGATGAAAAAAAAACAAACATTATAAATTAAAAATAATTGACCTGTCTCATGTTTGAAAATTATGATTCATATTTTATAGAGAATATCAATATTTGTCACATGGAAATAATTTTTTGAAGGCAACAAAATTAAATGTTCTTTCTAATCTTATAAAATAAATATAATAAGTGTACAATGCAAATATGTAATTCTAATGTTCGAGTATGGCCACACTTTTTTCTCTTCTGGCAAAAGTTATCATTTTAATCACTTCCTTAATTCAACAATCAAAAAGGTCACCAAAAAAAACTTCTTTTACAAATTATTATTCTCTATAGATTCTACCTATAAATGTAATCTACACTACTGTGTCAAAAGTAAATAGACAGGGCAGTTTTCAAAAAAATATTTATTACAAAAAAACTTTTTACTTAATTAAAAAACTAATAGATGATAATTAATACTGTGTCGATCCTCCTTTTTTTTCAGATAAGGTTTTTATCCTAGCTGTCATAGTATCTATCAAACCATCGATCTGATCTTCCCTTAAATTACTCCATTCCTCAATCAACATCGCCTCTAATTCTTTTTTATTCGAGGGCTTCTGAGGTCTTTTCGCAATATTCATTTGCAAAATGTGCCAGACATTCTCAATAGGGTTCATATCGGGCGATTGACCTGGCCACGGGAGAATATTAAGCCTTTTTTGGGATTTCCAGGCAGTTGTTTTTTTAGCTCTATGGGATGGTGCCCCATCTTCCATGAAAAAGTAATCTTCGCGTTTCAAATTTCTTTCATCAAAGATCGGTAGGAGTCCCTCTTTTAAAATGTCAATATATTTTTCAGCATTTATTGTCCCTTCACAGAACACCAAACGACTTCTACCGCCGTACCAAATAGCCCCCCAAACCATAACACTCACACCGCCGTATTTCACAGTTTGCTGTAAATATCGGTCTTCCAATTGCATTATAGAGCGACGCCACACCCATTTTCGTCCACTGTCACTGAATTGGCAATATCTGGATTCATCCGAAAAAATCACGTGCCTCCAAAAGTTAAGATCCTTACAAATCATTTCTTGTGAACAATCATATCTCCTTTTTTTTGAAATTTTGTCAACAGAGGTTTCAGGTTTCTTTTTTGCTACTCTCTTATAAAAGCCAAGACTATGTAAGTACCTCTGAACAGTTCTTCGTGATAAATTTGAGGTTACAGCCACATCATTAACAGATTTTTCGGGATTTCTTAAAACTTCACGAACTAACGCCCGTTTTTGCCTGTCAGAAGGTCCAGGTCTTCCTGATCGTGGGGAAACACTTGTCTTCTTATTCCTTTGGAACTGCACGATGACACGATTAACGGTAGACAACGGCACATTTAATCCAGCACTGATTTCACGCTGAGATTTACCACCTTCATATTGGCCAACAATGCGTCCTCGAGTAAAATCGCTTAATTCTAGTGACCCACTTGTCCGCGGCATTTTAAAATCGTATAAATAAACTGAGATTACTTCCTACTATACTGTAATATTTTTTTTATAACTACCCGCTTTCATATTTTTAATAAATCTTTTCACCTGTAGGTGTCTATTTACTTTTGACACGGTAGTGTATATGATAATACTTTTTCACTTTGTTATAGCCAAAATAATTACATATTATGTCATAAACTCATTATTTCATAAAAGCCTTCTCTAATTTCCATACCAAGTTCTCTAATCAGAAATTGTAAGTCACATAATTTTAAGGGATCGGAATGTGAGTTGTGAAATAACTGAATTAATTCAAAATCAACATGATTTTAAATTTTTCATAAACAAAATATTAATGCACATACAATTTTTTTTTTTTTTTTTTTCATAATTCTTTTAAGTGTCCTATTATATTTTTCTTATAAAATAAAAATAAAACTCATAAACGTTGCTTTCATCAGCTTATACCTTAGAAGTTTCCATTTAAATAAACACAATAAGTTCAAATTATCTGCCTATTGCCACTTTCCTATTCATACTTGTTTACATCAAAATTTGATTATATTAATCATTTCTGCATCATTTTTTAAATTTTAATTTTTTTTTTTAATTCGTCCAGCTTAATTACAGTATCATTTATTTTTTTGTTACAAAGGTCAGTACATATTGGGATTATCACATTTAAATCATATTAATGATAAGAAACAGAAAAATATAAATTATAAAATTATTTAAATGTAGTCAACATTTAATTATTGAGTTATTCTAAAAAATTAAGTTAAACTGATAGAATATACTTACCGGTGGTGTTGAAACATTATATTGTATTTGGTTCTGAGCAATGTTTGCATTTCTAATAGGAATCCTATGAAGGTAGCCATACCCAATACCACAACCAAGACTACCTTCACCTCCCCAGGCATGATTGGGTGTTATCACGACTTCACGACAAGTATCATCATTAATATTATAAACATAGAGCTTCAACGGTCTTCCTTCATGTGCTTCAATTAATGTAAACAGATCTTCACTTTCATGCATGATAGAATCAGCTCCTATTATATAATCTGAGAATGGTCTTAAACCAGCCAGTTCTGCTGGTGATGAAGGATGCACTTCCTGTAATTAACGGAAGAAATTAATGAAAGAATATTATTGCATATTCATTTACTGACAAGAAATTGATACTAACCAACACATGCCAGACATTTTCATTTGCACCTTCAAAGGAACAAAAACGAATGCTAACGCCCAGTAAACCTTGTCCACCCCAGTTCGCACTAGGTGTTATCATCACCTCCCTTACCGATTGGGTTTTTGTGCTGTAAATGAGCATCTTTATTGTCTTATCAATATTCTGTTTTAGGAGCGTTTTAAGTGTGTCATTATCTTGATCCAATCTAGTATTTTCTATAGCTACTATAAAATCAAAAAATGGTTCGAGATTAACTTTTTGTCCCGGGGAGCCGTCCTGGACCTGAAAAACATTGACGTGTTACTTTTGTATATAACAATAATAACAGAGGTGGCTTTTAGTATGATAATACTTGCCCTTAAGATATGATAACCCTCTGAGCCCCCTCCTGGAACTTCAGAACTTTGTGAAGAACCCATTGATGTAAGTAAATACGAGATAACTTATAAAAACGCCAAGATATTTTGAAAATTTACTAAAACTATGACAACTGCAGGTTTGACGTTGACGTTTAATTATTAAATCTACGTGGCAGTTCATGAAAGGTTGCAATATAAGAATTTTTTTTTAACAATAAAGATAAGTCTGTCTTTCTTATTACCTAAGATTTCCAAATATAAGATAATTATATCAGTCAAATTTCAAAAAGGTATAGTGTATTATAAATCATCCTTAAATTGTTTCGGAAATTAAAAATATATGATTTACAGTCAAGTAAAGTTTTATGATGCTCTATATTATCTCGGAATTATAGTAAAATATCTTAAAAAGCATACAAAGCAGACATACTAAAATAAATATTGCTTAAATACTGATAAAAATATTGCCATATTCATTGTTGACAACCTAGCAAGTCACTTGTCATTTTGTTAATATAAATTTTATAATTTGGTGCTGATCAATAAAATTCAATATGAAATACTGATCTTATTTTTCCAAATGACTAGCTTTCTGCGATCAATGTACTTACTTGCCCCAAATTAATTTTTATTATATTTTATCGTCATAAAAATAAGATTACAATAAATAAAAACAATTGTTTTTGAGGGCACAGTTAACAAGTTAAATGCTTTTTTGCAATTAACAAGTACAGCAACATAAATCGTTGGTATGTAATAAATCAAATATTGAAGATACAAATTTGTTTCGTGCCGAAATTAAATTCTTTATAATTGTGCATGGTATTCATTCATCCTTGAGATCACTTGATAAGTCACACATTAATTTAACAGTTACCTTGCAATTTATAAGTCTAGAAGACTTTGAAAATGGCGGAATGGAAGCATTTAATAACAGAATGGTTCAATGAATATGCCGCTCTAAGAGAAAATGAGATCAAAAGCTTTGCTGCCGAACATGAGCATAACCATGAAATTGCAACAGCAATTTTCAATTTACTCTACAGTGAAGACGAAAGTGAGAACCAGGCGAAAGGTCAAAGAAATGAAGCAGATCAACAGGTAAAGATTACAAAGTAGTATAATAAGTAGGTACATAATCCTTTTAGAATTACTGATTAACTTTGCTTTACTTAAAATATAAGTTTAAAAAATAGTAACAACATCATTTTTTTTAGATGCTTGAAAATGTTTGCATACAACTATTCAGTTTCTACAGATCAAAACAGGTTGAATTGCAAAGATTTACATTACAGTTTGTTCCTACTTTAATTTACACATACCTAAGTAATGTTGCTCAAGGAAACACTAAAGCGTGCCGGTGTATAGAAACATTACTCATTGGTATGTTGTCATTTACATATAAATTATTGTTCAACAACACATATTTCCATATTTCAATTGTTTAATAATTTTTTGGAATGAGATAAATTTATATATTTTTCATAAATATCCTATTTCTTCTTTTCATCAAAGTAATAGTTATATAATATATATAATATGTCAGTGTTGTAACTGTTTTTTCTCTCTGTATTAACTGGACAAATTTGACTAAAATTTGGGTCACATAAATGATAGCAGATGTATCTGAAAAATTAAAAAAGCTCTTAGAACTAAAACAAGAATGGATTTCTTTCAGTATAAATAAATTTATAATTATGTTATGTAATATATCTTTGAAATAAAATTAAAATTCTTATTTTATTTTAGGTCTTTATAACTTTGAAGTGGTTGATGAAAATGGTAAACCAAAAGTTGTGTCATTTAGGTTGCCTTCATTGGCGCAGGCCTCTATATATCATGAGGTAAAAAGTAATAAAAATACTTTATTCTATATATATAAACTAATTTAAATCTTACACAAGACATTATCCTTGCTTATTTTGTTTTAGCCATTATCTCTTGGATCCCAGTTCCTAACAGAAAGTGCTCTCCGACGATGGGAAGAATGTAACACTAAACTTGTAAAATGGGGACCACATGCTCAAGTGGAGACAATAAATGCACAAAACCGCCTTAAAGTCATGGCTGCTCTATTATTTATTTATAATGGTCAACTGAGCTTACTGCCAAAACTTTCTTTACGACATTTCTGTATTGCTGCATCTCGGTAATTTAATGTGTTATATCATATATGTTCTAAAAAAAAATAATTATGAAAAATTTATAATATGTTATGAAGTTGGATTGAAAATGAACAATTAAAATATATTTATTATTTTTTAGGATAGTGACACAAGGTTTTAATACGAAACCTGGCACCAAATCTATTCAAAGGATACCTGTGTCTTCAAATTTCATGCTAGAGATGATTGAGGGTGCATATTATGCGATGTTCAATGAATTTTACACATTTGCCCTTCAAGCCGTTAAGGACATAGATCAGAGGGCCCAGTATGAAATGCTGCCAGATGTGATGTTAGTCACTAGCGCTGTTATTAATTCATTAATGAATAACCCAACGGGTAAGTTTTTAAATAAATTTAACATGTGAAGTTTATCAATTTACTATTATGTATTGGAAAGAAAATTATGATGTTGTTGTTGAATAAAATATAAGGATTTATGTATTCTCTCTAGGTCAACCCTGCGATGGACCTATGGGTATAAGTGTAGCGCTATCCCCAGCTACAACTACAGTTACTATGTCTAAATCTATGATAACAAATGCATCATTCCGAACGAAGAAACTACCAGGTGAGTGAAATTTAAAGAAATTGTATATTGTATGGTGTGGTACATCACATGTTTGTGTTTTTTAATAATCTTTTTTAGTTTTTGGTTTGGCAAACTGATGAAATCAATCATTTCAATAGTTGAAAGACTATTATAAAATATCAATATCATTTAATGAGGCTAAACTTTTGGAATTCCTATTTTTTTATAATTTTATGTAATTTTTCTCGTGTTTTAAGATTTCTCATGTGTAATCCGTCCCAATCCTTTATATAAATATCATTTACAGGGGAATTTGGTATTAATATTTTCTCTTTATAACCTTTATCTAATAAATGAAAAAAAAAAAAAACGATAGATTTTAAAGTTGTAAAATTGATTTATAAAAAACATCATCTATAACATTTTACTTGCAGATTAAAAACATGATAAATTTTTATGACGATAAATATATAAAAAAGTTTAAATAACCCCTGCAATATATCCACTTGTATCCCTCCATTTTTTGTTTGTTTTTTAAAGGTATGCTTCTAAGTAATTTATGTAGTAATTATATATAGTCATTCTAAAATTATATAATTATAGTGTCTTTAAGGGTAAGAGTACATAGTTTGATATGCAAAAAAACATGATCCAAATATCAGTTTTATGATACAAATATTCTAAAAGAAGTTTAAGATTATTTTCTTTTACAGATGACATTCCAATCCAGGCCGGTCAAGCCGTTCCTACGGATTCAGCCGAAATGTTGACATCCATAACAGAAGAAGGCGAAGATACTCCCATACAACGTGGAGCTGTGAGGAGTTCCAAACCACGACACGGCGGGCTACTTAGCAAGAAGAAAGATAGCAAAGACAAGGCGAATGACAAGAAAACACCAACACAGAAGGGGATCTGGAACAGTCTCAGCGGTGGTGGGGATATGGTCGACGCGAACACAGACGGCTTTGAAGCCAACGGAAGCGTTAAGGACGAAATTTCGATGACGTCAGTCCAGAACAGTTCAGAAAATTCGGATTCACGATCCCAGGTGACCACGGATTCATTGGACATGGAGACGCCGCGGTTCGCCGCGATGCAAGTTAGCTCTGTGTGAAGTGTGACGTCATACGTACCTCCTAGCTTTGACCATATTACGGTGTTTGGTTGCAAGTTTAGCGTTCAGCTAATTAACATTACAATAGCTTGTAAATGTGTTGGTTTGACTTGTGATAGATGTAAAGATAGTTAATGTAGTCCTGTCTGTTGTATGGATGATATGATTCTAAATTAATATATTATTAAAAACTTATTCGTAATATTTTTTTATGCTAAATCCTCTTTGCTTTTCGCACACACATGAAAGGAAATTTTTTTGAATGATTTATTTTGTTTGTTAACTTTGTTATTTTAATTGGAAATTTATATATAAATCTTTTTAAAAATTTCTTAACAAACATAATTGCGAATATATTGAATTCGTATTTTCATATGAAACCGTTATTATTTTTTAGTTTTAATAACGTAAGTACTGTGTTTTAAACGTAGAGTGTATTGTTTATAGTCAATATTCGTGACATCATACAATCACAATATCTGTTATCACGAGCGTCTTTATCAATATCAGTGTTTTCTTAAGGAGGTAAGGTTGAGTATAAACTTACTAGTTGCGTGGCTGCAATCAGTCATACCGCCATTTATAGCTAAAGTAATTTCCCGCTTCATCAGTTTATCAATAGCATTACTAACGAGAACATTATTTGAATATAGAATATTACGTACATTCGTTAAAATGAAATTGAAGGTATTTTTTATTTTGGCGGTAGTTTTATGCGCATCTACATGCTATGGCTCCGATTTAATAGTCGGTACCAGCTTCAATGCTAGGTTGGCATGGACACACAAGGCTAATTTTAACGCTGTGCCCTTTATTAAACGGGTAAAAGAGGTTTTCTACTCTGATCCAGGACAGCAAACGATCAAGGTAAATTTTTTTTTTTAATTTTATCCAATGAAACCTTTTTGATTAATATTTAAAGTATATCAAATATAGTTTAAACTTGGTTTGCTAAAATAATATTTATAATAATAAAATGAGGGTTGCGACATTATTTTAAATGTTAGTGTCGATTAAATAACACATTCGTTCTTTTTAGTAAGTTCAGTGAGAAATTCTTATACATTTAATAATTCTCATTTCATCCAATTCAATTGAAATGAAAAGAAGTACTTATACTACGTAATATATTAATGCACTTTCCTTTGACCCGCGTATTAAAAAATTTACTTCCAGCGTCTTATTTTCTGAACATTTAAGTATTATGACTATTCGTTTAACACTTCCCAGGGTATAATAGCCAGAGACCTGGATCATACGAAGGCATCAGCTACTATAACTGCTGGCGGAGTGGGCTCCACCTTCGCCAATATCAGGCTAAAGAGCGAACGCGGCAGCGGACTTAATTACCAAATAGAAATTTATGTTTGATTCGCCTATAATTCGATTTCAATTCCTACATGAAATAATACAGATCAATCCCTAATTTTATATTATTTTTTTATTTAAACGTTTCGAAAAGTAAAATTTATCAAATGTTATTTATTGATTTTTTCCAAATACATATTCAAGAAATCCAATTATAACTACATTTTTTTGGTATTACACCTATTCCTTTTGTCATTAATTATCGTTTATATTATTCATTTATTTTCTTTAATATACTTTGTAGTATTTTCAACTTCAATGACAAATTTTATGATATGAAACTAAAGAAAGAAGGGTAATCCCTCAGAGGAAGGAATTAATAGTGATAATGTTATTTAAAATGAGTAATTATTACTTATTAATTGTAATGTCTATATCGATAAATGTTCCAAACATACAAGGAATGATTAACGAAGTAATTTAAATAGAACTTAATAGATATATCGATCGTCGTACATTGTTAGTTGTGTTGTATATACCACAGACTTCGGTATACATTTCCTAAACAAACAATCACATACATGTGTAAGTATTCTATCTCACTGTCACCTGATGTCAAAACAAAATGCCGAAGACAGTAGCAGGACAATCGGTATTGACATACCCACTGTTTTGTTGTATCGAGAGAAATGAATGGATTGGGATTTTGCTATAAACATAGTTTTTAACGTACCCGTACAAAAGGTGATACATAAGTGAAAACTTAGCGAGTCTTGAAACAATGTTTATAATTAAATAATGCTTAATTTTTATTTAGCAAAACACACACTTGGTAGTCTCCTCCTTCTTCTTCTACCTGGCAATTTCCCAGCTTTAGCCAGGGTCTGCCTTACATGTTGTGAATAATTTTAGCTAATTGTTTTTACGACCGGCCGCCTGCCTGACATCAGCCCTCTTTGGGAATGCATTAATCAGTGATGTCTAAATAGGTACTCTTAGAAAGTACATATGATTCGAAAAAATCATATTGGTACTTGCCAGGATCGAACCCGCGCTCTCGTGCATGAGAGGCGGGCCTTTGAACCACTAGACCACCACTGATTTAAGCACTTGGTAGTCTAGCAGAATCAAATTCGAATTTGTTACGATCTTTTAGGAAGTTGGTGAGGAATAATTTATAGTTTTTTTCGAACCAGTGTATATTAAGTATTTATTAGGATTAAACATAATATTTAATCCAATAACAACAAACTTGTTACGGTAACAAAAATACATAATATTATTTTGAATTTTTCAAGATTTTCTGTTGAAACCGCAATTGTCTTTAACAATTCGTTGTAGAAGATGTGATCCTAAGCAAGTGATAGGATAAAAAAAAACATTATTCAAATATTTATAAAATTTATTCTCAATCTTATAGATGGTGTAGGTAACAAGATGAAAGAAATTATTTAAGCACTTGGACGGTAACATTTAATAAAAATATTCAATATACACACATAATAGGTTCTCTTTAGAAAGTGCATAAAGAATCTCATCATAATTTAAAAACTTAGCTGATTATTTTACACCTCATCGATATCCTCATTACTATTTACTTACTTTGAATTATTTATGCAAGCACTTTGTAATTCTTGTTTAATAATAATCAGACTATCAGTGCCACAAACAAATGAAGTAAGTAGTTCAACAGAAAAACATTATCTCAATGAGGTGTTGAAAACACTAGTTGATAACGTCAACAGATGAATCACTAAGTGGATGATATGTTATGACAAATTTCATATGGAAATGGTAGGTGGTTAATGACACAACAATGTCACTTAAGGTCACGTGGGTAGACAATATGGTGGACATACATAAAATTTGGTCAATCGCAGCGAGTTGTGAATCACTATTTATTGTATGACTAAGAGCAAAAAAGTCACAGACACTTTTTTTTCATTAAATGAAGTAAAACTTTACAACTAATATATACTACGTGACGTAATTGCAAAATCTTCTGTTAATCAATTATTAAGTAACAATTCACAAGGTATCGATCATTACTCGAAATAATGTAAACTATATAGATTATTTTAAAAAATTCCAAGAATTTCTGATGGGGTTGTTTAGTTTGTTGCGGGTTATTGAAAACATATCTCTACTGTAGAAATCATCCTCATATCCGAGTTCTTGAAAGCTTGTATTTTTACTTTCCAGAAGCTTCTGTAACATGTTTATTGTAGCTATATGTTCGTCACGTTCCATTTCATTGATAAGTATAGGCAAATTTGCAGCACATAGCCATAGATAGTATAAGCCCACTAAAAATAGAGATATTAAGTATTTTATCTTTAATAATATTATAGTAACAAGACCATATTTCAGCTATTTAGGATCTATATACCTAAGAGACTAGAGTAAAAGATTGAACAGAGCTAAAATTTGTTACACAATTAAAAAGTTAAAAAGCCTATCTACAGCTATTTTAAAAATATATAAAAGGAGCTACTTATACCACTAACATTTGGTTGATAGGTAATATTCTTACTTAAAAATAGATATTATATAATAGGGAAAAATCAAGAATGAATCCATCTCTTAAAATTATATAAATATGCATTATTATGCATAAAAATGATTATGAATTATATGGAAATCTTATGTCTTCGTAATTATAAAAATTATGATATGGTAAATGTCATATTACTCCAATTCATTAACATCATTTCCACGCATTTTTTTTAAACTCATGGTTCTATAAATTAATTAAATTATCTTATTACTTGATTATTTTTATATTATGTTATAAAATTTAACTCACGCAGTACAAAGCTACATGCTACACTCGCCCCTATCAAGAGACCAATGTCCATGGTGTTGTTTTTAAGAATCAGTAGACCCACTGTTACCAAGTTAGTTAATATAAAAAGACGTGCCAACTCCACCAAAATGAAAACAACCATTAATGCATTATTACACTGTAATAAGAATAACATATTTAGTCTTAATAGTTTAATGGGAACATGAGATACCTACCTACATGTTAAGGATATTATTACACATATGCTTATTTCAAACACGAAAGCATACTTTAATTGAGCACTTGCTGTTTACTAGCATGTGTGTCCAAGTGTTGCTTAAAATAAGCATGCTTATGCTTATTAGACCAGTGCAAATAGCTTTTAAAACATAATTAAATTATAGTAGAATGAAATTCATTAGAAAAGGAGGGAAATATTATTAAAATAGTTGTATACTCTACAAGTTCTCCGGATAGTCCCTCTTTTAGGTAATTTACAGAAAATTGTCATTAAGCTACTAAAACTATTAAAAATAAATTAGAAAGAGCATTTTCAAAACGATGTCGAGTGTCATTTCATTAAAAGAGACACGATTATTTTATCCAAAAATGGTACTGCAGGTAAAAACTTATATTTTTTCTTCACCATCGGAAAATAGAGGTTTCAACAAATTGAAAACATACCAAATTTTTGAAAATATCTGATATTTTGACGGTTGATTTTTCGATTGAAAATGAGGCTGATTTTTCGATATTTATTCAAAATAAGCTGAAAAAATACATATTTCTAATCAAATAAATTACAGTGTATTTGTAACATCAAAAGGAAAGTTTTCACCAAATTTCGTGACAAAATATTGTTTTTTGTAAGAGATAAAAATAAAAAACCAAAAACTTGGTTTTTCGAATTTTTCACATAAATTTTGAGGTTATGTAAAAAAATGTTAGTACAAAAGTTTAAGATCTTTTTATTACCTACAACTTTGCCATATAACATTTGTAGGACTTTTAGTTTTGCCACAAATCGAGAAAACCCATTTTTTCACTTAAATACCCACCCCCATACCCTTCCCGACCTCCGATCGCCCGTAAATTATTTTTCCTTTAATTTTTATAATATTCCCCTCCTTTTCTAATGAGTTTCATTCTACTATAATTTATTTTCACTTTTCATTAATTTTAAAGGCTTCTGCACTGGCCTATATAGAGCATGCTTTAAAATCGACAGGCGTGCGATTTTAAGCATGTTTTCAGCGGCGCGGGTGCAAGAGGGCGTGTTTTGGGCCTCGGCCTCGAATTTTGCGGGCAGCGGAGCGGCAGCGGGAGCGACAGGATCTTACGCGTATAATCAAATGGACCGACCCTCGAATACAGCGGTGTCCGCTGCCCGCTATTTTGGAGAAATGTATGCGTTTCCGTGCCGCCGCCGCTGCCGCTCCGCTGCCCGCAAAATTCGAGGCCGAGGCCTTAAGTATGCTGGTACCGATCAGTTAATTGCTATAGATGAAACATCGTCTCCTCGGATTTCTGTAAGTAATTGAGCATTTGCTCCCAAGTCTTGTCTTCTTGATATCCAATTACGGACCCAAATCATTATATTTCATTTCTTTTTTTTGCGACCCGATATAAACTTCTGGATGCATTGCATCGCCAGCAAAAGGATGATCTTATTCATCTCCATACGGATAGCTGTTTGATTATCCATGACTTTGTTTGAACTTACAAAGAGCGAGATAAGCACGGTATAAAAAAGCATGTGTATTTGGTACAATTGCTTTAAGCATGCTTATTGCCCGGAAATGTAAACGGCTCCTAGGTAGCGTTGCCAGGCGTCCGGATAAAGCCGGACACAGTTAGGCTTTTTGATTACATGTCCGGCCTTAAATTCAAACATACATTCAATTTATTAAATCCATTAATTAAAACTTTGCCACTTTTGCTATTGTGCAGTTTTAGCTATGTATGAATTTAAGTCATATACAACTGCACAATAGCTATTAGCAAAAGTGGCAAAGTTTTAATTAATGGATTTAATAAATTGAATGTATCTAAGACAAATGGGCACTCAATGGACAGGTACTTTATTATTAATCAGTCAAATAGTCATCAGTCAAAATTAAATTCTAGACACTTAAACATTCATCAACATGTTTGATTTTTTCTTAAATAATAAGAAAAACACAAATTAGTTAATGTAAGAAAAACACAAGTTATAACTGAATTCTCATGTAAATGACGTTGTCGTAATGAGAATAAAGTTCTTTAAACTAAAAAATAAATATACTTTTTTAATTAAAAAATATCAATTACTTCTCTTTAAGTTAAAGTATAAAACAAAAAAAAACGTTTTCTCTTTGAGTTACACAATAAAAATAATTATTAATATTTTTGGTTAGTCGAAACCTGCTGTTAGAGCTCAGTTACATTAGAAAGAGAGATCAACATGTAATCTGTTGCGTTCTTTCATCCATTGCTGACCTATCAAGGAAAAAACTCTTTCAACGTTTGCGTTATGTCCTGGGATAGCAAAGTAATACTGACAAATAATTAGGAATTCTGAAAAGCAATCTTGACTTATCATCGAATTAAAATAGGCTACCCATTTCTTATGTGCTAATAGCTTCTTGAAATCAACGTTCTCTTTGTTAGTATTCAGAAAACTTTTTGCAGTTGGTCAAAACATTTGCTATGTCGATTTTAACATTGTTTTGCGATAGGATACTTATAGTATCGGAAACTTGATCCCATTCAAGAACATAGTCGGCGGCGCGGCGGCAGTGCTCGCTTGTTTGTGAAATGTAAAAAGCCTAACAAAAGCCGGACACCGTTTATTTTGGCCGGATATGCAATCAAAAAGCCTAACTGTGTCCGGCTTTATCCGGACGCCTGGCAACGCTACTCCCAGGCATGCTTGTATTGAGCATGCTTATTTAAAGCATATGTAACAGTAGCCTAAAGTTAATGCATTATAATAAATATTTATTTTAAAATATATCATATTAGTTTTATTTTCTTTAACAGTGCAATTAGTAAAGCCAAGTAATAGCACGTAGGTATAATATCATTGAAAGTATGTTAGTATCATAGAAGCAAAAAATTACTTACCGTCAATGCCCCATAAATATACACAAGACAAATGATAATATAAAAAATGTCAATAATTATCAAAAATGTTAAAAACTTTTGAGGATCTGAAAAGTAATAAATAAAAATTTTATATTTTTATAAAAACATCTCCCTAAAAAGATTTTTGTTTCTTTTTATACCTTCCTTAAAGGTTTCAAGAAAACCCACGATATACGTTAAATCGAAAGTTTTCATCCAATGCTCTATTTGTTGCTTTACATCCTGTGGCTGTTTGTAGGCTATAATCGACAAAATCAAAAGAATTGTCGCATGCATCTAAAAACAAGGTCAATATCATAAAAAAACAGTAGCCGCGAATAAATTTAATGACATAATATAACGTACAATCGACCAAAGTCCGATAAGTACACCGGCGAGGCGGAGTGAAAACCAGAAGCAGCAACTATAAACAAACGCCATGACAGCGCTTTAAGGTCAAAAATTTTACCACAAAAATTTCGTCGAATGTAATGCATGCCACATGACATTATGATATACTAAATCAAAATCACCGTTAACATTTCCATTTGCGTGTTAATGTTATTGATCTGGCCTCATTGTTCGAAGATTGTTCCATTAAACATAATTATAGATGACGCTCGATAAACACGCTCATAAATATCTGATAGAAATTTGGAGCGTAATTGCATGGGCGTTCCGTAACGGCTGTTTGGCGCTTTTTATTTGTTTATGATAATCAGGAGGAACCATATGTAACAAATTACGAAGGAACATCTATGCGGATACATCTTTATAATATAAATCTTTATTATGTTAATTTAGCTACTTAAATCCTTAAAATATGTCGTCATAATTTTATAAAATTAAAATAAAAAAGATTTATACACGGTACATTTAGTAAATTACCATCATTATTATTTTTTTTGTCTGTCGAGATTTAGTTTAATAGAACTTTCGCTGTATATGATATATCCGCTGTAGTAAAGAGTAATTAAGGCTTCAGAACTTTATCTCTCTTAAATTTTTATCATTAAATTTACTCATTTAAATAATAAAAAAGCTGGAACAACTAATATCATACATAATTCATTGAAAACATCTTTATACGTTCTTATTTTCAAATTATTAAAATTAAATAAAGGATGTAAATAATAGAAACAATGGATACGATTAAATTTTGTTTATTTCTCTCGCAGTGCTCATTACTTGCTGACAATAATTTTGTAGGGCACAAAACATTGAGAACAAATCATAAATTTATTTACATTAATCCAAACTTGCTTTAGAGAAGCATCTAGAACAGTAATGGCACTCCGGTGATATATAAGTATTGTGTGTTGAGCTGATACTAAATCAACATAGAAATCGAAACATGTTCTAACTGTAGTTATCAATAAAAGCAATTATTATAAAACATTTAATTACAAACAAAATGAAGTAAAAAATGCAACATAAATAAGAATTAAGTACCTACTGTAATAACATAGCAAATTATTATTTTGACTAAAAATTTTTTTTTATAATCACGCTTGTAAATTGGTTATGTTGCTTTTTTTATATAATTTATCAAATCTACAAAAATATACTAAATATTAGGATGAATTCTCTAACAGTTTTCAATGGTGTCTCGAGTGGATTTACCATGGCAAATGTTCAACTATATAATAATTTATACAAATATTACCCATCAATATCTTTAATAGAAAAAAAAATGCTAAACAAACTATGGTTTATGCCAGTTAACATTTTATTAGCCTTGTATTAATAAAACAGCTGAACGGATATTTTAATTTCACTTTATAACAATCTAATTAATTCCGATATGTTGTTGTTTAATCACAAAAATGATTTGTGTTTAAACAGTAATTGATAACATTGTGATCGCTTAGTTCTTAGCTACAGCATGGGCCTACATCCCTGAGCATTTAACACCTTATTGTAGTTCCTCTTTAAGTCATTATAGACTAAATTTATTCTAAACATTAATTTGCATACCTTTTTGGCATATTTGTGTAAAAAATTTAAACTATTAAAACCACATTAATTAGGAAGCACATAAAAGCTTCATAAAGTTATTACTTGCTCACTTTTCATACTGCAGTGATTATTCTGCAGTACAATAACAATCAAAGCATGGACTATTTTATAAACTTAAAGCCTAACAAGTAACATGAATAATAAAAATATTATTGACAGACCTGTGGGGGTGTGTGTATGGGGATGTTGTATTAATAACACATCTATCCTTTAAATGGATCATGTGTCTTACATGTTAATTTCAAGTATTGTCTCACATGTATCAACAATGACTGAATCTTGTAATACACTGTCAATACAATATCCATAACTCCATTGAGATCATGACCGGACAAACATTACTTGGTAGATTATAATATTATAAATGACCAATCAGCTTGTATTAAATGTGAAATTAGAATTATTATAATAATAAAAAGCAAAACTTATCACTAAATTAAGTATGTTTTAGACATATTCATTACTAAAAATTTACAGTGCCAGAAATTAAAATTAAATAAAGCAAACTAAATTATAAGTTGGAACATATTACTCGTATATATCATTGAGTACAGTTTTCATTTGGGTTCTTGTTAAGTGTATTAGGATGCTATCAGTTTAACTATATGTTAAAGATTGAGGTACACCATTCACAGTCTTTGATTTCAGGACCCCGTTCTCGAAGGACATCACGATCTCACGACCATTCTCTGTGACTCTGTAATGATAGACACATTTTTATCACCTTTTGAATTTAACAAAAAGAAACAATGTTAAAACTCATTACAAATAATATGTGGTCAAATAAAATGGTATTTAATAGCTTATAAATAAATCCGCTTTTAGTGTGTAACATATAGCCAAGAACCAAAATATTCTTTTGGCCTTTCACAACTTTAAGTAATTATAAAGATTTTTAATTTTTAACGATATGTAAGATTTTAGTGAGCATTCATTTAAATAAAAGTAAGTATGGACATAGTACGCGTTCTTTTTTATTTTAAACTACACACTCTCGACCATTTGGTTTCTTTGCAGTAACCATAATCATGGGCAGTAATGAATGAGATTTATAAATAATTAGTCATTATGATATAATACCTTAAAAGTCATTAAATTTAGAAAATTATAAGGCTTTAACCTTCCTCTGTCTATCTGCTTCTAACAGAGGTATGCGGATTACACTATCCCCGACCAAATTGCAATTTACAGTAAATTGAAATTCTATTATGTTTTATTAATTCTTGGTGTAGGGGAGAAATAGTGAAATTATATAACAACTAACTTCTTAGTAGTAATCTTCTTTCCATTGACGATCCTCGTGGTGGTCGTGGTGCTCCTCATGTTAGCGCTCCCGGGTCCAGCCATTGCGCTGTTGAAGGTCGAGAACGACGTGAAGGTGTTCCCATTGGTGTGAGCGAAGATGTCATCCAGACCCTGCATACCGAAGCCGAAGGGGCTGAACAGCGATGACGTCAGAGACGTGCTGGGACCGCGCCGCCCGTGACGACCGTGGCCGTTCAGCTCTGAAAAATAGCAATTAGTTATGAAATTACATACAATTACCAACATTTCTTAGCATCTAACATCTGCGATTTTCAAATCAGCTTTCAGCACTTCAATTATCAATTGGTTTTTTAAATTTGGAACGTTGCCAACGTTTGCAACGATGCTAAACTACCACTATCTGGATTTTAGATGAACAAAAAAAAGCCGTAAAAATAAACTTATACGAGGTAGTTTAATAGAGACTAAGTTAGAAAGTCATTAAGAGTCATTATTTTCCTAATCAAGGTCATGTATTAGGTTAGTAATTAACCCGTTTCTTCTCAAATTAAATCCGTTAAAATATTTTATTCTAATTACCTTTGTCATTTTAAAAATTGAATACTATAGAGGTAATATATATAAATATATACCGGGGAATAGTTCGCCGAAGGGGGATCCTCCAAAGAATTCTCTGAACACTTCCTCGGGGTCTCGGAATGTGAAGGGGAAGCCGTGGTAGCCGAAGTCGTAGTCCTCGTCGGACGCCGAATGCCGTCCCCTACTATTGTTCAGCCCCTCCTTCCCATACTGATCGTACACCCGACGTTTCCTTTCTGAATTCAATAGAAACAATTCAATAACAATTTTAACATAAACAGTATAGCAAAATAAGCAGGGCGATATACAAAAATAATAATTCGTTACATCTGTAATGAATGCAATATATAACATACTTAAGCATTACCTACATAAGTAGTTACGAAACGTGAAAATCTCTCGTTTATCCTTGGGTTACTTTGATAAGGCGTTAAAGCAAAAATTTTGTTTTGCAAGTTAAAACATTTAATATAATGAATATTTATTAAGCGTGTCTATGTGTCCGTATGTTATGATTTAAATGTACGATTAAATATTAAAAATGTTTTAACTTTATACAATTTACATTATCTATGGTAATAACGCTTTGGTTGAAACATTGTGATAAATCGATTCGATTTTATGATATTTGCATAAAACGAAAACAATTAGGTCCCATAAGGAGCAAAACTGTGATTAGTATTAATAATTTCCACACTCTGTTTTGTTAATAGCTGTTTAAGTGGGTAGCTGCCAAATAACTCCTTTAATATAATGCTTAGGTATTAGACATTAGTCATTTGAATATTATCGGTGCGTTACATGCTACTTTTAACTCAAAATACAATCTCCTTTACCGGGTCCGTTATAGTGATATATATGTATATAATATATAAATAAAAAATGTGTTATATAACATTATATTTTGTTACAAACACTAAAACGTACCGAGGAAAGGTTGTATCGACAATATTCAAACTAGGATATAACCCTGATGTAAGTGAAAAACTACCAAAAAAACGGTGGAATGGCGTGTCTCCGAAAAAAACCTTTGAAGCTAAAGTGCCGATGGCCATTAACTCCGTTCTTGCTTTGATATCTGTGACTGTGGTGACCGGAACCCCGTGCATCGTATAATTTCCGCTTGTTTTCTACCCAACAATAAAATTATTTTTGTACACTTCTAACTATTGTTATACCTAATAACGTGCTGTGTATGTTGAAACACTGCATAGGAGTAACAGATTGCAGTTCTCATTTTTAAAGTTAAGTAAAACCTAGAAAAGATTTTTTTCATCTACATATGTGAAAATATGATAGGTATATCTGAGTTATACTAAGGTTTTAGAAAGTCGCTACAAATTCAAATCATAAAAAGTTGCTAATATCTCTTTTTCCATTACAAGTTTTTTGTGCGTTAAACGTGAAGTTTATTACCTATGAAATTGCCGCACCCGAAACATTAAACTAATGATTTAGAAACCAACTTAATAATAATAAGATCATAAAATTATAAATCGATTCGACTTTCTATTAATTCTATAATTAATACTTTCATAAAAGTGGTCTAAACCACTTATCACCTCTAACGTTCAAAAATCTTCATGTAAGTTTAAGCATGAACAAAAAAAGGTAACATTTGTTTGTATTTGTAATGTAAAAGTAGCTACAATGGTAAATTCAAACCTATATATAGTCAACTAGCTCCGGAGATTCTCAATTCAAACGAATCACATATCGACAAAGCTAAATAAAACGTACATAAAATATTCAATTGCGACTACAATTCACAAATAGCCGCCTAAAAGATTAACCAATTCAAAGTTCATTGTGACAGGTTGGTCAACTGTCACGGTTCACTGTGATCCCATCATGGCCGCACGTGACGCAAAGCGTAGCCAAAAGGGTAATAAACTTAACGGACTTACATTAACTAAAATTATACAGTTAAAAACATAACCGCTAATTAACAATTATAAATACATACACATATATACTTACATTTCTACATCTACGAATATAAACAATTTACTAAGTCCATACAACAACATGAATGCATGAAGCAAAAACATCATTCAATTACAAACAAACAACTGGTTGTGTAGAAAGTGTTTTCACTAAAGTAAACTGGCATACAGGCGACTTTCACGTCATAGAATTTATTAATTCCATATATGTTATTGATGGTATGAAGAAGTCATGTTCATACCTTAATTGGGGTTTTTACCTATGGTGCGGCAACTTCATATGTATTTAGCATTAGAGACGAAATAATAATAAGCAATTTCACTGGAATGTGTGGAATAATAAGCATAATATACTTAATTTATTGCATAAGAACATAAATAATTAGGATTTGTAAAGAGGTGTTACTTTATATTCAGACAATTAATAGCCTAGTGACCCATTACTTTCCAAATGCGACTCTACGACACTATTGTAACAATTGAATGTTTGGTACAATGTTATAAAGTATAATAAATTAAAGTGCATTGTTATATCAATAGTGGAGTTCATCTGCTAAATTCTAACAAAAACACAATTGTAACAATCCATTTTATATATGTATTGGTAACATATTCAATTTTAAAATAACATGCAAGTAATTTACTTTCTATGTTTCAGATATGTATTTAAATCTAAAAGTTTCTATACTAAAATATAAAGTATACTTATAGAGGTTAGAAATATGAAAAATAAAGAAAAATTACCATCAGACAGCACCTCGTAAGCCTCAGATATTTCTTTAAAACGCCTGTTAGCTTCATCTGCATTATCTGGATTCTTGTCTGGATGCCATTTTAATGCTAATTTTCTGTAACTGAACATTTAAAACGTTTTTGAAATAATGCCATAAGAATGTTACATTAATCTAAAAAAATATAATATCATTGTTCTATTGAACATTAATGTAAGAAAAAAACAAAGATGATCTTACGCCTTTTTTATCTCCGCGTCGGTAGAAGATCTTGAAACACCAAGTATTCTATAGTAGTCCACCATCTCTATTTTCCCTCAAGGGGCCTTATATATTCTGAAATATAAACAAAATACTGAAGATCGCCTTAACATAGACCTTGTCAATTAACTGTGTTTTTGTTGTAGCAATATTTAATCAAAAATGATTGATACAAGCATTTAATGTTTATATAAGCATTTTATAATTTTAGATCGTGTTTATGTCACAAACTTTCCATATATATGGAAAGTCTATGAGAAATATAGTTTTATGACATATTATTGTATTTCCCAAAAAACCTACCTAAAATATAAAATTGAAATTTTCAGATGACATTGATTGTTACATTGTCAAACATGAATTATTCAGTTTGTTTATTTGTTTATATATAAGAACTCATTCTGTAAATATGGAACTGCATACAGTAAATGTTTTGAGCCTTAATTTGAAAGCATTCAAAATATTTGCAACATTTTCACATGTTGCAACTGAAGTTTAGAAATGTTATAATTAAAATGTTAAATATGTAAAAATGTTAATTACTAATTAAAGAATCTACATGGTTTATTATTAAGAAATGTAAGAAAATTTATTACAAATTGTTTAATTATTGCATCATTAACGTTTACAGGAAAACTTGGAAGTGTTAGTTCACAGTAAACACAAAATATACTCAGAATAATGAATCAAGTATAGAAATCTGTGAAAATAAATTAGAATACAGAAAAGTAAGTAGATGTTTAAAATGTGACTAATTTCTGAAATTGTTTAAAATTCATTACGAAAAAAAATTCTAATACTTTAAATTAATAGACATCGGGATGTTGTTAGAAGTAATTAAACTTATTTAAGAGATTTTTAAAATGTAGCAATCAGTTTATGTCAATCACAAAAAAAAATTCAATAACATTAACATATTTATTTTCTTTACTTCTAAGTGTTAAACATGGATATCTGTCTATAAAAAAGTATGTCTATATGAAATTAATTAAAAGAAATTAGGTTTTTTTGTTGGTATTTAATGCATAATGCTCACCTCTACTACCTACTTATTAAATATTTATTTAACATTAAATTATTCATCATGATCACAGATGAATCACCCTGACACTATTGGAAAAGTTGATATAATATGCACAGCCTTAATATTTTTCTCCTCCTACATTCTAAAAAGCTATCTTGATTTAAACTTATTGAAATAAATTCCAAAGAAAGATTCAGGTAAAATAAAATGTGTTCCTTTTTCAAATACTATTTCCATAGCAATGAACATTAGTAATTTTACCAGACTGATATTTCCATCTAAAGGTATATTTAAAAATAGACTAAATCGTCATATATTATCACGTAGATCTATAGATGTATAAATTATAAAATAATATTCTACACCTACACAAGTATGATGCAGACAGAAAAGTTAAAATATGACACAACAATCAACATAGTTTGTAAAAGACACCTGCTGTTTCGTAATAACCCTATTACAAAAACATATCTAGACTTGATTTATTACGAAAAATACAAACCTTTATAACATTTGTTCAATAATTGTATCCAAAGACGAAGAAAACAGATGAATTATGTTTCGCAAATATCCAAATGTCACAACGGTTATCTTGTTATATTTTGCTACTCGTCGTTCTTTTTTCAAATAATAATCACAAAACACTTATTCCAATCACTAAAAATGCACATGTACGAAACGGATGATTGGTCTTATTCAATGACACTAATGATCGTTCGAAGAAGTAAAGGTACGGAATAATAACACTGTAATCTAATCACTCCTTTGTTGGCAAAAATCACTAGCAAGTGGAAAATTCTCGCAAACAAAATCAATAAACAGTTGACTAGATCAAGAGGTTGTATTCAAGACTAATTGTGAGAACGTAGAGTTAAAAAAAATTAAAGCTAGAATCATGAATTTTCTACAATTTAAACATAATAAAATAATCAAATGCTCTTGTAGCAATCCTGACCTATACGGCACATATTTAATCACCCATTGATTGGCTCAACCTCAGAACACCGATGAATCCATTCCGTAGTTATGAACGATGCACATGTGAACGCTGCCTAAATGAAATGTTATCTGTGGTAAAATAAAGACTTATCTACATGTTCGTTTTGTGCATAGGTTATACCATGTAAATTATGGTTTTATTATTTTTATAAATTAAATCTTCATTCTTCTACTACTATATCAATTTAAAAAAATTGGCAACAAAATAAAAAAGTAGAATATGTGCTTCTGAATCAATCTTTTAAAGGGATCGTATTTGACAGGCGATACTTTGAGACATTCTCGATTTAAAGTGCATTTCCTTACCCCTACAGATGTTTTTATTGTTAAAAATATTATGATTGCCGATTGTTACAATAGAGGAAAAAGATTTTTAAAACTTAACTAGACAAAACATATTTCTAAACTATGTTACGATTTAGGTAATTTTTTTTATCTGTGTAAGGTAATGAATTTACTACATTTTTAAATATATATTTTTGGGATCTTTTAGAGATAGTATGTTTAAAACTATCTTCTCTTCATATTACCTACATTGATAGTATTATGTAACTCGAAGTCACAATCTTATACACTCCAATCTTGATACAGCCATAAGACAAATTACAAACTACTGATTTAAACATATAGTTCATTTGGGATATTTAGAATATCTAAAATAGAAATGTGTGGTCACGTCTTATCTTAGAGAAAATGTATAAAAATATATATTTCAGGTGTCTTACCCATTTCACACAGGTATTTGCATATTTTGTCGATGTCGACTATAATTTTAGATGAGTTTTAGATACTCAATCCAAATAACTGTTAAAAGTTGACATACATATGTAACAGTTAGTAGACGTAATGTAACTATACCTTTATGGCCTTTATGTTTAACCGCGAACGTGTCGTCGACTAATTAGGTCGAAAAACCGGCCTAGCTTTTTGTTCTAAATACGTTTTATGGCATATATCTTCAAAGCTATTATAAAATACTGAAAACTAAGTTTAAACTTAAAATAACAAAATTAACATATATATTTAAAAAAAAAGACACAATTTTACTCTTTTCTTATTCCCTGATAACTTTTCTTTATATTATGTGTTTACGACTTTTTTGAAGATTTATGTGGCAATTTGCACGTACATAGTTATTAGTAGATTAGATACTAATTTTTAATACTAATATTTTTACTAAAAAGGTTTATATATAACTGTTAACTTTTATTTTTATTTTTTTGCATGGAATTATTTAAATTTTTTTCACTTACAAACTGAAAAGCAATTCGTCGATTTCAAAATTTGTAGAGTTCATAGTTTCTCGGATTTGTATCTACGTAACATACAAAGAATTTACGGACTTCGAAGAACCAAAATAGAAACCAGAAATTTTTCCAAGTTATGCATATGAATATATGTTTTAAAAAAAATGACATTCAAAATGTTATTTAAATAAGAATTTTAAACGTTATGTTTTATGTTAACTTCATACTGTATTTTTTTAAAACGACATTTCCGCACTAAAAAATATAATGTATTCGAGGGAGTTGCTGAATATTTTGGCTATATCACCTTTTTAGAAATTGATGACATGATGCATATTCATACTCTTTGAATACTTTACTTGTTATATTTTTTACTTCCTCAATTCAAATAAACCTAAAATAAATTATAACCCACAACTATAGTATAATTTAATGCGTCTCTTTACGTAAGGAATTTTATGTTTCTCATTCATATGTATGTATATATTTAATATTGTTTATCAACTCTACACAACAAAAAAACTTAATGTAATACATGTATATTAGAGACGAAAATATTTCATGTTGTTTTCTGACTAGTAAAAAATCAGTTTTAATTTCTATGTAATAAAAAAAATATTTTGTTAATTATACATAGATAAATTTAGTAATGGTAATAAGAAACTGTTTTTTAAGTGTGAAAAATATTTGCCACCAGATCTGTGTTAAGAAAACTTATTAATAGACAAGTGTCCGTAATTATCTAGCCAAGCTGTATTCTTATTTTAGACCATCGCATATATTAACGTCACATGTGTATATTTTTATGTATCTTTTTTGGGATCAGCCCACACGATACTTCAAAAGTACAAGTATTACATGATATGATTAATTAAAAGTACTTACTAGTATGAAACATTCATTGTTGAGTCAATTGTTAAATTAATTTTTTGGTAATTAATACTTTACATCGTCATTCATCTATTTTACTCTTTTAAAATTTAAAACAGTGTTGTTAAAATTCGTTGTACCCACCTTAAACGTTTAATCGAATTTTTCTCTACTACGTTTCAATTTGAATCTTTTAAACTCAACAGAAATCAATTCTGTATCTTCTCTATAACGATTTTGTTCAAAATTATTTCAAAAACTTTTTTTTCGAACTGAGGACGAATAAAATGATTTATGCTCTTACAAATGGGCTTACTCAAATTTACGTTTTCGTCCATTGCAAATATGTTGTGTGCAAGCTTTTTTCAGTTTTATAAATAGTTTCAGATGAGTTCATTCAATAATTTTTTTTCCGAACATGACTTTTCTTACTAAGATAGTTACCAAACTTACCAAAATTGATCCGTTAACAAAAATGTATTCCAGACTTAATTATCTTTTACTTACAGAGATAATATTTTTATATCTTATTTGTATTTACTTATTTTATCACATACAATTAAACGATGAATAGTAAAATATATTGTATTTTTGAATAACGAGAGATAAGAAAAGACAGAGAAGATTAAGGTTTTAACTAAGTAACATTTGTTTTGGTTTAAGATGTTATTATGAATAAATAAAACGTTTTCTTTATTAAATTTACTACTAATTTTTCAGAATAAAAGATGTGAAATTTAAATGTATTTTGTTTATACTCTACAGATTTTTATTTTAATAAAAAAAACCCTTTTGGATATTAATACCAAATGAATTGTTTTCGTTTTAATTCAAAACCAATATTAAAATTCGAATTTCAAAGTGAAATGGAATTAATAAAAAAACATATAGGTATGTATAACAAGATTTATTTGAATGCTTTACTGATATTCCTCTACGTATACTTTACTATAACAATATAATATTAATAGTAAGATCTATTGGAAGACATGTTTGAGGCATGCAATATTTTTATGCAATATCACTTTACGTTAATACTGATAATAATTTAGATGGAAAGTTTTAAATAAATGCACATTCAAAATAAGAAAATATATAAAAATAAAATATAATGAGCGTCGCAATAAAAAATATATGAATAATTAAATCTTACAATGTATAATACTGATATCATTCCACAAAAATGAGTATGGAAGATATTTTAATTAAATTTATATTGCCTTCAAAGTTTTCCGGAGGATGTCCAAATAAATTTCAGCGTGTTTCTTCCGGAACACTAGGGCTGGTCTTAGACGAATGGCAAATTCGCCACAAACACCTCCCAACACACCTAGGAAAAAATAAACATTTTGTCATAATGACTCTGAGAAATGTTAATATAATAATGATCCAATAACTTTATACCCTTCATAGTTTTCTGAGTAAAAAATAAGCTCATATTGAGAATATTTTTCTAAAGTCTAGACAGCATATATAAATTATATAAACAAAGAGATATCATTCTAGCAACGATTTATAAAAAATAAGTCTGCTTGGATCATAGAAGTATTGTATGGTTTCTAAGGTTTACATAGTAATAAGCTATTATTATTTTGAAAATCTGATTTTAAAATATAACTGGCGATAGATAGTTTTTGGTATAAATTTACGAAAATTATCTTGTTTCATTGAACCCTAATTGGTTCTCTATCTCCAATATTATATTTTTTAAAAAATTGCTTCTACACTGGTTATTCTATAAAATAAATAATACAAATCTGTTGAACTCATTTGTATAAAATTCTTACCATTCTTCTTGAGATCGGCGTTGATTTTGTCCCTACATTCAGTAGTACAGGAATTAAATGCCAGGAAAGTCCCTCGCCCTCGCACACTATTCACCAGATTAGGGAATTCTTTCTCCAATTGGTGTAAACCGCACTTGAGAACGTTTCCTGTTTCATTGACATTTTCAAGTAATTTTTCATTTTTGATAACGTTCAACACCTTCTCCAACAATATCAACTTGCCAGGATCTCCCATCCAAGTGTTAAACACTCTGTATGCATGTGATGGCCTAAAATATAAAATGACTTTGTGATTAGGGGATTCGTTTAATCTATTTATTTTTCTTAAGAAATCATTAACATGTAGCAATATAACTTAGTATATTACTCATTCTTTACATTATAAATACTCGTGGAGAATATATTATAGCTCAAGTATGAAAGCTGGTAATATAAATTTGTTTTATACTTATATAGGGACCAAGGCAATACTATTTTAACTTCAACGGCTTTTTTGTCTAATTTTAATTTACTCCTGACTGGTTACTTTTTTGATAAGAAAAAATTTCGCACTTAAACTTCACCCAAATGGACACTGTTTATGTAAAGTGTTGTGATGTAAGAACCAATTTATTAAGGGAATTATCCACGATACAATAAAGTTGTATATATAGTTTTAAAATATATGTACTATGACGGAAAGCCTACCCATTATATGTGATATTTGGTTACATGAAATAATTTTACTAACTTAGTCTCAACATTGAAGTAGAATCCTCCGGTTAGCATCTTCTTACTGAATGTGACTACATCGGGTGGTGATGGCAAGTCGAAGTGTTGGTAGCACCACATACGACCGGTCGGACCACAGCCTGTCTGAACTTCGTCCATTATCAAAGCTACTCCATTCTGGAACATAGATAAAGGCCTTTTTAATTTAAATTATTCAAGTATATTGCATTCATAAAAAAAATAAATGAAAAGAAGTTTATTCAGTTTCTTAATTCCAGTTACAGTAACTGTAATGGTGCCTCTTTTTAAGTATTCTGGATACTTGTGTTACGAGAGCACCGAACTTCCACCTATTGTTTCTATGTTTACATAAAGGTTTACCTAAACCTACTTTTTCAAAGAAATTTATCATTATTTTACAATTCACTATTTATATGTTAGTAGAAAAGATTGAGTGCCTGTGAAAAAACATTACTAAAAAAATATAATAATATATTATGTAATATTATAGTGGTTCAGGTCTTGTTTTAATTTAGTTACTAATTGCTTTTTCATAACTAATAGTACTTTTGATTTTAAGGACAGTTTGTTGTGAAGTAACACTACTTAGTTTAAGTAAAACCATGTAGTGATCCGTAATCGTGGAGTCTAGGATTAGAATGTTAGCTTTCTAATTACTTTTATCAATCTTTACCATAATATAGACATGTCTTGTCACGTATAGAAATGATGTCTAGGAAGGACTCCATGCAAAGCCAGCATAATTAGATAATTATGTCTATTTTTCCAGTCTTCAAACTGCTCGTTATTTTAAGGAATGAGATTGATGTTTATTTCTCCACATGTAATCAGTTAACATATTTTTGCAAGTGCCAAAAGAGTCCAAATAAGTGGTCAAAAATGAGATAAAATTGACTGGAATAGATATTGGAGGTGATCGATAAATACCAAGGATTTTTTTATCATATAATGACATTTATACATACAAAAATTTAAAATCCACCAATTTTAAGAAATTCTAGGGCTACTGTTCTAAAATCCACGAAAAATATTTTTAAACTTACTCACTGAAAATAAGTGAGCTATCAAGGGATACTTTTTTCTGTAAAAGATACAGTGAGGGAGATTTTTTAACAAATTATTGATCTAAATTTTGTTTTTTTTTTCAAAAAAAAAAAAAAATAATACTTTTCTTCTCTTAAATCAAAATTGTCATTAGTAAAGAAGAAATATTTTTTTAGTTACGTTATTTTTATATTAACTTTCTTGTAGAAAAAACATCCTTGGTGATACTATTTTTAAAAAAATAGATTAACTTAACCATTGCTATAACATATACTTCGTACAGATTACATACAATAGTCTCAAGAAAGAATATCTTCCAAATGAAAAGTAAAATATAACCTTATCTATAGCAAAAAAAAAATACAAATTATTTCTAAATTTAAATAAATAAATTCAATACGGCTGAGAAAAATCACATAAAAAACATCTATTTATAAAATAAAGTTGAACATTAACCTGATTACAAATCTTCTGTAACTTCTGGAAGAATGCCGGAGACGCTTCATGATCTCCGCCCTCAGATTGTATGGGCTCCACTATGACGCCCGCCACTGGGTTCGATTTCTTCTTATACTGCTCAATAACGTCCGCTACTTGCTCCAGGCATCTAGGAATTATATGGTTTACTTTATAATTGAGATAACAAATAACTTTTTAAGTGTATTATAATTCCATTGTTATATAATCAGAAGAATATTTTCCTCTAAGGGTCTTGTAAGATTATTTTTACAACCCTTTGCAACGATTGCTTGATCTAACAAAAATTGGACGGAGCTGTTGTAATTTTATTTGTAGTGTCATTTTGTCAAACTGTAGTAAAAATTTTTTAATATTTTTTTCCTGAAAGTTAATTTCTGCATTACTTTTTCTCTTCTGTGCGGTATTCAATACAAACAGTTATATATGTACCTATATGATTTTAATAAGGAATTTTTAAGTAATTTTATACCATTGGTATCAATTTAAATTCACATAGAATTTTTCAATATTTCAACATTTTTTATTCAAAAATCCACATCGCTTATGAACAAGAACATTTTTCAAAAAAATTATAAAGGAAATTGTTGATCTTCAATTTGAAAACTCAAACAAATACTAAAGGCACTAAGTCGTAAATCTTGTCAATATACAGTAATCTATGACAGAGCTTCCTATTTGTATCTCCGTATCACTAAGGCCGCTTTTGTTAGTTATTACTATTTGAAAAGATAGCTGAGTAAAAATTATTACTTTTTTGTTTGTAAGTTTGGTTTAACCGACAAGTTGAAGAAGATGTTTTCTTTATATTTAACCATTAACATTTGTATATGCTGGATATCCCTTAGAATAATTCGTTTAACGTATATAGCATGAATATACAAACGTACCTACTACCTACAACATGAGAAGGGGGGTAGTAGAAGTACGGAAAGTAATTCCAAATAATTTGTTTTGTGTTTTCGAAAAAACCAAAATAATAAATATTGGAAGAATGTAAACCTTTTCTTTGAGACAAAACTACCGATTTCTTATAGAATTGTATAATATTTAATGTAACAGCAGAATCAAAAAAAATATTATTTAAACATTTTAAAAAAGGAGCCTAGGGCGACAAATGTTTTGCTAATTATAAACACGATAAGGTTTATTTTATACAAAACTATTTAACAATTGACTACATTTAAATACATTGGCAACAATCTATTTTTAGCCAATGTCAACTGTATTACTCATATTGATGAAGGATAACGTCGCCTGCACTAGAATAACAAATATAAAGTATATCTATATATAATCAGTTAAGATAAGTGTCACTAAGATCAATACACTATCACTTACACTATAATGATATGATAAATAAGTCTGCCCTTGAAGAAAAACGGCGTTTCCAAAGTCAAATTTATCAATGACACATAAGGAAAAACTTTTTTTGGACTCTGGGCTCATAAAAAATAATTAACCTATTGCATTAGCTATGTTTTCTTATAAACGAATATTTATACTTATTATATTATGTTTAAATACTTTAGTATTCTAGATGGCCATCTGTGAAATATTTCCAAAGTGCAAAAATAAAAAACATACACATAAAAACCCTTAACGTTAAACCGAGGTGTAAAACAACTCCACAGTGGCCTTCCTTCAAATTTATTTATAAACATCAACATAAACCAGTAGCTTATAGTTGCTAAGTTACAACTTACAAGTACAGCATTGTCAAAACGGAATAGTTGCTGGTTAAAAATAAAATAACAAAGAAAAATTCTTCACCTTTAGATTATAAACGTAGATATATTTGATTATATATTTTATTAGATGGATAGATAAATACGATTAAAGTGGAGTACAAAATACATATGTACAACACCAAGACGAAGAATATATTGCTCAATGTATTATAGAATACTTACTTCTCATCCTCTTTGTCGTTTTCCCTCTGATTTTCTTCTAGCGGATACTTGTATCTGGGAAATGGAGCTACAGGCCAGTCGAAAGCGGGACAATCCAACTTGTGAATGGGTTTCGAACGAGTAGTGCTCAGGGCGCCGAATGTACGTCCGTGGAAAGCACCCTTAAAATACAACAATATATACTAAAATAAAAGTAGAAATTCTGTATATCAAAGCTAAGTTGATGAAAGTGGTTGACGAACATCGGTTATACTCAGACTTTTATTTGTTTTTACGTAGACTTAATTTATAATACCATAAATCTAAGAAGAATATCTTTTTTTGTGATCGGGTCACTTCAGAATTTTTTATAAATACCTTGAATGATAAAATAGATAGTTTAGGAGCACCGGGCGGACGGTTGTCCATGCAAGAAGTCATCTCTTCTTCGGTGAAGTCAATCTTCCCGCAGCGTTCCTTCTTCCGATACCACATGAATACCGTCTTGTAGGCGTTCTCGTTTGAACAGGAACCACACATCATGGTGGCAACACCATTCAAGCCAGAGGGCGCTACCTCCATCAACACGCTCCGTAACTTCTGAGGCCAATCGGACCCCGGGAAAACGCCAAGCGCCGGCCGATTTATGAGCGAACGCTGTAAAATTACAATATTATTAAAATACTTGTATAATTTTTTCCTGTGAAACCAAAAATGAAAATTTCTATACACATCACGAACCAGAGCATGTTCTTCATTAAACGCCTTCAATAGCTCCGGATGGTTATAACCAATCGGTATCGACGAGATCTGAGTAAATGCATCCAAAAACGTATTTCCATCCGCATCTACGAAGTAGTTACCAAAACTCTTGTCATAGTCAGCAAACAACTGGACTGAATCAGCTTGCTAAAAACATTTTTTTATTTATAATATCTACAATAACAGAATTATATTGATATTATTTAGAATGACTTCGATCACAGGTAACTAAAAAAATTATTAGTGTTTTGTTTCGGAACTTAAATATTATTCATGAATTTTTGTTTTATTATAGAACATCTGTACTCTACGCCGCTTGTCCAACTTACTCATTAAATATAAAATTTTAGATTGAAACTAACTATTGCAACAAAAAAGTCAGTCAGACCGGATGTGGATATGTGACTACCTAAGGTGCCTAAGTATAAAAAACTACACACATACTTCTACATGAATGTTGGTGTTAATTGACACAGTTAGCTTAACAGTGTAGTTACCTGTAGTGATGATAGATCTTTCAGTAAAGCCTTGGTTTTCGGTCCTGGCACAGATGTCTTGATTTCAGGATGCGCTGGTTCACTTTGTGCTACTGCAGACAAACCCCTGGTATCTATGACAATTTCAATCATTTTATTTAAATTCAAGTCTCTCCTACTGTATATCAACGCGTAGCATTCTTAGAGATTACTAACTTCTAAAAGACAGACAAAAATTAAGCATTTTTAATATTACTTTTTTTTGGAAAATGTGTAGTTAATAATTATGGACGTTGGTGAGATTCAATCTAAATGAAAGTCCGTATTATGATAGAGCTTATCATTTCTTTGAAAGGTTTTAAAGGACTACATAGGGACTAAGGAAAACATTTTCAATTTTAAAATTATTCTTCGAAAATATTATGGTCTTTTTATGCACCGTGACGCGTTGTAACTTTTTTAACAATGAACAATGATGTTAACCTATAACATTTTTACATGTAACGATAGCAAATATTATTTATTTATATCATCATGAAATGAACAAAAATATTTGTAGATACATAGTCCTATTTACTTATTGATATCGGATAACAAATGTTTATAGAATGTGATAGGCCGCTTCTATAAATAAAACAATTTCCTAACTTCTTTTGCAAAACCTTAAAGGAAATAATAATTTAGAAATAATATTCGTGTTTGATTTAAAGTATCGGAACCAAAATGAATCATAGGACACCATCTCTTATGTGGGCTGTTTAGATCAAGGCCTTACTCTCATTGAAGATCAATTTAAAACAGCTTATATAACTTCGTTTCATTGGAGGAGTAAGAATGCCAGGAGTCTCATAACATATTCCTTTTCAATAATTTGTTTTTAACTCTATCTCATATATTATGTGGCTCTATAAACACCGAACTTTCATGTGGTCCTTTTGCAAAAAATATTGATTCAATATGTAACAATATTTTAAGTGTATATTTAAGTTAATTTTAAAATAAAGTAGCATTCCTGATCTGAACATCTATCTCATGTTGAAACAGTTGATTAAATAAAGTTCGTGGAACTATGAATAAAAAATATTTATTTTTATTTATTCATATCATCTGAATTTCTACGATAGAATTAATTTTTTTTTCAACATCAGTTAGAATTTAGTAACGCGTGGATAACACTAATTAAAAAGAGTACCTACATAAAAAGAATTAGCGTTCGTATTTTTCATGACAAGTTTCTTAGTTGTAATAGTAAAATAGCTTAAAAAAAAACAGTAATTCTAGCCAATATGAATCTGTAATAAAATTTTAAAGATTTAGAAAACTAAATTTATTTTTCATTTATTATTGCTTTATATCGCGTAACAATTGTGAAGTTATACAAACGAAATTACGCAAGTACCAGAAATAGGAGTTTAATTTTTTTTTATACAATTATAGTGTGTTGTATATAACAAAAAATAGCCTAGATGTGTTACATTGCAACTATATACGAGAAGTGACATAAAAGTAAGTAAATAAATATAGTCATCTCCTTTTGCATGAACAAAATATTTATCCATATAAGTTCGTAGTAAATCAATACTTTTAGTCCATATTTTTTTCTAAATTTATAATGTCATTTGAATTTTTTTTTAATTTTGTCGACCAAAAACGTCTCCACAGTAGTGGTTATTTTATTCCATCCGAGCAGTTTTCAAGTTGATCCGAAGAAAAAGATAAAAGCTATTGATAGCTTAGTCTGGGTACTAAAATGAGTGTTCAGGTAATAGGGATCTCGTTTCTTAAATGGCATCCAACGCGAAGGCGGTTTTGTAAGCCGGTGGGTTTTATTGATAAAAACAACTTTTTATTTTTATGGCCTCCCGCAATCCTTTTATCTGATATGTGTAGCTAAATCTCGTGATAGTGATCTTGTTTTTCCAAGTACAGACTCAATCTTAATAATTCCTTCACCGTCCGAAAAAATTGAGAGCATAATATTTCCTGACGAGCTATTTCAATTTCTTCGGCGTCTCAAATGACGCTTATTTCCGAGGTTTTTAACTGAAATTTTGTTCCCAAACCGAAATAGTGAATTCGGGTTTTATATAGGGTCAAAAGTAAACTTCATAAGGTTAAAACTTTGCCATATATGAGATGGCTGTTTCCTCAGCTATGTACCTAACAACCACTTTTTGATCTGGTCACACTTCATATTAATCATTTTCTGCAGAAAAGGACGAAAATAAAAGTCCCTTATAATGTTCATCTTCAGACCTACATCCTTTTACAAAACTGTTCCTATCACAATTCTTTAAAAATAAAACGTGAAACTGTTCATATTGCAAATAAATTCAATATATATTAAAAACATTTATACACTGCTTCAATTTTCAAATTGTATAAAATAAATATATTGTACTTAACAATATATATAGCTAATTTATATATTTACTAAAAATTTAGATCATCATTACAGTGTGAAAAAACTGCCACAAATATTATTACAACTACTATGAGAATCTGAAGAAAGTCTTGAATTATACTAAAAATAAATTATAGTAACATTCCCAGGAATATAACAGACATTTCTTTTAAAGTGCAAGCAAGAAGTGTGCTTTAGTTATAATGTGAATAAATAAAGCTTTTAATTTCAAAAGAAATAATTTTCTAGGTACTCTTTTTTTATCCAAATTTTCTATCGCAAAGATTGTAAGAACTGTAAATTGTGGTAAAATAAATGAAGATAATAAAAAAAGTGTGCAATTATCATATAGTATTTTAACTCTGCTTACATTTAGAAGATATATTTTAGTTGTTAAAATTAAAACATAATTTTTTATACTACATATGTCAATAGAGTTAAAGTTTTCATACATTATTACTTAAATTTTATATGAAACCATAAAATGTTCTTTTTAGTGGTAGCGGAATATGAACTTCTTTTTATTTGATGTCTGATGAAAATTGTAAGATATGAAAAAAAAAATATATATATAATAAACGTTATAGAAACCTATACACACTACACTATTAAATAGGTAAATACATTAACTGTGGTTTTTGTTAATATCTTTATCTTACCTTAAAACTTAAGAAATATTTTCACACAACTAGATCAAAAACACAGAAATAAAATCAAAACTAAATCATAAATGTAAAAAAATAGTTTTCTAATAAATTATGTACATCCCAGTTCATCATTCATACCAAAGTCTCATAAATTATTCAATTTATGTGCAATAGATATATATTTCTATATAAGAGAAACAATTCCCTATTAACAAAGATAATAAACAGTCTTCAATTGTAAAACATAGCCTTTTAGTACAATAAAACTTATATTTTCAATACTAGAAAAAAAAATCAAATAAAAAAATACACTTATATTCAAATTAGTATGTAAGTTACTGATTATTGTATGCTTTAAATGTTTTTTATTTTAAATATAATTTTATAGTTCTTACATTTTATTGCAGATATCTTCAATCCTTTGGATAACAACGGCCTCCGCAAATTCAACATTTTTTTTTTTTTTTTCGATTCTGTTTAAATATTATTTTTTCTATTCAATATTAATTTAAATTCAAATAATTTAAAAGACAACGTATAGCCGAGCGTGATTTATGTTATAACGCCACTATTTTAACAATTATTAAATATGTAAATCAATTCCCTACATAATTGAATGACGATAAAAAAAAATTAAGAGGATATTAACTCTAAAGTATTGTGAATTTCATAAAAAATATTATTTTAACTGGTACCGATTATATTACACAATACGCAACGTCAGTCTAACTATAACTAGTGAATACTGAATAATGATTATTCTGTCTGTCATCCAAACGGAATTGATTAAATAAAGGTAGGTACATACAATGTGATACATTGTTATCTTTTTTATTACGACTTTATTCTGAAATGATGGTTTATTATAATATAAAATAGCAAAATATATGCAAAAGACGATTATTGAACATACTTAATCAAATAATAATTCTATATTGACGTTATTTTTCACTTCGTTTTGCTTTAAAATGATTTAAAAAATATATAAGAATTGCATCAAAATCTAATTGTTAAGTAATGCAGATATAATAAGATATTATAAATCAAGTTTTTATTATTTTTCAATAAATATTTATTTTCCTTCTTTTATTTACTTCAATGCTAGTACTCATACACTTAAATATGATAATTATATTTTTGTTGACCCTAAAAAGCAATTATTAAAAATACTAAACATCTTTTATGTAACCGTCATAATACCGATACGTCTCTCTGTGTTTGATTGATTAAATTGAGGAAACTGCACCGTTTATGGACCATGGTTAGAAGGGGATCCTCAGAATGGGAATGTACTAATAAGATATCTTTAATGTTAAGATTGATTTTATTTCATGACACTACCATTTAATTAATTGTTAAGTATTTCTTTCTTCGTATTTGTATAGTATACTTACATATTTTTTTAAATTTAAAAAAGTGAAGCAATTAATGTTAAAAACATTATTAAGGCTATAATATATGAGCTCCCCCTTATCTTTTTCTTAACCACCGAGACAAACACCCAAAAACAACATTATAAATACAATTTTGTTTTTGCTAAAGATAGGAAAAAAATACATTTTATGTAGATATTTTTTTATCGATAAACTGAACTCCAAGTTAAATTTTTAATAAACTCTAAATTTTTTAATCGTTAATTTTGAAACTTTCACCAAGACTCAACTAAGTTTTAATTATATTTTTAATTACCAGATTCGAATCTCGCTTATTTATGTCAGATAATTTTTTTTCTTGACTAAATTCTAATTTAACATTAGCAGAACTCATCCCAAACTTCTAAATATCCAGATGATCTTGATATTGAAACGTTTGCTCAAGTATATTAGTAGTTTTTAAATTTGGACATTTGGAAGATTTGAAAGAGTCATTAATTGATGACAGTAAAATATTTCTTCAAATTATTTGTGAATATTCTAACTTGCTGATAATACTTTCGACACTATCAAGTGTGAGCAACAATAATAAATAATCGTCTTGTCATGTGTTTATACAGGGTGACTGGTGAATTACTATCAATATTTAAGGAGAATACTGAGTACATGATTCTCATTCGAATTATGTAAAAAAAATAGGTACTTAATTTTTGACCAAATTTCCGTATAAATAAATAAAGTGTAGACACGTTCCAAGTGTTCCAAGTGTGGACGCGTGCGGCGGCGTGCTGATACAACACTACGCCGCGCGCGCGTGTGCGTGTGTGTGTGTGTATACCTAATCTGTAGGGTGTTCACACGATGCGTAATTAATTACATAACTTTTGGTTAACTTTACTTAGAAGTTTATTAATATTTATGTTATATTAATTTTTATTTTGTCATATATGATCGTCAAATATCACGTCCTCAAAAATCGATAGTAATTCACCAGTCACCTGTATATCATCCATGAATAACATTGTATCAAACAATAACTCCAAGTCGCCTTGAACTTTCATGAATGTAATTATTCTTAACAAGCTTAATATTTTTTTTATCAGTTTCTGTCTCTCTTTTAGATATTGTCCTTTTTTTATGAAACAAATGGCATATGTGTGAATAGTATACTCATTTTCTGTATTTATGATATCAATGTCAACGTAAGGAGGTTTCCGAATTCAGGTTGACTGTCAACTTCATAAATGTCAAATCATATAAACCTTAACAATAAGAAAACTCACCCTCAATTTCTCAAAATTTACGATTAATATTTCGTTTAATCAACTTTATTAACGTTTATGCAATAATTCCATCAAAAATTCAAATTTCATTTTAAAAATGTTGAATAAGGTATTATTATCTACGGATGTAGCATTGATTTGTGTTCAACATGCTCTTTCTACAGAAAAAGAAGAAATTATGGGACTGCTAATAGGAGAAGTGAGCAATCTTTATATAATACTTAACTGTATTATTATTATGATATTAAAACCATAATAACGGAACGATATATATTGACAGGTGCATAATAATAACACATTGGTTTCAATTGTATCTTCTGTTATTTTGCGGCGTCTCGATAAAAAGCCGGACAGGGTTGAGATATCAGAAGAACAGTTAGTACAGGCGACATTAAGAGCCGAAGAGCTAGCTGCTGCAGTTGGTCGACCATTGAGAGTTGTTGGCTGGTATCATTCCCACCCACATATCACAGTTTGGCCATCTCACGTTGGTTAGTATTTTTACATTTATAAGCTTCGTCATTATCATTTTGGAATAATAAAACACACCTTTATGCTAATACCAAAATATAATGTTAAATATGACAGTATTTACATAATTATTTACAATATTAAAATTTTGTAAAATGACAAAATAAAAAAAACAAACATGATACAGAATTATATTTAAAAATCACATAATATATCACCTTTATACCATAACAGATCTTGCAACTCAATCCATGTATCAAAGAATGGACTCAAGTTTTGTTGGAATAATATTTGCTGTGTATATTCAAGATCAAACAGCAAAGGCACCTTCAGTAAGCTCTTCTACATTAACTCTCTGAACATAAGCTGCAAATTGTTTCAACTTTATATTTATTTTTAGATACAAATCACATGCTTCCAATCAGTAAATGAAGGTACAAATCAAAGCAGACGAGAAATTGAACTGGAAATTACTAACAGCAATGACTCTCTAACATTAAATAATTTTGAGGTAACAATAGATAAAAAATGTTATCTACATCCACTAAAAATTTATTATTTTAATTTTAATTTACAATAAAAATATTTGTCATAGATCTTGACACAGTTACCTGCTATTCTAAAGGAAGAAGAGGATGAATCTTATAAAAATGAAGCTGAGGGAAGTGATTGTGAAGATATTCTAAATAAACAACATAATTCAGCTGTAAGAACTATAGCTATTGGACACATAGTTGAAAAGGTAGATATATATTATAAGCCCTATGGATTTTTAAGTATTTAGTTACCCAAAATTAATATTTTAAATATACTAAATAAGCTTTTCTAATGGTGACTAATTCAATTCTTTGTCTTTCAGATATCTCGACCAATGTTGGAAGCTCTTGTTGCTAGAAACGCATTGAACACTGTCCGTCTTAAAGCTTTAAAGAAACAACACCAGGAGCTTATGTCTAGATTGGATAAGATGTCTTGCAATGTTTAGATTAAGTACATGATATTTCAATTATATAATAAAAACCATACATATAAGTCAATAAAATCAAGTTATTTTTAAATAAACATAGTCCACCAGAAATAACTACAAATCATTTTTATCTATCATTTCAAAGCCATCTGATGAATCAAAACTAGAAACTCTCTTCCTTCTATTAGTATCTTGAGAGCTGTAGACTAAATTTGAAACTGCTCCGCCAAGATTTGACAAAGCATTATAGGCTGCACTACTCCATGTATCAATGGGTTGTACTTCTAAAGAAGATTGATAGTGTTCTGATTGATGTTCTGAAATTGTTGTGTCATTGTACAGTTGCAATTGATAGACATGAAAAAGTTTTTATGGAACATCAAGGGCATAAAAATGAAAATTTTACTTTGGTTATAATTTATAAATCACTTCTTCAAAGATACCATTAAACTAGCATTGAGACTGCAGACATGTAATTATTATTTTTAAGTTTCAACAAAAAAAGATATAATTTTAAAAACACCACAAAATATGTTTAAGTTCACAAAAAAAAGAAGAAATTTTTACTTAAACCAGTAAGACTTGAACACTTTATTTCAAGTATATATTATGAGAATTTTTACAGACTATGTAAAAATATATTACTAACCTACAACTTAATTTTCTATTCCTTGTTTCTTGAAAACAACTTACCTTGTGGTATATATTCATCTTCACTGGAGTCAGTATTTTCGACATCCTTTACAAGAGTTTGCATTTTTTCAATGGATAAATTTGTTATAACAGAACTGCTATTATCACTATCACTGCCTTCTTCTATGGGCAGGTCTTCTGGTTTCCAATAGTCTAAAATAGAGACATATAAGATAGAGAGTAAGAAAACAAGATTACAAAACTTTCATACTGCTTGGTATAAACAAGATTTGTTACTTTTACTAGTAGGTAAGTAAGCTGAATTAATGTGGTGCATAAATATAAGATCTTTTTTTCTAATTGAATCACAGATATCTCAGCATAAGTATATAATCTTTGTTTGAAGATTATAACTTACATGTAGTTAATAATAACTGTTGTTATTGTTCTAATTAATAGGAATACTTATACCTAGGCTTTGTTTTTCGTCCATTAATAATTTTCTGTCTGGTTCAATAGAGAGCAGATCTAAGTTAGCATCAGATTCTTCTGGTACAAGACCCTCCAATTCAAAATCAGATTCTAAAAAAAAGGATTTCATGGTGATTATATAAAAAACTAATAATTTGTAATATATAAAACACAATTTTAATCTAAAAATTAAAACAGTACCTGCACAATGCTGTATTTTTTTATAAACCCTCACTATAGGTGGTAGAATTTTACGTGCAAAAAAAACAAGGGTGCTTAACAAATATATTATAGTGTAACCACTGCTATACCTTCCGATGATAAAAACAATGCTTAATATTAATTGGAGGATCACAAAAGCCTGAAATATTTTTAAGTCATGAACAATATTGTTTGTTTTGTATAAAAAAAATCATTGAATGCAATTATTTACCTTGGTATGATTTTTATCGCGTAAATAAATAAACTCTGCAAATTTCGATTGTACCAGTTTAATAATTTTTGAGATGAGAGGCACCAATTTATCATCTTCATGAGATGCTAATCGTTTCAGACATGTAGTGCGATGTTTAAACTTCAACCACGTTTCAAATGCATCCAAACTGATTGTAAAAATTGCGAATCCAAAAATAAATTGAAGCAAATTTAACTGTCGATATACACAGGAACTGAAAGTTTTATGAGATTAAATATTGAAATGACAAATAAAACTATATTTGCAAGACCATTACTTACAAAAATAATATATTAAATAGAAAAAAACACAAAAGCGATAGCCATATTTTTTTCCAAAATAATACATCTTCAAAAAAATGTACGCAAATTAAGAGTATTAATGATGGTGATTCGTTATTGCTTTCGTTACTTTTTATTATATTCCACTTAAAGATTGATTTGAAAGAAGCTAACATTGTTACACTTGATTTTCGCTTGTAAATTATTTAGGTTTTGTATATTTTGTAATTCACACAAGTAATTAGACATTTGACAATGTCATACTGACAGTATTGAGCAAAAAACAACACTTTTTTTCGATGAAATATCTGCACTATTCATTTATAGGAACTTTGGTGGCCTACGAATTATAACATATCTTACAACAGAGGATTAACAAATTTCGTATAACGTCGTCTTTTGTTGTTCAAATTGTAGTCTTTTTAATACAAAGTTAAATCTAAATTAAACGAATAACAAACACATCCATTATGATGTTACCAAAAATTTTAAAAGAATCTGCCTTTTTTACAATAGTTTCTTCAGATAGTACAAGTCTACACACAAGTCTGTATCCATACACTACGAGCAAAATATAATTTTATTTAAAAACTAAAATTTCTAAATTTTTTACCAAATGTAAAATGACACTCTAAGGAGTGAGGTAAAAACTGTATGGTAACTCGCGTGTGTTTGGAGATATATTTGATTCGAAAGCTAAATATCTCTCACAAAATTATTATTCACTTCCATATTCGCCAACATGTAATAATAATCATTCAAGAGTGGAAATGATCCAAACACTAGAAAAATAACTTTTAAAACGAGCTTAAAGCATCATTTTTCTTTTATATACTCGTAGAGACATAATGATAAAAAAAATTGAAAAGGAAAAACAAAACTTCAAACCACATCTCACCGTTTTGCGCCGATATTAATAATGGAGAGGATAAATGATAATAGTAAGGGACTAAATAACTGTTTATGGGAGACATGACATCAGATCAGGCCAAATAAATGGTTGGGGGTAATTCCAACGCCTCCAATAGCACCCTGTGTTCCGGGCTGGGGTCGGCGTGGTAGCCCGGCTCTAATGAAAGCCCGGCGTCATCGGGGCGGTCCCAATTGCCGGGATCGCCCCCATTCTCCGAGGGAGTAAGTCCGGTCTTTGCCAGGACCGGCCAGTCGCTGGTGTGCCCTGTCGCTGACAGATCCGGGGTACACCGACATAGCGGCCGATGGCTGTCGCAGTGGTTTTAGTGAGTAGGGGCCTGCCCAGGCCGAGCCTCACACATCCCTTCCGGCCCCACCAAGGCTGGTTGGACGGCTCGTAAAAAGAGTTTCCCTGGGTCATCAAAAAAAAAAGCCAAATAAATGGTTGGCCACCTAATTAGATAGGTAACACAATTTAAGGATCATAATCTGTTCCTACATTTACCATCCAGCAGTGTTGGAAATTATAGACCTGGAGTCATGTACATTTTTGGTCAATTATTTCTTCTCAATAGAAACTTCGTAAAATGCGTAAGAGACTTCTCCTATGAATACTCGCTACCATCAGCTGCGACTTGGTAGTGACGAATAATCCACCGTGTTTTGGTCATCTGACTGTTGTTTCTTTCAAAATAATACAAAAACTAAAATCCGACAAATTTCTAATGAGAGGAAAACTATCTTTTTTTGTTCCACGCGTGGGAGGCTGCTACCACCCACTTCACACACAAAGTCACAGCTGACGGCTGATATATTTGAGTTTTGACAAATGTCATTTTAAAAATATCAAAACAAAACATTAACTGGTAGTGAGTCTTAGCAAATTTAATGGTATAATTATTTATACGGCCACTATGACTACAAAAGGCTCATTTGAAAATAATTTTGATGACTACTCTCCAACTGATTTAACTCCTCTACTCAACGAAAATAGAGATGCGGTGAGAGTCAATATTTTAGTGTATAATTGTATTTTTTAAGTTTAACCGCTAATAATAATATTTTACATAACAGATATCAGAAAAATTTCAAGCAAAGTTACAGAATTATAAAACGGCAAAATTAGCGTTTTTATTAACAAAACTAGAAAAGGAATTATTTTGTGATGGAACTGTTTACACCGGCTCTACGGGACTAGCATTATATTATTTAATGTCTGCACTCGGGAACCATGATTCTCAACAAGAAAATCTGCAGGTTTTTTTAGTTTTTATTAATATAATTTTGTATTGATTTCATTCAATAATTAAATATACATAGAAAAAAATATATTATATTAACATCAATAAGATTTACCTTTATTTTTTTTAGAAAGCCCTGGACTATCTAGATCTGGATAAATTAAAAGGAAGGAGAATAAGTTTTTTGTGTGGTGATGCTGGTCCACTTGCAATTGCAACTGTTATTTCACACAAGTTAGGTACAAGACGGCCAAATTATTTACCTGATTACAGGGAACTATCAGTAAGGTGTTTTGAAGTGTTATATTTAAAATAAATTTATACTGTAGATTGTGTAAGTGATAAAAATATAATTTGGTTTAATATTTTTAAATACCGATGTTATAGGCTCTTAAACCTTGGATCACTTTTAAATGACTCACCAGATGAACTGCTGTATGGGAAAGCAGGATATTTATATTCATTGCTGTTTGTTAATAAATATGTCCACGGTAGAAATGTTATTTCGAATGATCATATTGAAAAGGTAATGTTCAAGTGATATAACCAAATTCTGTAAAGGCAATTATAATTAACATTTTTCAATTACATATAGGTTGCTTCTTTAATCTTGAAAGTCTGGTAAAGAGTTTTCACAGCATACAAAATCAGAGAGTCCACTTCTGTGGCAATGGCATGACAAAGTATACTTAGGAGCAGCTCATGGAATGGCTGGCATTTTGTATATATTATTGCAGGTTTGATAAATGTGGTCATAAACAGATTTATAGTGTATATAGATATTCATAGTAAATATTATTTAAATGTACCATATTTCAGGCTCGTACTTACATAAATTCCCATGACATCAGAGGTTTTGTTAGGCCTTCCATAGATTGGTTAATGAAACAACAATTTCCTAGTGGTAATTTCCCTTCATCATTACACAGTAGCTCTGGTGATAGATTGGTACAGTGGTGTCATGGTGCACCAGGGTTTATACCTTTATGCATATTGGCTTATCAGGTAACACTATTTTTATTATAATTATAAGTAAACCATCTCATCAGGATGAAATTATATCATATTATTTTTGTTCTAGGTGTTTGAAGATGAAAGATATTTAAAAATAGCTATTCAATGTGGAGATTTAATATGGCAGAGAGGATTGTGTGCCAAGGGCTATAGTTTATGCCATGGAGTTAGTGGTAATGCTTATGCATTTCTTCAGCTGTATCAAGTATTAAAGGTATTATTTTTTTTGATTATTATAGACACTTTATTTATATATAATTTTTCCTATTGTCATAAAGTTTGTAGTGTTTTGCTAAAAAACACTATTTTATTGTATTTGTCACGACAGATATTATATGCTATTCTTATAAATTACAATTTTATTTTTATCCATGAACGCTTATACAATCGTATAGTTTAAGCCCAAAAGCCTATTGCCTTTTTTGAAGACATTCAATTTTCAAGAGATTAGGAACCCAAGATCGTAGTATTGGTAGTATCGGTAGAGCATGAATGCTCCACCGATATTCCGAGATCTAATAAGTGTTCTAAGTATACTCCTTAGTTGATTTCGGCCGTACGACATGTAACTTCTGCAATGAGAACACACCGACTACACAAGCCTCATATAAGATATAACATTCGTATTTACCGAGACTCGGTTTGAGTTTCCGTAATGAGCAATGAAGGAATTTACCAGCAGTTGATTTTTACTCAGTAACTATAGTGTTGTTGAATTACAATTATTCACATAATTTTTTAATAAACTCTTATTAGCTAAGCAAAGACTTTTGGACTGTATTGATATCGTCCGTCGAACTTCTCTAATTAGGAAAATCGCACACAAACATGTTTCTCTAGCTTGACGCATTTATTGACATTTATAAGTGGGCTGAGAGGCGTTTTTATATTCAACTATTTAAAGTATTTAAGATATTTTTTTTTAATTTAAGAATAAGTAAAAATAAATCAACATTTGTGTTGGCAAAAACATCATCGTCAGTGTATTTCGTGCCACTATTTAGTTAGAAGTTAAGAAACATTCGCTAATCTAGCCAGGGTCGTGCTTCAAAGTTATGAAGTGTCTGATTAGGTAAAGTCGAGCGGCAAACTTTATATTCTACAATTCATAAAATGCCTTTATTTGCTTTATGCATGCATGCATATCGGTCAGGGACCTAAAAAATTAAAGACTAAAATATATTATTTGTTTGATTCTTAAATCAAATAATGTAAATGTAAAAAAATATTATTCGCACTAGTTAGATGATTTAATAAACGCATTACTTATACCACCACTTACTTCATTTCATTAATACTGGCAGAACTTACGTTTTTAACGTTACTTGAATTTCTCCTGTTTCACATTTCGATACCTCCCACGAAAATTGTTGTATCTCCAAAAGTGTAATTTTACAGTAGAGCGTTTCAAAGATTCAAATTAAACCAAAATCTGAATTTATTTATGCATCTTTCTAAAATTTCGTATTTAAATTTAACATACTAGTCTTCTTAACTACGTTAAAAGATATTTTAGTTAATATGCCTATTTGGGGAGATATTGTTCATACGACATTTTACTCCGGAGTAGAAGCTAAAAAATAGGTAATTTTTTTTTAAGTTAAACGGTTTTACGTTAAACATACATTGCAATGTTTAAGATAAATGTACTAAAACCAAAAAATAATAAAATAGATACAGTCGTGGGAATTATAAACATACATATTATGCATAGACTAGACTAAAATAAAAGCGTGGGGCGCGTCAATTGTCTACAAATTATTATCGACTTAATGTGCGATAGAAGAATCGTTTAATTCGTCGTTAGGCAGTTGACCCGCAGACGGTGAGGAATTTATAATGATAAATGATAATTAATAAACATAATTGTATTGTCACCAAAATCCAAAGTGTATTCAAAATTTCACATTAATCGGTTCACAGGAAGAGGGTGAAATTTGAATTACTAAATTTGATCCAAGAATAAATAAAACAAACGGGGTAAGCTAAATAAAACCGTTTAAAAAGGTGTTGTATCTGATACTAACAACATTATACCCAGGTAGCATCACTTGTGGTATATGATTGTGGTATATGATTGTTGTGTTGAAAAATATAAGTCTTATTCTGTTGTTGTATGCAACCGATACGCGCGAGCGCGTGATTTTACCCTCCTCGCGCCCCGCGTAAACAATTGCATAGGCATATACATCAGTGTAATCCGTTCGCCTTTGAAAATAATAACATTATGCGTCTGACAAATCCTTTAAAAATAGTGTTTTTGTTGTTTATTTAATTTGAATGGATGTAATGATCCATAATAGGATATTTTTTAGAAAAACAGCAAAATTTCATTTTCGTGGCATACCTACAACTTACGTGGGAGGTATCGATTTGTAAAACACCGCAATACGAACAATTAATGTGTTTCTTAATGCCAGATGCATTTTCTCTTAACTAATCATGAAGAGCTATATTATTTTTATAATATATATAAAAAATATTTTTTTCAGAAACCTGTATATCTTCACCGCGCTGGGTGTTTCATGGAATGGTGCGCGGTGGAGAGACAAGGCACTGAATTACACCGACCTGACCGGCCGGCCTCGCTCTTCGAAGGATTACTCGGCAGAATATACTTGGTCGAAGACATTATTAACCCACAGAAAGCTTTATTCCCTGGACTTTGCTTATGAATTGTTACTTACGTACTTCAATTCATTATTTAAATTTTTTTATCAACGGCTTCCCAAAATGATAGTGCTTGCTATTATTAATTATAAAATATCTCATTCATATAAATTGGGCATACAATGAAAGATAATAATTATACATACATTTTTTTTATTTTACATGTCGTCTTGAATAATACAAAACGTTATAAAAGTGTTGGTCAATAAATTCCATTAGATCAATGTTAATTTTTTGACAATAAAATATTACAATATCTGAAAAAAACTATTCGAATAACAAACTAATATTGTAACCTCGAATGTCGTTAACAACAAAATATTAACATGTTTTTTTTGGAATTTTATTTCAACATAGTATTTTTTTTTTGTACATTTTAACTTATTCTATTTATATAAAATTAATAAAGTAGATAATATTGAGATTTGGTCTAGGATACATTATAATTAAAGGTTATAAATATAAATGGAATATATTAATTGTAGAATTAACTGAAATTGTTGAATCTATTAAAAATTATCACACAAATTAAGATGATATTGTTCTCTATACGATACCATATTAGTTTTAATTCTGTTTTAAAATAAAAACACTAGTATACCATAACATTGTTTTATATCTTTGTACATACATATGTATACTTACGTCACACCGTAACAAGTTATAATACTCTAAACATATTTCGATGTAGCGTATACTGCGCTGTTTGTATTCAATGACAAATTTTTATATTGAAAATTTAACACTTTTCGTGGTGTCGAAAAATGTATATAGAAATATATGAAAAGTACATCGCAATATTCACTACACCTCAATCCACTATACATAAATGCTGGCAGTCGTTCTGCTTATAAAGTTATAATTATGTTACAATTCATATATACCATCATATGTTTCAATTCACGAAATTAACTGATAGTGATGCGAAAAGAATACATAAAATAATACACTGTAACATGATCTAGTGATTAAATACTATAAAATTATATAATTCATATAGTGTTACATTTATTTCCGTACAAACATTATATAATAATGCAATTACGTTGATATCTATGTCTTCCTTTTCACATATATTTCATATGCCATTTTATTTATTCGAAATCCTGCAAGTAATAAACTTTGGCTATAACTATCATTACGATTCTCATGAGACAATCTGGAAGACAATACAACAAAATAATGCTAAATTATTGATGTGAAAAAAAAATCAATTAAAAATATATTAATTTTATAGTCTCAATGTAAATTTTAACTTAATAAACCCTATCTTACATTTGGCCTCTCAATATCGGTACAAACACAACATTCAAAACCATTCATAGTACAATTTATGTTGATAAGACATTTGGACGTAACGAATGGGTGCTTGGCTTGAGGAATGTACATATATGATAGTACCTTAAGTGCGAATACGAAGAAAACAAGATAAGATACTTATGTGCGAGTGAGAGGGTGTGATTGTGCGAGTGAGAGGGTATGATACGAGAGAGATGTGTTCCGTCAGAGTAAGGCGGCGCCGGCTTCGGCTCGTGAATGAGGCAGAGAGGTCGTGGACGTCCACGTGTCTCGCGTCGGGTCGTATATTTCTACGGAGGCGAGCGTGGTGCGGGCGCGGTAGAAGTCTCTTTTGCCGCCGCACTCGCTGTCCCCGCCGGCGGCCACCAGCAGCCCGTCCGCCGCCCCCGCCGCGCACCCCGCACGCGCCTCAACCAAGCTTCCGACTTCTTCCCATGAATCCTGAAAAATATTATGAAATTATCTAGTAGCTACATCATAAGAATGATTTGGAATTGCTAAAAGCAAAATCGCAAATTTAATAGGAAATTATATTTATCAAAGTAAAACAGTAAACAATGATAAAATAATTCTAAGAAATTTTTTTGAGGGACGCAATAAAAGTGATTCTTTCATTTATATCTAAATTTCTATACGGAAAAAGTATTCATCGTTAGTTTTTGTTTATTCTGAAAGTATCGATTATAACTGTATTCGTATAGATCTCTATATAAAAATAGTAAGTTGGTTTGGGTATGCTTCAAAAACTCAAAATGCACACGTTTAATCTTAAATTTTGACAGGATAGACTGCTGTCTATCCTGTCAAAATTTAAGATTTCGCTTCAAGGCTAACTTCCATAACGACACTTCCATACCCCTAAGTGCACCATTACCAAAAATATTGTATACCCCACAAGTATTAAAAAATTAAACTTCAATAAAACATAATGTGCTCTCTTTTGTCGTTCACAGCGAAGCGTGACAGTGTACAGCTAGTATAAATATACTTAATATATATATAGTACTACATGTAGTGTGTACATACATCGTCAAAGCTGTATCTCTCCACTGATGATAGTACAGTCCGTCTCGGTGCGTTTCCTCCTATGACGTATAGATGCGCCCCCAGTACACAACGGCCGCGGCCTGCGAGCGGGCGTGACGCATTGGAGCTAGGGGGCGCCACTTGCGAGACGCTGGATGATAGCAGAGAAGGTCCCTTGTGTGACGCCATGTGTGGGTACAACCACCCACTACATAGATTAACCCTGTATAATAAAAAATACATTGTATTCAATGTTATTTATTAACCAATATGGCATTTAAACTAGACAAAAACAGATTAAAAACATGTATAAAAGATCACATAAAATAAATTTATATTAATTAAACAACATATGTATATTATAAACGAAAGTATATTATTAATATAGAAGGTTAATCTTTATATGTATATATAAAAATTTCGTGTCACGTGTTTGTCCACGATGGACCCCTAAACAACTAAACCGATTTTAAATTTGATTTGCATTCCGTGTGCATTTTGATCCAACTTGAAAGATAGGATAGCTTACATATCAATTTATAGTCACAATATTATTTTATTGCAAATTATTTGTCTATTAAAGAAAATTATTTGTTATTATTACAATTATCTGTTGATTGAGTTAAGTATTCAATAGATGAAAAAAATACAAACGTCATATATGAGCGACTATTTAATAATAGCATAACCACCACGTGTTTCTGAGGCTAAGGTATAATCTAAATTTATTTATAAAAAAAATGTAACAGATATTTCTTGATTATAGGGCGATACGAAGTTCGCCGGGTCTTCTAGTTGTCTATGAAATCACAAAGTAAATATTTCATAAAGGAAATAGTTGACAGTCGTTACATTTCAAATACCTTCAAAATTAACAACGCCCATCCCGAATCTCGGTTCAGGCATCCTGTCTATGAGTGTCCATTCGTCAGATATTGGATCGTAGACCTCCACGGACGCTCCCATTTCTGATCCCACCCAACCACCGAAAGCGTACAAGTTGCCTTTCCAAGCTGTTAGACCGAACTCACAGCGAGCCTCTTTCATACATGCAATGTATGACCATTTATCAGTCTGAAATATATGAAAAAAAGGTAGAGACAAAACCAGAACAATTCAAATTACAAATATTTCTTTAACACCAATTGTATGAACGAAAGAATAAAAAATTCGTACAAGGCCAAGAATTTCTCGAAAAAAAAAAAAATACAACAAACAGTGCGTGGAGTTTCTTCGCGCCGAAGTAAAACTAAATTATGTGTGTACCAAATCAAACTAAAATAAAAATAAATACTGGTATTTGAAATAAATTAATACCGAACAACAAGTACATATTTCAGCTATTTCACGAAGCAGACACTGTTCACTGCTTAGCAAGGATACCATATGCAGTTGCCTTAAATCTATCAACTCATTCTCTTTCTCTCTGCTACTTTTGCGTATCTTTCTTTCTCTCTCCTTCAGCACAAAACGTTTAACGCAAATTTCACTTCAAAAAAAGTTGCCAGTGCGGAGTGCCAGCTACTTCACCAATTTTAAGCTAACATGCTTTGATTTAAATCCGTAAATGAATTAGTTTCTATGTATACAGGGTGACTGGTGAATTACTATCGATATTTGAGGACGTGATATTTGACGATCATATATGACAAAATAAAATTAATGCAAACATAAATACTAATAAACATCTAAGTAAATTCAAAATCAACATTATGTATGTAATTAATTACGCATCGTATGAACACCCTACAGATTAGGTATGTCAGACAGTCGCGCGCGGCGGCGTGGTGTTGTATCAGCACGGCGCCTCTCGCGTCCACAGGGCGCCGGTTCAAAACGTGTACACACTTTATTTTTTATACGGAAATTTGGTCAAAAATTAAGTACCTATTTTTTTTACATAATTCGAATGAGAATCATGTACCGAGTATGCTCCTTAAATATTGTTAGTAATTCACCAGTCACCCTGTATAACTAGCGTAACTGGACGGATGCATTTATTGCATTGATAAATCGACTTTAAGACTTGAATTAATGCAATTGTAATACTAAGTCATCTATTTTAATTCAAAATCAACATTATGTTAGTTTAAAACGACCTAAAATATTTCAATAATCATAATAAAATTGTCAACTACCATTATACATACTATTAAATTATACTATTGCAATTTTTGTTGAAGTTTGTTACGCATTTATGATATATTTAAAAGTTTTGTTTGTTATTGCAAACAAACCTGTGGATCGTACACCTCTCCGTTGGCTAATATCTGGCTGCCTTGTTCTCCACCAACGGCGTACACCCTTCCACCCAGGCTCGCTACTCCCGGTTGTATACGAGCTATTCCCATAGGAGATAGTTCCTCCCATTCCCTTCAAACAAAAGTGGTGTCTCAATTATTAAATCAGCCAGATTTTTATTAATTTTGTAATTCAATATTTCAAAGTTTTGTCTCATGAAATGAATTTTCGACTATTTTTTAGGTTCTTTTGACAGAAACATTTAAAACTAATATAAACGTTAGTATATATATTTCGAGTCATTATACTATAAAGTGTGCATCGATAACACGATATTTTTTATAGGAAATACTTATGGTACGTTAAGTCTTTAAATTGCGATATCCTAATTTATACAGATTTTTAGCAATCCATAGATATTATAGGTATACCATAGGTTGACCTATTTCCACTTTTTTTTTCTAATAGTCCTTTTCTTTTTTTTGTATTATTTAGAATTTATCGGAATGATATTTTTTTTACATATTTCCATTAAGTGTAAACAAGTTTAATGTGATCCCTAAAAATTATTACACGATTTAAATGCGTAATTATTATTTTTTATTCATTGACTCATTAATTTTACGAATATTTCTGTTAATTACAAACAATACCTACCTCTTATGGAGATCAAACTTGAGCGCAGATGACAGTATATTATCCGTTGAATGTGGTGGATGTGAGGCCGCGTCGTGACAGGAACCGCCGGCAACCACTAGCATCCTACGAGCGCGAGCACGGGGCTCAGCTGACAAACACACCAATGCACCGCGACCTGATTTCTATAAACAATGTTACACACGTTAAAAAACAAATGTACATCGCAGGGGCGACATCGTTGTATGGAAAAATATTACGAGCGACGTTGCATTTACATTAACTTCATTTTTCAATAGAAAAAAAAACTATCATCATTATACAAACAGAACATCAATTTATAGTACAAAAATATTTTACGTGTCTATAATTTGCTTGGTTTTTTAATAAAACAGTTAAATGTTAAGCTACACACTTGAGTTAAATTTCATATATAAAAAAGATTAGTTGGCAAAATACTGTAACACAATATTCTATAGGAACCAGCTTCCAATCTTGATCAGTTGATCAATTTGAATTTCTAATAATAGTCATAAATTCTGTTTAAAATAATGTATATAGATAAAATAACTTTATAAAAACTAAGTTTCATATTGCAAGGTCCTTAATATGATTAGAATGTATAACATTAAACACTTCTTTGTTAAATAAAAATAAAATAGAATAAAAATCTTCAATGATCTAAAATAGCAAATGAGCATCAAGTCAAAACAAATTGTACCACTTAATTATGAATCAAACATATATGAAACATGACAGTTAAAAAGTCTAAAAAATTGAAGTTTCTTTCATTAAAATTTTATAAGCAAATATGTATGCCCTAGGTAAATTAAAATATATATATTTCTTTTTTTAATGATAAATAAAATGATTTTACCATATCAACTCTAACATTTTTTAAAGCCACTGCTATGGATGGATCTTGTACATTCTTAATAACATCATCCAAGACTTGTGGTGATATAAGTGGCAGTCTAACATGTCTGAGAACTTCAAAACAGTGTGCCTTCTGCGTGTTGCGGGATCATGTTCAAGCCATTTCAATGCTGGATGGAGAACCTAAAATATAAAACTGCTGACATTATTTTATACTTATAAAACTTTACTTAATAGATGATAGTACAAATAAATAAAACATGTCATGTCTGTATTTTTTACTTTTAAAAACAACTATTTGTCTTTCCAGACAGACAGGGGTTGAAACTCTATGGTGGGCTCTATGTGTTTAAAAGTAACAATTAAAATTAATATGAGTAGAGTATTATACAGGGTGACTGGTGAATTACTATCGATACTTGAGGACGTGATATTTGACGATCATATATGACAAAATAAAAATTAATATAACATAAATATTAATAACCTTCTCAGTAAAGTTAACCAAAAGTTATCTAATTAGTTACGCATCGTGTGAACACCCTACAGATTAGGTATACACACACACACACACACGCGTGCGGCGGCGTGGTGTTGTATCAGCACGCCGCCGCACGCGTCCACACTTGGAACGTGTCCACACTTTATTTATTTATACGGAAATTTGGTCAAAAATTAAGTGCCTATTTTTTTACATAATTCGAATGAGAATCATGTACCGAGTATGCTCCTTAAATATTGATAGTAATTCACCAGTCACCCTGTATAATTAAGAGTATTAAGGGTATTATTAAGTCAGTGGTTAAAAGGCCCGCCTCACATGCATGAGGTCGCGGATTTGACCAATGTGATTTTTTCGAGTCATATGTACTTTCTAAGAGTATTTAGACATCACTGATTAATGTATTCCCAAAGAGGGTTGATGTCTGGCATGCAGCCGGTCATAAAAACAATTAGCCAAAACTGTTCACAACACATAAGGCATACCCTGGCTAAAGCTGGGAATTTGTCAGGTAGAAGAAGATGAGAAGAGTATTATATATTATATATGTTTGTTATTTTTTATTATCTATCATAGAAATATTTTCATTAATATAATATGCTATTTCCCACTTTGCTTGTTACCTGAGCTTCATTATGGACTTCAAGCTGCTCTGATGATAATAAGGTAATCAGTTGTTGCAGAGGTAGCTCCAATAACTCATCCCCATTTGCTACAAGATTCCAATTGGCCTGTGCATGGCCCAATGCTTCTTCAGCTAATTCTGTGCAATTGTGCGTCTCTGCAAACCTGTTTATTTAACCACATTATTAACACTGCCATATAACATAGAATCTCATAATAGCACAATATTTTGGATTAAACACAAAATTGTAAGTTATTAAGTTATAGTAAGACCATATAAATACCTAAATATTCCAAGAGCATTTGATGGATGTAGTTCCCTTTTTAAAAAATCTCCACATCCTCTAACTAATTCTCGTAATTGAAACATATCCGCTGCAATAAGTAAGTGCTGCACACTAGCTTTATCTATTGCAATCTCTCCTAAAAAAATAAAATTTAGTAATAAAATAAATGAAAGATAAATAAAGTGATGTATAATTTTTGAAGTCTTACCAGTATAAATAAAGTCAATAATCATGGGTAGTATTCCTGGAGGTACAGTAGGCAGCACAACTCGGCCTTTCTGACTTTCTTCAAATCCTTCATTAAACATTGCATCAAAATACTCGCAACTCGCTGCTAATACAACTCGATGGGCCTGCAAAATATGAATTTATTATCAAAAAGCCAATTAAGAACATTCAAGTCATATTTATTTTAGAAACCTTACCCTAATTATTGTTTTTCCAGATATAAGGTCTATGTCACAGAATCTTCCATCCCGTCTGAAGTGATTAAGGTTTAAAGAAACTTTGCTTGCATATTCGCAACATTTATAAGGCCTAGAGCCTTCTTTATTAATTATTTTATCGTAAATACTAGAAGACATTATTTTCGTTCTTGGACATAGAAGATTTTTTACATTTATATATTTTACTATCACATTTGTTTAATATCATAAGACAAATAAAGGAAACCTATTAATTCTATTAGAACAATAGATATACCATTATTTAATAAAGGAATAAAAAACAAAAACTTGTTATTGAGTTATATGTCATTTTATTAACTCTTTCAAGTCATTGTCAAATGTCAATTGCTAATTATCAGGTTAAAGAGAAAAATGAGTCAGTACGGGTATTTTAACACTTCCGGTAGTAAAATACTTCAGGTTTGTTTTTTTTTAAATTCATTTTATAAATTTACTCATGTGCAATTTAAATTAATATAACAAATCTTTTTGGAGATTTCAAAATTTTCAGTAAAAAATCTCGTCTTACTGTAATATTCATCAATGAAATGAAAGCAGTCTCTATAATATATTCTCAATCAGGGGGTTGTCGTATATAATATGTGTTTAACTAACGTTGTAACTTTTTACAGTCGTTATCATAATATCAGAATGATTTTTTGACATTTTTATTTCCTGTTGTCAAATGTCCTTTTTGCATAGAGAATGTAAAGAGCGCATGCGTCTGACAATTTTCGCCTTTCGGCCATATTGTTATGACGCATACAAGATCATAGGTCTCCGCCAGTGACGAGTCTTCTCGCAGTTGACGTGGCTACTACGTACCGTCCCGTTCGCCCACTCCGGACGCAGCATATACGGTGACGAGGAATACGTAACTGGTGAGTGCTCGCACTGAAGACATCTTGCGGTCTGTCACGGTCGCTTACATTTGGGTTCTCAAATATGGATATTCCATGCGTTATCACTTTATCATGTGAAATGTTTAAAAGACTTAATCTAGATAAATATGTTGCGTATGATCCATTAGACGCAATAGGAAAATACCCTAGCAATGACGCGATGATTCCCTTTTAGAATGCATATCGTGTGTTCATAACCGAGAAGGTTTAGTATAAACAAACCATTGCAAGTTATTGTGTATGTGATGTAAAAAGAATACACAGAATGGTGACCTTGAATATTTCAGGTAAGTGAAGTGGGCATGGACGGAATGGTGGAGGAGAACGGAACTTCTAGCGCTGCAGGAGTAGCGGATCCCCTGGCGAGCGGAGGTTCCGCAGCGAACGCGACCCCTCATGTGGTGGTCACGAGTATAGTGCAGCTCACATTACCAAGTCAAGCACCATCCGCACAGGTGTTTATTTTGTTTATTAACACTCGCAACCTACATGAAGTTTTGTCTGTCACAACAGATAACATAATAGTGAATTGGAATAGTGATAGTGTCCAGTGTAAAAAAAACAAAAGGCATCAAAACATTGTTTGTTTAATTGGAATGAATCAATGGGATTTTTTATTTTGCAGGTCCAATCAGTTATACAACCAAATCAACAATCTGTCATTCAAACTGCATCCAATATACAATCAGTACAACTACAAAAAGGCAATGTGATATTGGTGAGCAAGCCTAGCTCCGTCATACATACTACTCAAGGAACTCTCCAAACATTACAGGTTTGATAGTGACCCTTATCATCAATTATGTGAAGAGACAGATAAAGATACAAGTTTTACATATTTTTAGATTAAACCCGAACCTAACACAATATTAAGTACCCAAGGACAATCTTGCAGTGATGACAGTTGTAGTGATGAAGAGAGTCCCAAGAGGAAATACAGAGAAATGTTAACAAGACGTCCATCATATAGGAAAATACTTAATGACCTTGGAGGAACCGAAATTGCTGGTATGAGTTTATTATTTAAATTTTCCACTTAAAGTGTTACTTTTAAAGTTGGCATACATACTATTTTGATGATATCCTACAAGATGTGCTTTTATTTTCATTGTTGACATATTCCGTGGTTACATACACCATTATAACATATTAAAAGTTGGTTTAAAAATAATGCAACTGATAGTAAACATTATAAATACCACATTGTTTATTTACTTTTAACAATGTATGTGACATGGATGCGGGTCACAGGAGTATAAATTTATTATCTAACAATTAACATTAAATCCAAAGTACACTTGAGTATAAGGACATGATAAAAATTACAGAAAATCGCATGGGAACTAAAGCAGTATTGGAAAGTGAAGTGTCGCTGTCACCCTCTTTATCGTTTGCGCCAGGTTAGTTATATGTGCAGCTGACACTCTTTGTTTTTGTGTGCAACATGTGTCACTAACCTGTTTGAATCATCATTATTACTTGCCATTATAACTGTGGCTCCATACTTCATTGTTTCATACAATATCTTCAGTACTGAAAAATATTGAAGATTAAGGTTCTTTCTGATTCACAGCACTTCCTTCAACTAGTATTTGTATTGGTTTATCAACTAGTTATAATACGCTAATTAGTTCTAATTTGTTTGTTCTGTATTGGGTATACAATAGACTTTTACAAGATATTTTTCGTGCATCTCGCTATAATAGATGTACCCTGACTTTACCTTTAGTACATACAAAGGTTTATATAAATAGTGATTTGTATGATTATAACACTTTTCTGGTTTTTAAAACTTTATATTAAATCGAACGATAGCGGGATGACGTAATTGTGTGCTAACAAAACACGTGATGACGTCATGCCTGTGTGAATGTTGTATGAATTATGAACTCGTTAGCTTCGTACCATTCAAACGATTATATATTTAGAAACATATTTCTTAATCTTATCGGCCTGTTATTCTTTTATAAAGTTTAAAATAAATTATTTCGCAATATTTTATAAAAATCTACTTCCACTTATTTTTAGTAAATAACAATTTTGAGAAAACTTTTTAGAGTAAATTTAATTATGTTATTTTTTCTAGAAATAGACTAAATATAAAACCGTATTTCAGTAGTTTGGTAGTTAAATTGAAGTGAACAAACACATTAATACTTTGAAAAGATATTTTTACGTACCCAATATTATACGTAATTTATGTATTGTATTTATGAATTGACCAATGAATGATGGTTGTAACTTAAAAATAACTTTACTTACATTTATTTATTTTTTTAGTAAAAAATCGAACTTGAAGTTATTATAATATAGTCTTATTGGAAATACGTTGGGAATGATAATTAAAAAACAGTTTTATTATATATTGATAGTATTTTTAGAAATAGGAAATACTTATACCTCAAGGTTTTATTTATTATGGTTAATATTCGTATTATTGTTTATTTACTTTTGAAAAACTAGGAAATTTTAAATAATCTTTAATGTATTAGCATCATCAGCATCTAAACAATGGATAAAAGCACAGACCTTGTTCATTTCACTAAATTACCAATATATCATGTGATTTCTATTAAAATGTTGACTATTAGTACCACTTTAAGGTTTATAATTGATTTATATTCATATTACTTTTATTAAATATGCCATATCATTAGTTATTCCAGCGAGTTCACTTCAGACTGAAAGTGGATTACACACATTAGCAGTATCAGGCACCACAGCTGGTGGGACCTTAGTCCAATATGCAACTAATCAAGATGGTCAATTCTATGTACCGGGTAAGCAAAGTCATTGTAAATGTTAAAGCTATAAAGGCATTTCTATAATACATAATCCCTTTAGAAGAAACGAGCAAATCGTACTATGTTTACAGGGCCAATATTAGAGGACCAAACGAGAAAACGTGAATTAAGGTTGTTAAAAAATCGTGAAGCCGCAGGGAGTGCCGGCGAAAGAAGAAGGAGTATATTAAATGCCTCGAGAACAGGGTTGCTGTACTAGAAAATCAAAACAAAGCTCTAATAGAGGAGCTCAAATCTCTGAAGGAACTATATTGCCAGCAGAAAACAGAATGAGGTCCGGCCGGCTAACCAGGTGTGCCGCTGCCAGCTGGAAGCAATGATAAGCCTTGAGGCACACATGACTTGTAACATGTACTTTAACAGTACTGGGTGAACGTCCAGGCCAGAGAATGCCTAAACGGACTGATATAAGTGATGTCTCATGAGAATTTATTTTGAAAGGTTTTAAATGACTTGGGGCTAACAGTAACTGCTACAAGTCTCTGGATGAAAAAAAATAATAGTATTTTTATATTCTTCTTTTCTGCATTCTCTTTAATGTTAAAAGTTGATGTATTAGATATAATGTTAATTACAAATGTTGTTTTATATTATGTATTGAATTCACATTTATTATAATTTTAATCGAGCCTGGAGTTACATAAGACATTTTTTTACAATTATTGTTCTTGTTTATTGATAGGGTTACCGGTATTAATACTGTGTTTAACTTGACTACAAAAAGTTAGGCAGTAGCAATTTTTAAATGTTTTTAATATATAATCACTTGCAAGACATGCAAACATGCAAGACATTGCAGAAATTTTATTTCTTTATGTGCAAAAATGTTCAATATAAAATCTATTGAAGGCTAATGGCACAGTTTTTTGACTTCTACATGTGGATAACAGCTTTTTTTCTTTTATTGGGTATATAAGTATATACTTTTAAGTTATTTCTTGTTTGATACATTAATGGTATTTAAACTGGACTGAGTGCCATTATAATATCAAATTAAAGTATTACCATTGTTCTAGTAGATTATTATGTAATTTACTTTTGCTGTAATATTTTTTTGTTATACTATTCTCATTAACACTATAAAAATAACCCTCCTTTTAAAGCTGTCAGATAAGAAATACTATTCTATTAGTAAAATTTTATTTCACAATTTTATATATACTGTGATGGGAAAAGCAAGTGAAGTGATAGAATTTACCCATTGTAATGATAAAAAATAACTATTGTAGTTTTTGCTTAGGTCTTCTTGACATCATAATATGGTGTTTGTTATGGATAAGCCAAAGTTAATATTTAGTTTTTTGTGCAATAATTTTATTGCAATGTACAGTCTTAGCAAAGTACCATTTTTCAGTCCTCTACAAAAAGAAAAATATACGATGTAATGAAAATATTATGTACATTATGTATAGATAGATTAGATTTTTAAAAAAATATGTATAGATTTTAAAATTTCAATTATTTTGTACATATATACGCATAGTATATGCATTTGTGAACAGACGCCAATGTTGCATATCAAACAGATGTAATACTTAATTATGTTGATAAATATTAAAACCATTTTCATATGACTATGTATTTCACACATCACTTCGGTTCATGGATATGTAAAAATATATGTATTTTATGTGGAGGGGTGAAACTTTGAGAGTTAAGGATAAGAATTTTATAAGTACTCATTTGCCATGATTGATATGTATAATAATTATAGTGTTATAATAGTTTTATTAAAATGTTTTATTTTCTCTTATTTCAACGTTATTGTTGTGAGGTGACATAATAGTTTATTATGTTAAACATGTCTACCATGGCAAGTGATATAAGATTAAATGTAAGACATTGTGCAAAGTGCCTTTAAATTTAAAATGAATAAAGTTTATACCAACATAGCTTTTTATGTTAACTTATGCTATTTATAAATATTAATAATATTAACTGTTTTGATGTAAAATGATTGTGTTTATTTTTTGTTTACATTTACCAGCTTGTGGGGATTTTTTCATTCTGTTTGCTTTGACGAGATATGTTTTGCATATTGAAACACAGTTAAGTAAAATAACAATTATATGTTTTAAACACGTTCACATTTTAAAAATGTGGTGTTCAAAAATTTGGCATTATTTTTTTTTTTTACAGTCAAACTAAAGTCAGGGGTACTTCTCTAAAATTGATACTAATATTAGTAAATTCTAGACATATGTCTAGATTTGCTAGAACACATAGATTCTTGTCACATCTATTTTTCACTTTATCCTTGAATTTTCTGTATGATATCAATTATTCAATAACAATCTCGCAAAAGTACAAATATACTATTTGGGTGTTAACGAATATTCTTGAGGGCACGGATATCTTTGGTGTCTCGTACTTAAGTAAGGGTATAGCAAATTATTTACCAGAAATATAAGTTTTTACAAATTAGTTCAAAATATTTTATGTCGCAAATAAAAATTGAATGAAAATAGTTTAAATAATTAAATATACTTGAATATTAATCATCTTGTCCTCTTCAAATGTTGATTTTATAAGTTAGATCCTTCTTCAAGATACTACATACTTCTTTCAGGGATCTGGGATAGTTGTATAGGTATTGTAAACTTTCAAAATTTTATTTTCTTGACATCCTTAGTTGTAATTTGTTTACTTTTCATTGTATCTGACAATTCTTATTGACTGATGTCACAATCTTTACTGTTTAGTTTTTGTTTTCTCGGAACATTGATATTTTGATTTAGATATCTCATTCGTTAAATCAATATTTTTATTAAGTTAATATATTCCAAGGCATTTCAGTCACTTAAAGGAACATTTTCATCAAATTCGAAAATCTGATAGCTTTATTAATTTAAGCCTTTCGTATAAATTTAATACATAAAAGTAAAGTTTAGTGCAAGGAATTTAATTTTTCTTTAATAAAGTTGCTAGCTTTCCTTAATTTATTAATATTTTACTAACAATTATCTTGAGTTAACAGTCAATTAATCCGAAACAAGGTTACATACCTATATGAAAGGATGATATATATTTTTTATGAAGTTACTTGAAATATGCTGAAATGTAAAGACAGCTTAAGTAGAATATGAACACAAGGGGAACCAGACATGCTTTGAAACTCGCTGCTTAACACTAACGACCGTTAGTGTTTTTTCTGTTACTTCATGGTCATTAAACATTTGCTATTTACATAGAAACTAAAAATCCTGCTTCTATTAGCCTGTTGATATAGCAGCAGGAAATTTATTTATTTTAAACCTTTTTTTTTCTGATGACGCAGGGAAACTCTTTTTACGAATTTATTTTAAACCTAATTTTACGTTTCCCTAACCATTACACGAATTAATATGATTATCATTCATTTTTTAATTAGCAAATGACCGCTGTTTCGAAGATAAAAAACTTTTTTCATGCTTAAAAAATCATAATAAAGAGCAGTTTTCGGCTATCTTTACATTGTAGTGTAACAAGAAGTATTTTGTAATAATTTTATTGAATTTATAATATTCAGTAAAAAAAAATAAATCTGGTATAACGCACCTGTAAATATCATAAAATCGTTTTTCGGTCTATATGAGAAGGAATACAGGAACTTAGAAAATAGATAATTGAAAAAAAAGCGACACTTTTCCGACTTTCACTCAACGAGCAGAATCTAGTTGTAAACTACCTATTTCACTCCGATGTTTGACGAGTAGAGAGATCTTTAATAGCATAAAAATGTTAGCTATTTCGATTCTAACATATTACTTCATAAGTTTTTACTTACGTTGTTTAATGATACAAAAAGTTGTAGATAAATAAGAAAACATTTGATATTAACATCCGTCAGGGGTTTTAGATGGAACTTTAATTTTATTTATAAATTCTTATCATTTGTTATTTTACTGAAGTTGAAACAGAAGATAAGGACTGTGTACTTAAAAAAAAAACATTATACAAGAATTTGAAATACCTACGACGATTCCTCGGCCCGACCGAACATACAACAGCGAATATGCATATGTATATTCATCTTCAGCGTGATGGTCTAAGTTCCTTAAGCTTTTTAAATTTTAATTAGTGAATATTGTTATTAAATATTCATGCCTAATTTTGGATGGGTTGTTTTATTCTTTTTAATTTTTTTTTTACATTGTTACTATAGGTGTTATTTATGATAAAAATATTTTAAAAAATCCTTACGGTGTTGTGAAGGAAGAAAATGGGAACATTGTGAATTAGGATTCGAATCATCTTGATGAAACGCTTTTTATTTCTTAATAAACAGCGAAGTCTTGAGTAATCCTAAAAATAACAGGCTATAAAAAGATAAACAGAACGGTCAAAGCTAATTGAATAATTTTGGCAACATATTAATTTCGGGATTATTTTTATTATTTGAGAAAAGACGATTATATAGAAGTTAACTCTGATTTAAGAACTGTTTTTGGGATCAGAAACTCAACTTCTTAAACTTCTATCCAGAACCAGCAATAGGACAAATTATGGATTGCAGAAAAGAACCCACAACATATTTGGCAACAGTTCATTGGGTCCTATTATAACCAATAATAAAATAGTATAATTTTTGGTGTGTCCCTTGTTATTAATAAACAATATAATTCCAATTTGAATTGATAATTTTTATGCATCAATATCAGTAACATGTCCATTTTTACACTTGTATCATTCATGACAAAGAAAGTAAAACATCACATTAAATTCTTGATTGATAAATGCTTTTACAATAAAGGTTTTATTAATTTACTACATCAATAGTACTTCAAATAGAATTTCACTATTATCTTAATAGTAGGGAAACAAATTCTTTGTTAACTATAAATTGAAATTAAAAATGAAATAACAATTGTTTTATTTGCATAATATAGTGAAGAATTTGTAGTATGTTTTATCATGAAATCTTGTAAATTTATGTGCAAAAATACACCAGAGGGAAATGTACAAAGCATAAGGTTAAATCTATTAGGCTGTTTGTTGTTATAATTGTTAGAGATACAGTATACAACTTAATATACTGCTATTTATCATAATGGATAAAACAAAACATATGTTAATCATCAAAATTTTGTGACAACAAGAAATTTGCAGCAAGATTTTCATTTTTCTCACAAGCAAAGTACGCTTGAATAACCATATGTTCTGGAAATCCTAACGCTTTTAATCTCTCAATGGCCTCTTTGTCTTGAGGAGATACTTGTATAACATTTTGAGGCTGTTGAGGCACTGGATTATCAGGCACTGCCTCCTCGGCTACTGCTCCAGCAGCAGATGGGTTCACAGGCTCATTCAACATTCTCACAAAAGCTTGTTGATGCTGACTAATAGCTTGAAGTAAAGCTGGGTTTGTTTGACCAATTTGCTGCAACACAGTATTCAGTAAATTAGGATTCTGTTGAATCACTGCACGCATTTGTTGAAACTGTGGTTGATCCCGAAGAAAGCCCAACGGGTCTTCATCAGCACTCTCTTCAGCTTCCTGTTCTTGAAGCAGCTCTTCAGGGATCCCTGTTATGAGATATTCTACAGCTCTTTCGCGATTGTTAAATGAAGCACGAAGAGCTTGTTCAACTTGTTGTCTGTTATAGCCCATATCCATAATGCTTTGCACTGTTGATTCGAAATCCGGCTCATTTGCTGTTACTGGTGGTTCAGATGCACGCTCAGGTTCCGCTGCGGGCTGAGGTTTTGGTTTTTCTTCGACCACTTTACTTTTGCCGTCGCCGCTTTCAGTTGACGCACTTTCCCCGGCTTCTGGCGCTGAGGTCGACGACGCTTGTTGATTATCGGATGTTTTCGGTTTTGTCACCATGATAACGATGAATTTCTTTTCATCTATATTATACGTATGCAGTTTATTATCATCGAGAAGAATCTTACCCGCATAAATAAGTCTTTGATTGTCTGCCGCATAATCTTTACCTTTTTCCACTTCAATTTTAAGCTTCAGCGCTTTGACAGTCTCTTGAGGGTCTATTTCTATCTGAAAAGTTTGTTGTTGAAGAGTTTTTAAAGTCAGTAACATCTTGCTTTTTGTTGTGTATAGTATGTAATGATTCTGGACTTCGCAAAAATCTGATCTGACTCGACAAAATCATCCAGTAAACATAACCTCGTTAGGAAACTCACTTTTTTTAAATGTCATCAACGTTCGAATACACTTACTGTCTCAAACTACTAAATAAATGTTACAAGTTCGAGATGGTAGATTTTTTTATTAAATTAAAAAAAATGTCTAAATAAACTTTAAATTATATTTTACTAGTTTTTTTAAAAGTAAAATATGTAAATATATTTTAACTCGTAAAGTTATTGTATAGAATGTTAAGGGTATATAAGGTTTGAAAATGAATGCATTTTTGCAAAATAGAATTGTGATTCATGTAACATTACAATAAACATTTAATCAGATTATATTTTTCAATACTTGTATTTAGAACGCAATAAACCAAACTCTATCAGATATGTAGATGTACATATCTTGATATTCTAACTAATTTTAATTAGTTAAGTTAAATATAAAATTGACAGGGATTCCACCACATTTATGCAACCCTTTTTATTATATAAGACTTAATCACTTTTGAATTAAAATTCTAAGGTGAACAATCACATCTAGGACTAAAGCAATAATAATATCCAACTTTCTTTTTTATACATGTTTAATACATTTAGTCATTAGAAGATTATTTCATAATTTAAAGTTAACATTAAATATTAAAAAAATTGTGTAGTCTGTCTTGTAATTTATTCTCATAGGCTTTAATTGGACATACAATATTATTGGCAAAGGAAAGTAAACAGAAAATATACATAGTAATGATTTTATTTACAAAATTATTTTTTCACAATCATTGTACCATTTTTTGGGGACCAGCTTAGTACCATTCTGCATTTGTTTGATTACATTAAACAGAGCTAGATCAACAACAGAAAACATGTTCTTATATATGAAACCAGTTTTATCTGTGAACATTTGTGTTATTGAGACTTCTTTATTCTTTACCGAGTCCATTTCAAGTTGATGGCAGATATCAAGCATACCATCTATCTGGTGATCATCATAATCATAGTTAACTATGTTAGGAAATACTAAGCACAAATATCTTAAAATATTAACACTTCCAATGATTGGACTACTCAAAGATGAAATCTTTAATTCAGGTGCAGCTGATTCTGTAACAAATATATATAAATTATTAATAGGAAAGTTTCACTGCAATCAAATGATAAAGAAAAATCTTCAATCATTCCAATTTTAAAATGGTCTTAATACATCACAATAAAAAAGTATATATATATTTTTTGGATACATTGAAACTTTGTAAGAGCTGTAGTGTAATATGGTTTTTTTTTCATAATTCTGTTTTTTAATCTTAACTATAACTGGACACAACATTAATATATGTTACTCATTCAGTAATTAACTTCTCATTTGATGATGATGTAATTGTATAATATATATATATATATGCATATATAACCTTAGATTTTTTTATCAACTTTAACATAAATATAAATTTTTCTATACTTACCACATTTAAATATCAGCCTAAAGTTAACTTTTCCGCCTGACTGTGAGGAGTATAATGCTTGGAATTTCTTAAAAAAGGAGTCAACTTTAGCTATTTTAATGCTGGGCACACTTGAATGTGTGTGCCATGACACATTGATACCATTGATGGCTTTTAAGAATATGTTCATAAACCATGGCAGTTTGTCAGGATGAAGGAACATCACCACTTCACTTGGTTTTACCTGGAATTGTAATAAAAAATGATATATTAAAAATGGAAGGCATTGTGATGACTTTATGCTGATATTTTTATTTTTATTAATGAATATTAAAAAGTAAGGAATCTACTATACTAATATTATAAAGGTGATGTTGTTTATTTGAATGCGCTATCTCAGGAACTCCTTGTTTGAATTGAAAAATTTTTTTTTTTTAATAAATAGACCATTTAAGGAAAAAGGCTTTAGGGTATATTACATCAAAATATTCAAGAAATATATGTATGAAAGAATTATTCCTCTTCAAATGATCTAAAATAATGACTGCAACTGTATATATCTTTCTTTTAAGGTTAACTCACTAGAACCGTTTTAATGGTAATCAAATTAAGTCGAAATTTATGAACTATTACCAATTATTTATTAGAGTTGTACATAGTATATTTGTGTCATAAAAAAAATAACACTTACAAATTCCATTTTAGGCTTTGAAGTCTTAATATCTTGTTGACTATTTTTGCAGAGAGAACTAATAGTTTTAATCCTTTCATACAGGTCATCCAATTTTGTCAAGAGCCTCTCTTGACGATTTTCCAATTCAACTAGCCCATTGTTCGACATTTTCTGAAAATTGTAATAAAAATTAAAGAAATATATAAACAAAAAAACACACGTGTGTATTATTATTTTAAGGAAAATGCGAAATTTTAAAATATTTGTATAACAAATTTTTTTTTAAAATAAATTTTTGTACACAAATAGCAGCAGTTAGTAATAATAAAAAAAATGGGTGGGTATTACTTTACAAATTAAATAAAAGAATTCGACATAAGTAAAATTCTAATAAAAATAATAACTTTTAAACTTAATACCAATTTAAATTTCAACTTTTAAAAGAAATAATAATATAAAGTAAAAATTATTTTTTACTATTTATGATACAAAATAATTACTACAACATACAAGTACCCTTAAATATGTTGCGGTTTAAATCTCTTAAAATACATTCCAACCTATCACAAAATAAAAAATCTAAAAATAATTTAAAAAAGAAAATATTATTTTATTATTTAGCCACAGGTACAATGTAACAGTTACAAGTAATAAAAATGACAATTATTTTATAAAAATATAATTAGTATCCTTTAAAAATAAAAATTGTTATTTGCAAAATTTCATGATTCCAGTGCCAATGAATTTGTAGCATAAAATTAAAACAAAAAATTCATTGATTAAACAAGGTTACAACTAGATTAAGCATCATCCAAAAATTCTTAAATCTGGGGCTTAATCTTCTTAAAAAAAACAATTACACTAATACTAGATTGTCATTTCAATAGGGTAAAAATTTTAAATATTTTGTTCTGTGAGTTTTAAAACTATGTAATCTAATTTTATATGAATTTAAACATATTTTCTTGTGTTCTTCAAGGTGTTAGATATTCTTTCTTCATTATAGAAGTTTGTCTTTCCTATCCTTTGTCCACATTTATCTGATAATCTAATGGTAGATTGCTGCATCTATCACTATGCTGGGATGTATTTCGTTGATAGTTAGATTTAACTAGAGTTCGAAATTTATATATCTTTTCTGCCATGATAATTCAAATTGTCTTCCTTTAGCTTCACAATTTTTAACTTTGCTTATTATACTTCTGCTTGTATGCACTTTGACTGTATCACTGAAGGCTGCAAATGCTTTATTATAGTATTAAATTATATTTGTTTTTCAATCATAAGAAAACTGTAAAATTCCCATTATATTTCCTCTTGGATTGTCTGGAGTTATCATACACTGTGTACATATTATATATTTTTCTTTCATTCTTGAAGAACTTTTTCACAATTTTTTGTGATAGGAAGATATTGGCTCTAGTCCCTGCTTTCTTAGCTTTTCAGAGGTTATTTGATTGGAGAATTTTTTTCTTTATTTAGACACTCCAAATAAAATGATGTTTATAATCTGAAATCCTACAAAAATAATCGGTTAAAGAAATTAAAAGTAGAACTGTAAATAAAAAGGCAAGTACATGTAACTTAGATATAAATAGTAATGAAAATGAAAGCTCACCTTATTTGTAATAAAAAAACTTATGCAATTAACCCAAACCACACTTTAATTCTATTCAACCACATGTAACCACTAGTTATTTTTTTTAAGAAATAGCATTATAAATCACAATTTTAAGTCAAATTGACAAGAGTGTGAGTATGCCACTCAACCCAGAGATGAGCCATGTAAATAAGAAGATATAAGCAATTTTTCTTGGACGTTAATATAAGAGTAAAACCGTTTTAAACAATTTTTTTATTTTTTATTATAACTTAATTGTTTTATATCAAAAAGCTTCAAATAGAAGAAAATCAAAACAACTTTTAACAATAACCAAAATTAAAGTGATAGTTAAATCATTAATAAAGTAAGAATTGTTAAAAAAAACTGCCATATAAATATAACATATAGGACTAAGTTTTAGTTTATTCTGACAAAAAAATAAATAAGTAAATCAATGCAGATAACCTTCACTTATAATTTTTTCTAAATTTAATACATAAAAACAAAATTCTGATAATTATCACTCTTATAAGCATTTAAAAAGTATTTCATAAAATTGAATCTACCATGTTGCATGTAAATGTTAAGAAATGAAGATCAGTCTTGAAATTTAAAATGTTTTCGAAAAAGGAAATTATACCAACTATCTGTATAATGTTAATAATATAAGGTATATATATGAGGTTAAAAATATATTGTTTAGAAGTAGCAACCATTCGAAATACACGAACCAACGAAATGTGTTAAAAATCAATTCCAGAATCAGTTATTAATTAAAACAATCGAATTTCTTAAATAAACCTTAAGAAACTTGGTAACCTGGTCCCGAATATTTAGTTCGGCTTCATCGTTTTCGTCAACTTCGATCGGATTCTTCAATCGATACATGCATTTAGGTAGTTCTATCTCCTCTTGAAAGGAGACAATATTTTTCATATGATACATGGCTTAAATAACAATGTCTTATAACATAAAACTTTTAGCACCTGAGACCTCTACTACTCATTGATCTATTCTATGGACTACAACGTGGATATCGATTTCGGCAATAACTTCACTTCCAACTTCCAAGTCTTCAAATCCCACTAATAAGTAGTCATCAATGACAAATGACATATCACTGTATATTTTCGAGGATAGTTAATAACCTTATTATTTTAACGCTACTATTTATTTTATAAATATATAATAAAAATATTTTTAGGTTAAAGCATTAGTGTTTTAAAAATTTAGAAACAGAACAATTTGTAATTAAAGATAAAAGAGGAATGAAATAAACAACAAAACAAAATAATTCAAAATAAAACATCATATTTTGTTAAAAAATATAGTATTATTTCAATCCAAAACATAATTTACTGTAATATTTGTAACATTCGGTTTTGTTAAAATACAAGTGTATAAATAAAAGGCAATATGTAATTAATCATGCTGGCTAGAATAAAACAACAATAAATTTCATGAAACCTATGTAACGTACTAATTATAAATATTTAAATTGAAATAAAATTTTTAGTTCCTTAATAAGTTTCATTAAAAAGTCACCAAAACATATTAATGGTAATAAGGAATCATTTTAAATTCCATAACATGACAGCTGATGCAGAAATTGTAACATATTTCTATTCATATTTATGAAGACATATATGATTATTAAAATATTATTAAGCAATAACTATTATTAACAGCCAGAATTAAGTAGGATATTTATTTAAAAAATATATGTGTGTCAGACGATTTAGAATTTTTAAATTTCATTTTGTTATGTATGCATTTTCAGCATCCGTTTCAATTAATATCTTTTATAAGTCTTTATCTATAATACCTAAAATTTTAATCTAAACAAAATAATGAATGGATTGTTATTTTTAGAAAACTCATTTTTAAATATTTTTCTCATATTAAGTCTTGTTATATGAACAAAAAAATAAAAAAGAGTAAAACATTGACTTTAAATTGTCAGCAGAAGATATGAAAAATGGCTGCCCTATTCCTAGCCTGGCTGATTAAGACGTGATAAGTGTTGTGTAGTATTGCTATGCATAAATACGAACTAAAAAGTAAAGTATGCTCAAGATTCAGTTTCAACAATTATTTTATTTATTATCAAAGGAATTTAATGCTGTGTAGTGGAAGATAAGTCAAGTTTTAAGATTGATAGAAAACTCAATATCCCATAAGTTATAAAAACGACATGGCGGACCGATAATCGACCAATGAGAAGCAAGCATTAAGCGTTTCAGAATTGCATGTACCTATTCACATTTCGCGTCATTACGTTTTGGTGCCTTGTTCCTTAGATAATAATCCAAAATTATTACCTATAAAATAATGAACTAATCCGTTTTGAATAAAGTTAGTGCTAAAAATAAGATTTTGTGTGTTGTGCTATTTAACTACGATGAAGCATCTTTAAAGGCTAGGATCATGAATGCTTTAGATTTAGGATGAACCTAAATACTGTTATATACATTGATTTGTTTTTGTAAACAATAATGTGTTTGAGATACACGTGCGAAATATTACAAAATTGACAGTTGTTTATAACGATGACGGGTAGGGGGGCGAAAAAACGCGGGAGGCCCCCAAAATCGGGAAGTTTTGAAAAGAACAGGAAATTTCAATATCATTTATTGAAGAAACCGAAATATTTACAAGCACAAAATGTTGGATCCGGTTCTCTCGCTAGTACTCCATCTGCCTCAAGAGCATCATCGCCTCAAGGAAGTGATATAAGCCGTCGAAGTACAAGAAAACAAAGAGGCGGAAAATCACATAAGAGCAAAAGAGGTGGGCTATCGAATGCGTATTCTCGAAGAGGATATAATCCTCAAGCAGCGGATTACCATGAATCTGAGTACCATTATGGATCTGACTTTGGTGATGATTATAGTGATAGATCTGAACCTGATGAAGACCGGGCTAGTGAAAGCTCTGAAGGCTCCATTGGTGATGGCGCAGCTAGTGACAGTGACTTTTCCACCAGTAGTTTTAGCTCTACAGGTGGAGTTCCAAGAAAAACAAACAATAATCTTCTTAGACCACCTAGTCCTGATCCCCTCTGGTTGCAACAAGAAAGACAAATACCTAGACTGGAACTACCACCCTCATCAGAGGATTTAATAATACCCCATAATTTAGTTTTACAAATTGTAGGAATTTATGAGGTGTTACGTCACTTTAGACATTTGGTGAGGCTATCACCATTCAGGTTGGAAGATCTTTGTGCAGCCGTGAGTTGTGAGGATCAGAGTAATTTACTAATAGAAGTACATATAATGTTGCTAAAAGCTTTGTTAAGGGAAGAGGATGCTCAGCAAACTCATTTTGGTCCATTGGATCATAAGGACAGTGTAAATATTACTTTGTTTTTGCTGGATGTCATGACATGGCCGGAGGTTTTAAAAATTTATGTTGAAAGTGATAAGTCTTTTGATAAAAACATTGCCAAAATATTAAATTCTTGTGAATATCCTTTTACAACTGTAGAGAACCGTTTGGCAGTGCTACAGTTTTTGTCAAATCAATTTCTGATTACAAATCCAGTGAGAGACGATCTCATAAGTGAAGGTAAGAATATTTTTCACCTTTCAATAAGTAATCATTAGTATTTTTTATATATTGTTATAATAAGTAAAGAAAAAAATATCAATTAACATTTGATCATCATGATATATGACCATAATGAATAAGGATGTCGAAATTCCTTATTTAAATATAGCAATACTGTGAGGTTATACTTCTATTGTTTTGTCCTAATTGATTTTACAAATAACCAAATTTTATTTATTTTTTTCTTAATGTAAAACAAATATAGTATATATATCATGAATTTGGATAAGGTATAGACAAATGAATTTTATTTTATTCATTACAATTTACATATAAGTAAAACTTCTTCATTAACAGTATTTTTATATGCTTTATATTAATACTGTGATTTATTTATTTCAGCTCGTATTAGTTATGATGACCACTGCAGAGTATGTCATCGTTTGGGAGATCTTCTTTGTTGCGAAACATGTCCAGCAGTGTTTCATCTTGAATGTGTTGACCCACCTTTAGTTAATGTACCCTCCGAGGATTGGCAATGTGCCCTTTGTAAGCAACACAAAACAACAGGTGTAACCGACTGCTTATCTGATGCTGAAACACAGGGATTATTATGTAGGCATGAACATCTCGGTTTTGATAGGCATGGAAGAAAATACTGGTTCATTGCAAGAAGAATTTTTATGTAAGTTTTATTTTTTTAAACAGTTTATTTAGAATAACAATCATTGTAAAATACTTCTTTATCTAATTCTAGAGAGGCTGAGAATGGTGAAGTTTGGTATTATACAACTGTGAATCAGTTTCAAGAACTTCTTGATGTATTGGACGCTGCTGAGATGGAAGCACCTTTAGTTCGAGAGCTTTCTGAAATGCAACAAGAAATAATGAGACAAATGAACATTACAGAGAGACTGACAAATCAATTGAAAGGCAATAGGAAATCATATTTAGAAGTTGAAAATGGAAACCTAATGAAGCAGAAAATGTTAAAGCAAGATCAAAAACATCATGAGAACAGTAGTGATTTGAAAGTAGGAGACAAACTTGATTCAGAAGTTCCTTTAGATCAGGATTCTGATATAGTAAATGAGGTCACTGTGACAAGTGATGACCTTGGAAAAGAAGAAAACTCTGATGATGATGATGAATCAAGAAAAATAAAACATTGCAATTCTAAAATTAAATCACCAACCTTAAAAAAAGGTGATGAAAGTAAGTATAAAGTTTTATTGTACATGATACTGACATCTGTGTCTCTCATAATCATATTTAAATATTTATGGCTATATATTTCTTTAGTTACAGAACGTGTGACAAGATTGAAATCAAATCAAATATCAAATGGAACATATCTTTTTAAATTGGGCAATGAGAACTCATTTAAGACATATGTTAACCAATATACTAGCAATCCTCTTGCACTGAATAAACCTCAAAGGAATGAAGAAAGGGATAAGAAGCGTTATATTTCTCATAAGTTCTCACTATCATCTGGACAAGAATTTAAATGGGTTGGATTGCTCAATGGTATATATTGCTTTAAATAATGGATAATTTTTGAATTTGATATTACTTATGTTAAAACTTTAATATATTTTTAGCAACAAAACCATTACTAGTGGCCACATTACGACAAACGTTATTGCAATTAGAATCCAATATTGTACTGCAATTTATGCATCCAAATTGGACACTATTGAGAAAACCTTGGGTCCAAGCAGTGCAACTTTGTCAGGCTCCAAGAGATTTTGCCAGGGCTCTATGTGTTCTGCAGGTAAGATACAAGAACAATGTTATTGGTACCTTCTTCACTTTATAAAAAAAAAGTGTATTTTATATTTCAATAAATGATGAAATAATTGCAGGCCTGCATTAAAAGTGTAGTTTGGGTCCCAGCTTGGCATGAACAACTTGGTCACGTGCGACTTATTCGTACTACAGCTGCTGAAAGAGAGGAACGGAAAAAAATTGACAAAAGAGAGAAAAAAGAGCGCGATGAAGAGGAAGAGAGATATAGAACTGCTTATAATTTTGTTAAGTATTCATTGGGTCTTCGTCATCAGGTAACCTTTTTACTTATCATTTAAATGAAATTGTCAAATTATTATGTCATATGAGGAATCGTTTTTGTACAGGTTTGGAAGCAAAAAGGGGAAGAATATAGAATTCATGGTCAATGGGGGTGGTTATGGAATTCCGCAACAAGGAAATTCAAAAAACATGCAAGTTTTAAATTAAATTTATACAATGGTCCTGCTAAAATTGCAGTAAGAGTGAGAGAAGGAAGCATCATTAAAGTTTTAGCTGTTGAACCCAAAACCTATGAATATCTTACTAATGAATCTGCAGACGAGGATGTTATGACAAAATGTTTGTTTTATTTCTACAAC